ACCACCCCAGGAGGCCCCGTCCGAATGCAGGAGGCCCCAGGGCCAGGGGCCTGGGGGGAGCTGGCGCCAGGTGGGCCAGGTGCTTTATAAAGGCCTTGGACTGGCCGGCCCCAGGCCAGCAGCCCCGGTCAGCAGCCTGACCTGCACCGTAGCCCTTCTCTGAAGGTGAGCCCTGCCAGGTGGCTGGCCTCACTGCGGGCTGTGGCTCTGCCCAGCGTGCGGGTCCTGGCCGATGGCCCAGGGGAAGCCGTGCAGAGCCCGCCCCAAGGTGAGCGAGGGCCTCGGCTGGGACCACCCAGGTGCGTTCAGCCCGGCCCCCACCTCTGCCCCATGTGGCGGGGCTGGCCCTGCCTGCCGCAGCCCTGGCACCTCCCGAGGCCGTGGTGACCAGAGCCCTCAGCAGGCGGCTGGGGAGGGGGAGTGTCACCCCGCAGCCCCCCCGGGAGGCGGGGCCACGGAAGGGCTGGCCAGCGGGGGCAGGGCCAGCAGGGGACGGCGTGGGGGGCGGTGGGGAAGGGCCAGCAGGGAGGGGGCCGCCGGGGGGGCCCATGGCAGAGGCCGCAGGTGGGAGGAGGGGCCGCGGGGTGGTGCTGCTCACCTCCAGGGAGGCGGCCATGCCCCGTCCATCTGGGCGCTCCCCTGGCTGGAGGCGGGGCCCGCCAGGATGGCGCTCTCCTCCTCCGGGGCGGCCTCTGCGCGTCCCCTGCCCGCAGGACCAGCTGGTGGGGTGGCACGGACAGGACGGCCGGGGACGTGCCAGCCGGGAGTGAGCGCTCGGCGTCCAAGCGAGGGCTGCGGGGAGAGCCCGGGGAGCAGCTGCCCCCCGCCCGCGGCCGCGCTCGCCTTGAAGACGGGCCCAGAGGGACGAGAAAGCGGCGCGCGGCTTGTTGACGCTGACGCCGAAGAGCCAGTTACCGCCGGAGCAAGTTCTCTGCCCGGCGGGGCCAGGCGACCAGCCAGCGCGTCGTCAGAGGGCAGGGGCAGGGGTCAGGGGTCGCCCGGGAAGTTGTGTTTGCAGAACTTCTGACCTGGAGCCGGCGCGGAGTGAACAGGTGGGAGCGCGGCCCTTGGTGGGGAGGGGCCGTGACCCCAGCCGGCCCCCGCCCTGGGTGGGGAGGCTGCAGTGCTGTGGCCCGAAGGGGAGCCCACTCCCCTAGAGGGGCAGCTGGGAGGCCTGGCTTGGCAGCTCGCGCCGCATCCGTCTGTCTGGCCGTCCGGCCAGGGCCCGCCTCCGCCTCTGGCCTGCATGGCCGGAGCAGGCCCCCCTCGAGCCTCCGCTGCTGTGGGCCCAGACCCCGCCCGGCCTCCTCCTTCCACTCACCTCAGGCCCTAACCCGGGCCTGCTCCGAGCAGAGCCAGGGCGGCAGTGACGCGGGCACACGTGGGCGCCCACATGGCCCCCGGCCTGCCACTGGGCCCTAGCCTCGGGGGGCCCAGAGCACCCCTAGTCCAGACGCCCAGCAAGCAGGATGCGCGGCCCAGCCTGGCTCGGGGGCCACCGGCCCTCCTCAGCCCTTGGTTTCTGGGGTGCCGGGGAGAACCCCGGAACTTCTACTTGCTGCTGGGGCGCAGGCAGCTCTGCTGGGGGGTAGCCTGCTCAGCCTCCCCGGCCCCACCCTCTGAGCCCAGGAGTGAGGGGCCCCACCTGGCAGGCAGCGTCGCGGAGGCGGCAGGGGTCTCCTTGGCCTCCAGCACCCGCGCAGCGCCGAGTCCGTGCGAGGCGGCTGCTCAGGCAGGACGCGGGCGAGCCCCTGTGCCGGGAGCCGGACCTGCCTGTGTTTGGGAAGGGGGTTGGGGCTCTGCAAACAGAGGCCTCGTCTCCGAGCACCTCCACACCCCGCGTGCAAACGGGGTGCTGGCCTCCGCAGGGGGCACCGGCCGCCTCCCCTTATTTGCCGGGGGCTCGGCCGCGCGTGGCGGGGCTGCCTGCGGGCGGCGGGGCTGCGGCTCCCTGTCGCATGGCCAGGCCTGGCCAGGGCCACAGTTCTGCTGGCTGCAGGGAGGGTCCAGGTCTCCTCCCCCGCCTGGGCTGGTCTCCCGGGAGCCATGCCCAGCCCTCACCCGTCAACACCCCGGTCCTGCCCGGGAGTCTGCGGGTGCCCGCCGCCTGTCTGGGCTGAACTCTCCCTGCAGGGGCCCCCGGGTGGTCTCCGGTGCAGGACTGGGCTGCAGAGGGTGCCGGCCCATGTCGGGGCAGGGAGGGGGGTACCCCAGGGGCTCAGCCTGACCAGGAGGCCACTGTTGCCTTGGCCAGCCACGCCCAGGACCTGCGGGGAGAGGCCCTGGGGCTCAGCCGGCCATACAGGTTGGCAGCAGAACAGATCGGGGGCCGGGACCCCCCAGAGCATGAGGCTGCTTGGGGAGGGCCCAGACCCAGCTCGGGGGGGTTCCCCAAGACAAAACCTGCCCCAAGTCTGCCTGGAAACAGGCGTCTCCAAGATGGGGTATTTGGGGAGGGGTCCCTAAATCTCAGAGGTCTGCGTTCCTCAGGGGGACGATGCCGGTTCCCCGAGACCCTCTGGCCCAGGCCCAGGCCCACGCCTCGGGGTAGCGGATAGACGAGCCGCCTAGGACTCTGCGCCCGCCCTGCCTGGCACAGCCCCAGCCCTGCCTGACAGCGGAAGTGAAAGCAGGGTCCCCGCACGGCCGCCTCCCGCTCCGGGCGGGGCAGGCGCCTGGGCCAGCGACACGGCCACCTCTGGTGCCCGCGCTCCGCCTGCCCTTTCGGGGGGAGGCGGCGAGTCTCGGGCCACCCCTGGCTGGGACAGGTCAGACGAGGGGCCTCGTCCCTGGGCCCGGGCGGGACCTGAGGGGGCACCCTGGTCTGGGCACAGCCCCGGGCACGGCTGGGCTTTCCTGGCCTCCCGGGCCTGAGGAGAGCAGTCACCCCACGCCCGCCCCCTTCCCCAGCCGCCCCCCACAGTCTGGTCAGACTCGATGCCTCCAGGGTCCCTCGGGCCCCATCTCCTCCCCATCAGGAGGGTCCTTGTGGCACCAGGGGCCTCACCTCAGCCCCACCCTGCCCGGCCCCTCCCTCTGGGGACCACAGCAGCCCCAGGCACAGACTCGGCTGTGCTTGCCCCCAGAAACCCCGGTGCCCCCGCCCACGGGGCGGGGAACTCCAGGACCCAGGGTGGAGCCCCCTTCAGCCCAGCAGCGGGGAGCAGGGTGCCCCAGCTCCGCCCCCGAGACTTCCCGCCGCGACCCCAGGGTCTCCGCAGTCCTGCCCCTCTTTTCCACAAGGGTCGCGTGGCGGCCCCTACAGCCCGGCGGGAAGGTGAGGGGATCCCCATGTGCAGGGCGCCCGGGCCCTCGCTGGGGAGGGGCTTCCGACCCCGCGTGGTGCTGCAGTTGTGTGCCCGGAGGGCTGCCTGGGCCCCGTGACTGGGAGCTGGGTGGGACCCCCAGTTGCAGCTGCTCCCGCACCCCCAGAGCACCCTGTCGGGGGCCAGGTGGGCAGCCGGCCTGGCCGTCCCTCCCGCTGCCCAGCAGCGCCTCTGCTGGCTGAAGCAGCAGCGGGGTCCGGCCATGTCCCTCCTCTGGAGACACCGAGCTCCCCTGGGCCTGAGGGGTGCGGCATGGCTGCCCGCCGGCTCCGGGGGCTCCCCAGCGGCCCCGCCCTATCTGAGGGCCCTCTCTGGGCAGCTGCTCAGGCCGGCGCTGGCCAGAAACGGGGGGGCAGTGTGCGAGTGCGACCTCTCTGCCCTCACGGGACCGGCCCCAGGGCAACCGCGCGGCTCCGTAGGCCGGGGACAGGCCCGGCCGCTCGGGCTGGATACAGACCGCGTCCACCTCGGCGGGCAGCCCGGGGCGACAGGCCTTCGTCGCACCCGGTGTGACCGCGTGGCAGCGGCGGGAGCCTTGGAGCTGTTTTGGCCCAGGGGTCAGCGGTGGACCCAGGGCAGCACCCCCGCCGCCGGCCCCCCCCCTTCATGCGGCCTGGCCGAGGACTCCAGCCCTGCCCCGTGGGCGCCAGCGCCCTCCGCCCCTCCGGGCGCTGTGGATGCGGAGCCGGGTCCACCGAGGCCACCCCCGCCGGAGATGGGGGCCGCCCCCTCCCGTGGCGGCTGGGGGACGGCCCTGGCCGCCGCAAGGGCTCCGGCTTGTGGCCCTTGGTGACGGCGCTGCCCTCCCGTGCTCAGGGCAGGCCGGGACGTCCCCCAAGCCCGCGGGGCTGTGCCTTCCAGGGGCTACTGGGCGCCCTCCCCCCCCCCGCCCCCGGCTCGGGCCTGCTCGGAACTGACCCGCCGGAGACGCTCTTCTCAGGCGCGGACATGCCGCAGCGCTAGACGCCCCCCGGGCCAGGGGCCACCGCGCCCTGCGCAGTCCCCGCGGGCCCCTCTGCGTGCTGGCGCGTCCTCGTGCACGGCTGGGTGGCGCGTCCTCACGTCTTCCTCCTCTTCAGCTTTCGGTAATTTCTCCGGGGTGCCGGGGCAGTCAGGGATGCCGGCGGCCTCGCCCTGCCCAGAACTTCTAGAAAACGCTCCTGTCTCAGAGCCGGTGCCCGGTCCAGGCGCCCCCTCCCCCAGGCGACCCCCACCAGCCTGACCTTCCCACAAGCCTCTTCAAAGGCTCGCGCCCCCACAACGAGGAACTTCAAGAGGTCCCTCCCCACCCCCCCCCATGGAGGCCGCTCGCGGGGGCCCTGCACCGGCGGGTGCTTGGTCAGGGATTCGGCCCTCGGCCTTGTGTGGACTTGACCCCTCCCTCTGCAGTGGGCCCCACCCCGCAGCACTGGGGGGCGTCCACGAGGATCAGCTGCGCCCGGGGGCCCCTCTGCGCAGACCCCACGCAGGGCTGCTCGGGGAGGTCCAGCCTCGCGCCTGGCAAGGATGGGCCTCGGGCGCGGCCGCCTGTCCCGGAGCCGTGGAGCCTTCCCTTGTGCTGAGGCCAGGCTCCGCCCCGCAGGCGCACACCCGGCCGTGTCCAGGCAGCCCCTGCCCGCCGAGCCCGCCCGGCCGTGCCCCGTGCTCCCTGGAAGCCGATGCGGGTCTCTCCGTCCACGTAAATCTTAGACTTTAATGAGCATCTCAAAAAGCCAGGCAGGGGCTCGGCGGGCTGTGCTGACCGGCGCGCCCCCTGCCTGCGCCGTCTTAGACAATTTCTTAAATGTTTGTAAGAGCAGGCGCCGCCCTGGGCTCCTGCGCTGGGCTGGGGGCGATGTCCTGCGGCCATGGGCTGGAGGCCTGCAGGGAGGCCGGTCCGCGGGACCCCAGCCCGGGGGCGGGGCCTGGACGGAACAGGCGGTCCCCAGGGGCGAGCCCCGGGCCCGCGAGCCTTTATTGCATTGGGTGCGGCTGCCGCCAGAGACGATTTCGGGAGCAGGCAGCGAAGCTCTGGCGAGCGGGAGCCTGGCCGGGCTCAGAACCGGACGAAGGTGGCGTCGATCTGCCGCACGGAGGGCAGTGCCAGCATGACCTTGCGCCGGTACTGGGGGTCGCGCTGCAGCGGGTTGCGCTCCAGGTAGACGGTCTCTAGGCCCTTGGCACCCTTCAGCTCGTCCAGGTCGCTCCAGCTGTCCAGGAGGTTGTCATTCATCTGGGGGCACAAGGCACATGCACGCAGGGGGGTGAGTACCCCCCGACACGCCCCCTCTCCCTCCCGCGCCTGCACTGGACATGCAGACGCGCACACACACTCCCGGGTACGATGGGCACACACTCCACCCAGCTGCTGCCACAGGCCCTGCCCCAGGCAGGGTGTTGACCCACAGGAGTGCCCGGCCCCATCCGGGTGCACATCACCCGTCGGGGCGCCTTCATCACTTCAGACTCGGGTTCTGGGTTCCCCAGACCAGCTCTGGCCCACGCTGAGGGATGCCCCCGGCGGAGATTGGCGAGGCCGTCCACCCGCTGCTGCGATGTGGGCAGGGAGGACGCAGGGCGTGGAGCCCAGGCTCAGCGGGAAGCAGGGAGGGCGACACCCACGCCACCAAGTCACAGGACACCTGTGCTGCCGTTCACAAGACCTGGACCCCGAGGGCCACTTCAGGTGACTCCAGGAACCCAGCCCAAGGCCCTGGCTGGCCCGCTGGCCCGGCCTCTCTCTTCCGGCCGCAGGGACCCACACATGCGCCTGTCCCCTTGGACGAGTCCAGGGCCACTCCCAGATGGGTGACCCAGAGGCCCCCAGCCCACAGGCCGTGTCTCGCCAGAACCCGGCTCAGATGCAACTTTGGCCCAGCCTGTGTCTGGAGTGTGAGGTGCAGCCTGTTCTTACCCACTGGGGGGGCTGCTGGAGGTGTGGGCCGCCCCTGGGCCACCCCCCCCACGACTCCCTAGAAACCCCAGGCCCTCTACCCCAGGGCGCCCCCGGCCCCCTGCCCCAGGAGGTGCCCCCCAGGTCCCCTCCCCAGGGCCCTCTGCCCTGTTCCCCCAGGTCCCCTCCCCCGGGCCCCAGAACCAGCTCCCAGGCCCCTCAGGCCTCTACCCCAAACCCCCTCCCCAGGTCCCCTGGCCTGCCCGCAGCATGTGGCACCTGTGGGCGCGTACCCAGAACTCCTGCAGCTCCGTCAGGTGGCTGACGTTTTCAATCTTTTTGATCCTGTTGGACGCGATGTCCAGCATCGTGAGTTTGTTCTAAAAAGAGGGAAAAAACCGTTTTCTTCATGACCTTATCAGTAAAAGCACCATCCCACCCCCAGCATCGGGTGTGCGTGGGGGCCCCACTGGGCTCCCTGTAGTCCTCACAGCTCCTCCCGCGGTGCCTGGGGTCCTGGGACCCCAACCAGAGGGACCGGTGAGCAAGCTGGGCCTCGGGAAGAGGTGGCGCGGAAGGTGGGGGGCATAGCCGAGCTTGCCTTTAACAAGTGAACGCCCCCCCTCCACTTAGGGAGGAGCCTGGGTCTCGAGTAGGACAGAGGTGCCCACCCTGGGGGCGGCTGTGCCCTGGACACCAGGCCCTGGCCCCATGGCAGCGGGTACAGACTTGGGGGCGCGGCAGGCCACACCCACTGCCTGCTGCAGGTCCCTCAGGCCCAGCAGCTGTTAGGACCCGGGGGGCCTCCCTGGTGGGTGGGGGTCAGCCTCAGGCTGTCACTGCAGGGGCCTGCGTGCGATCCCGGCAGGGGCTGGCCCACACGAGCAGCAGACCCTGTCTCCGGGCCCCCCTCAGCCGCGGATCTCAGTGGACCCGCCGGTACTGCTCCCCATTCTGGGGAGTCCTCACCCCTGCACCTCTGGCCTGCGCCCCAGCTCTTCTACGCAAAAATAAAATCCTTGGGAAAAAAAGACCAAAGGGGAGACAACAGCGCGGGCACCCTCCCTGCCCCCCTGTCGGTTCCTCCATCCCCTGGGCCCCTGGGGTCTGACTCGGAATCTTTCCATGCTCTAAGAGGAAGCCCAAAGCTATCTCAGTAACACCCTCCCCCAGCACCAGCCTGCGCCGCCAACTGTAAGCACCGGGCTGGTGGGCAAGCGGGTGGCCCGACCCCTGGCCCGCCCAGCCTGCAGCTAAGCCGGTGCCGAGTCCCGCACGCTGGCGGCCAAGGGTATGCGGGCACGGGCTCTGCAGCCGCTCCAGTCGGGCTTGTAGGGCGGCTCAGGTTGCTGGGGCTCCCGTGGGCAGGGGCTTGGCAAGAATGGGGACTCGGGGTCTCTGCAGAGTGGGGCTTGTGGCCTGCAGGCGGCGGGGCGGGCCCTCTGCCCGTCCTGGGGTGCCGCGGTCATGGGTGTGCCAGCCCAGAAGATGGCATGGCCAGGGCTGAGGCCCTCACGGGGTCTGACCCTGGCGTGAAGGTACCGAGAAGGGCATCTAAAGGGCCAGGCCCTCCTTTGCAACGACACCGGCGACTGGACACTCGGGCCACAGGCAGGACTCGGTGCCCAGTCCAGGCGTCTGGGGAGGGCCCGGGCCCAGCCTGCACATTAGCTTGGCCGCTGGGCCTACCCCACCTGCTGCCGTCAGCACCTGCCCGGCTGCTCCGGCAGTGGCCACGTCCTGCCTCTCGGAACTGCCCGGCAAGTGCCCAGCTTCACGTCAGTTTTGTAAACCTGGTATGAGCGCAGGGGCAGGCGGGCGACGTGCCGGGCAGCTCTGCTTTTCCAGGCGTCTGCGTGGGAACCGAGGAAGCTCGACCTGAAGCAGACAGCCCCACAGCGGCCCGCGGGGATGCCGGGGGCAGCTCAACAGAACAAACAGGAAGCCCAGGAAAGTGGAATGAGGATCAGTCTTTTATTTGTCGCGAACGCTGCGCGGAGGCGGAGCTGGCTGGACAGGGCCTCGGGGGTGGGGGCGCGCCGACAGGCCTGGCCTGGCCTGCATGGCAGGGGAGGTGCCCAGGAGGAGCCAGACCCCAGGCCCTGGGGCAGGTGGGGTCCACGGCCGGAGAGGCAGTGCCGGCCCGGCACGCGCTCTGGGGAGGTGAAGAGCGGCGCCCCCGGGGGAGAGCCCTCTGGGGGCCCTGCGTCCCGCCCACTGGTGCTTACGTTGCTGTCCAGGCCCTCGATGACCTCGATGCCGTTGTGGCTGAGGTAGAGCTCCCGCAGGTTCACCAGACCCTGCAGCCCCTCGATCTTGGTCAGCCGGTTGCTCTGCAAGATGGCGGCCAGGCCCCGTGAGGCGCGGGGCCGCAGGAGGCTCCAGCCCCTCCCCCTATCCACCATGCGGGCCCGCGGGCGGGAGGGGGCCGGGCCCCGCAGCCCACCTGCACGCTGAGCACGGTCAGGCAGGACAGCGCGTCCAGGTTCTGCAGCTTCGTGATCTTGTTCTTCCCCAGGAACAGGCTCTCCAGGCCAGTGAGCGCGTCGATGTTCTCGATGGCCTGGGGCGGACGAGGCGTGGGTGAGGCCGGCCGTGGCCTCTCCCGGGGGATCCGGGGACCGCAGGCCCAGCCCCAGCCGATGCCGCATGGGCAGGGCTCAGTGGCCGACCCCCAGGTGCCTCGACTCCGCGGGAGGGCGACGCAGGCTGCCGGGCGTGGGCCCCGCTGGACAAGGTCTCCCTAGTGGACCCCAATGGCCGCGGGGCAGGTCCGGGAGGGTGGGACTGGGCCCACCCTCTGCGCTGCCACCTGCCCTGCCTGTGACCCGCCCGCCACGCCGCCCCTGCCCTGCCAGGGCCTCCGCTGATGCTGCAGTACCGGGCCCGGGTAGCAGCCCTCCTCCCCGGCCTTGGCCTCCTGGGTCAGGACTCGGACCGCTCGCCTCTCCCCGCGGTGCCCGCTCGGGGGCGGCCGCAGTCACGGGCAGGGGACCCACCCGGATGCGGTTGGAGCCCAGCTCCAGCATTTGCAGCTGCCGCAGGCTGCTCAGGTTCTCAATCTTGCTGATCTTGTTGTTGACCAGGAAGAGCTTCTTCAGCTGCGTCAGCTGCTCGACCCCCTCGATGCTCCGCAGCAGGTTGAAGGACACGTCCAGGACCCTGGGGCGAGGGCGCGGCGCTCAGGCGGTGTCCGCAGGGCAGGTGGAGGGCACGGGCTAGGGCTGCCCGCAGCGGCGTGGGGGGAGGGGGGGCTTGCAGGGCTGGGGCGGGCCGGGACTCACTCCAGCTCCGTCAGCGCCTCCAAGTTCTCGATCTTCTTGATCTGGTTGTCATACAGGTCCAGCTCCCGCAGGCCGCGCAGCCCCTCCAGGTTCTCGATGCACTTGATCAGGTTTTGACGAAGGCAAAGCGTCTGCGGGAGAAGGGGTCGTCGAGTCGGCATGGGGGGGGGCGTGCCTGTGGACAGAGCACTGGGGCCCCACTGAGGACACTGCGGGGCCCAGGCAGGGCTGCCACCTCCCGCTGGGCAGGGCGGGTGGCTGAGGAGCCTGCGGGCTGGAGGAGCAGGGCTGGCGGGCACACAAGGGTGGGGGCTGGGGCTCGGCCAGGAGCACGGCACGGGGGCTGCCCAGGACAGGGCAGCTGCTCACCTTCACCTTCTTCAGCACCTCGAACCCCTCGATCCTCCCGATGCGGTAGTGATTGAGATCCACATCCTGGAACAGAGCGGGACGGCGACCGCGAGGGCCTTTAGTGTCCTCTGACTCCTGGTGGCTTCACACTACGCTGGCCCCAGAACAGCCCCGCCCGCCCTCTGGTGTCCTCCGCATACGCACGCCGAGGGGGTTCCGCCCCAAGCACCCACGTGACACACAAGCGGGTGGCAGTTCACTCGCCAGGCGCCCCGGTGGTTACACAGAGAGGGTGTCATCGCTTGTGTTAATCGGAGCAGGGAAGCCCGGGGCCAGGCCCACGTCTCGCGGGAACTCGCCCACTGACCCGGCACTTTCACAGGTGACCTGGGCTCTGGTGGCCGGTCCAGCCCAGCTCACCCCGGGGCCCGGTCCTGAGTGTGCCCTTACCTCAGCGTCTTTGTCCAGGCTAATGGTTTCCATGTCCACAGGCAGCGCCTGTCCTTCTGGCAGAACAAGAAGAAAAGCCCACTCAGCGCCCCCACCCCCCCCATCCTGGGCAGAGCCCCAGCCAGCCTGATGGGGCCGAGCATGCACAGGCCGGGGCGCACAGAGCGCCCCTCCAACTCAGGCTCCCAGCTTCCTGTGTCCAGCTACCAGCCACAGTCTGCAGGCTTCTGCTGCACCCCAAACCCCAGAACTGGCGGGGACGGAGGGAGCGGGCGGCCGAGCAGGCCCTCATGCCCCGGCTGTGGCGATAAATCAGGCCGTGTGAATTCAGGTCGAGCAGGCGAGCCCTCCGACATAGCAGTCCCGCCCCAGATCAGGCAAGGACACGCCCAGGCCCGCGCCAGTCATTCTGCACCGGGCAGCAGGCGGGTGGGCAGGTGGGGGGGGTCTGCCAGCTTCTCGGGCCGTGTGGGTGGGCGCTCACACGTCTGGCAAAACAAGCTCACGCGCAGGCCGTGAGCAGCGGCCTGAACGTCCTTGCGACAGTCCAGGCCCCGGGGAACAAAGCGTGAGGCGGTCTGACTTGAGACAAACTTGTCAATCCAGGCCGGGGCATGGCAGGCCGCCTGGACCAGGGGGCCCCCAGGCGCCCCAACCCTGCGGCTCTATAGCACACCCGACGGGCGCTTCGGGGCGTTCTCTGCGCCTCAGACTAGGTTGCCGTGGTTACCACGGCACAAGGAGCACGGTGCTATTTTGGAAATGAGCTTTTTGACAAACTCGCTCAGTATCATTAAAACCAGACACAATTATCATTGCCTCAAAACCCAAACGTTCTACACAAGCCCGGAAACTCGCAGCCCAAGGCCCCTCAGCCGCTTCGTGCTGCGCCCCCTCTGCCCGCACCTGGGCACACCTGCCACACGCGCCTCCTGACCAGGACGGTCTCAGCCGCCCGCCCCCACGCGTCGCCCCACTGAGTTCTGTCTCGGCAGGTGACACACGCCTTCTAGTCAATTCTTCAGCCCGTCCACGGACTGTTTCTTTTCAACATAAACTGGTTTTCTAGGCAAAAACCCCAAAAGGCCCGGGCTGCGGTGGGCAAGGCCGCGCCCTGCTGGAATGAAGCGGCTTTCCTAGCCTCTAAGGGATTCGGAGCTGGGCTCAGGCCGGGCCCGCGGAGCCACGGCACCCACAGGCGCTCTGGGTCAGTGGGGGCGGCCTGCCCGAACCCACAGAGGCCCCTGCCCTCAGACGGTACCTTCTGGGTCCTCCTCCCTCTGCTCCTGCTCCTCCCTGTCGTGCAGGCTCTGCTGGCTGAGCTCGGACACAATCCCGCGGTTCGGCTGCGTCCCCCCTTCGTCTCCAGACTCCTCGGACTCCACCCGCCTGTCAACTGAAGGCGGCAGTGAGAGCTCGTACCCGCTCCGGGGCGACCCCGGCATGACGCGAGACCTCCGTCGGCACACCCGTGCGGGCCCCCTCAGAACACCCGGGCTGACGCGCCCGCACCACCAGGGGTGGACAGTGGCGGGGGCTTGGGGCGGTGGCAGACACCGGTGCAGCGTCGAGACCTGGGTCCTGCCCTTGAGAACCGGCCGGCGGGATCCTGGGAGCCCTGGTCGCCCCTCCGCCCGTGACCCTCGCCGAGGGACGCTGCGGCCATCGCCGCACTCCTTCGTCCGGGCTCCCCCAGCCCCCTGGCTGCGAGAGCCCGTGTGCCACAGCCCGGTCTTGAGAGGGATCAGAAGCCGCTCAGATCAGGCTGCGGGAGCTCTGTGGGGGCCCCCAGGCCTGGGAAAGCACGGCCGGAGCTCAGGGCACCGAGGCCAACTCAAGCCTTGAGCCAGACTGTCAATAATTCCCGCCTTCTGCATTTTTGGGGAAATGTGCGAGACCCAAGGACGGACAGAGCACTTGGGCTCACGAGGCCCAGGCCTGCAGGGGTGCGCTCTGCGGGGGCACAGGGCACTGGGGGCGCCAGGACGTCGCATCCAGGCCGAGGAAACGGGGAGACTTCTGAGGGCCGCGGAGGGTCCGGGCAGAGGCAGCAGGTAGGGTGACCGGCGCTGGGGCAGGGAACACCCGGGAGGGAGGCGGGTCAGGCGCGGGGGGCGGAGGCGCAGGGCTCGCTGGGGGGCGCGGGAGGCTGCGGCGTGGGCTGGAGAGCGAGCGGGCGCTGGGGCTCCCCCCACCCCAGAGGCCGCACTCCCGCAGGGCCGGGGCCCGCAGGCGCCACCCCCGCCGCCCAACGCGCGGCCGGGCCCAGGCCGGGGGCCGGGCGGGGCCTGGGGGCCGGGTCGGGCGAGCGGACGCCGGCGGCGGCGCGACAGCTGCGAGCACCGGCGCCGCCGCCCCGGGCCCGCCGCCCCTCGCCGCCGGCCGCCCGGCCCCCGGGTCAGGCTCCGCGCGCCGGCGAGGCCCGGCCCGGCCCGGCGCACCTCCCGGCCGCAGCTGTCAGCGGGCGCCCCGCCCCGGCCGCCGCCCCCGGCCTCACCCTCCATCATCTCCTGCGACTGTTGCTGGCCCGCGCCGTGCTCCGCCGCCATGTTGGCTGCTCTTCCCTTCCGGATCTGTCGCCCCAGCCCTCAGCCAATCGGGCTCCGCGCCCCAGCCCGTCCTGCCAATGGAGCCCCAGCGCCGGCCCCGGGCGCCCTACGCGCCTGCGCGGCCCCAGCGCCTCATGGGAGTTGTAGTCCGCCCGCGAGGCCCGCCGCCCGGGACCGCTGCCGCCCGCCGCGGCTCCCCGGCGGGTACAGTGACAGCGCGGCCCCGGGCGTCCGGAGGCGGCGGCGGGCGGGCAGCGGGGCCAGGGGAGGCCAGAGGCGGGCGCGGCCGGGCTAGGCTCTGCGCGGGGCTGCGGAGGGCTGTTCCCCGGCCCTGGGCGGGCAGGCGCGCCCGGGCTCAGGGCCAGCGAGGCCGCGTCCCACCCAGCTCCCGGGGAGCGCCTCGGCCCCGCGGCCCCCGCCGTCAGGGTGAGGCCGCCGAGCGGCGAGCTCCGCGCTGCTCAGCCTTCCGGTCCCGACCCGAGGAAACGGCGACCGCCGGCCGTGAGGGGCAGCCCGCCGGTCTCTTTTGGCCCCTCCGAGGCGCCGTAGGCGGAGTCCGGTGCGTCCCTAGCAACGGTCAGCGCGGGCCTCTCAGCCAGAGCTCTTGAGTCCCGCCCACCGGTGCCGGTGGTTGGCCCACTCTCCTGCCAATCGGCGAGAGCTGCTCTGCGGTTGGCCGGCGTTGGAAGCGCCGTTCTCCTTCCCGCGGCGGGAAAGAGCTGAGCCGGGGACCTGCGCGCCCGGGAGAGGCCGGCTCGGGAGGGCAGCCCGGCGGGTCGCGACCCCGCGCGGCCGTTGGCCCAGCGCGCCGTCCTCTCGCCCGCACCGACGGCCCTCGGGGCCGCTCATCACCGGGGCAGCCCCTGCCGGAAGGTGAGCCGGGCGCGCGCGAGGCCGGCCCGCCCGCACCGCAGCAGGGCAGCCCGCGGCCCTGACCCCTCGCCCCCGCCGGCGGCCAGCGGCCCTGCCCCTCCCTCCTGGGCCCTGCCCCTCCCTCCTGGGCCGGCGGCCCTGCCCCTCCCTCCTGGGCCGGCGGCCCTGCCCCTCCCTCCTGGGCCGGCGGCCCTGCCCCTCCCTCCTGGGCCGGCGGCCCTGCCCCTCCCCCTGGGGGCCAGCGGCCTGCCCTCCCTCCTGGGCCAGCGGCCCTGCCCCTCCCTCCTGGGCCAGCGGCCTGCCCCTCCCTCCTGGGGGCCAGCGGCCCTGTCCCCTCCCTCCTGGGCCAGCGGCCCTGTCCCCTCCCTCCTGGGCCAGCGGCCTGCCCCTCCCTCCTGGGCCAGCGGCCTGCCCCTCCCTCCTGGGCCAGCGGCCCTGTCCCTCCCTCCTGGGCCAGCGGCCCTGTCCCCTCCCTCCTGGGGGCCAGCGGCCTGCCCTCTGCCTGCCTGTCTGCGCCAGGCTCCCTTCTTCGCCAGGCTGGGCACTGGCTGACCTGGACATTTGCCTTTCTCCCTGCATCGCTCAGTGAACAGGTGTCAGCTCCACCTGGGGTTTCTCAAGGGCTCCTGTGCCCCGTCCCGACTTTCCCGGCACTGCTTGGCGCTAAGATCTGCTGGGGTTGGCATCCCCCAGTCACTCTGGAAGGGTCTTTGAGAAGGTTCTGTAGGCGCACGGCGTCTGCGAGTCCGTCTTGGGGTGGAGTTGGTCAGGGCTGAGGAGGCCCCGAGGTGCTGGCCTTACCTGTCCAGCTCCTGCCCTGCCCGGTGGGCCCAGCTGCCCCGGGGCGTGTGGGGATTCACCTGCAAGGGTCTCCGCTTTGCTTGGGGGGCTCAGTTGCACTGGTGCCTCTTCCCAAGAGCCTGGGCTGGCCTGCGCCCTGAGGGCGCCCTTCTCGCATCCTGGCCAGCGTTCCTGCAGCCGCCTCATGTCCACTGTCTCCGAGGAAGGTCGTGTTGCCGAGGTCCAGAGGAAGCAGGCTTACAGCCTCGGCCAGTGATCCCGCACAGCCATGCGCTGTGCTGCTGCCCAGCCTGGCCCTCCTGAGGGCTGGCCACTCCCGGCTGTCCCCTGCTCTGTGCTCTGGCTGGAGGAGGACGGTGCTCTGGGGGACTCCCCGTGTGGCACCCACGGGCTCAGAAGCTGCCTGCGAACCCCTGCTACTGTCTGGCTGAGGGCTTCCCTCACCCTGGGAGATGGGCACTTTGGAGCTCCACCCAGAGCCCACGGCCACCCCAGACCCTTAGCCTGGCCAGGCCCTGCTGCTCGGCCTCTGTCTCGTGAGGCCCATTGGGGAAGAGGCGCTGGAGGCGGGAGCAGGAGGCCCGGCCTGGGCTCCACACCGGCCCCCACCAGCAGAGGGGTGTGGGCCCCCCAGACGGTGCTGGACTGCTGTCCTGCAGGCGGCCCCCAGGAGGGCGCTTGGTGGAGGGAACAGGGTTCGCTGCTTTTCCCCCTCTCCGTGTACAGACGTGCCGGCATCTGAAAGTCCAACGCCGAGAACAAGGGAAACCCGCCGCGCCAGGCGTCCTCTCGACCCCTGGGTCAGATCCCGTGGCCACGCGCGGCTGCTCCGCTGGCAGCTACAGCGGCGGTTCTGGGGCGTCTGGTCCCCAGAGTTGGGAGGGCCCTCTCCCAGGGCTCCCCCCCGCCTGCTTTCAGCCGGGCCTGCCCTTTCGGCTCTCCCCTCCCCAGGCCTCCCTGGCGTCTACCGGAGAGGCTGACCCAGAGCAGCCGGGTCCGGCCGGGAGCCACTGGGCTCAGCCTCTGGGCGGGGCTGATGGCTGCAGCACGCCCGAATCGGGACGCCACCCACTCGCTCTCTTCCAGGTGACGCGGGCCCCGTGCCGCCCTTCCCCATGGAGGACAGCGGCCTGCCGGCTGCGGGCGGGGAGCAGGGGGAGCTGGGCCAGAGCCTGCTGTCGCCGGTGCCCACCGAGCGCCCTGCTGCGCCTAGCAGGTCCTTGCCGCTGGCCCACAGGCCCCTGAGCAGGAGGCACGGGCTCACCAAGCTGTGCCAGAGCAGGATGACACTCTCAGGCAAGCGCCCGCCCCCTCGCGGAGCCCCCACAGGGCAGGCCCCGCCGGCTGTGCCCCCAGGGTTGGGCTGGACGGCAGGGGTGGGTAGCCCCACTTTTTGTTTCTGCGCAGTGGGTGCGCCTGGAGCCTGGCCACAGCGAGGGAGAAAGCTCTGCCTTTGGGGGCTTGACTGCAGGGGCATGCTTGAAGTTGGGGGGTCTGAACACCAGATGCCTGTTGGACACAGGGGAGATGGCTGGGGCCACGGTGGGGGTTGGAGCTCACGGCATGGGGAGCTGAAGGGCCGGGCGCGTTCAGAGGGTCCCCGGAGGCGGCGGCTGGGCCGGCCAGTGTGGACGGGACGGCTGGGGCACATGGGCAGTACCGGAGGTGAGCGGTGACTGGAGGCTGCTGCGAGCCTGAGCCCGGCCCAAGCTCGTGGGGGGCCCAGCTGAGCCGGCTGGGAGGAGGGGGGCCGGGGCAGCAGCTAGCTGGCCGAGCGGCGTCCAGCCTCCGAGGAGGGGCCGGGGAGGCCACAAATTGAGAAAATTGGGGAACTCTCAGGTGGACATGGGAGTGGGGGCAGGTTTGCTGTTTTGAGCTGCTGAGGCTGGGCTGGGCCGGGGCCGGGGCTGGGCTGGGCTGGGCTGGGCTGGGCTGGGCTGGGCTGGTGCTGGGCTGGGCTGGGCTGGGCTGGTGGGGGCTGGGCTGGGGGGCTGGGCTGGGCTGGGCTGGCTGGGGGCTGGGCTGGGGGGCTGGGCTGGGCTGGGCTGGGCTGGGCTGGGGCTGGGGGCTGGGCTGGGCTGGGCTGGGCTGGGCTGGGCTGGGCTGGGGCTGGGCTGGGGCTGGGCTGGGCTGGGCTGGGCTGGGCTGGGCTGGGGCTGGGCTGGGCTGGGGCTGGGCTGGGCTGGTGCTGGGCTGGGCTGGGCTGGGCTGGGCTGGGCTGGGCTGGGCTGGGGCTGGGCTGGGCTGGGCTGGGCTGGGGCTGGGCTGGGCTGGGGCTGGGCTGGGCTGGGCTGGGCTGGGCTGGGCTGGGCTGGGCTGGGCTGGGGCTGGGCTGGGGCTGGGCTGGGCGGGGCTGGGCTGGGCTGGGCTGGGCTGGGGCTGGGCTGGGCTGGGCTGGGCTGGGCTGGGCTGGGCTGGGCTGGGCTGGGGCTGGGCTGGGCTGGGCTGGGCTGGGCTGGGGCTGGGCTGGGCTGGGCTGGGCTGGGGCTGGGCTGGGCTGGGCTGGGCTGGGCTGGGCTGGGCCGGGGCTGGGCTGGGCTGGGGCTGGCTGGGTGTGGGAGGGGCCAGGGGGCCAGTGTGTGCGCTGGGTTAGGCAGGGTGGGGGGGTTCTTGCCACCACAGAAGGGTGGGGGCGGAGCATTGGTCTTGGGGCATCCTGGCAGAGGCCAGGGGTGAGGAGCATGGAGTCAGTGGACAGGATGGGAAAGCTGGTTTCTGGGAGCAGTGGGGGCAAACCTGGGGGTGGTGAGAAGGGGTTCGGGGGAGGGGAGTGGACCTCGCAAGGGCTTCTGAATGAGGGGCTCCCCAGGGTGGGTGGGCTCAGCAGTGGGGGGCGCCGAAGTGTGCCCTGGTGGCCCCAGCCTCCCTTTCTTTCCAGAAGACCGCTGGAGCTCCTACTGCCTGTCCTCGCTGGCGGCCCAGAACATCTGTGCCTGCAGGCCGCTGGGCCCCCCCACGCCTGAGCAGGCTGACCAGGGGGGCTCGCTGGCCAGCACGTCCTGCTGCTCGCTGCTGCGGGGCCTGTCCTTGGGCTGGCCGGCGCCCCTGCTGCCCACCCCGGCGTGCAACCCCAACAAGGCCGTGTTCACCGTGCACGCCAAGACCACGGAGGTGCCCACCCCGGGCAGGCCAGGCGTGCAGGGGGCTTGGGCTCAGAGACGCATCCGGTGTCCTCCAGCAGCTGCTTGGGTTTTGGGGACCTGGACGGAGCCCATCAAAGCAGACGGCCAGACAGGGGTTCAGGGCAGGCGTTTGTGGTGGGAGGGGGTGTCGACGGCCGTCAGGCTGGGTTCTCCGGGGTTGCCAGGCGCCCTTGAGCCCATGGTCAGGCCAGGGACCTGAGTCACACACACCCCTGTCCAGGGGGCAGGCCCGAGGAGGGGAAGCTGGTGCGGCCTCTTCAGTGCCTGAGGCCCGTGTCTTGGGTTTCTCATACTCACCCCGAATTTCAAACACACGAGTGAGCATTTGAAGTGTGGGGGGTAAGGGGAGTAAGAAAGGTCAGTGGCCCTGCTGCCGGGTTGCTGGACCGGCCAGGACCTCCTGGTGTGGTGGCAGGACCTGGGCGCTGGGGCGGGGCAGGGGTCCTGGGTGGAGCAGGGCCCAGCCGTCCCTTGCCGCGGCTGCATCTTCCGACGTGGGCGGAGGCGTCCTGCGCGTCTCTGTCTGAGGGTGGGGCCGCCTGCTCGGAGGCGGTGGGCGAGCTCACGGGGTCATGGGCTCTGTCCCAGGCGTGCTGAGCCCGCCGCCGCAGAGCTCGGGAGGGCATCTGGGCCGCCGCCGCTCTGGGGGCCAGCGCAGCCCTCTGTGCCGTCCCCCCAGATCCTCGTGGCCAACGACAAAGCTTGCCGGCTTCTGGGCTACAGCAGCCACGACCTGATCGGCCAGAGGCTCACGCGGTTCTTCCTGAAGCCGGACCCCGAGGTGGTGCAGGCCCTGAGCGAGGAGCACGTGGAGGCGGACGGCCACGCCGCGGTGGTGTTCGGCAGCGTGGTGAGCGCCCCTGGGGCCGGCGCGGCGGGGCCGTCCTCGCCGAGGCCGGGCTGTGGGCGGCGGGCTCCGGCGGCCGTTGTGGAGCGAGCAGGGCCCCGGGCCCCGGCGTCGGCCCCAGTCAGCCCGCTGTGCCGCAGGTGGATGTCGTGAGCCGCGGCGGGGAGCGGGTGCCGGTGTCCGTGTGGATGAAGAGGGTGCGGCGGGAGCAGCGCCCGTGCTGCGTGGTGGTGCTGGAGCCGGTGGAGCGGCTGTCGGCCTGGGTGGCCTTCCACGGCGACGTGAGTGCTGGCCGCGCCGTGCCCTGGGCTGCCTGGCGGCCGGGCGGGGCGGGGTGCGGCTCTGCCCTGGCGGGGAGCCCGGCTGGACACCCCCACCTCACGCCCGCTCGCCGCAGGGAACCATCACAGCGTGTGACGGCCTCTTCGCCCGCCTGCTCGGCTTCGCGTGCGCGGAGGACGCGGCCGGACAGCGCATCACGGAGCTGATCCCTTCGCTGCAGCTCCCCAGGCCCGGGGGACTCGTCCCGCAGGTAGGGCGGCCCCAGCTCCACGCTCCGGCTGCTGGGCTGGAGGATGTGGGGCTTGGGGCGGCCCTCGGGTCCCCTGCAGCCCCCCAGCGCAGGTACCCGTCTCCCAGCGGCAAGTGGCTGTCATGCCGGAGGCCTGACTCCGGGGTGGAGACTTACTCCTGGGGCCAGAGCCCGGGGCTCCCCGCAACGGCCACGAGTCCCCTGCAATGGCCCCACGAGCAGCCCCGCCTTCCCCCCAGAGTCTCAGGATCCAGAGGTCTGTCGGGAGAGCCACAGACGGCACCACCTTCCCCCTGAGCCTGAAGCTGAAGCCTGCGCCCAGCGGCGAGGGGGCGGCGGGCGGCGGGGCCCCCCCGGGCGGCTACTCGGCCTCCGTCTGGGTGTTTTCCACCATCAGCGGTCTCATCACTCTCCTCCCCGACGGCACCATCTATGGCATCAACCACAGCTTCGCGCTGATGCTGTTCGGCTACGGGAAGGCTGAGCTCCTGGGCAAGGTGGGCCGGTGGGCGGTGCCACGGGAGGGCTCAGGACCCCAGGGCCAGGTGTTCGCCGGCCTCCTGCCCTGGTCCCAGTTTTCTCCTGACTCCTTTGATGCAGAGGGGGGTGCGTCCCCATATGCCCAACCCAGGTACCGGCTGACCAGTCTGCCCGGCTGCCCCGCAAAGGGGTCGCCACAGGCGCAGGCTTCCCATGCCACACCCAGGTGTTGGGCTCCAGATGGGCCCTTGGGCCAAGCAGAGTGGGGGGGGTCACTCACTCCACACCGGGGTCTCCGCATGCCTGGGTTCCCCTCTGTGGTGGTCCCGTGGCTCCCAGGGCGCGAGGGGCTGATGTGGGTGCTCCCCACCTGGGCCGACCCCAGCCGGGGACAGCCTGCTGGGGCTGTGGCCTTGGGGGGCCCTGGAATGGGCCCCGGGTTCTCCACAGAAGCCCCAGAGGCTGCAGGCTGGAGGGCATGGAGCAGACCGAGCGGAGGGCGTTCAGGGGTGCGGTGGACACGCTCTGGGGGCAGGTGGGGCTGGCCTGGGTGATAGGACAGGGTCCGTGGACACTCGCAGGGACTGGGGCCCTCCCGTGGAGGCTTCTGCGACCTCCGTGCCCCTGCCGGGGTTGCCCAGCCTGCTGCGGAGTGGGGCTGCAGACTGGGCGCGTGGGAGGTGCCAATGGGGCTTGGGCCTGGCAGGCAGGGGCCCGGCCAGGGCGAGGCTTGGATGGGGTGTGGACAGGGCTCGGAGGGGCGTGGCAGGGGCTGACGCGCGATTGTTTCCCAGAACATCACCTTCCTGATTCCCGGCTTCTACGGCTGCATGGACTTCAGCTATGATGGCTCCCTGGCCCTGCCGGACCTGACCAACAGCCTGGACACTGAGGATCAGGGTGTGCCAGAGGAGAGAGCCGCCCACCCCCTGCCAGGCTGGTGCCTTGCCGAGGCAGCCCAGGGTGAGGCCCTCCCGCACCCCGCCCCAGCATGACCCCCCTCTCCTGGCCCCATGCCGGCCCCTCACGACCCCCGCGATTCCCTGTGCTGCCCAGAGGGCCACGGGGGTCAGGCTGGGGCCGCTGTCCTGCAGCTGGAGACTGGGCAGCTGAGGGTCACGCTCTGCTCGAGCCACTGGGTTCTGCTGGTCAGGTGCAGCCCCAGACCCCCAGAGCGAGAACAGAGGTCCACGGTGGCCAAGAGGAGCTGGATTCAGGACAGGCCTGGTGGTGGTCACTGAGACAAGAGGACTGAGTGTGACATCGCCACCAGGTCCTCCTGCCCGCCTCGTGCTCGCCAGTGACCCAGATCGGCCTCCAGCCGAGACCCTGCAGCCTGTGGGAAGCCAGGGAGCCTTGACCGGGACCCAGGCCCACACGGACCACGGGGGCCACCCTGACGCCCCCCTGTTTGCACCCGCCCCGGGGTAAGTGTTCGTGGGAGGGGGTTGGGCAGCAGAGACGTCCTTCTGGGTGGGGGCAGCAGCAGCACAGGCAGAAGGTGGGTGTAGAGGCCTGCCTGCCAGCAAGGGCTCGCCCCTGGCCTGCCCCGCCCCTGCCCAACCTCTCAGCGCCTCCCAGACGTCCTGGCTCCCAGGTCTGGAGACTCAGCTGGACCGCAGAGAGTGGACGCCAGCGCACTTTTCTCATGAGTCATTTGAATGTTCTCTGGGTTTTCAGCGGCGCCGCCTGCCCTTTGGAGACACCATTGATGGGGGTGGGAGGAGGGGTGCGGGGTGGGGCCCGGGCCCCCAGCTTGGCCATGCTGCCGCGCTCGGCTGCCTCTGTGTGTTTTCGAGGAGTTTTCTCTTTTTCAAAGCCGTCTCTGGTGCTTCACCTGAGGCCGGGCAGACCCCGCAGGGCAGCTCTGCCTTGCCCCGGCCTCCCGGGGTCAGCCCCTGGCTGGCCCTCCCATCCGACGGTGTTTCCCGTCATCTGAAATCACTGGTGCTGCTTGTCACGGCCGGCCCAGGCGCCGCGGCACCCCCCCCTTCGCTGTCCCTCTGGAGCCAGGACCCACCCTGAGCGCCCAAGGGGTGCCTCCTGCGCGCGGGCTGCGTGAGTGCCCGCGCACGCGCTTCTCGAGGCCCGTCTGCTCCGTGGCCTCTGCCACGCTCGTGCCAGCGCTGTGGCTCCCGCGTGTTCCCTGTGGGCGGCTCCTGCAGGGCCTTTCCAGGCTGACCACTGGCTGCCTCTGGGGCCGGTGGGCGGCGGGACTGGTCTGTCCGCCGTGCCTGTCCAGGGCACTGGCTCAGAGGGGCTCCCCGAGCCTTGGCTGTGCGGTGAGGGACGCACGATGCCTGCGCCCTGCGCTTGCCTGGGTCACGCCTGGGAGGAGCCGCCCCATGCGCTAGGGCTGGACCCGTTCCCGGCCGTCTCCCGTGGCTGCGGCCTGGGCTGGGGCCAGCAAGTGCTGTGAGTCTGTAAGACCCCAGGCTCGTGGGCGAGGTGCCGGGGCGGCAGGCGGGCGGGCGGGCGGGCAGCACACGCTGCAGGACGTGGCTTGGAGAGTGGGGGTGGAGACTGCGCTCGAGCCTCTGGCCTGTGCTTGTCTGCGTGTGGGAGGCCCCGCACCCCCTCGACTCCTACAGCACCCATTACCACCCCAGGGCGGACGGCCTGCCTGGAGGGAGCCCCCCGGCCCGGGGCGGGTGGACGGCAGTGGAGAACCAGCAGCAGCGCACAGCCCGGGGTGATGTTGAGCCCCCAGCGCTGGGACGAGGCGGGCCTGGCCCCACCGGCTCTCCGGCTGGTTCTGAAAGCCTAGCCCTCACCGCAGCCGGCAGCTGGCATGTACACACGCCCAGGGCCTGGACAGGCCTCAGCAGGGCCGACAGCCCCGAGCCCGGGCCCCACACCGCTGGCCAGCTGACGGGACCCAAGGTCCAGGGGGACACGCGTCAGGGAGGCCCAAACCTGGCCTCTGGGGAGCTCCCCGGGGCCTCCGCCCCGCTGTCGCCCTGTGGCCCGGGCAGCAGGGAACTGCAGAGCAGCCGCGCGGGCAGCTCCTCGGCCTGCTACGCCAGGGCCATGGACCTTCCCGGGGCGCCCGACCCTGCGCCAGTCCAGGACGCTGGCCTGCTCTCCCTCTCCTGGCACCTGAGGGAGCTGTACTCCAGCGGGCCGGCCAAGCTGCCCCGGGCGCCCTCGCCTCCGCAGGCTGGCCCTGACGTGGACGTGGGCGAGCCGGATGCCCCTCGGGACAGGGAGCGCCTCCTGCTGAGCACCTACTTCCAGCTGCCCGGGGTCCCGCGGGGGCTCGAGCGGGCCCCCTCTCCCGAGGCCGGCCAGGCCAGCGGCAGCAGGGAGGGGCCGAGGATGGACGTGCAGGCCACCTCCACGCCGGTGCGGGCAGCCAGCCCGCCGCCCCCCGGGGCCACCAACCCCTCGCGGGAGATCCAGGAGGGCACCTTCGCCGGGTGCTGTTTCCACCGGGACGGCTCACAGCTGAGTACGCCAGGTGCCCCGCCGGCGGGAGGACACTCCATGGGCGGTGGGCGGCCCCCCTAGCCGGGCCACGCCTCGCAAGGGCCTGGGCAGTGTGGCTGAGGGCGCCTGGTGCTGGGCCCTTCGCCCTTGGGCTGGGCCTTGCTCTGTGTCCTTCTGGCTGCGTGGGGTCTGGCTGGGTGTTCATCATGCTCATGGCCGGGGCCTCCCCAGGGCTAGGACACAGGCGGGAAGGGCCGGTAGGGTCTCTGAGAGCCCATCCCAGAGGCCGCCACCGCTGGTGTCAGCACCAGGAGCTCGGCTGCCGGGGTGGGGGGTGAGGGGTGGGGGAGGCAGGCGCCCCCTGCAGGGGGGTTCTGGTTCTCATGGGCAGTTGGGGGGCCTCCCACGGGCTTCCCTCTGCTGGCCCTGGGCCCGCCCCCGCGATGCAGGGCAGGCGCTGACACCAGCCCCCCCAGGTGTGCAGTTCGAAGTGAGGCGCGTGGAGCTGCAGGGCGCCACCACCCTCTTCTGCTGCTGGCTGGTGAAGGACTCGGCTGCCCGCACCCGCCTGCTGCTGGCCAGCCTGCCGGGCTCGTCCCTGTCCACATGGGAGCCGCCCATGTCCAGCCCGGGCGAGGTCGGTGCTAGCACAATAGGGGGCTTATCCGCCCGGTCCCCATGGCCGTGTGTGGGTTTGGTGGGTGAGCCCTGCATGCCGGTGGGGGGATGCGTCCGCCAGGCGCCCAGTGCAGGGCGAGGACACAGGGTTGGGCGATGGCTGCGCTCTGCCTGGGCCCTCAGACGCTGCTGCCTCCGCAGGTGCTCCGGGCCAGGCCCTGGTTTGAGGAGGTGCCTGCGGCGGCTGCGGGGCTGGAAGGGCTGGCGGCCTGGGAGGGCGCCTACTCCCTCAAGTACAGCACGCAGAGCCCGTTGGGCAGCGGAGCCTTTGGCTTCGTGTGGACGGCGGTGGACAAGGAGGCGAACAGGGAGGTACTTGACCCCACCACCGCGCAGCGGCCAGCCCTCAGTGGTGCGGTCAGGGCGGGCTGGGGGCGTCAGCGTCATGGGTGGGCTCGGGACTGGGCTTAGGCCCGGGGCCAGGGCTCCAGGCAGCGCGTGCGGGTGGCGCCGGCCCACCCGGCCCCGCTCTGATGTCGGCCATACCCGGGGCCGGCAGCCCAGCCACTCTTGCCTCCGCGCCCGGCAGCCTGGGCCTCACACCTCCCGCCAGGCCCACTGGGACTGGCCCGTGGCGATGCCGCCCGTCCCAGGCAGCGGCCCTGAGAGCGCTGGCTGCGGGGACGCAGTGCGCCCTTGTCTCCCTGCCCCGTCCCTGCATGTCCTGCCTCTGCCCTCCTCCCGCACCCGCCTGGCCCCCCTGGCCACAGCCCCTCCGCCTCCTCCCGGGCAGAGCCTTTGGGCTGAGGGCACTGCCTCCAGCTCGCTGGCTGCCTCTGCAGGGTGCTTTGGCGAGGACCTCTCCTCCTCCCTGGCCGCTGCAGCCCCTCTGCCTGGCCCAGACTCAGATTTGGCCGCGCCCCACGCGCCCCAGTGTGGGCCCGTGCTGGCCATTCCCGGGGTGCTCCGGCTGGCGCCCCGCATGGGGTCATCTGGCCAGGCTGGCAGGAGTCACCCATCTCTGTTTTCAGAGAACGGCCTTTGCTCGGTTACGCCCGCGTCGCTAGCTGCCCTCGTCTCGTGGTTTCCGTTCACACGTTTCTCTGTTGTCCGTCCTCGGTTGTTCTGGATCCAATTTGCTTTCCTTTTTCTATCCGTTAAGGTGGAATTGGGCCGTTTCTTAGCCTTCCCTCTTAAACGTCGCTTTCCTAACGTACGGATTTGACGTTCGGGATTTCTCTCTGACGGGCCCGCCCGCCCCACCGCCTCCCGTGTGTCCCTGCGTCGCTGCGTGTCGCCTGCTCTCCGGGCGTGGGGCTTGCCCAGGTGTCCCGGTTTCTGTTCTGACCCGACCCTCCGCTTGGTCAGGGCCACACTCCGTGTCCTTCCCGCTCCGGACCCCCCAGGGCTGGCCGGAGCACAGTCTCCTGGTGCGCGTCCCCTGGTGCTTCGGGGCAGGACGAGGGCGTCGCAGGCCCTCTCATGCCCTCCCTGGGGCCGGCGCTGCTCCACGGTCCTGCTGGCAGCCCAGCCGCGTCCTGGGGTCAGCTTTGCTTCCTCGCGATACCCCTGGAGACTCGGCGTCTCGGGGCTGATGGGCCAGAGGCTGCCCTCGTCACTGCACCCTCACGGTTGTATCTGAGAAGCCCGTGCCCGAGGCCACAGGGATGGGCCCTTAGAAGCATCACAGCTCCGGGTGTCTGATGCATCCTGAGGTGGCCTGGGGGCCCTTCCTTCGCCCGTGGCTGTCCAGTCCCGTTGGCCTCAGGCCATCCTTCCCCGGCGGGCAGGGTCCTGGACCCTCTCCGGAGCCTCCGTGCTGCGCTGGGCAGGCCGGGCTGGTGGGCACCATGCCCTGTGTCCTCGGCCGCAGGGCCTGCGGGGGGCGGTGGGCGGGCCGGCGGGCAGCGGGGCCGGCGCTGCCCCTCGGCCTCCCGCAGGTGGTGGTGAAGTTCATCAGGAAGGAGAAGGTCCTGGAGGACTGCTGGGTGGAGGACCCCGAGCTGGGGCGCGTGACGCTGGAGATCGCCATCCTGTCCCGGGTGGAGCATGCCAACATCATCAAGGTGGGCGGGCCTCGGCGGTGCCCGGGCGGCCGGGACGTGTGTGCCCCAGCGGGCCGGACCCACTCTGTCCCTTTGCAGCTGCTGGACGTGTTCGAAAACCAGAGCTTCTTCCAGCTGGTGATGGAGAAGCACGGCTCCGGCCTGGACCTCTTCGCCTTCATCGAGCGCCACCCCCAGCTGGACGAGCCCCTGGCGAGCCACATCTTCCGGCAGGTGGGCGCCGGACGGGCGGGGCGGGCTCGTGGGAGCAGAGCTTGTGGGAGCAGAGCTCGTGGCTGACGCAGGAAGTGAGGTCGGGCGGGGGGACACAGCTGGAGGTGGGGGCTGCCTGGGCCTGGCCCGGCGCCGACCCATGGCCGGGATGCGGCGCCCTTGCCCCGTGCTGAGGCTCGGCCGCTGCCGCCCACACACGCCTCTGGGTGGCCCGAGGGGTAGCTGAGCTCGCCTCAGGCCGCTGTTTGTCTCACTCTGGTCGGAGTTGGTGCCGACGTGGGGTGTGGAGGGTTTGGCGGGCAGCGCCTCCCATGCCAGGTTCACAGGAAAGGCGGCGGCTCCGGTCAGACCTCCGGGCTCTGGGGAGCTTGGGCGCGGGCCGGGAGAGCGGGCGGCCCCCAGACCTGTCTCCCTGGAGACACTGCGGTGTCCAGTGGTAGCTCCCATGGATGGATGGTCCTTCCACGCTGAGGCCCTCAGCCATTGCTGGTCTCAGGCAATGGACCCCCTCCCCTGCTGGGAGGTCATGGGCCTGTCCACTCTGACTCTCGGGAAGGCCCGGGGTCGGTGACAGGCGCTACTGCCCACGCCTGTCCACTCTGGCCTTGGTCTCTGGACATGGCTGCATGTCAGGGGGCGGCTCTGTGGGCTTGGGCAGCTCCGCCCTCCCACTCCGGTGTGTCCACCCAGAACCGCTGTCAGCCTCTGCCTGTTACGCCGCAGATGCCGCCGGTGCCGCCCCAGGGCCAGCTCCTCTCCTCGGTGCTTGGCTGGCCCCAGAGCTACCCGTCCTGCCCCAGGTGAACGCCGTGCTGTGCATGTGTGTGCCCAGTGCGCATGCCTGGAGGGAGGCTCTGCGGCCACACTGTGCGTTCAGTGCCCGCGCAGCCCTGCGGTGTCCTCGCCGCACATGTGAGCGCAGCTGACGTGTCTGTCCTCAGTCGGCTGGACGGCCACTGAGCCAAGAGCCCGCAGTACCATGGGGTGCTGAGTGCTGCAGCTCAGCACTGCCCCGACAGCTGCGTGCACTGTGGGGAGCACCTGGGCTCACACCTGGGCGCACCTGGGCAGCCATCGCCCTCCCTGGGAGCTCGAGGGCACTGGCGTGGGCCTGCCCCAAGCGGGTGGGCCGGCGGCTGGAGGCCCTGACGCTGTGCTCGCAGCTGGTGGCGGCCGTGGGCTACCTGCGCGGCCGAGGCGTGCTGCACCGCGACATCAAGGACGAGAACGTCGTAATCGCCGAGGACTTCTCCATTAAGCTCATCGACTTTGGCTCGGCCGCCTACCTGGAGCGGGGCAGGCTCTTCTACACCTTCTGCGGCACCATCGAGTACTGCGCGCCTGAGGTCCTTCTGGGACACCCGTACGTGCAGCAGGCTGTGGGGTGGGGGGGCACTGGGGGCGGGGCCTGGTGGGGCAGGGCCTGGTGGGGGCCAGGCGGTGGGCAGGGCAGGGGCGCAGAGAGGGGACAGTACTCCCCCGCGCAGTGTGCTCCCCCTGCCGAGTGCCCCCTGCAATGTGCTCTCTGTCAAGTGCTCCCCCATGTGGGGTGCTCCCGGCCCTCCCTGTCTGCTGGCTTATCACAACTTTGCTTCCCACGCACTTGCCCCTGCAGTCTGGCGCCCAGTGGGGGGCAGTGGCATTGGATGCTGTGCCCCTCATTGGGGGCTGCCCCAGGGCCGGGCAGCAGCTGCCTGCTGAGCGTGTGACCGACCGTCCCTACAGTTACCAGGGGCCGGAGCTGGAGATGTGGTCGCTGGGCGTCACGCTGTACACACTGGTCTTTGAGGAGAACCCCTTCTGTGAGTTGGAGGAGACCATAGAGGCGGCGATCAGCCCCCCATACCTGGTGTCGGAAGGTGAGCACCTGGAGTGGCCTCCTCTGCCCTGGTCTCAACACCAGGCGCCACAAACGTGCCTTCAAGCCACAGGATGACCCTTTAGGCTACCCTCCCCTCCCCCGTGGGCACTCTGCGGGGAGAGCGTCTGGAAGTGGCCGCGACCACCTGTGGGCCAGGCCCTGGAGAGACTCGTCCTCGGGTGATGGGGGGGCGCGATCCCCCCATCTGTGCATGCGCGTGGGCAGACAGGCCATAAGGATGGGCGGGGGCAGGGGTTGCCCAGGACTGACGGGACTGAGGGGTTGGCCCAGGTGGGAGTGACACTGCCCTCAGGCCGGGCTCGGGCTGCCTGGTGGCCAGGGCAACCCAGGGCGGGGTGGCAGTGTGGGCTCCTCTGTCTGAGGCTCCCCTGCGGGGCCACGGTGCTGGCCCCTGGCCCTTGCTCCCTGGCCAGCCACCTTCTCGCCGCGTCCCCACCCGGGGTAGTGGTGGGGTCTTTCCTCCCAGGACTCAGGGCACGCTTCAGCCAGTAGCCTTAAAGGAGGGTGTCAGGGCTGTGCTGGAGCCTTGGCTTCCCCCTCCAGGGCTCGCATCGTCTTCCCCTTGGCTGTTCCCTGCACCCACCCCACCATCCTCTGCCCCTCCCCCGCCATCCCCTGCTCCCCCCTGTCCCCCAAGGGACAGGGCTGTCCCCCAAGGCTGTCCCCCTGTCCCCCAAGGCTGTCCCCTGCTTGTTGGGCTCCTCTGACGGGGCTCAGTGCTAGCCCAGTGGTTGATGCCCACAATAGAGGAAACGGTTGAACTCAGACAGGCCCTCCCCTGGGTGGGCTGAGCTCACAGGGCGGGCGCATCCCCCTGCGGCCTACCCAGCCAGCGGCCTTTCTGTCCAGCGCTCATGAGCCTGGTGTCGGGGCTGCTGCAGCCTGCCCCTGAGCGACGCACCACACTGGACAAGCTGGCCGTGGACCCCTGGGTGACGCAGCCTGTGGACCTCACCCGCTACACCTGGGACGAGGTGTGCCGCCTCCACAGGCCAGGTGGGCCGCCTCGCCGCCCCGGCTTTGGGCTTCGGCCTCCGGCCGTCCTCAGTCCAGGGTCTCGGCGGGCACTCCTGCTGGGGCTGGGGCTGATGGGGGCGGGCGCCACGGGCACCGGGGACCAGGAGGCACTGCAGAAGGCCTGGAGTGGGGCTGGGGGCAGGGGGCCGAGCCCCGCAGCATGCACTACCCCAGTGCTTGTCTTCCCAGGAAGTGGAGTCCTGTCCCCTGCGAGCCCATGAGCTCTGACACGGGAGCCGCCTGCCAGCTGCCCAGCACCAGCCTAGCTTACATGGGACGGTGCCCCAGAACCCCTGCAGGGGCAGTGCCCTGGCCCCAACAGCCCCGTGAGGCCCCCACATCGCCAGCAGCAGCGCTGCCCTGTGAGGGGCTACCATGGGCTGCCTGGGCCCTGCTGGGTGGGGTCAGCCCAGGCCCCCGCCTTGCGGTGGAGCTGCAGGTTTTCCAGATTAAAGCTCCTGTAAGCGAGTGGCCACTGAGTCTTCCTCATGGGGGGGCACTGGCGCCCCTCTTCCATCTCTGCACCCCCACTTGCCACAGCCAAAGAGGGTCAGTTTCAGTCAGGCAGGGGTCCCCCCCAGGCTCCGAAGCAGGTCAGCTGGCAGGAGGGGTTCTGGGGCTCCCCTTTGTGCAGCGGGCTCTTGTAGTGGGATAGGGCACCCCGAAGCACCCCTACCATCCCCCCTGCTGAGCCGGTGGCCGCGTGGCAAGGCCATCGCCCTGAGCAGGGGCTTGGCCCTTCTACAGCCGGTTGGGGCACACAGGCGGCAGCCCCCTCCCCACTGGCGACAGGTGCGTCAGAACCCCGGCCGGCCGTGGGGAGGCTGCCTGCTCACTAGGGGATCGGCTGAGGCTGGTTATGTGACGTGGGTCACTTCGTGGGGAGGGCAGGGATGCGCCCCCTCAACAAGGTATTGACGGTTTTGCGCAGAACCAGGGTTTTTACCAGAAGCCTACTTGGATGGCAAGGCACAGAGCACCCCCTTTTACCAGGTGGGGCCCTCTCCCCTCCGGGACGTCCCAGGCCCCTGCCCCGCCCCGCTCGGGCACGTGCCCTCGTCGGCCCCACGGCACGCGGACCCCACGGGCACCCAGCGGGGTGTGGCGCGACGTCAGCTTCATTAGACGGCCTGGGCTGAGGGGGGGGGCAGGGAGAGACCCCTCCGCGCCCCTAGCCCCGCGCGGCCGGCGGCGAGGAGAGAGCGGGGCCGCACTGTTATAGGACAGAGAGAGGGGCAGCCCAGACCCCGCACACCTGCCTATTCTACATGGGTTCTGCCATCCGCCACATCCACACAAGACATAGGAGACTTTAACGGGAAGGAACTTTAATACAACTAGGAAACAAGACGGGAAAGGCAAAGAGTCTAGTTTCTAAATGAAGCGCCCAAAGTGACCCGTCCCCTCGTGGGTAAAAGTCCATCCATAAGGGAGCGGCCCAGAACAGGGCCCCAAAGCCTGCCACAGTCTAAAGCATCTTCCAGGGGGACCCACAGCGAAGGGCCAGAAACAACCAGACAAGCCCGGAAGGAAAAGAGCAAAATCAACATCCAGATAAAAGCCGCCACTGTCCCTCCCACGGGTCTCGCCCGCATCTGTGTCCGCGTCCACGACCACCAGGCAGGCGCAGCTTCTTCACGTGTCTCCCGGCTCCATCCCGCTTCCTTCCTCGTCTCCTCTGCCGCTTCTCCTCTCCCTGCTCAGCTCCACCCTCCCTCGGGTGGGGCAGGGAACCTCCCCCTTTCCTGGGGACCCCCCTGTTACAGCTCGACGCGCCCCTGCCCCGCCGGCCCCGGGCCGAGCGCCGCGCCCCTCCGAGGCGACCGCACGGGCCGCGCGCCTGGCGCGCCGGAAAGACGTCACCGCGAGGCCGGAAGTGCGGGCGGGCGCCCCGCGGCGCGTCATGGCGGCGCCCGGCCGGCAGGTGAGGGCGCGGGGGCGCCGGCCCCTCGGGCGGAGGCTGCTCCACGGGGCCGGAGCGCCTCGGCGGCGCCGGGGGAGGCTCCTCGGGCTTCCCTCGCCGCCCGCAGAGAAGCGGCGCCCCGGGGAGCCCCTCCCCCGTTGCTCCCCCCCCGGGACCCCCCGCGACCCGCCCCCGCGTCCTCCTCGTCCCCCAGGCGCGGGGCCCCGGGCCCTGGCGCAGCCGCGCGGCGCCCCGCGCGGGGACTCGGCCTCGGGGCGTCCCCGACGCCGCCCGCCCCGTGGCCCGCGCGGCGGCGCCCGACGAGCCTCCGCTCCGTGTCGCAGGTTTCCCGCCTGGGCGCCCCGGCCTGGGCCCGCGCGGCCCGGACGCCGCCCCCGCCCCGAGGACAGCGCAGGGCCGAAGCCGCGCCGCCGCGCCCGCTGGCCACGGCCCCCGGAGGAGCGGGCCCCCGAGAGCGCCGCGCGGCGTGCGCGGGGCCGGACGGCGTGGCCAGCCGCCTCCGGGACTGGGGCTTCCGCGACGCGCACGTGGGCGCCCTGCTGGCCGCGCGGCCCGGGACCCGCCCGCAGCAGCTGCTGGGCGTCGTGTCGGAGCTGCTGCTGCTGGGCCTGCACCCCGAGCCGGCCTGCGGGGCCCTGACCAGGAGCCCCGCTTTGCTGGGGCTGCCCCTCCCGCAGCTGAGGAGGCGCTCCGGCCACCTGCGGAAGCTCGGCCTGGGAGAAGGTGCGGGGAGGGCGGCGCGGGAGGGCCCTGGCGCGGGGGCGGGAGCCCTGGAGGGCTCTGGCGCGAGCAGGGCCCGGCTGGTCGGTTTGGGAGGGACCCGGCGGGGCTTGGCAGCCCGGAGGGGGCGGGTGCCGGCCGCTGGGGCTGAGCGTGGGGGGCGCTGCGGGACGGGGGCAGGCCTGCGCCGAGGCTGCGGGCTGAGTACTCCGGGTCTGCGGGGAAGTGGGAGGCGCAGAGGCTGCTGTCCCAGTTGCTGTGGGGCGCGGGGGGCGACGGCGATGGAGCGCAGGAGGGAGGCAGCAGGGCCAGGGCCAGGGCGCCTGTCTTGGGGCAGCCAGAGGCTGGTGCTTGGGCTGTGGAAGCCCCGGGTCACTGCTGGACCTTGGCCGTGTCGCGCAGGAAAGCTGAAGAGGGTGCTCTCCTGTTGTCCGGAGGTCCTCTCCATGCCTCAGCGGGACCTGGACGCGGTCCTGGCTGTTCTGAGGGACAAGTGCCTCTTCAGCGCACAGCAGGTCACGGAGCTGCTGCACAGGTGCCCGCACGTTCTCCGAGCGGACCCCACGGAGCTGGAGTACAAGTTCCAGGTGAGGCTGTTGGGTGCAGCTGCCAGGGCAGGGCAGCAGGGGTGTCAGAGGCGTGAGGGTCAGCAAGTGGACGAGAAGCCTGGGGCGCCCCCGGTCATGCGGCGGCTGCCCGGTGTGATATCCACAGAAGGGGGTGGTCCAGGCTCCCTGCCCCACGAAGGGGAAGCTGGGGAGGGGGCCAGGGAGGCGGCCTGCAGGGGCGTGGGGCATTTGAAGAGGCCGCGTGGTTACTGGCCGGGACGTGGAGGGGCCTGCGGAGGCGGCTGCGGACTTTACCTTGACTTGTGCTTCGCTGTGGCTCTTTCCTCCCAGGCTGCCCTGCCCTCCCCATGTCCCCACTAGAGGGCCTGAGCCGGGGGTCCCTCCTGGGGCTTGCTCTGGGCCATGCTTGGCCTCTCAGCTCCGTCCCTCCTCTCGCTCCTCCCCACGGCAGCCGTGGTGAAGGGCCTTTCCACTGAAGGGCTGACGTGCCGGGGACAGGCAGGTTTGGGGTTCCCGGTAGCCCCCACGCTGCCTGCAGCAGGTCATTTCTCGCCTTCACTTCTATGGCTTTTTGCTGTCAGTGAGCAATGAGCCGGCCCAGAGACTGGCTGGCGGCTGTGGCGCAGCCTTACAAACCGCTGCAGGTTCCTTTGCCCGAGTCTCTGGACGACACTTACAATTCTGTGTGGGGGAGGGTGGGGCTGAGCCCTGCCTCCTGCCCCTGGTCCTGCTGCGTTCATCTCCGCGGGGTCTGACAGGGGTCTGACAGCAGCTGCCGCTGTGCCGGGCCGCGCCCCGCTGACTCCCTGTGCCCACAGTATGCCCACTTCCGGCTGGGGCTGAAGCACGCGGACGTGGTGAAGACCGACGTCCTGCAGTACTCCATGGCCAAGGTCCGGCAGAGGCACGTGTTCCTGGAGCGCCTGGGGCGGTACCAGACCCCAGATAAGAAGGGGCAGACGCGGATCCCCAATCCCCCGCTCAAGGACATTCTCAGGGTGTCCGAGGCCGAGTTTCTGGCCAGGACGGCCCACGCGCCCGCCGAGGAGTTTGAGGTCTTTAAGAAGCTCTTGGCTCGGGAGGAGGCCGAAGCGTCTGAGAACCACCTGCTGGGGGACGGGGATGAGGACGGGGAGGGAGCCCAGGGCTCAAGGGTCTAGGTCATCTCAGAGTTTTGGGGGCGTGTCTGGACTTCCTTAGGTTGCTTTCATCCTAAAGCTAGCGTTTTGGTGAGGTCTCGTCTGAGAAGTGGGCAGCGCGCCACGGCAGCCAGACGTGGCGTCCAGTGAGGCCTCCTTGAGCATTAAAGTTGGGCTTGAAACATCAAGACGCGGTCTCTGTCCTGCGTGTTGTGAGCATACCGGGCTGTGGAGAGAGCCCCTCTTGCTCCAGATGGATCCACATCCCTCTGCGAGACGGACTGCGGCGGAGAGGCCCCAGCGCGCCGCAGTGCCTGCCTGTGCAGACGGCGTTGCCCCGGGGCGACTGTGCTGGCAGTCGGGAGGTCACTTCCTGTTCCGTGGTTGCCTCCGAGGCACAGCAGGGCACGACTTGCTGTGAGGCTGGGCCCGCATGGGTGTCCGGGGGCGCCTGGCACTTTTTCCCAGCATCATGGGTAGGTCACATGGCTGCCTCCAGGCCTGAGGCCTCTGGCACATTGAGTGCTCAGCGGTGTGTGCTGGACAGGAGGGCCGGGGCGGTGCAGGCCGTTTCCCCACCCTCTGCCCAGGGGACTTCCCAGCGGGGGGAAGGCAGCAGGGCGCGCAGCCGGGCGCACTCCTCCCTTCCCCAGCACCTGGCATGGGGCCGATGCGGGAAATTCCTGCGGTGCTGTGACCAAGGCCTAAGGCTCAGGTGCCTGAGCCTCCAATGGTCTGGCTGCCACGGGGAAGGCAACTGTCTGCAGCTGCTGCTTTTTTTTAAAGATTTATTTATGCTACAAGAACTGGTACAGACCAGAGGTGCAGGGGTGTGAGGACCCACCAGAGACAGAGCGGGGAGCAGAACAGGCGGGTCCACTGAGACCCTACTGAGGGAGCAGCGGGAGACTGGAGAGGTCTGCTGCGCCATGTGGGTAGCTCCCCGGCTGGGGATGGAACGCAGGCCGCAGTGGCTGCCGACAGCTTCATGGCCGTCTGTAACCCCTGTGCCCCCCAGGGAGGCCCTGCAGCTGCTGCTTGGCCACAGGCAAAGGCATCTGAGCATGAAGACGGCTCCCTGGCCCGCGACCATGTCGGGGGCTATGGACTTCTAGTGAGTCCTGGACCTTGGACGTGACGGTGAAGGAAATCAGACTTGGGGGACTGTCATGTCCAACATGCAGTGAATCTTTATTTTCTCAGTGCTCTCTTACACACTACTTCAAGTGCAGCAGGTGTAACGTCAAAGCGTGCCATCTGCTGACAGCACATGTGACTGATTATTCTGCTTTCTTACTACTACCCATGTCAGACAGTAGGGTGCCAGGTGGTTAGGTCTCATGCACATACTCTCATCGCCCCCTAGCTAGAGCATGGGAGTTTGGCTCATTATTTCTTGTTCTAAGACCGCAGAGACGTGGAGGCCTGGCTCCACGCAGGTCACATTCCGGGCCCTCAGCACCAGGTCCGGTCGCTCAGAGGTTTTCCTCCAAGACGCATGTATTTTCACGTGCCTTTGAGACTCAGGTTAAGGCCCTTCTGCTCGCTGCGCGGGGTCTCTCCCCACAGGAGGCCACTGTGCAGCTGAGCGTGTTTTCGTGCCCACCTGGGGCCAAGTAGCACCCTGAGCCCACACTCAGGCCCATGCAGCCAGCGTGTGGCCACGTGAGCATGAGACTGGAGCCCCTCAGCGGCGGGAGGGGGCTCTCAACTGCTGCCCACCACAGGCCTGCTCTGGCTGCGGCTCCTCGGAGCCTAGCAGCCTCCCTTTTGTACTTGGCGCTGGGATCGTGGACTGGACCAGTCAGGTACAAGCTACGAGCTGATAGGTGCTAAAAGGGTGATTCAGCCATAGTATTAAGAAATGGTCCAGTCAGACTTGGGGGGCTGAAAGAGGGTATGAGGCAGGGTCTGGAGAGCTGAGGGGCAGTTCCAGCCTGCGAAGAAGCACCAGTGGCCGGCCTGAAAAGAAAGCAGCAGCACCCAGCAACCGGCCCCAGAGGGAGCAAGAAGCTGCAAACCTGTGCAGAGATGGGGCCTCATCTCCTGAGAGGAGCCCAGAGCACCCCCTGCCCCAGGTGCCTCAAAGAGCTGCTTTTGCTGGCATTGCCCAACAACTCCCACAGCTGTCAACACTGGGGGGCTCTGACACGGCCTCTGGGGGACCAGCAGTGCCCATCCCCACTGGCCAGCGCTGCCCAGCTCTGCTGACCGGTGACCAGCACTGCTTGTGCTTGCAGCCCCCACCTGTGGCCTCGGGGAGCTCTGTCTCCCTGTTCCTAAGGTAAATCCCGGTGCTTCCTGGACCCGAGGCCTCCTGCAGTTGTGCGGGGGAGGCCCCGGCAGGCCCTGTCCTTTGACGGGCCACAGCCGAGAGGCCCTGTCGTGCGGCTGTTGTCCTGCTGTGGCCCTGGCCTCGGTGTGGGCCTTCTGCCCTTGGGGCCTTGGCGGCTGTCTCGGGCAGGCCATCCCCACTCAGTCACGCTATTTTGTCGCAACAAGTTCTTGAGGAAGACACCAGAGCTTGATGGAGGAGCCACAAGGAAAGGGGGTGGGGGCAGCCAGCCCAGCGCCCCGGGCGCTTCTGGTGGGCTTGCAGCCCCATGGGCTCTGGAGAAAGCCGGCAGTCCCACGTGGACTAAGGGGGGCGTGGCCGAGGGGGGTGCCCCTGTGGGGGTGTCCCGTGGAGATCACCTCCTCCCAGGGGCCGGAATGACCCCTCCAAGGGACTGCAGGAGACACTGCAGTGAACACGAAGGGCCAAATATCCCCGACTTGCTTTGGCGGGTGCCGGGGTAGGGCAGGTTCTGTGCGTGGTGGTGGGCCCCGGGGGTCCTGGGCCCCTTGCACTGGGAGGTGGGCCTGGCTGAGCCGGATTGTGCTGGGGAGCAAGCTGGCCTGGCAGCTGCAGCTGCCCTCCAGAGTCCAGGACTGGGGCCTGGGCCGCTCCGCCCACGCTGTCCACCTTGGCTGCATTTGCATCAGGACGGCAGAAACGGCGGCGGCCCTGCCTCGGCCTCCAGGCCTCAGGGGTGGGCGTGCCTTGTGGCCAAGGCTGGCCTTGTCTGGTGGGCTTGAGCCTGCCGCTGCGGAGCCCAGGGCTTAGCCAGGCAGGGCCATGAGACTGGCGCCTCCACTGGTCAGGGCTCTCTCGGCACCTGGTCAGGTGCTCCTGCAGCCGGACAGCTGAGAGTTGCACCAGGACCATGTGGTGCCAAAGCCCAAAGGGAGCCTTGGCTGCAGCCTGCAGCTCCCGGGGGGGCCTGGGGGGCAGGCTCCCTGGCCTGACGCTGAGGCCCGGATTCCGCTCGTGGCAGAAGCATCACTGCCCGCCAGCCTTGTTCCCCGGGGCCCACCCTGGTGGGCAGGCTCCGCAGAAGACCCAGTCCCTGACCCTTGGAGGCGGGCAGCACGAGTGGGCTCGGGTGGTTGCCGCCTGTAGGCCAAGGGAGTGAAGCCGCAGGGGGATGCCTCCAGCTGGGAGCTGACCCTGGGGCTCCGTTCCAACCCTGTTCAAGGCCTGGTTTTCCCCTGCGGCAGCGGCCAGCAGGGTGGGCAGGAGGGTATGGAAGGTGGGTGGGGCCTGGCCATTGCCCACACTCAGGCTCTGGCTGCCTGGGGCAGGGGCTACTCCCTCTGCAGGTGGCAAGCGCAGCACCTAACCCATCCTGGGCGCTGCCGCGCAGCCCTCACCTCACCCTGGGCGTTGCCGCCCGCTTGCTGGTCCCAAGAAGAGCACAGCCACCGGCCCTGCCCTGCCGGGAAGCCGGGCTCCCCCGAGTGGCTCCAGAGAATCCGCGATCCCTCGGGCGACTCAGGACAAGAGAAAGTGGCCATGTGGGGTCTGACCCAGTGGTGGATTGGGGCGGGTGTCCAGGTCGGGGGGCATCCCGAGTGGCCCAGCCCCCTGCCCGTCTCTGGGGACCCTTGCTGTGATCCCAGCTGGCGCCCACCCTGTCCCGGGGCGCTGCTCTGCTCCCCGCAGGAGCCCTGGAGCCAGGGTGGGGCTTGATCCATCTTCCAAACCACTGGCAGGGCTGGTGTGTGGGGGGTCCTGGGGGGCTCGGGCTGCAGGAGTTTGGGGGACGCCGGGTTGAGCTGCAGTGAGGGTGGTGCGTCTCCTCGGCTTCAGGGAACATGAGTGCTTGGAGTTCTGTGTCCCGGCCCCCACTTCATCCCGCCTCGGGGGAGAAATCCCCGCTTCCGCCTGGGCCGGCCTCTGTGCCCAGCAACTGGGGTGCCAGGGCCAGAGCCCGGACCCGTCAGGCAGGAATACGGCTCGCGGGCGGCACCGCCGCTAATCTGATGGCCACGGCCCAGCCCCTGGCCCAGCCGGTCCTCCTGGCAGCTCCGGCCCCAGCGCACGCCCCACTTGGGGGGAGAGACGTGCTCGCAGTGAGACGTCTCAGGCCAGCAACACGGTGGGTCGGTATTTCCGTTTATGCTCAACTCATAGGCGTTGCTTTTTGGGGGTGGTCATTTACAGACGTTTTTTGGCTCCAAAGCACAGCTATACATAAAGGCCCGCCGGGGCCTGGCGTCCACTCCGCCCCGGCCGCCACCCTGCCCCGTCCTCGCGCCCGCACCCCGTGGGGAGCAGGCCCCGCCCCACCCCCTCCCAACTGCTGCCCCAGGCAGCGGGCCTTGGGCACCCCCAAAGAGCCCCCCGCCCCTGCCAAGGCAGGGCGCCCTCGGCCCGGGACCTGCTCCGGAGCAGCGTGTCCGGCCCTCGCTGTGGGCGCTCGCAGTCCCGTTCTTGGTGTCGCCACTCGGGGACCCCCATGTTGGGCTCGTGCGGACCCCAGTCCTGGGAGGGCTCCCTGGGGTCCTGCTCAGGTTTCAGGGCCCGACCAAGGGCCGTGGCTTGCACCCCACCCCACGGAGGTTATGCCCGCCTGTTGGTGGCCCAAGTGCCTTCACCCCCCTGCTCCCCGGGAAGCCGTGGACCCGCTCCGTCGCCCACTGGGGCTGCTGGCCCCCGTTCAGCCGGCCTCAGACAGCCGTGTCGGGGTGTCCTTCCGCGCCTGCCAGCTCCCCAACGCCCCCGGCATAGCGGAAGCCCCAAGTCTGACGAGTCGCCATCGGTGCGTTTCCTCGCACTGACAGCGTCGGGGCGGCTCAGCCCTTTGCCCAGTCTGGGGTCTCCAGGCGGGGTCGGAGTCCAGCGGCCCTCAGGCCTTTGGTCTGTTCTGAAGTAACTGGGATGGAGCCCCTTCGCGTGCCGGCGGGTGTCCAGGTGTCCCTCCCGCCGGCACCCCTCGTCCATCCCCGGCCTGAGTCCTGAGGCAGGCGGGGCCCCCCTTGGGCGGGACAATTTTTGCCCCTCGGGTTCCTGCTGGTTCCAGGTAAAGCCTGGACGCCACTGCAGGGGTCCTGAGCCTGGAAGGCTGCGGCCGCGAGGCTGTCCCCGAGGCGCGGCCCCTGCCGCTCGCCAGTGTCCGCGCCGAGACGCGCGGGCCAAGTCCCCCTGGCAGGGCGGGCGCCGCCGTCCAGGAAGGAGCCAGGGCGGCGGAGAGGCCTGCGGCAGGAGGGGAGGGAGGCAGGAAGGAGGTGGCGTCCATGCCAAGCCCTGGGCGGCGGCCGTCGGGACCCTCCTCACGCGCGTGTCCTGGGAGCCGGCAGGGGCGGCCCTGGGTGCGGCAGGGGCGGGAACCAGTCGGGAGGGGCCTTGCTGGGGTCCCTGGGCCCTCCTCTCCCGAGGGGCTGCTGCCAGAGCGGGGCTGCCCGTGGGGGCAGAGTGAGGCCGGCGCTGGACGCCTGCGGGGAGAACCCGGGGGGACCAGGTGCCGGCCAGACAGGGCCTCGGAGCTCTGCCCCTTGACGCCCCAAGGGACCGGGACGGGGCGGGGGAGGCCGGCCGGCCAACCGAGCCCTTCCCAGGCAGGCCGCGACCCAGGGCGGGGCCTGAAGGTCGGGCGAGACCCGCCGGCGGGCCAAGACGCGGCGCTGGGACAGCAGTGAGGAGCGGCAGGGCAGACCCTCCCTGGCCGGTCCTGACGCCTGTGGCCCTGCTTTCTGGGGGACAGAGTGGCCGCGCCTCCAGCCCTGGGGGTAAGCCGACATCCCGCTGGGCCCGCCCCCCAACGCACACCCAGCCCCCGAGTCCGCCGCGGCCCAGCAGCGTCGCCCGGTGCTCGGCGGACATGGCCCGGGCGGCGCGCCGAGAGCACTGGCCCACTGTCAGCCCACGAGCCAGACGCAGGGCGGCCGTGCCCGCCAGCCGCGAGGTGCCACCACTGCGCACGGTCAGCTCCCCACCTCGAGGCCACTATTTTTCAAGCACCAACTGACTGAGCTGCCTCGGCGGGTATTGGGGGGATGGGGGGCAGGGCCGGGGCAGAGGAACTGGGGGGCAGGGCCAGGGCGAAGGGAATGGTGGGGCCGGGGCCGGGACAGAGGGACTGGGGGGCTGTTTGCCAGCGTCGGTGTCGGCCCAGCCCTCCCTGCCCACTGAGGCCAGCAGCCCAGGCCTCGGCGCAGGTGGCGTGAGGCAGGTGCCCTCGCTGCCCACCTGCTGGGGGTGCTGCCCCGCCGCGCCCTGTCTGTGAAGGGTGGGGCATTTCCACCGGCTGCTCCCCCATCTCCAGGCCGCGGGGGCCCCTGCCCACTTACTTCCCATCTCCTGGTCGCTGCCCCCACCGCCATGTCCATTTTCTGGGAGCTGGAGAGCCAGGCTGACCTGCCGGGGCGCCTCCTCTGGGCCCCCGAGCTGCACCAGAGCTGTGGGCTCTAGGAGAATCGGGGTGTCGAGGCTGCTGCGGTGCAGCCCGCTGCCCTTCCCCTGCACCCCCCTGGGCCCGTGGGCCCGGCGCCCCTGGGTGGGACCAGCCTCTCTCCCGGAGCTCAGTCCCTCCCGCAGGCCCAGGGTCGGCAGGGTGAGCCTTGCCGGTTCCTCCGCGGCCTCTCCCTCCACCCCTGCCCCGGGGGCCTGGGAGCTGCCTCTGTCCCTCTGCTTTAGAATGGTTGGGGTGGCAGCCGCCTGGCCCCCCAGCATGCAGGCCTGTGGGCACCTGGTGACGGTGCTTGTGGAAACAGCTCTTGCCAGACCCGCTCGCAGCGGGGAGGCCGGGAGCCCCCCAGGCGGGGCAGGCGTGGGTTGGCAGGCGTGGTTCGGCTGCCCTGGGCACGGGGCAGGGGAGAGGCGGCTCTGCCCTCAGCGTGGGGCGTGACCTCCTCCCGCTGGCTGGCACCCAGCGGCCGCTATTCTGGGCTTCTAGCCACGCGCGGCCCCTGCAGCTGGGCGCCCACCGTCCTGGGCCGTCTGGGCCGCTGGCTGGGGGTGCGGTGGGGACAGGCGCCTGATCCCATCCTCACGGGGCAGGCGGGGCACTTACGGGCTCTCACGGTCAGTGGCCTGCGGGGTGGGTGGCTGAACCTGGCGCCCACGTGTCCTCTGCCATCCACCGGCTCCGAGGCCCTGGCGAGAGCACCCCGCGGTCAGCCCCATGGGCCGCCCGCCCTCTGCCTTGGCCGCGGGCGCCTGTGCGGGGGCTGCCTACCTGGGGGCCGGGTTGGGTGTTGCGGGGGCACCCCGGTCGCCGAGCAGACGCGGCTCTGGCAGGGCCCTGTTCCTGGGCGCCCGTGGGGGGAGGCCGTCTCGGTGCCAGGGCCGGTCGGCACCGTCCCTCGGGGCTGGGGCAGTGGCGCAGGAAAGAGGTCACGGGAGGCTGCCGCCCGCGCCCACCACCACTGTGGCCCGCCCCGGCCCATTCTGCCCTGTCCGGCCGGCGCGTGCCCGGGAGGGCCGTCCCGCGGGCGGCAGTGGGGACCCGCGCCTGCCGCCAGCGCTCGGTGTCCGCCCTGGGGCCTCCGTCCCCCGCCAGCGCCTCCGGCCTGCTGGCCCCCTCGCCTGTGTCTGTCCCGCAGCCCCCAGACGCTCATCCTCCTGCGGGGCTGCGCTGCTCCCGGGCCCTGGGGGCCTCCCCACCCTCCGGGCGCGGGGGTGGTGGGTGTTGGGGGGTCGGGGTGCGCGGAGCTTCAGGGTGCGCAGGGGGTCGGGGTGCACCGGGCGCCTAGGGGGGTCAGGGTGCGCGGGGGGGGGTCGGGTGCGGGGTGGTCGGGGGTTCGGGGGTGCGGGCGCGGGGCTCACAGGTGATGATGTGCAGGTGCGCGGGCTCGCTGAGGGGTCGGGGGGCGCGGGGGGGGTCGCGGGGGTGCGGGGGCGCGGGGCTCACAGGTGATGATGTGCAGATGCGCGGGCTCGCTGAGGGGTCGGGGGGCGCGGGGGGGGGGTCGCGGGGGTGCGGGGCTCACAGGTGATGATGTGCAGATGCGCGGGCTCGCTGAGGGGTCGGGGGGCGCGGGGGGGGTCGCGGGGGCGCGGGGCTCACAGGTGATGATGTGCAGGTGCGCGGGCTCGCTGAGGGGTCGGGGGGCGCGGGGGGGGGGTCGCGGGGGTGCGGGGGCGCGGGGCTCACAGGTGATGATGTGCAGATGCGCGGGCTCGCTGAGGGGTCGGGGGGCGCGGGGGGGGTCGCGGGGGCGCGGGGCTCACAGGTGATGATGTGCAGGTGCGCGGGCTCGCTGAGGGGTCGGGGGGCGCGGGGGGGGGTCGCGGGGGTGCGGGGGCGCGGGGCTCACAGGTGATGATGTGCAGGTGCGCGGGCTCGCTGGGGGGTCGGGGGGTGCGGGGGGGGTCGTGGGGGTGCGGGGTGCGGGGGCGCGGGGCTCACAGGTGATGATGTGCAGGTGCACGGGCTCGCTGAGGGGTCGGGGGGCGCGGGGGGGGTCGCGGGGGTGCGGGGGCGCGGGGCTCACAGGTGATGATGTGCAGGTGCACGGGCTCGCTGAGGGGTCGGGGGCGCGGGGGGGGTCGCGGGGGTGCGGGGGCGCGGGGCTCACAGGTGATGATGTGCAGGTGCGCGGGCTCGCTGAGGGGTCGGGGGCGCGGGGGGGGTCGCGGGGGTGCGGGGGCGCGGGGCTCACAGGTGATGATGTGCAGGTGCGCGGGCTCGCTGAGGGGTCGGGGGGCGCGGGGGGGGTCGCGGGGGTGCGGGGGCGCGGGGCTCACAGGTGATGATGTGCAGGTGCGCGGGCTCGCTGAGGGGTCGGGGGGCGCGGGGGGGGGTCGCGGGGGTGCGGGGGCGCGGGGCTCACAGGTGATGATGTGCAGATGCGCGGGCTCGCTGAGGGGTCGGGGGGCGCGGGGGGGTCGCGGGGGCGCGGGGCTCACAGGTGATGATGTGCAGGTGCGCGGGCTCGCTGAGGGGTCGGGGGGCGGGGGGGGGTCGCGGGGGTGCGGGGGCGCGGGGCTCACAGGTGATGATGTGCAGGTGCGCGGGCTCGCTGAGGGGTCGGGGGGGTCGCGGGGGTGCGGGGGTGCGGGGGCGCGGGGCTCACAGGTGATGATGTGCAGGTGCGCGGGCTCGCTGAGGGGTCGGGGGCGCGGGGGGGGGTCGCGGGGGTGCGGGGCGCGGGGCTCACAGGTGATGATGTGCAGGTGCGCGGGCTCGCTGAGGGGTCGGGGGGGGTCGCGGGGGTGCGGGGGTGCGGGGGCGCGGGGCTCACAGGTGATGATGTGCAGGTGCGCGGGCTCGCTGAGGGGTCGGGGGGCGCGTGGGGGGTCGCGGGGGTGCGGGGGTGCGGGGGCGCGGGGCTCACAGGTGATGATGTGCAGGTGCGCGGGCTCGCTGAGGGGTCGGGGGGCGCGGGGGGGGGTCGCGGGGGTGCGGGGGCGCGGGGCTCACAGGTGAAGATGTGCAGGTGCGCGGGCTCGCTGAGGGGTCGGGGGGCGCGGGGGGGTGCGGGGGTGCGGGGGCGCGGGGCTCACAGGTGATGATGTGCAGGTGCGCGGGCTCGCTGAGGGGTCGGGGGGCGCGGGGGGGGTCGCGGGGTGCGGGGGTGCGGGGGCGCGGGGCTCACAGGTGATGATGTGCAGGTGCGCGGGCTCGCTGAGCAGCGGGCCGGCGGGCGCGGCCTGCACGGCGGTCACCGAGAGCCGGTAGCGCCGGCCGGGCAGCAGGTCGCGCACGGTGTATGACGCCAGCGTCCCGCGCGGCACGTAGCGGCTCCGCGAACTCGCGCCGCCGGTCACGTTGATGACGTAGGCCTCGAGGGGCGCGCCGGCCGCGGGGGCGTCCCACACCACGTGCGCGGAGGTGGCCGTGACGCGCGCGGCCGTCAGGTTGGCGGGGGCAGGGGCCCTGCGGGCGGCGCGGCGGGCGCGGTGAGGGGCGGGGCCCTCGGAGGGGGCGGGGGCGCGGGGGCGGGGCCCTCGGGAGGGGGCGCAGGGGCGGGGGCGGGGCCCTCGGGGGGCGGGGCGCGGGGCCCTCGGGAGGGGAGGGGGCGCGGGGGGGGCCCTCGGGAGGGGGCGGGGGCGCGGGGGCGGGCCCTCGGGAGGGGGCGCAGGGGCGGGGGCGGGGCCCTCGGGGGGGGCGCGGGGGCGGGGCCCTCGGGAGGGGGAGGGGGCGCGGGGGCGGGGCCCTCGGGAGGGGCGGGGCGCGGGGGCGGGGCCCTCGGGAGGGGGCGCAGGCGCGGGGGCGGGGCCCTCGGGAGGGGGCGCAGGCGCGGGGGCGGGGCCCTCGGAGGGGGCGGGGCGCGGGGGCGGGGCCCTCGGGAGGGGGCGCAGGCGCGGGGCGGGGCCCTCGGGAGGGGGCGCAGGCGCGGGGGCGGGCCCTCGGGAGGGGGCGGGGCGCGGGGGCGGGGCCCTCGGGAGGGGGCGCAGGCGCGAGGGCGGGGCCCTCGGGAGGGGGCGCAGGCGCGGGGGCGGGGCCCTCGGGAGGGGGCGCAGGCGCGGGGGCGGGGCCCTCGGGAGGGGGCGGGGCGCGGGGGCGGGGCCCTCGGGAGGGGCGCAGGCGCGGGGGCGGGGCCCTCGGGAGGGGGCGGGGGCGCGGGGGCGGGGCCCTCGGGAGGGGGCGCAGGAGCGGGGGCGGGGCCCTCGGGTGGGCGGGGCGCGGTGGCGGGGCCCTCGGGAGGGGGGGGCGCGGGGGCGGGGCCCTCGGGAGGGGGCGCAGGAGCGGGGGCGGGGCCCTCGGGAGGGGGCGCGGGCGCGGGGGCGGGGCCCTCGGGAGGGGGCCAGGGCGCGGGGGCGGGGCCCTCGGGAGGGGCGCGGGGGGGGCGTAGAGGCGGGGCGGGAGGGTGTGGGCGGAGCCCAGGCCCCCTGCAGGGGGGTCACCCGCGGCTCCCCCAGGAGCGGCCCGGGGGCCCACCCGCTGCCTGGCAGCGCCCCTGGCCCCCGCGACTGTCCCGCCTGCCCAGGGGGGCGGCCCCAGCTGCTCTGTGGGTCCTGGAGCGGGGCTGCGGCGGAGCGGACCCCTCGGCGAGCTCCCACTAGTCACCCCGCTCCTGATGCCTCGCACCCCTTTCCCAGGCGCCCCTCGCTGGTGCTCGGCAGGGCGCCCCCGCCGGCTGCTGCCTCCCCTCCGGGGGCCTCGGGCAGGGGCCTCTGGGGACCCGCCCGCGCAGGCCCTGGGGAGGTGCCCCCTCTGGGGACGCGGGGTGCTTACGTGTCCACACGTGCAGTGGCGCTGTGGCCAGGCTCTCGGTGGGGTGCGCCTGCGCCCCCGGCCCGCTGAGCGCCGTCACCCGGATGCTGTACCTGTGTCCCGGCAGCAGGGACCTGCGGGGAGGCGCAGGGGCGAGGGCCAGGTCTCGGGCAGGAGCGGTGGAGGCCAGTGTCCAGAGAAAGGGGCCTGGTGTGGACAGGGCTCCGGGCAGGCCCGCCTGGCCTCTCCCCGCGCCTGCTTCTGCGAGTCCCAGCTCTTCCGGGGGCACAGGGGAGGGCGGCCCCCACCCTCACCTACCCGAACGTGAACTCGCCCACACTCCTGTCCAGCTCGGTGGACTGGTCCTCTGGGGTCTCGGGGTGGCGGATGGACGCCCGCACACCGCTGACGGTGGCGTGGCGGATCCTGTGCAGAGCCCACCGCACCGAGATGGCGCTGGCCGTCACGTTGGTGACCTGGAGGCCCTCCACGGGGCGGGGTCCTGGGGACAACAGGCCCTCAGCGGGGGACAGGACGGGCGGCAGCGGGAGGAGGCGGCCTTGGGCAGGGCCCTGCAGCGCAGCGAGGCCAGCCGGCTGTGCCACAGGCACGGGGCTTGCTTTCCTGCTGACCCCAGGTGGCTGGCGGGGGCGTGTGGGCCTGGGGCAGAAGCACGGGGGTCCTCGCTCGGCAGAGAAGGGATACAGGGGCTGCACCCTGGGGAACCAGGAGGGGAGCCCTCAGCTGCCCTGGGCACAGGCCTGGTCCACTGAGTGCTGGCCCCGGGCTCTGACGGGGGAGGGCGGGGCCTCCATCTTGTGTCCAGACGGCGCTCCAGGCGGGCTCAGGTCCAGCCTGCACCTGTGCTCACCCCGAGGGACCCCGCTGCGCCCTCACCGCCCCCTCCCTCGCCTCACTGTCCTCCCTGGTGCCAGTGAGCGGCGGTGACAGCCAGCCCCTGGCCCTGTGCCCACCACCAGCGGCTCCAAGGCCAGAAGGAGCCCCCTCGACGTCCCAGGGGGTGCTCCGAGATGTCCCCATCAGTCCCAGGAGCAGAGGGCAAGGTCCGGAGCCCCTGGACGGCCCTGCGGGTGCCCTCGGCCCTCCCGCCACGCAGCACCCAGCGCGGCTCTGCCGTCCGCCCCCCGCCCCCCAGGGCCGCGTGGCTGCTCCCCGGCCTCGGCGGCGGCCGGACTCACGCGTGCGGGCCAGCAGCACGGCCGGCCGGCTGATGTCGTTCTTGTGGGCGCGGCGCTTGACCGAGAAGACCGAGATGTTGTAGGCGCGGCCGGCCGCCAGCGCGCGCAGCTGGTGCGAGGAGCGGCTGCGGTCCACGAAGTCTGTGCGGCGGAGCGCGCCGTCCGCGGCGGCGTAGGTGACCGCGTAGCCGTCCAGCAGCTGCCTGGCCGCCGGGCCCTCGGGCGGGCGCCAGGAGATGGACACCCCGCTCTCCTCCACCCGCTCCACCCTCAGGGCCGTCGGCGGAGAGAGCTCTGCGGTGCGGAGCGCGCGGGCGTCCGTGTGGGCCGAGCCCGCCCCCGCCCCGCCCGCGGACGTCTGCCCTGGGCCTTTGGCCGCGCCGGGGTCTCAGTGCCCGTGTGGCTGCATTCATGCACGGGGCTGAGGACCCCCTCCCCCCAGGCCTGGGGTGCCGCCTCACCTCTGGCGCAGTCCTGGCCAGTGTACCCCACTTTGCAGGTGCAGCTGTGGGACCCGTTGCTGGCCTGGCAGTAGCCGCGGCCCCCGCAGGGGCTGGAGAAACAGGGGTCTGCCACTGGGGGGAGGGCAGCCCTGAGCCCTGGGCCGCCCTGCCCACCCCCGGGGACTGTCCACGCAGGGGCTGGGCTGGCCCGAGGGCCCACTGAGGGTCCAGCAGGGGTGGCTTTCTGACGTGGGTGACCCATCTTGCCAGGGGCCGGGGGTGAGCAGAAGGCTGGCCCCTTCAGGCGCCCGCTGGTAGCCTGGTGGCTGAGATGGCCGCCCCCTGACCTCCCTCTACGGGGGGCTGGTGTGGATGCCACCATCGTGCCATGCTCCTTAGCTGCGGGGAGCATCTGCAGGCGACCTGAGGGCCCCCGGCAGGCCCCTCGTCTCTGCCACAGTGCAGCCCCCCGTTCAGACCACGCCTTGCTGCCCCGGACTGAGGCCTGTCCTCAGCACTGGGCCTTCACTGCCCAGAGGCCAGGCCAGCCAGACCCAGCTGAGGGCGGGGATGCTGGACCCAGGAGGCCCTGCACCCTGCATGTGTTTCCAGTTGGGGTGCACAAGCAGGGCAGTGCCATGCCGCAGGGGGGCGTGGCGGGGCATGGTGGCTGGCCGGCCGGCGGGCCTGGGCAGGGTCTCCCGGGGGAGGAGGGCCTTACCTGTCTCACAGTGGGGGCCGAAGACGCCCTCGGGGCACACACACAGGTAGGCCCCGCCGCTGCCGCCCTCGCACCGGCCTCCGTGCCTGCAGGGGCTGGGGTCGCAGGCGTCCAGCTCTGGAGAACACCCAGAGTCGGACCGAGCCGCAAGGGGTCTGGGGGAGGGAGAGGAGAGCGGGCAGAAGGGAAGGGAGGAAGGGGAGGGCGGCAGGGGCAGCAGGCCCGCGGGCAGCCGGCGGGGGGACCCTCAGCCCAGAGCCGGCGCCCCCAGCCCCGCCTGGCAGGGGCCCAGCACCCACCCCCACCGCCCTGCGGCTTGGCGGGCACCCTGAGTGCGGGTGGGGGCCCCTGGCCTCAGCCTACCTGTCTCGCAGTGGGGCCCGGAGAAGCCTTCCGGGCACTGGCAGACGAAGGCCCCGGGGAGGCCCCTGCAGGAGCCTCCGTTTCTGCAGAGCTGTGCCTGGCACTCGCCCGCCTCTGCGGACGGGAGATGAGGCTGGGGCCTGCGGGGGCTTCTACACGAGCCCAGAGACCCTGTGCTCTGAGGCGGCCCCTCCGCAGAGCCTGGCCAAGCCCACGCCCCTGCCCCAGGGGCCTCTGTGAACCTCCCAGGGTGAGGTCTGTGCTCAGCCACCCCAGAACCCTCGCCCACCCGGAGAGGCCCGCGTGCCACCAGCCGCCCGCTGGGGACCGTGGGGCAGCGGGGGCCGTCCACGCCGGAGGTGGCGACCTGCGGGTGCTCACCCCCCTCGGGGACCCTCACAGGCCGTCAGCAGCAGGCGGGCTTTGCTGTTCATGACTTGAACACGGTCTCGGGCCGTGGGCCGCCGCTTTTCACGGCCGCGCAATACTCCAGGCGCCCGCGCCCCGCAGCAGTCGTTCCCGCCCGGGTGCCTGGTTCCAGACCCAGGGGCGCGGCTGGCCGGCCGGCCACCAGATCCTCTTCCAGGTGTGGGGCTCACGCCACCCTGCCCAGAAGCCGCCGCTCCCCCGCACGTGGGCTGGAGGCGCTGCCGGGCGCACCTCGCGCTCTGCGTGGCGCTTGGGGGCGGCCGGCGGGGACACGGCCCCCCACCCCCGGCCCCGGGGCCGTGGCCTCCTCGGCTGTGGAGACGCTCACGCGTCAGCTCCCGGCTGCCTCCTCCTCCCCACGGACGTGCTCTGGGATGCCTCGAAGGGGGCGAGCCCCCGAGGAGGCGGCATTGCGCTTCCCCTCCGGCAGCTCTCAGGTGCGGGGAGTCCTGCCAGCCCCGGCGGGGGCTCCTCCCTCTCCCGGGTGCTGCCCGCCTGCAGCTCGGCGCGCCCGCGTCCCCGCGCGCCCATCGCTCCGGCCACTCGGCCGGGGTCCTCGCACGCCTGTCGCGGGGATGGCCCCGTCTGGCCGCGCGGGGGATGAGGGGCTGCAGCCCCCACGGGGTGCCCTCCGAGCGCCTGTCCGCCCCCCTTTCCTCACCGAAGGGCTTAGCGTTTGCCCGGCAGCCTGGCGGGTCCCGTTTCTGTCTGTTCCGGGGGCACTTTTGGTTTTGGGGCTTCGCGGTCTCTAGGGCCGGCGCCTCCCGCCATCCCCTCCGCGCCTTCCAGGGACTCGGCCTTTCCTTCCGTCCATTCCTTCTGCGACCCCTCAGGGCCCGTCCCGCGCGCCCCGGCGTGGGCAGCTCGGCCGTGTCAGCCGCCACACCCGGCTCTCTGCGTGGAGCCCCGCGGCCGCGCCCTCGACAGGAGGGTCAGAGGGGAGCGGCCAGTCCCGCTCTCCGGCTGCTGCCGACCACGCGGCCTCGGGGGCCACAGGCTGGCCCGGAGCCGGCGTCCTCCCCGCTGGCAGCTTCTCGTCTGCTCCTGCGCGCCGCCGCCCTCGGGACGTGGGTGCCGCCTGGCGTCGGGTGGGCGATGCCCTCCTTCACGGGGGGGGGGGTTTCTGGCAGCCGGGGAGCCGGGACGCGGTCGGTCGAGGGGCCTCCGTGACTCGCTCCTGCCCTGCAGCCCGGGCGGCTGGCCCTGACGCCCTGACCAGCGTGGGCCGGATGCGCACCTTGGGGCTGCCCAGAGGCGCCAGCGTTCCCGGCGGCCGCGGTGAGGCCGACACCAGAGCCCCGCAAGGCCCCGCCCCGGAGACGGCTGCGCGAGCCCCCAGCCGAGACACAGCCCCGGCCTCGCGCGCGGCTCCTCTCGCTGGTCCCACAGACATTCTGGCGGCGGGCCTGGCTGGCCGCGCCCGGAGGGGCGAGGGCCATGGGGCCCTCAGGCCACCGCTCTGCATCCCGAGCGCGCCCGGGCTTCCTTCCCCAGCCCCGCTGCCGGGCCCGCCGGCCCCTGCTGCTCTCAGCTGACTCGCTGCGCACCGCCCGGCTGCTCTGCCTGCCCCGCGAGTCTCCCGAGCTGTTCTGTGGCCGTCACGTCCGCCCCCCAAGGTCTCGGCCCCCTGCTCCAGAGCGCCTGACCCTGGCCTGTCCCAGGGCTGCCCGTCTCTGAGTGCCAGCGGCAGCGGGCAGGGAGCGCCCGTGGGCGCCGGGTCAGCCGCTCTGCAGGGCGGCGTGGTGTCCTCACGCGCGGGCTGTGTCCCGCGGACTGCTGGACGTGCGGGGTTTTCCTGACCAGCCAGCCGCTCCGCCGTCCTGTCCAGACACCACGCAGCCCTGCAGAGCGGCTGACCCGGCGCCCACGGGCGCTCCTCGCCGGCTGCCTCTGGCGCTCGGTCTCCTCCCAGGCTCTGAAGCCGGACGCTGGGCTGCCTTGGCCCCCTCCAGGCTGCCCCCTTGCCGGACGCGCTGCTCACAGCAGGGTCCACTGTCACCCTCCTGCGCCACCGGGTCCTCCCGTCCTGGGCTGTCGTCGAGCACTTCAGAACACCCCGACATTTAAGAACTCGGCTCCTGTCCTCAGCACCGAGACTGCTCCTCGTCTTCGGGCTTGCTGGGTGGTTCGGCTCTTCGCCCTGACTCAGCCGAGAGGCTTTCCCGTCTCCCGGCCGGTGGGGAATCTGCCCTCCTGCCTGCACGCGGGGGCGGGCGCGCGGTGTCCCGGGCGGGGGCTGGTCCGGCCGGCGCGGCTTGGGCAGCGCCCCGTCTGCCAGAGTATTCCGGGCTAACCCATTGGGCTTTGAGGCCCCCCTTCTCGGGGCCTCGGAGCTGTCTGCAGGGGGCCCCTCCGTCGCGCCGGCATGTCCGACAGGCCGCTGGACACACCCTGGGTGCCCGTCGGTGTCCACCTGTGCTGGGCTCTGCAGCTCTGGGTGGGCAGGTTCGCCCCTGCGGAGGGGCCGGGCTCCCTGCCTGCGCCCGGACACTCAGCCCTCGCCGGGGCGCTGCGCTGCTGGCCTCCCCCTGGATGGCCTGTCCTCGTGGCCTCACCCTCGGGATGTCCCTGCCCTCACGCTTCCCTGGTCTCCTCCGTTTTGCCTCTTGTCCTCAAAGTAGTGTTTTCACTTGGCGCGGTGAACCCCAACATCTGCAGGGCTTCTAATGGGTACACGTCAGTATTCCTCACCTCCAGACGGGAGGCATGGGGACCCCCAGGGAGCACCTGGGCCCTCAGTGGCTGCCCTGCCAGGGGACTGGGGAGCCCTGGAAGGAGGCTGGGCTGGGGTCTGGGGCACCTCAGGAAGGGGCTGAAGGCTAGGCTGGGTACTGGGGTGCCTTGGGAAGGGGCCGGGCCTGGGCTGGGGGTTGGGGTGCCTCGGGACGGGGCTAGGGGCTGGGTACTGGGGTGCCTTGGGAGGGGACTGGGCGGGGCTCTGGGGCACCTCAGGAGGGGGCTGGGGGCTGGGCCGGGGCACCTCAGGAGAGGGCTGGGCTGGGGCGCCTCGGGAGGGGGCTGGAGTGTCTCGGGAAGGGGCTGGCAGGGTGCTGGGCAGCGGCAGTTCTTGGCGGGCCTTGGTGCCCAGTCAGCCTCCCCTCCAGCCGCACCTGGGGCCCAGCCCTCCAGACGGCCGCCCCCCGGGCCCAGGGCGCTCTGCCGACCCCTGGCCCTGCTGGGCCCGCAGCAGACCCACCCCCGCCGCGCGTCACCCTCGCTGGGGCCCCGCGTCCACTGGGCTGGAGACGGGCCGGCCGGCCCCCTCCCGCCCCGCCCCCAGTGCTCGAGCGCCCTTTGTGGGCGCGGTTGTTACCTCAGGACCTCCTCATGCTGCCCCCCGCCTGGCCGGGCTGGCCCTTCTCCCAGGGCGCTCCAGGCCCCACCCCGTCCTCGGCCCTGGGCGGTGTCCAGTGCCCGTGACCCCGGCCGTGACCCTTGTCTGACCCCGCCCTGTCGCTCCCCGCTGCCCCCTCCTGGTTTACGTCCACCCCTTCTCGGGAAGCCCTGGCTGGTCTCCAGCTCAGGGCTCAGTGCCGCCTGAACCCCGCGTACCACTTCTGCACCCCGATTCCTGTATCTGTGCCCCATGTGCCATGTCTGCACCCTGATTCCTGCGTCTGCACCCCATATGCCATGTGTGCACCGATTCCCACGTCTGCACCCCGATTCCTGTGTCTGCACCCCGATTCTTGTGTCTGCACCCCACGTGCCATGTGTGCACCCCAATTCCTGCGTTTGCCACCCGGATTCCCACGTCTTCCTTCAGTGTCTCGTGGTTCTGCTTTGTGGCCATGGTTCCTTCCCGTGGCGGCAGCTTCTTGCTCATGGGTGCCCCTGCCCCCCACAACCTAGTGCTGAGCGCTGGCACCTGCGGGTGGCTGTCCCACCCTGCCCTGAGCACCCCGCACGGTGTGGGCCGAGGCAGGTGAGTGTGGCCTCCTGGAGTGACCACCAGCCCGGGGATGCGAGGACAGGCCGGCGCGCTGCCAGGCGCCCCTCCCAGGCCTCAGAGCTGGGCCTGAGCAGGCCCCGCAGGCGGGCTCTGGGGGCATCTGGGTGTGCTCCCCACCTCTGAATGAACATGTTTAAAATTTCTGGTTCCCTGAGATGTGCACGTTCTGGCTGGGGACACCCCCTCCGGGCCCCCCACAGTGGCCGGTCCTCCCCGGGTTCAAGGTCCTGACCGGCATTCCCCGTGGGGCCTGATTCCAGCTCTGGGTGGGCAGCAGTGGGGAGGGGGTGCCTGACCGTGGGGCCGCAGTGGGGCGGGGAGGCCCGTGGGCCGTGGCAGGGCGGGCAGTGCTCACACCACAGAGGCCAGGGAGGGGCCGGCAGGTCACCGGCACTGGGTGGCCCGGATGCCCAGCGGCCGGCAGGCCTGGACGTGGCGGGGTGCTCGGGGGGCTGCAGCCCACCCCTGCCCCCCACCCTGCCTGCTGCCCCTCAGGCACAAGGCCCCTGGTCCCACCCCCTCCCAGCCCGGCCGTCCTGCAGGAAGGTGCCTTGACGTCTGGGCTGCCCGGGCCTCCTCGCCTCGCTCCCCGCCGCCCTGCCCGCCACGCCACCCCTCCCAGCCTGGCCTGGGCCGTGATCGCAGAGGGAGGCGGTGCAGGCGCCCCCAGAATGAGACCGTGGGCGCCCACCACACGTGGCTCTGGGGCGGCCGGGGGCGCGCGTCCTCCCCGGGGGCCTCAGGCACAGGGGTGACATGGCCGGGACCCCGCCCGCCTCCCGCCCACAGGCCCCGCCGCTGCCGCTCACCCGCCTCGCAGCGCCGCCCGGAGAAGCCGCGGGGGCAGTCGCACTTGAACTTCCCCACGTAGTGGAAGCAGGTGCCGCCGTTGCGGCAGGGGCCCGAGGCGCAGGGGTCCGGCCTCCCTGGAGGCAGGAGAGGGCCGGTCAGGGCCGGTCAGGCTCAGGGGCGCCCTGCCCCCCGCCCCCGCCGGGGCCGCGCGGGCTCACCGATCTCGCAGTGCCGGCCGGTGAAGCGGTAGGGGCAGCTGCAGCGGTACTCGCCCGCCGCCTCCCTGCACGTGCCCCCGTTCCTGCAGGGCCCGGAGCTGCACAGGCGCGGCCGGGCTGCGGGTGGGGCCCGTGTGAGCAGCGCCCGGCTCAGCCCTGCGCTCGGGCCAGGCCGGGGCAGCGCAGCCAGCCAACCCGGCGCGTGGGGCGCCCGAGACCCCCCGCAGCCTCAGCGCCCCCGCCACGGGCGCTCTCGTACCTGCTGGTGGGGTTGGCCCGGTGCAGCAGACACTGCACCCCCACACGGGGGCCCGGGGCCTCAGGTGGCGGCCTGGCACCCGTCCCTGCGCAGCCCTAGGCCCAGGACCTGGAGCCCCGGGCTCTGTTCTCACGCCTGTGCCCCCACCCCGACCTGATGTGTGCGCCCGCGGGTGGGGAAGCGGGACACCCACGGGGGCTGCTCTTCAGGCCCCTGCTGCCTCCAGTTTTGGTGGAAGTGTGCACCCCACTTCCACCTCTTCCTCCCAAGCCCTGTGGGGTCTCACCGGCGCCATGCCCAAGTTCTGGTCCCTGCACCCCTGAAAGCAGCCACCCATGTCCCTGGGGTCTGGACTTGGGCCCAGAGATGTCAGTGTTGGGTCTGGGGCTGGGCTGGGCCTGGGCTTGGGCTGGGCCTGGGGCTGGGCTGGGCCTGGGCTTGGGCTGGGCCCTGGGGCTTGGCCCAGGCGGCTCCCACACAGTGGTCCCCAGCAGGGGTCCTGGGAGTGCACGGTGGAGGGGGCCGAGGGCTTCTCCTGGGAGAGCCTCTCCTTCCCGCGGGGAGGCGAGGCCTGGGTGGGGCTCCCCGTCCAGCCCCAGCCCCCGCTCCCGGGAAGAGCCCCAGGTAGGGACATCTGTGGCCGGTGCCCACAGGGGGCTCGAGCAGCCTCCTCTGCTTCTGACCGCGGGGTGCCCCGGGCCCATGGGACTGGCAGCTACTCGGCCGCGCTGGGCAGGGGCCGGCCCCAGTGCAGGCAGTGCCCGAGGGCGGCCGCCCACCTTGCTCGCAGCGCTGGCCGTGGAAGCCGCGCGGGCACACACACGCGTAGGCGTCGTCCCGGGCCTCGCAGGAGCCTCCGTTGACGCAGGGGTCCGAGTCACAGGGCGACGGCAGCGCTGGGGACAGAGAGGGTCCCGGGCGGGCGCCACGCTCACCCCCAAGAGACCAGGTCTCCCCGGCCCGGCCGGGCCGTGCCCTCCCCTGCCCTCCGGAGCTGGGGCTGAGCTGGGCACAGACGCGCAGTGGCCCGCGCACGCCCCGTCCTGTCCACGCCGGCAGGACCGGGTCAGGCCACCCGGCAGGCGGCGAGGTCAGAGTGCAGTGACCCCCGCCTCCGCACCCCACCCCCTGGGTGGCAGAGCGCGGAACCCCCATACTTGGCCAGTGACAACCCTGTTTAGCCCCGAGTGCTCAGCCCTGCCCAGTGACTGCAGCCTCAGGGGCGTCGGGGCGGCCCCCTGCAGCGTCCAGAGGTGGTTTCCCACGGGCGCCTGGCGGGGTTTCGGCTCCGGAGCAGCCGCCAGCACAGGAGAGGCGCCTCCTTCCCCTCCCACCCTCCTGCCTGGGCTAGGAGGACCCCGCGTGTGCCCCCTGCACGTGCCCCCGCTGCGCGCCCCCACGCATCCCCATTCACCCCTCTCCACCCCCCACCCCCCGCCTGCAGCGCCTCTCACAGTGGCTGACGTTGCGCGGCGTGTGGCAGACGCACAGGTAGCTGCCCGCGTGCTCCATGCAGTAGCCCCCGTCCGGGCACTGTGTGTTCACGGTGCAGGGCGTGGCCGTGACCTCTGCGGGAGAAGGCCCGGCTCCCTTCCGCACCCCGGCCTTGGCCCCCTGCTGGCTGCCAGGCCACCCCTCCTGGGCGAGCACAGGGCACAGGGGCAGGATCTAGACCTGTGCCCCCGTGGGCCCAAGCCAGGCACCACTGGGGTGTCTCGGGGCCCTGGGCACCTACCGAACTCACAGAGGAGCCCGAAGAACCCGGGGGGACACTGGCAGACAGTGGCGTTGGCCTCTAAGCATCTGCCGCCGTTCTGGCACTCACAGCCCGCGGGGGTTCCTGCGGCAGCCAGAGGGGTGCTCCAGTGCGGGTGCGGTGCCACCCCGCACCCCCCACCCTGTGTCCCCCGCCCGCCACCCCACGCCCGCCACCCCGTGCCCGCCACCCGCACCCGCCCCGCCCACGCACGCTCCCTGCAGTGGGGCCCCGCGAAGCCTCCGGGGCACTCGCACACGTAGCCCTGCTCCGCGCCCACACAGGCGCCCCCATTCTGGCAAGGGGCTGAGAGGCAGGCGTCCGGCTCCGGGGTGCCTCCTGCAGAAAGGTGGTGGAGCCCGCGGTCAGCAGGAGACCTCGCCGTGCCCAGCCCTGCCCCGCCACCCGGACAGCAATGAGCAGGGTGCAGGGGTGGGGGGCATGCGCCTGGATATGAAGGGGCCTCTGTGACCCCCACAGAGCCTGGGGCAGTGAGGCCGTGGAAGTGGGGTCCCCCTCCTTCACAGTGGGGGCCGGATCTGATGTGGTTGCTCAGAAGCGCGGAAGGGCAGCGTGGCCAGGTGGGGAGCAGCGGGGTCTCGAGAAGGGTCCCCCCATGTCCAGGCTGTGAGCCCCTCCGGGGCTAGAGGGAACAGCCCGCACTCCTGCCAGCAGCAGCGGGGCTTTGGGGTTCAAGGGCACAGACGGCAAGGGGACTTTGTGCCGCCCCCCCAGCTGGTGGACCCCAGAAGCCCCTGGTGCCCATCAGCCTGCCTGGGGGAGGGTGTCCGGCTCCCACCACCTCCGCAGGGTCTCCGCCCCAAGCTGAGCTCGGGTGTGGTCAGGGCTCTAGCCAATCTGGGGAGCTAGGCCCCTCCTCTGGACCCCGGGCTGCTGACCTGCCCACGCCCACAGCGCGAGCCAAGCCCTCTAGCACACGCAGCCCCACAACTGTCCCTGCGGGCGCCACCTGCCCCAGCTAGGCGGGCCCTGTGCCCCCCACCCCGCACTGCTGGGCCTGGCCGCCTCCTACCTGCCTCGCAGATGGGTCCTCGGAAGCCAGCCGGGCACTGGCAGCTGAAGCCATGGGCACCAGGCGCACACGTCCCTCCGTTCCGGCAGGGCTGGGAGGCGCATGCGTCCACATCTGGGGGCAGGTGCGGACTCAGCGCAGGGCCCAGCCCGGGCGGGCGGGGGCACAGCACTGCGGCCCAGGGGCGCTCCTGCCTGCACATGGCCTGCGGCTCTCAGACCCGGTGGCCGCCCAGGGAACGCACCCAGAACGCACCCAGCTGGCACTGCCGCCCGGTGAAGCCCGAGAGGCAGGAGCAGCTGTAGGAAGGGTTGCCCGTGACGCAGTCATCGATGCACTTGGCGCCGTTAAGGCAGGGGCGCAGGGCCAGGCACACGGAGGCTGCGGGCAGAGGGACACGGTCACCCCCCTGCCCCGCTGCGGCCTCGCCTTCCTCCTGTGACCGGGCGGCGCCCCACGCTGCACCACCGCCGCCTTCTCCACCCACCGAACCTGCCCGGGCCAGGAGGACACAGGGGCCAGGCCCGGCGGGGGGCCAAGGCCTCCTGGGCAGGACAGCCAGAGCAGGACAGGAGCTATGGCCCTGGGGCTACAGCGGCTGGTGCGCCCTTGGGTGAGCCCCGCGCCGGGAAGCCAGTGCTTCCCCAAGCAGGCCAGGGCAGAGCCGGCCGCCCAAGGTCCCTGAGGACCGCCGCCGCTCCTGGCCCGCTCAGCTCCGGGGCGGCCCGCAAGGACAGAGGCCCGGGGCTCCGGCTCCTGGCGCCACTCTCAGCCCAGGACACCGTCATTCCCGGCAAGTGGCCCCCATGACCGGAGGCGAGAAGTGACAGCACCTCCCACCCCCCGCAGGAGACCGGCCCCGCGGCGCGGCCGCTGGGGCTTGTCCAGGACCAGGGCCTGGAGAAGGGACAGGAGGGGCCCCGCCCCGCCCCTCGCCGTGGACCCCGCCCCTCGCCGAGCCCCCCCCGCCCCCGCCCCGCCGCGTGGCCCCGCCCCCGCTGAGGCCCCGCCCCTCGCCGCGGCCCCGCCTGAGGTGGCCCCGCCCCGTCCCTCGCTGAGGCCCCGCCCCGCCCCTCGCCAGGCCCCGCCCCGCCCGCCCCCGAGCCGCGGGTCCGCTTACTTGTATGGCCGCAGCCCCCCACGCGCACCTGGGCATCATCGATTCTGAACGCCCAGCGCCCGGGCTCGCCCACGTTGGTCGTGGTCTCCACCTCGGCCATGTCCGCCGTGCGCGAGCCGGGGATGCTGAAGTAGCGCAGCCCGTCGCCCGCGTTGAAGCCGGCCTTGGGGTGCGGACAGTGGGGGCAGGTACGGGCTCCCTAAGCCTCCGAGCCCCCCGCGGTGGCCGGGGTCGGCGGGGTGTCGGGGCGGCCCACCTCCAGGGGTACCGAGCCCCTCCTGGCCTCCGCGGGGCCGGCGGCCGCAGGACCGAGCAGGCGGGAGGTGGGGCTGGCGCGGCCGCCCCGCACACCTGGGGCCCGGGGCCACCCGGGGCCGCGCCCACCCCGCCCGGCCGCTGGCCTGCGTCGGCCCCGCCGGCCTCGGGCCTCCGCACAGTCCGTCCCTCCCCGCCCCGCCCCGGGCCGGGCCTTACCTGCGCTGCGATGCCCCCAGGCCGCTGGCGTTGCCCCCGCTGCTGGCGTGCGTGCCCGTGGTCCACGTGATGGACTCGTAGTTGAAGATGGTGAAGGAGAACTTGCCGTCGGTGATGAGCACCGTCTGGAACGTGTTGACCTGCGGGGAGAGGCGGTGAGCCGGCCCTGCCCTGCGGCCAGCCCCCAGCCGCGCAGAGCAGGCCGCGCCTGCAGGGCTGGGCGCCGCCCAGGGGTGATCCCCATCGCCCAGGGGTGATCCCCATCGGCTGGCACGGGGCGGGCCGCCCGGGGCGAACTACCGGGTTGCCTCCCTCGAGGGGCGGGAGCGGCCGTGTGGAAGGGAAGGAGCCAAGGGGGCACGGCGGCAGCGACAGGACTCTGTGGGCTTGGCGGACTGTCCCCTGCCCCCCGTGCCCACGGCTGCACGTGCCCACCGGGCCGACTGCGCACCGGCACAGGCGGCTGCATGCTCGGCGACCCTCGTGCCAGGAACGGGGCGCCCCAGGGACGGGGCCGGGCTGGTGGTGGGACCCCCTGAAAAGCGGCGAGCTAGTTCTGGGCGCCCCGCGGGGGACGGAGTGGAGAGAGGGTGTAGGCAGAATCATGAAAGTCCTGGAGGACACCGGCTGCTTGTGGCCGAGGCCCTGGAGGGTGGGGGTGGGAGAGAGGGCGGAGTGGGGCGTCCATAACAGATTTTGAAACCGCAGCCCCCTCAACTCAGCAGGGCCCACAACATAGCAGGAAAGCCCAGAGCAAGGGCAGAGGCGTTGGCGAAGGGCGGGAGGACCCTGCGGAGGCGCCGGCCAGGGGAGGCCCAGGGCGCGGTAAGGCCGTCCTCGCCTGCAGGGGCTGGGGGGAGGGGTGGGGGCGGCGCTGTGCACGAGGACCTGGGCAGACCCGGGCGGGCGCGGGGTGTCCTGGCCCTGGCCTGCTCTGCACAGGCTGGGTGGGCCTCTCACATCCACTGGGCACCCGCGAGGGGCTGCGTCCAGGCGGGGCCAGCGACTCAGCACTAGCGCCCCAGACCCAGAGGAAGGGGCAGCCGCAGGGCAGAGCTGGGAGCGCCTGGGCAGGTGGGCCAGGTGGGGGTGTGGGGCCCACAGGGAGGGTGGGGGCCGGCCACTAGAGAGCCACCGGAGGCCGTGGCCTTCAGCAGACACTGGGAATGAGCTGGCTTCCGGGATCCCCTGCCCCATGGTGACCTCGGCCAGGCGGGCAGGGTCACTCCAGGCAGCCAGCCCCTCCGGAGAAGGCCGTGTGCTCTGCCGCGTGCTCCACCCCTGAGGAAGGACAATCCCCACATGCCCCAGGTGGGCCCAAGAGCCCCGGCCACGCCCTGGCGGCAGCGGATCCTGAGGCCCCGACTCACAGGGGAAGAGGCGCTGCCTCCGAAGAAAGTCACGCGGAGCCAGGTGGCCACGAAGACCCAGCTGGCGGAGAAGCGGGGCAGCTCCGGGAAGTAGCGCCGGACGTCGGCCGAGGCGCGCTGCAGCGTGGCCGGGTCCGTGGCCTCCCGGTAGTGCACGTCACCGGCTCGCCGGTTGTCCACGTCCGCCCAGAAGGCTGCCACCACGCAGCGGTCATTGGCAATGGGGAAGGCCGCCGGGGTGAACTGGGACACCTCCTTCAGGAAGGAGATGACCCCGTTATTGTTCACCTGTTGGGCAGAAATCCAGAGGGGTCATGGGGGGCTGCAGGCGGGCGGGTGGCCAGCGGCCGCCCCCCCCGAGATGCCCTCTGAGGACGAGCCGGCCCCAGGAGGCCCCGGTGTCCAGGGCGGGAGGCTGCCTGCCCTCCAGACGGGGGGTCTGGGCGCCCAGTGTGCTCTGGCCCCAGGTGGGCTGCCCGGTGGTGCTGGCTCCCGGGGCCTCCCGGGCGCAGGACATGCCCAGCCTCACAGCCAGGGCTGGGGGTGAAGAGGGGGGGCCGGGCGGGGAGTCAGTGCTCGGGCCGCAACGGCAGGGGCCGGCATGGATGGGGCTGGAAAGGCCACGGCGGGGGCGGGAGGGACGCTGTGCTCTGGACACCAGGCTGTGGAAGGCCTGGAGGCCCCTGGCAGGGCAGTGGAGCGTCCTCCCTGGCCAGAGGCGTCCGTGCCCCGGGCCTGCACGGGACACGGTGCTGTGGGACTCTGGCTGGGGTGTGGAGGGCCCTGGGGACCCTTGGCAAGGGCAGGCCTTGTCCCTGGCCACCGAAACGGGCAACCATCCCCCCCGCCCCCCTGCTCTCCGGGGCCCCTGACAGCCACCCATCCCGCACGGGGGCCCGCCCCAGCCCGGGCCCCAACCTCGGCAACCTCAGGAGGGACAGAGCTCGGCACTTGCTCACGGCCGCGGCTGGTCAGCCCCCGTGACGCAGGGTCCCTGGGGGCCCCTGACAGTTGGGGGAAGCGCAGGTGAGCCACCCTGCCCAGGCTGCGCCCCCGCCCTTCACCCCAGCAAGGCTGGCGCTCCACGCCTGACACGGACGAGGCGGTTCCTGGGGCCTCCCGTGCGCCGAGGCAGAGGAGAGCCCCCAGGCAGAGGCATGAGTCCCCCTCTAAGTGAGTGTTCAGATGCGCAACCCAGGACGCAGGCAGAGGGTCCACTGAGGAGCGGGCAGGGCAGGAGAGCGCGGTTCCGGGGTTCCGGCACAGACTGGGGGTTACAGCACAGACGGGGGTTCCGGCACAGACCCGGGGTTGCGGGGACAGACCGGGGGTTATGGGCGCAGACACAGGGTTCCGGCACTGACCCGGGGTTCCGGCACTGACCCGGGGCCGCGCAGGCCATGCCCCCAGAGGTGAAACGCAGACTTTAAAATTCCGTCGGGTGAGCAGGGCAGGCGACCTTGGTGAGGAGCCAGGCTGGACGGCTCCATCTCCCCGATTTCAAGACTCAGCCCCAGGTGGCAGCAGCCAGGGCAGGGGCAGCGTGGACAGGTTGGGCAGGCAGCTTGGGGGCTCGTGCACCGGCCCCGCTGCGGAGCCCACCACCCCCAGAGCCCAGGACAGAGCTACCTCAGGGGTCAAGGAGCCAGACGGGGCGTTGCAGACACAAAACTCAGAGGAAAACCTGAAAATTCCGTGACGCCGAGAGTCTCGTGGTGACGTCTCGGCTGACACGAGGGGCCCTGACGCGGGGGAACCAGCGAGACCCGCGCCGGACCCGGCGGGGACAGGCCACAGGCGCGAGGCCCCCGGGAGGGTGGCCTGTGTGCGGGGCCCGGCGGCCAGGCTCCCCTGTCTGGGTGCAGCCGGCCGAGGGGGCGTGTGGGCTGCAGACACAGCACGGGGAGCACAGCGGCGGGAGCACAGTGTGGGGAGCACGGCGCCGGGGGCACGGGGCGGGAGCACAGCGTCGCACCCCGCGGGCTGCCCCCGCGCCACCCACACTCGGCGCCCAGGTAAGAGGAGAGAAGCAGACACTTGCGAACCGGCCCCGAAACGCCGGTGAGGAGCCGCCGAAGCCCAGACTCCAAGCGTCTCCCGGGGCCAAGGGCCTCCCGCTGCCTCTGCGGCCCCCGCCCCAGCGGCCTTCGGAAGCGTCGGGCGGCGGCGGCGGGTCCAGGCCCAGTGGCCGGCGGGCATCTAGCGGGGCGGCGACGCGGGCGCTGGCGGCGGGCGCGGCAGGCTCAGGCCTGTGCAGAGCAGGCCCGGGGGCCGCCGGGAGGTCGTGGGCAGGGCCGTGGCCGCGGGCTGTGGCCCCAGAGCGCGGGCGGCGCGGGACCCGGGCCCTCGGGCGGTGGTGCTGGATGGTCCAGGGGTGCCCATCGCGCCGGCAGAGGCCCACGCGCCCACATTCTCGTGGGGGCTCCAGCCCGGGAGCCCGGGTCGAGCGGGCATCCCACCCCTGCCGCTGGCCCCGGCAGCCGCCGGCCACCTCCCCGGGGCCCCGGGACCTCGGCTGCGCACGTGCGGTGGCGCGCGGGGCCTTGGCGGGGCTGGGCGGCGGCTGCCTCCCCGCGGGCCCCTTCCCTGGTCGGCGTGAAAGGCCGGTGAGGTCCTCCGGCCCAGGCCCCTGCCTGGCTTCCCGGCCCGACCCGGCCTGGGGGCCACTCGGCTCTGCGCCCCAAAAGCCGCAGATGCTGCAGAAAGACGCCTAGAAAGATCTGAGGAGCAGGAGGACGCTCGGGAGTCACAGAACAGGCTCGTCAGGGCGGCCACGCTCAGGGGCGGGTCAAGTCCTGGCTTTCCCGCAGGCTGGAGACTTGGGGGACCCTCGGCCCCCTCGCGGGGAAGCCGGCACCAGGGCGGGGGCTGCGCACGGCCCCCCAGGCTGCGGTTCTGAGCAGTGAAGAACTGCTCCGAGTGGAGCCAGAAGGAAACGCACCTCGCCCAGACGTGTGGGGGCCGCGCCCGCCAGAGCCGGGGCCCCGCGGACCTCGGGCCTCCCACCCGCCAGGCCCGCCCCGAGGCGGGTGTGTGGGGCCGGCCGGCCGGCCAGGCCCGCAGACGAAGGCAGGAAACTGCACGGCTGCCCGCGCCGCTCGGGGCGCTGCGCTGACCACGCTGGGGCCCCGGGCTGGGCGCCAGGCGGATGCGAGTGCTCGAGGGCGGCCCCAGCAGGCGGGCGTGGGGGGGAGCCCGGCGGGAGGCTGTGGACTGCGCCTCCCGGTGCGGGGCTGCGTGTCCCCGCCAAGGACCGCGCTGGCCCGGCCGCAGCCCGCGAGAGCCGAGAATGGGAGCAGGAACAGCCGAGGGCGTCCAGGGACGCGGGTGCCCGGGCGCGGGTGCTCGCCCACGAGGTGCAGGGGTGCGGCAGGGAGAGGCCGCGGGGCTCAGGCGGGCAGGCCAGGCTGTCGGCGCTGGGGTCCCTCCGGGTGGCGTCCCAGCTGTGGGGCCCACGCGCCGGCCCCTCCCGCCTGTGTTTGGGGAAGGGGTTGCGGGCAGGACGCTGGGCCTGGGGAGGCCTCTGGGGGAGGCGGCTGCAGGTGGGGTGGGGGTCTGGGCTGCAGGGGCAGCGACCTGCGGGTGGGCCCTGTCACCCCCAGGCCGGCCACTGGCCGCTCCTCAGCCGCCCCCCGCCTGGGGTGGGAGCTCAGCCCCACGGCCACTCCCTCCGCCCTGTCCCCCCCACCAGGACAGGGGGACCCCCGCAACCCTGTGCTTGCCCCAGGGAACACCTGAGCACCCCGTGGGCAAGGTGGGGACAGGAGCTGGGCCCCGCGGGGAAAAAGGTGGGAATGGGTGCACATCAGGGCCTTCTCGGGGGCCTCTGTTCCCTTGGGGAGGGAGATGCTGTTCCCGCCAGTGGCCACCTTGCTGTTTCTCCTCCCTGCAGTGCCCCGAAAATGAGCAGGACGGGCCCCACCCCAGGCAGGCCAGCAGCCGGCCCCGCCCACTGTGCTGGTGGGCCCTGGGGGGGCGAGCTGGGCCTGGACCATGGCCTGGAGCCCTGCCTGCTGGCCCCACCGGGGGCCTGCGCGGCCCAGCAGGACATTCAGCCACTGGACACCCGGGGGCAGCAGGGAAGAGGCCACGGTGGAGTCACTGCTCTCCAGGGAGTGGCCTGGTGCCCTGCGGCCTCTCCCCCGAGCCTCTCCCCTGAGCCCCTCCCCGAGCCCCTCCCCGAGCCTCTCCCCTGCAGCCTCCACCTCCCTCCACCACCCTCCACCGTCCTCCACCCGTCCACTCAGCGAGCCTGCTCTTTGCCAGGCAGTGGGCCGGGGCCCACATGGGGCAGAAGCCAGTGTGACGGGCCCAGCCCATGGAGCTTCCTCCCTGGACACCAGGCAGTGCCGGGTTGGGGGCCGGCTGATGTCTGTCCCCCTGTTGGATGAGGGTCAGAGCCGGTGCTCACAGGGCAGGAGCCTCCTCCCGGGGTGCCCGGTCAGGTCCACCTGCTCTGGGATGGGAACCTTCCATCTCTCGCCTGGCTGACCGCCAGTGTCCCCCCACGCCCTGCCCTGTTCCCCGTCCTGGCCACCGAGCGCTGGGGCTGCTCAGCCGGGGTTTTGCGAGCCCCCGTCGTTCTGCACAGCAGGGAGAGGCCGTGGGGCTCCGTGCGCCCACGCCACATGCGCTTTGTCGGCGCCGCGGCCCAGGGAGGCCCGCCGCCGGCCAGTGGCCAGATGCCCCCGCTGGTGTGCCAGCAGCTCTCCCCGTGGGGCCGACCCACCCGGTCGCGTGCCGGGAGGGCTTCCGGGACACTGTTACGCGCGTTGCCATCTCGGTGATGTCGCCTGTGACGCTGAGCGGGAGGGTGGGCCTGGCCCAGACGCCCGGGGACGTTTGGACAGCGTCCCCTACAGCGCGCCAGCGAGGGTCCCTGTTCCTCAGCCGGGCTCGAGCGGCGCCACAGGCCTGACCGCTCTGCCCTGCCCACCCGCCCCCGGGGGCTTCCGGCTGGGGCGTCCACCCGGGCAGTGGTCACCGTCACCGGCACGCGCCGAGGGGGCGGCAATGGGAGACGCGGGGGCGGGGCTGCGGGCGGAGGGGCTGGCGCTGGGGTGGGGGTGACAGGGGCCGGTGGGGCGCGCGAGGGCACAGCAGGCGGTGCCCGTGGAGACCCGGCTGGGGGTGCCCGGCACGGCCCACCGCGGAGAGGTGAGCGCGGGGCGCAGACGCGGGCGGCGCCGCCCCCGTGGGTCACGAGCAGCTGGGGGACGGCCTGCGCGCCCGGCCCCCGCGAGGCGCCCCCACTCGGGAGCCCCGGGGCGCCCCTGGGGGCCGGGCCCAAGGGGAGGGAGGGGGGAGAGGTCAGAGGTCGCCCCTCGCACCTGTGCTGCGGGCGCCGCCCCGGCCCGGCCGCCCCAGGTGTCAGCGGGCCGGCCGGTCCCCTCCGGGGAGCAGCCCCCGCCAGGTGCCCCAGGGCGGGCGCCGCGGGGCGCGCGGGGCGCCCGCCGAGGTCCGGGCCGGCGGGGCGGGGCGGGCGCCCCTGGCCGGGTCTGCGCGCGCCCCCCGCCCCCCGCGCGCCCCCCGCGCGCCCCCCGCGCCGAGGCCGCCCCCGCGCGCCCCCGCCCCCCGCCGGGCACTCACGTAGAGCCCCGAGTGCGCGGCGCCGAAGAAGGGGAAGGGCGCGGCGAGCGCGCGCAGCCCGGAGCCGCCGTCGTCCTGCCGCGGGGTGGCCGCGTCCCCGCGCTCCGCGCCGAACGGGTAGAAGTCGGCGAGCGCCACCGCGCCCCGCGCCCCGCGCGCCCCGCACCCCAGGATCGCCGCCAGCAGCAGCGCCCCGGCCGCGCGGCGCGGCATCGCGGGCGGGCGGGCGGGGCGGGCGGGGCCGCGTCGGGCCGGGCCGCGTCGGGCCGGGCCGGGCCGGGCCGGGCCGGGCCGGCGGGCGGGGGGCGCCGTCGGGGCCGCGCCGGCAGCGCTGGGGCCGCGCTCGGGGCTCGAGGAGGCGCGCGCGGGACCGCGAAGGGCCGGCGCCGCCCCCGGGCCGCGGCTTAAGTACCGCGGCGGCCGCTCGGGCGGGGCGGGCTCTGAAAGCGCCAGGCCGGGCGGGGGGGAGGCCGCGCCCCCCGCGCCCCCGCCCCCGAGGGGGCCGCCCCCGCCCCGCCCCGCGGCCCGCCCCGCCCCGCCCGGCCCCTCCGCGGCGGCCGAGCCGGCTCCTGGCGGGGGCGGGGGCGCTTCCCGCTGGCCCGCGCGCGCCCAGGACGCCGGGCGGGGGCTCCCCCGAGGTCCCCGCCGGGCTCGGGGAACCCGCTGGCCAGGGAGGCCCGGCCCGCGCCCAGAGGGCCCGAAGCCCGGATCCGAGCCTCCCCCGCGGGCGGGGGCGCCGCACCCCGCGCACCCCGCCTCCCGGGCTCGCCCGCCGCCTGGACAGGAACTGCCCCCGCCTGCCCCCCGCCTGCGCCCCGGCCTGCCCCCCCCCCGCCTGCCCCCCCGCCTGCGCCCCGGCCTGACCCCCCTGGCCTGCCCCCCCCCCCCCCCGTCCCCCGGCCTGCCCCCCCGGCCTGCCCCCCTGGCCGGCCCGCGCTTGCCCGGAGCCGGGGGCTGCCTGCAAGGGGTGGCAGCGGGGCCCAGTACTCTGGGAGCCCCGGGGGGGGGGGCCCTGGCTGTTGGGGGGTGGGCGTGTGCGGGGGCCCGGCCATGTGTGTGCTGGGGAGCTGGCTGGGGCGCAGGGCTGGTGGGGCCACCCTGCCTGGCTCCAGAGGGCGCCCCGCAGAGCGGCGCTGGTTGCGGAGTGCCCTGAGGCGGCGCGAAGGCCCCAGAGCAGGGCGCGGGGACAGGGAAGGCTGGGCGGGCTGCAGGTGGCAGAGGCCAGGCACACCCACACCGCACCCGGCACACGTGTGCTTGCCTGCGGAGACACCGCGCCACTCACACCCCACCGCATGTCACACCCGCTCACACGCAGACACTTGCACACTCAGCCAGCTCCAGGGAGCCCCTGGGAGGCTCAGGTTGAGCCCCGGCGCAAGCCGCCCGGGTGGGGCGGCCCCGCCAACCCCGCCCCACTGCCTGCCCGCCCAGCAGGACGCTGAACTGGGCCCTGCTGGACACGCACCAGCCCCTGAGCCTTGGTCGGGGGCCCCTAGTGAAGGCATTTCAGTGAAGTTGGGGACCCGGGGGGGCGGGATCCAGCGTCCAGCGCCCAGGTGCTCGCAGGTGCACTGGGAAGGGCTGCTGGTCCCCCAACTGGGAGCTGTTAGCCCAGACCAGGGTCCCCTGCGTGGGGGGCGCCCCTGCCCTCCCCCAGTGAGCGCTGGGGCCCGTCCAGGGCTGGTGCGCCGCCTGGGAGCCAGGCCAACCAGGCCTCGCAATGCCCCCCACCTCCCCACACCACTGCGGGGCGAGGAGGAGCAAAGATGTTTATTTTTTTGAGGTGCTAAAATATTCTCAGGAAATGCTCCCGGGGCCGGCGCTGTCTCCTGCCGCAGAGCCCTCCTGAGCACCCCGCCCCTCGCGCTCCGCAGGGCGCTGCCCGCCCGCCTGGACCTGGCCACAGGGCCTGCGCCTGGACGCCCGGCCTGGGTGCCCTGAGGGGCGGGGGCGAGGCTCGCTGCGTCCGGGGGCTGCGCCTGGCTCAGATGCTGTCCCTGTCGGCCAGGGGTGGGGGCTGCTGGGGTGGCTGCAGCCCTGACTCGCTCCCTGCCCCTGAGGGGCAATCGGGGCCACGGACCCCAAGAACTGGGGTCCCCCTGTGTGGGCACAACCAGAAGCCAGGCCCAGGCACACCCTCCACCTCCAGTGGGGTCAGAGGTCAGGAGCAGGCGGGGCTGCTGGGTCGGGGCGGGGCTCCGGCTCCAGGTCCACCGCAGTCCCCGTCTCCTGGCCTCCGGGCCCTCCCTGGGGCAGCAAGGGGGCAGCTCCTGGCCCTCCACGGGCACCCGCTCTCAGAGTGACGGGGGCCCAGCGCCCCAGGACACCCCCCACCCGCTTCACTGACAGGGACAGCCCCCAGGGTGCCCCCACGCCAAGCGAGAGAACATTCTGGAACAGCCCCGTGGGCAGGGGGAGCTCGGAGCGCCCAGCAGGCCCACAGGCACGGGGGCGGGGCCTCCTCGCGGCTTTTGTTACTAGTTTCATCGTTGAAAATTTTCTTTGCAATTATTGGGAAAATATTAGTGTTTCAGAAACACCCCGGGGCTCGGCTGGCTTCTGGGCAAGGGGCAGGGCCCGCAGGTCAGCCCAGCCGCGCCCGGCCCCCCAGCCCCCCCCACTGTCGGGCCAGGCTCCCCCCAGCCCCGGCCCAGCCCTCTGGCCTGGCCACCCCACACCCCTGCTCCCTTCCCCCTCCCCCCACCCACCCACCTGGCCTGCCCCCCCCCCCCACCTGGCCTGGCCCAGCCCCCACTTCCATGAGAAACGCCTGCTTTTCCTCAGTGTCAGCCTCCTGTTGAAGGAGCAAAGGGCCCCCATGCCTGGCGGCTCCCCAGCCTCCCCATGCGAGCGGGGGGCGCAGCTCCCAGGGTGACCCCAGAGCCCTGGCCTTCGGGCTGCGGAGGACAGGGCCGTGGGGACCCCCTCCGCCTGCAGGTCCTTGCCGGATGGGGTGTAGGAGCCCCCGGAGGGGGTCGGGGGGGTGGTCCGGGGCCATCCTGCCCTCTCAGTGGCCCCCGCTCCGCAGAGCCCCTCCGGCGGGGTCCCGCCGCTGCCCCCTGCGGCCCTCACGGCTCTCTCCCCTGGGGCTCTGGCCGCTCCCCACCCCGACCCCTCCTGGTCAGCCCAGTCCAGGTCTTGCCACCGACGCCGGCCCGTCCTGGGCGCAGCTGCAATGGCCGCGACGCGGTGGCTCATCAGCATGGCCGCCTGCCCCCAGCTGGGGTCCTGGAGTGTGGGATGGGGCCCAGGGGCTGTGCGGGAGCCCTGATACCCTAAAGCCACTACCGGGAAGCAGCTGTTGAAGTGGCAGGAGACGAGCCACCAGGGCACCCGCCGGCCACCGAGGGCCAGCCCCACGGGTGCCCAGGCCAGGGCTCGGCTGTGACCAGGGGCTCTGACCCCCAGGGCCAGCAAGGTCTGGGGACTGCTGCTGAGTCTTGTCCACCACCTGCCCCCATAGGCCTGTCGCTCCTGGACACAGAGGCCTTCTCGGGTGTGGGGTGGCACTGGGCGTATGGGGTACGTTTCTGATTCCTGTTGGCCAGGAATGTCCCCAAGTGATCCCCTGAGCTCACAGGGCAGAGGACGCAAGGTGCAGCCTGGCCACTGGGGTCTGGCCAGCTTGCCGCGTCCAAAGCAGATGCCGAGGCCCAGGCCAGGCAGCGGGGGAGGGCAGAGCCCCGCTCCCTGGGGCTGGGAGTTGGGAGGGGTGACCTTGAGTGGCTGAGGTCCTGAGGAACTCTGGTCAGCAGGGGAGGTGACACCCTGCTGCAGCCTCACAGGCCAATCCCGAGGGGAGCAGTGCCCCGGGCCGGGGTGCCCGTGCCTGCCCTCCGGCCCCGCCCTCCAGCACCGGCTGTCCTGGTTGGTGCGGCTGCAGTGGGCTCATGGCTGGGCCCGGAAGGCCCGGCCCCGGGGGCTCGCTGCCGCCGCGGCGCTGCTGGGTCCTTTTGCTCCTCCGGCCTGGCCACCTGGGGACAGGGCGGTGTGGGTGGGTCTCCGGGCACACGCAGGCCCCAGGAGCGTGCGGGTGGCTCCGACGGCCCCAGGCGGCCAGGCTCGGGCAGCAGAGGGGGCCCTACCCTGCCTAGGGCCCTGACCAGCAGCACACTCAGCCTCGGGCCGCGGGGGAGACCTTGTGTAGGGGGCTGGCCAAGCAGGCTCCATGCCTCAGGGCCGTCTGCGTGAGTGTGGGCGTGTGCGCGGTTTCAGGCTGTCTGCACGTGTGGGTGGGCTCGGGCTGTCTGCACGCGAGTGGGCGCGTGCACACGGGGGTGGCATGTATGCAGCAGCACTCACCCTTGTCTGTGTGAGCAGTGCACACGTGTGCGACACAGGTGAAGCCCAGGGTGCCACACTTCGCTGCGTCCTGGTCCCCCCCGTGGAAGGACAGTGGGGGCCACCACCCGGTGACGCTGCCTGCACAACCCCAGGGCCTCCTTGTGGAGAGGGTCCGGGCCCTGCCCCCACAGCACGAGGCCGCACCCGGAGGGGGACGTGAGGGCCCAGGTCCGGGCACAACACGAGTCCTGCTGGGCAGCCCCAGCCCCGCCCGCCACCCATGGGCCCCGCCCCACCTGCTCCTCAGGTGCGTCCGCCCGCCTGCTGTGGGCCTGCTCTCGGGGCTCCCGCAGCCTCTCTGCCTCCGCGGCCAGGTCCTGCTGGTGCTGGGCGGCCAGCTCTCGGAGCTGCTGGGTGTGGGCCTGCACCAGCTCGGCCATCTGGGCCTGGGGGGAGACGGTGCCACGCTGCTGGCCGCTCGGGGACCGCCTCTCCCAGCCCCGAGCCCCCATCGGCCCCTCCCGCCGCTGCACCGGCCATCTCTGCCCTGTGCCGCGCTCCGTTGGACAGGCGGCGGCCAGGCGCCCGCACCCGGGCCCTCTCCGGGACAGGAACCTGGTGCTGGCCGCCACGGTGCGGGGAGTGCCCCGTCCCTCCCGCCTGCGCGAGACAGAGGCACAGGCTGCCCTCGGGACTCGGCTACCCGCCGCCCCACCTGGGCTGGGGGCCCAGAACTGGCGTCTGGCCGCCCCGCAGTGCTGCTCTACCTGCGGCTCTCCCGGCCCCGCAGTGCCTGTCCCCACCCTCGCGGGGGGCCCAGGAGGTCGCAGGGCTGAGGTGGCAGGAGCCACAGGGTGTCCCGTGGGATGTGTGCGGGCAGGGAGCCACGGGTGGGGGTGCAGGGCCTGGGGGCGCCCGCTGGCCTCACCCACCGCCGGCTGGGCACCAGCAGGGCCTGTGGCAGTGCCGTCCCCAATCCCGGAGCCGGGACCCCGCCCCACCGGCCTGCACGGGCAGGGCCAGCGAGCTGGGCTCAAGGGCCAGGTGACCAACAGGGCCCCGAGGATAAGCAGCTGGACACCAGGGTGGGGCCCCTTGCTGTGGCCGGTCCCCTCCCCAGACCTGGTGGGCAGCAGCAGGAGTGGGGCGGGGCTCAGAGTCCAGTCTGCCTTGCCCGCCTCCCCCTTCCCTGGGGGCCAGAGGGGTGGCGCCTTAGTCCCCACCACGGTGTTGGCCGCCCGCTGGACGACAACCAGGCCTGCTCTTCCCGGGACCGAGAGGAGGGAGCCTGTTTCTTTAAAAAACCCAGCTGGACCCTAGAAGTGCGTTCAAGCCCAGAAAGGCGAGATCCAAAGCAAACAAGCGGCCACATCCGGGTTTCCCCTCCTGGGACGGCAATAAAGGGCTGTGGGCTGCGGCCTGCTGCTGACCTCCTGGAACTCATTAGCGCCCCTCCCCCAGCATCATGAGGGCCGCCCCAGCACCGCCTCGGCCCCTGGAGCAGCAGCAGGACCCTGCTGACCGTGCCCGTTGGCTGGTCCTCCCAGGTGGGGGGCAGGTGGCCCTGTGCGGACACGCCAGCCAGCGGCTACGCTACGTGACTGTCCGAGCTGCTGGGGCCTGTGGCCCCATCCTGACCCCAGGCTGTCCCGTGACACTGCCCTTCGCTGGCCCCCACTATCCGGTCACTCCCTCTCCAGGCCCACGTCCTCCTCAGCTGAACGGGGCGTCTGGGGGCCTGGGCCTGCCTGGGACATGGGGGGCTGACAGCCAGCCCAGGAGGTGACTCCCGGGAGCGGGGCCCGAGCCGGCCCCTCGTGCGAGGCGCGCCCTCTGCTCCCAGGAGGCCTGGACCCTGCTGCCCACGCACCCTCGGCGCCATTGAGGTCAGGGCCCGCCGGTCACCGGACAGGCCGCTGCAAGGCCTCACGTGGCACCGGGCCCTGGCCCCTGCCTGCCCTGCAGCCTCTGTCCACCTGGTGCCCACCTGACGGCTCCAGCCGCCGGCCGCGTCATTGAGTCCCAGTTCTTTCAAATGTCCTTGGCAATCCCAGGCCCTTAAAGGCGCCATCAGCCTGTCTCCCTGGAGCAGACAGACAGACGAGGCCCGCGCAGCCACACGCAGCCCCTGGCGAGGCCCGGGGCCCACAGACCAGCCAGCAGAGCCCCCCAGAACGGAGCGGGGTGCAGGGCCAGGCGTGGGCCTTGGGGACGTGAGACAGTCGGGGCCCACCCAGAGCAGGAGCCTCCACCCCAGGGCTCGCCCGCCATTCCCTGGGTTGGGGGGCTGCTGTGGGGAGGGTGGGGGCTCCCGCCTTGTGAAACTGAGGCCTCTGCACGGTCGCGAGTGTGCATGCGGCCGGGGCCTGAGGCGTCGGGGGCCTGGCCAGAGTGGGGGTCTCAGAGACCCCTGGCCACGAGGCTGTGCCCGGGCACGGGCCGGTGGGGTGACCTAGGCGGGGGCTGGGGGCGCCTGGCCTTGGGGGCCGCTGCAGCCCCAGATCACCCTGGAAACGGGGAGGGGCTGTCCTCAAACAAGAATCGTGTTGTTTGCACAGCCCGGCCCACCAGTTAATTAGAAAAATATGTTTTTAATTAACTCTCTCTTGACAAACACTTTGGCGTCTGTGACCGTGCGGGGGAGGGCCGCGGGGGGGGCGAGGGGGTGCGTGGTGGCCGCAGGCCCCGCCCTGGACACGCCCTGCCCGGCAGAAGGCCTGGCCCGAGCCCCTGCCCACAAGCCCCCCGCAGTGACCGCGGGTCTCAGGGACCGGGAAGCCCCTCCAAGCCGGAGGCCGAGGGCGCTGGGGCTGCTGGCCCAGAGCGGGGTGATGACCCCACAGCCACACGCCCCTGGCTCCAGGCTGCCCCCCACCCAGGCAGGCAAAGGGCGGGAGCGGGCACGGCCCCCCGGGAGGCCCGGGCCCCGGGGTGGCTCCGGCCGCGTGCGTGGAGGTGCAGGCAGCGGAGGGCTGAGGCCCGCACCCCATCCCACTCCTTGAGCCCCGGGCTCCTGCTCCCCCTGGGCCCGGCCCTGCCCCGGGCCCCTCTCCACTCCTGAGACCAGCCCCTCCGGGGACCCCACCGCGTCCCCCGGGAAGGGGAGACCAGCCGTGGGCGCACGCGCGGGAACTGGCTGCTGCGGCCAGAGCCGAGCAGGGGGGCGCCGGGGCTGTGGGCAGGCGCGCGAGGCCCGGGACGGGGCTCCAGGCTGGGTGCCGGGGGACACTGTCACCTGCCGTCAGAGGCAGCGCGCGGGGCTCACAGCGCAGGGGCGCGAGGAACGGGGGCGCCGACCCAGGGCGGGAGACGGGCCGCGGGCCTCATGCTCTCGCGCCCTCCTCGCCCACGAGGAGAAATGGGTCACGAGGGGGAGATTCCCGGAGGGGCAGGAGAGGGGAATGGGGGGCAGGGAGGCCGCCCAGAGGGGTGAAGTGTCCGGCGGGAAGAAACACCGAGGCCCAGGCCCAGACCGCGGTCGCCGCGTGGTGGGGCCGGAGCCGGGGCAGCCCTCACGGGCCCTGGGCGACAGGCAGTGGCGCCACTGACCGCCTCTGGGGAGTGTCCGCGCCGGGACCAGGGGCCTCCCGGAGCTGCTGGCCCAGGGACCCCAGAGTGCCCGGAGTCACTGGCACCCGCGGGCGCAGGCTCCTGGGAGACCCCGCCGCCGCCCCCCTCCCCGGCCACTCCAGCCTCTGCCTCCAAGACGGCCCGGGGCTCAGCCCCACCTGGAGCTTCCTCCTGTCCTGGGCGGCCGCCCGCGCGCTGGCCAGGCGCTCCCGGTCCAGCCTCCGCAGTGCCTCCTCCCGCAGGGCCTGGGCGGCCTCGGCGCGGCGCGTCCCGTCCTCCGCCTGGCGCCGCGCTGCGGGCGAGGGGGTGGTATATCTGGGCCCTCGCCCGGCAGAGGGGCGCTGGGCTCTCTTGTCCCCCACCCCTGCTCCTCCTGCCCCTCGCTCTGGAAGTCAGGTTCCCGAGGCCTGGCCAGCGGGCAGGGGAGGAGGAGCCCAGAGCGCAGGGGGCAGGCCGGGATGTGGCGGTCACCTTCCTGGGCCGCCTCCAGCGCCCGCTCCAGCTGCGCCTGGCGGCTCTGGGCACGCGCACGCTCGCTCTCTGCCAGGCTCAGCCGGCTGCGCAGGGCGGCCTCCTGGACGCGCCTGTCATCCTGGGCAGAAGGACTGGGGTCAGTGGGCAGCCCCAGGGGAGGGCGGGCCAGGCAGGGGCGGGGCAGGGTCAGGCGCTGGGGGCCGGGCTCTCCAGAGGGCGGTGGGGTCCGGTCTGCAGCGGGGCAGACAGCGGGCAGTGGTGTGGGCGGCTGGGACCTGGCCCCTTACCCGCTCCTGCCGGGCGTCCCGCAGCTCCTGCACCACATCCCTCAGGGCGTCCTGCACTGCGGCCACGTCCACCTCGGGGCCCAGGTCTGCAGCGGCCAGCACACGTCCTCGGGGCGGCGAGCGGGACCGTTTGTGGGGGCTGGCGCTCCGCTGCATGGCGTGACCGGGGGAGCCCTCCAGGCCTGCGGATGGTGATGGCTGAGGGGCCACGGGCCGCCCCCTCCCCTGTGCGGATCCCACGGGGAGGCTGGGGGAGCGCAGGCTCCCAGCACAGCCCGGCTGGTCTGGGGGGCCAGGGTGGGGAGGTGGCGGGGGCCTGAGCACACTGACCTTGGGTAGGGGAGCCGGGCCGCTCTGGGGATGCCGAGGGGCTCTGTCCCCTCAGCCCCAGGCCGCAGCGCAGCGTGGACCACAGCCGGCCCAGCTGGGTCTCCGCATGGCGCCGGGCACCCTGGGCCTGGGCCAGTTCTTGCTCCAGGCCGCGCGCCCGGAGGCCGGCCCCATCCAGGCGGGCCTGCAGGCGGGCAGCCGCATCGCTGGCCTGCTGCAGCCGCCCAGTGACGCCATGCAGCTCGGCCCGCAGGCTGCCCTCGGCGCCCTGGCTCTCGCGGACACGCTCCTCCAGCTGCTGCTCTCGAGCCGCAGCCTCAGCCAGTTCCTGCTGCAGCCTCAGCACCTGGGGAGCGCCCAGGGACAGGCCCCACCTCCTCACGCAAAGCCCGCAGCCCAGGCCTGGCCTCCGGGGGCAGGCGGGGAAGGACCCCGGGCCCCCAGCCAGACAGGCCGCCCCTCCCGCTGCCCCCCTCCCCACATGCGGCCTGCCCCCAGACCCAGGTGCTGCCAGGCTGGTCCGAGGCGCAGGCCGGACGAGTGTGCCCTGAGTGCAGATGGGGCGGGGCGTGGGGGCGTGTGCAGACCCTCCCTCAACCAGACTGGGCCGGAGATGGGGTGGGGGGGGTGCACAGCTGAATTTGCTCATGGCTGGGAGCCTGGGTGTGGCCACCCCAGGGGGTGGGCAGACAGACAGGCCCAGTGCCCAGCCCCCTGGGGCACCCAGACCTGGCCCGGCCTCCTGGCCATGCATCCGGCTCCTACCTCCTTCTGGGCGGCCTCGTGGGCCACCCCTGCCTCGGCCGCCTCCCGCAGCATCTCTCGGCGCACCCTCTGGTTCTCGGCCTCCTGGGCCTGCACCTGGCGGGCGGGCAGGGTCAGGCTCGTGCAGCCTCGGCCCTGCTTCTGCACACGGTCCCGGAGGTGGCCTCCCGTGCAGGCTGTGCAGGCCAAGCCATTTTGGGGAACATGTGGCACCCCAGACCCGTACAGTCAGGCTGACACCGGCGGCCGGGAGACACACCTGCCTCTCCCGGGGCTGGCCCGGCGTGGCATGCTGGAGATGCCCTGGGACCTTCCAGATGTGCCTTAGGGCGCATCTGAAAAGGAAGGTACTAGGACCTTCCCTGCCGCTTTGCTGGGGGGGCTGGGGGTGATGCCAGACACCCGCAAGACTGCACAGGCCTGTCCCCTGGGGGCGGCTGGCCAGCCCTCAGACCTGGGAGCTTGACAAAGGGCAGCACAGCCCCCACAGCTGTGGCAGCGGCATCCTCCATGGGGCGCCAGCCCTGAGTGACGTGGGGAGCTTTAGGATGTGACGGAGGAGCTGGTGCCCAGTGGCCATGCGGGGGGAGCCCAGGGTCTGGCACGCGGGCGCCCCAACTGGTGGCCAGCAGTGGCACAGAAGGCACCCCAGGGCCCTCTCCAACAGGCCCCACCACTGTCCAGCCACCGGCGCCCAGCCTTGGTGGCCACAGGGTCAGCTGTGGTCTGCCAGGCCTGTCCCAGGGTGGGGGCGTGGTGGGGCCAGGCCTGCGGACACGGGACTCCATGGGTGCCGGGCATGAGCGGGGTTGGAGGATCTGGGAGCCTGGCACGGGCGGGTGCCTCACCTGCCTCTGCAGCTCCTGCAGCTCGCGGTGGGCGGCCCCCCGGGCCTGCTCCGCCTCCCGCAGGCCGGCCCGCAGCTCGCTGGCCTCCATCTGGGCCATGGCAAAGGCCTCCTCCAGCACCAGGGCCTTCTGTGCCTTCTCCTCCTTGGAGCGCCTGAAACTGGGCGGTGGCGGCTGGGACAGGGCCCTCTCCCGATGCCGGTGTCCAGCACTCACGTGGCCCCACTGCAGCCGGCCAGCCCTCCCTGGTCCCCCGGTAGGCCCCTTGGCCACCTCCTGCTGGCCCCTTGGGGCCGTGTGCCTGGGGTGGGTGCTCCCCGAGGGCAGGGACAGACAGGGCCACTCCCATTCCCCGCTGGCCTGTGGCGGGGCGCACCTGGCCTTGTCCTGCTCGGCCCTGCGCAGGGCAGCCCGCAGCTCCGTGTTCGACCTCTGCAGCACGCCCTTCTCCCGGGCCTCGTCGGCCAGCGCTCGGCGGGCCTCCAGGGCCTCCCTGCGCAGCCCCTCACAGCTCTCCGTGCGGCTCTGGAGCTCCTGGCGCAGCGTGGCCAGACCCTCCTGGGCCTCGTCCAGCTGGGCCCGCAGTGTCGTGGCCTGGGTGGGGGCAGAGGCTTGTCTAGCCAGGGACAGTACCAGGGCCCATGGCCCCCCCGGCAGACAAGGCCCAGCCCCGGGTCCCAGTGCTTGGAGCAGCACTTGTCCGGCCCAGCCAGCTGGGGTCACTGTCCTGCTGCCACCAAGGCTGCTGGGCTGCCCAGGAGGCTGGTCCCAGGGCCCTGGCAGGTGACACATGGGCCTGGCCTGGTTCCGGGGATCTGGCCGCTATTGCGCAGGGGCTCCCCCCAAGTGTGCCCTGCCCGACGCCCCAGCTGCTGCCCCAGTGCCCTGCCTCCCAGCATGTGGCACCTGGACGGGACCCCTGCTGTGGGCAGCAGCCGGGCCCATGTCCCTCCCAGGCCCATGTCCCTCTGGGGTGGGGGTGTCTTGTCGCCAGCGTCCTCGGTCTCCCAGCAGCACCAGGGCGCTCGGGCCAGGCTGCTGGCTACTCTGCGCCGGCTCCCGGAGGCTGGGACAGAGCAGCTGCCCCTGGAGGCTGCTCGGGGCACTCTAGAGCCGCTGGGTGATGCTGTGCGTCCGCCCACCCGCTCCGGGAGTTGGCCACGCGGCAGGGTGCAGGGCCGCGTCCTGGGCCTCTGGGCTGGCGTGGGGACTCAGGGCCCTACCATGCAGGGCACCCCGGGGCACGGCCCTGCACCAGGGGTCCCGTGGGTGGGCTGTGGAGCATGGGGGGCCCAGCAGCTGAGCCAGCGTCCCTGCCCTGGGACATGAGGCACCTTCAGGCAGGGCTCAGCCCTGGGGGGCCTGAGGAAATGGGGGGCAGCCACCGCAAGGCGCCCAGTCCACCAGTGGGGCTGCTGGGCGGGGCGAGGCCTCCCAGCCCCCGTGGCACTCCCAGGTGGGACTCAGCCCGTGGGGCTCGGGCAGGGCGCAGGCAGGGGCGGGAGGGGGGCCCAGCTCTCTTGGCTGGCGATTGCACGGGATGCTGTCCAGGCCTGGGCCTGCTGGCCCCGGGGTCCGCCCGCCGCCAGCCCCACCCCACCCCCACACATGGGAGCACTTTCCACCGAGCTCAGCAGAAACGCGCCGGGGTCAGGGACCAGCGAGGGCCGATCCGTCACCAGGAGGCTGTTTTCATTTCCAGGCAGAGAAGATGAAAACAAGCAAACACCCCAGGAAGGGCCCCCGGCCGTGAGAACAACCGGCCTTTCAGGGCCTCTGGCCAGAGCGCGACGTGTGCCGGCGCTTTCTCTGCAGGAGGCGTGTGAACCGCCCTCTGGGCTGGGCATGGCCGGGCCAGGGTGCTGGTTGGGGCCTCTGTGCATGCTATGTGTGCGCCCAGTGCATGTGGTGTGTGCACACGTGTGTGTGTGTGTGGTGTGTGCACGTGTGCCCAGTGTGGTCAGTGCACACACATGCCCAGTGCACGGTCTGTGCACGCGTGCGTCCAGCACATGTGGTCGGTGCACGCGTGTGCTCAGCCTGCTGTGTGGCCCATGTCACACGTGCTCTGCTTGCGTGTCTGTCACGTGCCCACGGCTGCTCACACATGTGCAGGGCGGTGTGGCGTGGCGTGCACGTGCTGCTCACATGTGCGCTTTGGTGTGTGCTCATGGGTGTGCACAGGTGAGGGTGTGCACACGTGTGTGTGCGGGGGGGCTCTGTGTGCAAGGGCGTGTGCTGGGTGTTTGCCTCAGGCCAGGCTGGACCCATGGAGGTGAGCACGTTCGGTGTCCATGGCGACCCGGCCGGCCTGGGCGGGGAAGGGCCAGCTGCTCCCCTCACGCCTCAGCCCGAAGCCTCCCCCTCTCCTTTCTGGGGATCCTCTCTTTGGGGGACCCTTCTTTCTGGGCCCCCTCTCCACTCTGGGGACCTCTCCTTCCTAGGGTCCCTTGACCTGGGGGCGCCTCTGCTTTCTGGGAACCATCTCTGCAAGAACCCGGCTGCTCCGGGGCTGAGTGCCCCCCACCCTGCGCCCCCCGAGCCAGCCCCCCGCCCCACCCTCACCACCGGCCTCGAGCGTGCTGAAAGGAGCCCTTTCTCTCGGGGCCAAAGTAAACAGCCTGTCACGTTAAATCACGCTCTCCTCCCTCTCCCCGCGGCCACCCCGGCGCCCGGCGGCCGCCCTGCCAGCCTTGGCCCCCCGCCCAGCCGGCCTCCCGCTCCCCCGGCCCTGCCCGCGCCCTCCCCTCCCCAGGCCCCATCCTGTCAGCTCCACCTCCCAAACACCTCCCTGGCGCGGCCTGCCCGGCCTCCCCTCCCCTGCCCAGCCTGTCCCCCGGGACCGTCACGTGGCTCCTGGGCCTGTGTCTGCCCCGGGCCTCGGCCAGCCCCTCCACCGGCTGACCTTCTTCCCCTCGGCCTCCGCGGGGCAGCCCGTGGCCTCACCTGCCCCAGTGCCCGCCCCGCGGCCTGCCCTGCCCCTCACCTCTCTCCCCAGGGTGCTCCGCTCAGCGCCTGCGGCCTGGAGCTCTCCCCGCAGGGCCGCGGTCTCTCTCTCGTGGGCCGCGATGGCGTCCTCAAACTGGGCCTGCAGGGCCCTCAGCTCTGCGCTCAGGGCACTGACAGCAGCCTGGGGGTGGTCACCGCTGTCAGGGGCGGCTTCAGGGGCATGGTGGCCGGTTGTGGGCAGCCCCTGTCCACTCGGCTCCTGCGGCTGCGGCACGGCCGCGCTCAGGCAGGACCCCACGCCCGAGCCCTGGGCGGGTCCATCCTGGGAGGGCCGGCCTGGCAGCGGTACCCCCAGCCCCAGGCCAGAGCAGGCTCCAGGTCCAGCCCCGCCCCATCCCGCCCAGGACATAGCTGCGGCGCCGAGGCGAGGGCCCCCAGGGGACGCCCTGGCATGGCCGGGCCGGCGGGACAGCAGGCCAGAGTGTGCCCATGACCGCAGCTTCCGCGGCTACAGGTGGTGACAGCGCCCTCCGGGGCCGTGGGGGCCGAGGGTTGGTCTGGCCTTTGTCCTGGGCCCTGGGGACACCTGCAGCCCGCGGGAGGGCACCGCTGCACTCATGGGCTGGGGGAGCGGGCCGTGCTCCCTCGGCCACACCGACACCGGGGCCCGTGGAGCAGGCTCCGGGGTTCTAGATGCTGAGCATGTGACGGGGTGGTCCCCGGGCAGGGGACAGCCCAGGCTCCGGCCCCATTGTGACGGGGAACCACCGCGATGGGGGACCTGGGGAGGGGTCGGGGTCAGGGAGGCGGCCTACGGGGGCGCGGGAGCAGGGACGTGCGAAGAGGCCGCGCTGGCTTCCGGCCTGGGGCGTGCGGGGGACGCGGAGGGCCATGGGAGAGCAGCCGCTGCGAGACCCGCAGAGGCGGCCGTGGCCTTTACCTTGACTTGGCTTCGCTTTGGCTCTTTCCTCCCAGGCTGCCCGCCCTGCCCTCCCCATGTCCCCCGGGGGGGCCTGAGCCTCGGGGTCCGGCCATCACCTGGTCCCGCTCCTGCCTCAGGCCCCAGATCTCCTCCCGCAGGGCCCCACTCACGGCCGCGCTCTCCGCCACCAGCTCTTTGTCCCGCGCCAGCCGGCGTGCCGCCGCTTCCTTCTCTTCTGCCAGGGACAGGCTCAGGGCATCCTGGGCGGGGTGGGGGCGTTGGCTGCAGTGTCCCCAGTTCTCTGGCGGCCCTGTGCCCCTCCATGCCCCCTCCATGCCCCCTCCGTGCCCCCTCTGTGCCGTGAGGCCTGGGACGCAGGGGTTGGGCCAGGCGCAGACCTTCTCGCTCTGCAGGTGGGCCAGGGCCTCGTGGTGGGCCAGCGCCTGGCTATCCAGGGCCAGCTGCCGGTCCCGCTCCAGCTGTGTCACCTGCCGCTGCAGCCGCCTCACGTCCCGCCGCAGCGCCGGCTCCTGGGCCTCCCAGGTGCTCCTCAGCTGGGCCAGCTCCGCTGTGCCGGGGCAGGTGCGTGAGGGGCTGGCCGGTCACGTGCAGCTCCATGGTGCAGGCCCCTGGGGAGGGCGGCCCCTGGCCTCACCAGCGGGCATGTCTTGAGCCCCTCCCCCAGGCCAGGGCGCGGAGCTGCACCGGGGCACCCCCCGCGACGAGGGTGGATGTCATTCATTCAGCCACGTGAGCACTAGGCAGGGCTGGGACCCTAGAGCTGGGAGAGGACCCCGGGGTGGGGACAGAGCTCTCTTGGGCCCTCCAGCGGTGCGGGGTCCCCGGTCACCTTGCAGGGCCTGCCGGGCAAGCTGGGCGCTCTCGGCCTCCCCTGCCAGCTGCTCCCGCTGCGCCTGCAGCTGTGTGACCAGCTGCTGGGCCTCAAAGAGGCTGCTTTCCAGAGACTCCCTCTCGGCCCTGCGGAGAGTCGTCCAGCAGCCATGAGCCACCGGGGGACGGGCATAGCCCTGCAGGCCCAGCTGGCCGGCCAGAGGCTGAGGGGCGTCTCACTACTGGGTCTTGACCCCCGGGGAGAGGCGCAGGCGGTCACCGACTGACAGGCAAAGTGGAAGCAAACAACTGACCGGCTCAGAGCTATGCAAACAGTGGACACGCCGCAGTGGGGGTTAGGAGCCCAGTAGGCCACCAAGGCCGGCAGGCAGGGTGGGCGCGATGGGAGCACCTGAGGGCTCATGCGGGAGGACCCCACCAGCTGGCAAGACCACGAGCCGCGCAATGCGAGAGCTGCACCATGGGGGCTGCCAGTGAGTGCAGAGACCCCTCCCGCCACCCCCGCCAGTCGGCGCCTGGGCCGGGCAAGCAATGCCACCGCCACTAGCAGAGAAAACGGGAGGCCGGGGCACTGGCGGCCTCGCTCCGTGTGGCTGTGGCCGCTTGGCGGGACCTGGAGCGGGGGGCGGAGGGGGCAGGTCCTGCAGCAGGGGACAGCGGGGCAGAGGGGTTGTGGGGCAGGTGGGTGCGACGGGGGGGCCAGGTCTCAGGGTGCAGTGTGGAGGTCTGCAGCAGCAGTTCCAGGCCAGGGTGGGGTCTGGGACGCACAGGAGAAAGGCCGCGGGGCCCTGAGGGGCGCAGCTGAGCTGGCCCCAGCCCCAAGGCAGAAGGCTTCAGAGAAGGCGCCACCTTTTTCTGGGGGCGACACTCGCTGTATCCTTTGTCGTGGGGGGCCCCGACACCTTCTATGCGGGCTGCTCGGCTTGCACACAGTCCCGCCCCCTAGCCCGGCTACCCACACAGCCGCAGAAGGCCCGTCTCGTCCAGCCCGGCCAGCACTGCCCAGCAGCCCAGGTCATTTCCAACCTCCGCGCTCTGTCCCAGCTGGGGACACACCGAGAGAACATTCCTGGCCCAGCCACATGCACGGACTCGCCACCAGCACCCCCAGGCCACCAACAGCCTCAGGCTACCAACAGCCCCAGGCCACCAGCGCCCCCAGGCCACCAGGCCACGGCCTCTGAGACACAGCAGCAAAACCTGGAGGGGACCCAGCCCCACCCCTGGCACCTGAGTACCGGCCTGGGAGGGGACAGTGGGCAGGGCCCCCAGAGCAGCTAGGGCAGGTTCTCTGCAACTCTCCTGGCAGAGGCAACATGTGTGAAGAAGTCCTAGGACCCTGGAGCCTTGCTTTCCTCACAGCCCTCAGATTCTGTAATTTCAGGAGAAAAATCTTCCTACAAACATACTCCCAAGTCCCTGAAAAGGACACCAGGGCCAGGGCAGGAACCAGCGGCGTCTGGGTGTCCCCCGGGGCCACAGGGCACCCAGTCCCTGCCCCCACCCAGGGCCCAGCCCCAGCCCCAGCCTGCTCCCCGGCCTGCTGTGGGGCCCCGGCCTCCCCAGGACGGGCCCAGGATGGCAGGGACGCAAGAGGCCAGCAGCCACAGCTCTGGGTGTGTGGCCTCCGCCAGCCTTGCTCTGCGCCGGGGGAAGCACATAGGGCTGGGCACTGAGAAGGGAGAGGCAGGTCTGTGGGCACAGTGGGAGGGCCTCATCCAGCCTTGCCTGAAGCCATGACACCCCGAACTACTCAGATGCACGAGCAGACGGCGGCACCCTCCTGCTGGTCTGGGCCCCCACCGGCACCCGCCGCCTCTCTCCGGAGCCGACCCAGGGCCGCTGCAACCCAGGCCCCAGCACCGTGCTGCTGCTCACAGCCCCCTGGGCCTCACACTCGCCTGCTCCGCCCTTCACCTGGGGGCTCCCGGCCATGCTGGGGGGTGGGGGGTGCGCACCTGAGCTCCACCGCCTCTTGGGCTGAGAGCTGGCCCTGCTGCTCCAGGGTCTCCTGCCAGGCCAGCAGCTGTGCCCGCTCCTCCGACCAGGCCTCCCTCTCCTGCAGGGCGCTGTGCAGGGCGGCCCCCTGGGCCTCCTGGTCCCGCAGGCTCTGTGCCAGCTGCTCCTCCAGCGCCTGGTTCTTGCAGGTGACCTGGGGAGGGGAGAGGCGGGGTGAGGGGAGAAGGGCGACTCTGGGGAGTGGCCGGGGGCACGGGGGAGACTGTAAGACACAGGTCCACTCCGGCCCCCGGGGAAGGTCACCCACGCAGCACGCCAGCGAAGCAGCCAGCGGCCCTTCTCAGCGGGACCCATGGCTGGGCCGCGGGGGCAGGAAGTGCGGCAGAGGCAGCCCCAGAGTGGCGGGGGCGGCTGGTGCTGACGCTCGCACAGGGTGTCCAGAAACCCAGGCCCATCCACCCGAGCGTGCCCCCCAGGCTGCCAGGGAGGGAGGTCGTGTGGAGGAGAGAGACAGGCGTCGTGACTCCTTGCTCAGAGCACTCGCTGCCTTGCAGCCTTGGCACAGAAGCTGGGCCCCCAGGGTGGAGGCTGATGACCCCAGCACCTTGCTGAGATGCAGCGTGACGCCTGCCCGTGTCCTCTGGGCACCTCTGCCTGGGGAAGCCTGACCACACACATTGTCACCCGGAGCCCAGACCCCTGCTCGCCACCTCCCCGGCTCCGGCTGCGTGTGCTGGCCACCGGCCCTGACGCGCCTGCCACGTGCCCACGCCTCGCCGACCTCTCGTGGGTCAGCACATTCCCCTGTGTGTCTGTCCGCCGCGGGCATCCAATTTCTCTCATCCGCCACGGGCCACCTCTCACGGGCTCTGCGGCAGCTGCAGCATGAAAGCTCCCCAAAGAAACCAAGGCCCAGCTGGGGGCCACTGGCCGCAGCCTTGAGGACCACCTACCTGCACCGCCAGCACCCGAGCAGACCCTCCTGCAAGGCCATGAGAGCCTCACAGTCACCTGTGCACACTGACCCTGACACTTCCATGGGGTCAGCATTTCCAAGCGTGTCAGAGAGAGCATCAGACAGAACATCCACACGGAGCGCAGGTCAGAGGCCCCCCCACACCCCGGACCCTGGGGCTACGGATGCACTTTAGTGGACCGGGTCGGTCTGCCCAGGAGGCGGAGGCAGCTCGCGGCTCCACCTCAGAACCGACATGAGATAAAAAGAACGTAATGAACACGGAAAAGCCAGAGCCGCGAGAGGTGGCCCGTGGGTTTTCCCTTTCCCAGCACCCACCCCAGCACCAGAGCCCAGGGCCCGTGGCTCATGGCAGGAGAGAGGTCTCCGGCCTGCAGCTCCACACTCCAGTTCTCATGCAGACAAGCCAGTCCAGGGTGGCCCCAGCACCCCTGCACCCTGAACTCTTGTCCTGCAGTCTCATGCCCTCAACCCGTCCTGCACCCCTGCGCCCCGGCAGTGGCGGGGGCCACCAGCACCGCAGTGGCCAGGCCAGGCCAGGCCGCCCACGAGCTCCCAGCTCCAAGGGCCTCGGGAGCCGCCCCTCACCTGGTGCACCTGCTCCTGCAGCTGCGTCCTGTCCCCTCGCAGCCGGGCCGCCTGCCCCTCCAGCCGCTCCAGCTGCTCTTCCAGGCGCCCACAGGCCCGCTGCAGGCCGGCGCGCTCCTCCTGCGCCAGCTCCAGCCGCTGCTCCGCCAGGGCCAGCCGCTCCCGGGCGCCCGCCCGCTCCTGCTCCAGCACCTTCCGCTGCTCCTGCAGCTCGGCCCGCTCCTGCTCCAGCTGCACAGAGCTGACCCCGCGCCAGGCCCCGCCCCCCGCCCCGGGCCCCGCCCCCGCCCACTCAGGGCCCCGCCCCCGCCCCGCCCCACCCAGGCCCCCACCCCAGCCCTGTCCCAGCCCCGCCCCAAGGCCCCGCCCCACCCAGGGCCCCGCCCCAGCCCCGCCCCCCGCCCCCGCCCCGCCCCACCCAGGGCCCGCTCCAGGCCCGCCCCACCTGCAGGCCCCGCCCCACCAGCAGGCCCCGCCCCATCCACAGGCCCCACCCCCGCCCGCCCCCTAGGCCCCCTGCCCAGGGCATGGCCCCGCCCCAGCGGGGCTGGGGAAGGGAGGGCGAGGGGCGGGGTGGGGGCCTGGCCTCACCTCCAGGACCAGTTGGTCCAGGGCGCCCTTGTCCTGCGCCAGCCCCTCCATCAGCGCCGCCATCTTGGCCAGGGAGTCCCGCTGCCCCGCCCCCTCCGCCTTCAGCCTGGTCACCAGCAGCTCCAGGTCGGCCTTGCTGGACTCAGCCTGGGGCGCAGGGGTGCAGTGGTCACCCCCGTGGGCACACCAGGGAGGGCCTCTGGATGGGTGGCCGGGGTGCCCGGGTGAGGGCCGTGCCCCAGTGGGGGACAGGCCCAGGGTGGACAGTGTCCCTGGCACCATGGGCGGCGAGGGGGTGGGTGGAAGGGTCGCTGAGGATGGGCTAGCCGGGTGGGGGTTCTGGGCTGGCCCGAGACCCCGGGGGTGAGGGGCGGGGGGTGTACCCGGGCCAGGGCGCTCTGAAGACTGTCCCTCTCGCTCTCCAGCACGTCCCCCTGCAGCCGCGCAGCACTCAGCGCCTCCCGGGCGGCCACCAGCTCCTCCTTGAGCCCCGACACCTTCTCCTCCAGCTGCACCAGGCGCCCCTGGCTGGGGCCCGAGGGAGCGGGGTGAGGCCGCCTTGGGCGGGGCCCTACACAGTTCCCATGTCTGCAGCCCGGCCAGGGGTGGGCCGTGCAGGCCAGGTGTCAGGTGGGCCGCTGCGGGCGCCGGCCCAGTCTGGGGAGCCCTCACCCGGCGCCCCGCGGGGCTGCACGCTGAGGGGCAGTGCAGGGGCGCTGTCCTCGGTCACACCCGCCATGTCCCGCCTGCTCACCTAGCCTTCAGCTCCCGGCGGCCCTGCGCACCCCGCTGCTCCAGCTCCTGCCTCTGGGTGGCTGCCCGGCTCAGGCTCCCCTCCAGCGCTGCCTTCTCGGCCTCCAGCCGCCGGGTCTCTGCGTCTGCGGCCTCCGCCTTCCCCCGCAGCTCCCCCAGTGCCAGCTCCAGGGCCCGCCGCTCCCTGGGAGCCCGAGGTTTGTTGGCAGGGCCAGGTGGGGTGGGGCAGGGTGGCCAGCGACCCCCCAGGGGCAGCAGAGCCTTGGTGGGGGGGAAGGGCCAGGCTGGGAGGCTGCTCAGGCAGGCAGAGGGACAGAGCGTCTGTTCCTGGGACCCAGGCCCGCTGCTGCTGTGGGGGTGACTGGGTTCTCTTTGCCTGCCCCACAGCCCCATGGGAACCCCTGAAACCCCGTCTCCCTCCTGGTGAGCCAAGTCTGGCCCTCCGTGCCAGGGGCCATGCTCAGCCAGTCCTCGGCTAGAAGGCAGGGAGGGAGGACCCCATGGCCCAGCTCTGCACCTGCCTGTGCTACCTGCCCGGCCCAAGAGCCCAGCCCGAGCCCCCTCCACAGCCATCAGCCTGACAGAGGCTCCAGCCTCCCTGAGTGCCCCAGCCTGTCCCCCACACTCTCCAGCACCGGCCAAGTCCTGCACAGCAGCTCAGCCTGCGCTGGGGACCGGCCCTGGTGGACGGTGGGGGCTCGGGCTCACAGCTCCATGTGAAGGGAGGAGATGCCTGCGGCCCGGCGCCCTCGGCCTGGCTCTGGGAGGTGACCCAGGAAGCGCAGCCCACAGGCCCAGGTGGATGGCTCTGCGTGTGTGCATGTGGGGGCCAGGGGAGGCAGCCTCGTCCTCCCCCCCACCCGGCCTACAGCGGCCAGGCTGGATGTCAGGCTCACCTTCCCGAAAGCTCGCTGGCCGCCCTGCATCGCTGGGCCTCCTGGCCTTGAGCCTCCAGCTGGTCCAGCAGGTCCTCCTGCTCCTGTGCTCCCTCTTGCAGGTGCCGCTGCGCAGCCTGCAGCTCCTGCTGGCTCTGGGCCAGCTGTTCCCGGAGCCCAGCCACCTCCGCCTGGGAGGCCTCCAGCTGCAGGCCCAGCTCCTGGGGTGGGAGCAGGCGAGGCCCTCAGCCTGGCAGGTCTGACCACAAAGGCCAGCCAGGGCTCTGGCTGCCCCCAGAGAGGGTGCATCTAAGCGGGAGCCTCCCCGGGCTCGGGGTGCGGGGACAGGTCTGTGGAAACCCAGTGGCCAGCCCCTGGGGACCCCAAAGGCCCCTACATCCACGGCTTTGCCTCAGTTCCCATGGCTGTGGCCACCAACCTGCTCCCTTCGACGCCGCCGTGCCAGGGCGGCCTGCACGGCTCTCAGCGCAGGGTCCGGGGTGTCCAGGCAGCAGGGCTGCGGCCAGATCTCGCCCTGGGAGGCGGGGCCCTGCGCCTCCTGGCCCTCAGCGCTGCCGCCCCACACCGGCTCCAGGCACCCAGCGTCTGCCCAGGCCACCTTAGGGTGCAGAGAGGGTCGGGGGCTGCGGTCAGAGCACAGGGGGCTCGGCCCCTACCCGCTGGGCCCGCCCACCAGGCCCCGCCCCAGGCCCCCCCCCGCCCCGCCCCGCCCACCAGGCCCCGCCCCGCCAGCCCCGCCCCAGGCCCCGCCCCGCCTCAGGCCCCGCCCCCAGGCCAGCGCTCGGGGCGGCCGTCCAGGCGCTGCGGCGATTGTCCGCGTCCTGCCCGACCCCTGCGCCCGCCCGCGGCGCCCCGGCCCGCTCACCAGCCGCTGCAGCCCGGTCCGGAGGGAGGCGACGGCGCGCGCCTTCTCCTTGGCCTCGGCCGCGAGCGCCGCCCCCCGCAGCGTCTGCTCCGACAGCCTGGGGGGCGGGCGGCGGGCGGCGGGGGGCTGAGCGCGGGCCCCGCCGGGCAGCCCCCCCTCCCGCTGCGCAGGGCCCGGGCCGCGACGGGGTGGGGCGCTGACCCCCCGCCCGCGCCGCTCGTTCTCCGGGGGCCCCTGCGCCCCAGCGAGGCCCGGCGGCCCGGGAGACCCGGCGGCCCGGGAGACCCGCCCGCCCCGCCGGCCCGGGCCTCCTCTGGGGCGGCCCGCGATGCCGGCCCGCGCCGGTTCCGGGCGCCCCTCCGGCCTTCGCCTGCCCGCGAGGCCGCCGCTGGGCCCCGCCCCGCCCCGCCCCGCCGGGCCTCGTGCTTCCCGCCCGGAGCGCGCTCGGGGGCGCACCCCAGCCGCCGGGCGGGCCCCCGCACCCACCTGGCCTGCAGCGCCGCCCTCTCGGCGTCCCGGCCGGCGGTCAGCCGCAGGTTCCGGTCCAGGCGCAGGCAGGCCGAGCGCAGGCGCCGGGCCGTGCGGGCCGCGTCCGCCCGCATGTCCGCGAGGCCCCTGGAGACAGCGCCCCTGGGCCTCAGGACCAGCCGCCCGGGCCAGGAGGCGGGCGGGCGGGGGGCAGGGCGGACAGGGCAGGGCCGGGCGGGGGGGCGGGGGGCTGGGCCCTCGGCTGTCCTCGCCCTCTGAGCCGCCCCCCGGGAAATGGCGGCGGCCGCTGCTGCTGCTGCTGCTGCTGCGCCAACTCAGGGCCCTGGGGCCGCGCCTCGGGGCCGGGAGGGCTGGGGCGTCCGGGCAGGCCTGCCCCTCGCGGGCGCTGGCTCTCACCTGTCAGTGGCCGCCCGCAGCTCAGCCAGGTGTGCACGGAGTGCGGCCACCTGCCTCCAGAGGAGGGGCACGTCCTGGGGCCGGGCCACGCGCTGCGCCTGGAAGCCGGGCTATGTCCACGCGCGCGAGGCCGCCCCACGCCGCCCTGTGCCCGCCCGTCCCGGCCTTGCCCGTCTGCTAAACATGCCATCCCGCGCCTGCGGACAGCATGGGGGCCCTGCCCGAGGACGCCCGCTGCCGGGGGTCAGGGCCACCACCCGGCAACTCCCCTGCCGCTCCCCCCTTCAGGGCTGCCTGGAAGCTGGACCTCTGGCCGGGCCAGTGCTGGGCAAGCCCTGAGGTGCCCGCCAGGCCACAGGGCCAGCCTGCCACTCTACTGGACACAGCAGGAGCCACCATGGGCATCGCTGGCGGGGTGGACGGGGCGGGGCTGGGGGTGCCTGGAGCTGGGGGGGTCGAGGAGGGCGGTTCCGAGCCGGAGCCCACAGGATCGCGTGTCCATGCATCCTTCCCAGTCTTTGCCCAAGCACCTGCCCCCGATGCCCCACAGCAGCCACACATGCCACACGCTTCACACACCACACACATCACACGACATACACTACGCATGCCCCACGTGTCACATGCCACTCGCTACCCGCACATCACATGCTACACGCTACACACATCACATGTCCGCAGGGCAGGGTCTGCAGGCAGAAGTGGGGCCTGAAAGGGCTCCCCGCCCCTCTGGGGCCTGACCCCATGAGCTGGAGAGCCCCAGCTCCTTTTTGGGGGTCGGCAAGGCACCCCAGGTGTCTGGCGGGGGCAGGGGCAGGTGCTGACCGAGGACAAGGTGTGGGGTGCTCTGGCCAGGAGCCCTGCCCAGGTGGGTGGGGCGCTGCCCTGACGGGTGTCCGAAGGTGTGGGGGGGACCGCACGTCTCTCGGGCCCCTCCAGCCGCCAGACCTGGCCCCGAGCCCGGGGGGCCGCCCCTAGGGACCCGGGCCCGGAGGTGCATCTCCCTCCAGCCGAGGCCACTGCAGGAGCGCTGAGCCTCGAGGGGGCGGGCCGAGGGAAACAGCCCGGGACCTGCTTGCCAGGGGTCCCCGCCCTCTGGTCTGCCCAGACTCCAGCCCAGACCCTCCCCTGGCCAAGAGGGGGCGGCCAGCCCCAGGACTGGGCCCTTTGCCCTCGCTCTGCTCCCCGCGCTGGCCTCAGGGTCTTGTCCTGCGAGTGGGCCCCCTGCTCCACAGACCGCCTGGGCCAAGCCGAGCGGGGGCGTGGAGGGGCTGGCGGCCAGCGGCCTTGCCCCCAGGAGGAAGCGGAGTGGACACCCCCCGGACACAGACGCTGGGTGGGCACCTCTCGCTCCGCCCGGCCGCCCAGCGCGGCCCGCAGCTGCAGCACGCTGGCCGTGGTGGCGCCCAGCTCCCGGGCCAGCGCGTCGTTGGCCGTCCTCATGTGCTCCAGCTGCTCCCGCAGCAGCGTGTTCACCTGGGAGAGCCCGGCGCTCCTGGGGGCGTGGGCAGTGGTCACCCCCGCGGTCCCCTGGCCGCCCCGGGCCCACTCCCCCTTCCTGAGACACCGCCGGCCCCGCCGCCAGCCGGGGTGCAGAGGTGAGCCCTGAGAGAGCGGGAGGGGCGGGGGCTGTGAGGGACTGCGAGGCCCTGCTGTGAGGGGCGCGTTTCTCCACCCGGCATAGGCCTAGACCCCCAGTGCCCAGAGTCCTGAGGACGAACTCGGGAAGCTTCCAGAAAAGGCCCAAGCCCCTTGGCCTGTGATGGCGCAGGCTGGGGGCCTTCACCCTCGGGGCCCGTGTCCGGGGCTGGGGTGAATGCAATGGCCCATGCAGGGCGTCGCGGCGGCTGGAAGCCGACGGGCGGGGGGCTGGGGCCGGTGGGTGTGATGGGGGCATCTGGGCTCGCTGAGGCCACGCCAGCCTGGGAGGCCGCAGCAGCGCCCGGGGCACCGGCCGAGAGGCTGGGGGCCTGGGGGCGGCACTCTGGAGAGCAGGGCCAGGGAGCCCCCACCCTGCGGGCACCTGTACCCAAGGACGGGGGCTTGCAGGGCCAGCCCGGCGTGTCCCCCTCGGCCCGAGAAGTGGGGACCTGGGCCCGCAGCAGGTCAGAGGGAGGGTGGGGCTCCCGGGTCTGCAGGCCCCAGAGGGCCCCAGAGCCCTCATGGACGCCCGCTACACTCCGGCTGCTTTGGGGAGGGGCTGGTCCCCGGCACAGGGGTTCCCGGCACGCCTCCGAGGCGCTGACCACGCCTGCCGGCCTCACCTCTGCTCGGCGGCCTCCAGCCGGCCCAGCACCTCCTCCAGGTCCATGCTGTGCTCCAGCTCCGACCGCCGCAGCCGCGCCTCGGCCGTCTGCAGCTGGGCCTGCAGCTGGGGGAGCAGGCCCGCATGACTGCCCCCCACCCGCCGGCCGGCCCAGAGCCTGCCCAGCCACCGCCACCCCCACCCAGCCGCCCTGGACACCACTCTGCCGCCCCCCAGTGCCAGTGCACACCCTCAGGTGGGCTGCGCCCTGCCTGCCCAGTGGCCACGTCCCCTCCCTGCTCTGCTGGGGCCTGGTAGGGCCGGGGCTTGTGGGAAGGAGGTGCCAGGACCACTCCAATGTGCTGGCCAAAGCACCAGCTCCGGGGGCCCGCACAGGGCACAGGCCGGGCGGTGGCCGGGGCACTGGGATGGGGGAGGTCAGTGGGGCCAGCGCGAGAGGAGGCCAGGCAGGGCTGGGACGTTCAGGAGGTCGCCCTGGCCCCTCTGCTGGGGCTGGGGCGCTGCCCGGGGGTGGCAGGGCGCAGGCTGGGGCTGGGGCTCGCCATCCTGCAGGGGCTCTGGTGCCTGTTCCGGGCCTCGCCACCACCCCCGCTCACGCGGCCGCCGGGGTCAAGGGGACCGGTGGGGCCGGCTGCTGAGGGGTGCTCAGCGCTGGGCACGGCTGCCGTGTCAGAGGGCCGAGGGGAGACGAGGCCGGGCTCTCTGGGCCCCGCTGTGCCTCAGTCTCCTCGTGGGAAGTGGGGCCAGCCGTGCTGCCCACAGGAAGGGGCTCCGGCCTGCGCCCCCCTGCCTCAGTTTCCCCTGGCTGCCGGAGGGGGCTGTGACTGTCCCTGGCCGCTGTCACCTCACGTCCCACCAGGCACCACCCACCCAAGCCAGGCTGCCGGTGCACACGGCCACTCACCCGATCGCTGGTTGCGTGGTACCTGCTGGTCAGCTCATCCCGCTCGGTGCCCGCCTGGGCCAACAGGTCCTCCAGGCGGGCCAGCGCCTCCTGCAGCAGCTCGTTCTCCTCCCGGGCCGCGCTGGCCAAGGTGGCTGCTGGCTCCTGCTTCCCTGTGGGGCACGGAGTAGCGGGGGCTGCGGGGCCGGGTGAGGGGGCGCAGGGGCCCCAGCATCTGTGCCCCTGAGACGCCACCCAAGGAGTAAGCAGCAGGGGTGAAGGCAGGGCTGGGAGGTGGCAGACACGCAGGGGCCTGTGGCCGGTGCACCCCGAGGCCACAACCTGAGACCTGTGGGGCTGCCACGAGGGAGGGGGCTGTGCCCGTCACGCTGGGGCCAGGCTGGGGCCGGCAGTCAGGGTGTGAGGCTCGGCCCCTCGCTCACCTCGGGGGGGCTCTTCCTGCAGGCTGCTGGCCACGATCTCGCGGATGCGGGCGGGCACAGGAGTGGGTGAGGCCTGCCACCCCGCCCCTCGCACGGTCAGCGCCCGGTCCTCTCTGCTGGCCGAGGGGCCCAGCACCGTGTCCTCCAGCCTCTGGAAAACACCCGAGACGCCTGGAGCTGCTGGGCACCCAGTGACTGGCCCCAGGGTGGGGGGGCTGCATGCAAGGCGGCTGGAGAGGACTCATGAGGCCAGGTCCCCAGGCCCCTCCCTCAGTCTCCCCACCTCGACGATTTCTGCCCCTGGCGCCTCTGCACCATGAGCAGACATGAGAGCAGGCCTGTCGGGAGGACAGCTGGGGCGGGGGACTGTGCCGCCTGGACCCCTGGATGCCGGCCTGGGGGGCTGTGCCGCCTGGACCCTGTGGATGCTGGCGGAGAGTGGGGGGCTGTGCTGCCTGGACCCTGCAGAGGCTGGGGGCCATCTTAGGTCGGCCCCCAGGGGTGCTACAGGCAGTGCCCCACCTCTGGCTCTTGGGGCCCCCTCCGGGCCCCCCTGACAGGCAGCAGGCTCCGGAGGTTGGCGGGGCGGGTGGGGCCGGCTCAGAGCCCAGCATTGGGTCGGGGTCAGCAGCATCTCCCTTTGCAGCAGGCCAGCTGGCCCCGCAGGACCCCGGGCTCCAGGCAGGCGGCAGGTTGGGGCTGTCTCTGGCCGGGGCCGGCTCCCCTGGGGGGCTGAAGGGCAGGGGAGGGTGGAGACTCTGTCCTGCCGGGAAGAGTGTGGGCGTGGAAGTCTTGGGGCCCAGATGCAGGTCTTGGGGTCTCCGGGGGTCACCCTAGGCTCTGCTGTGGCCCTGGGAGCCTTGGCCCCATAGCGGGGGGGTGACTGGGGGTGGCCTGGGGGTGCCCCGGGGGCACAGGCTGGACTGCGGTGCCCATGGTGGGGAGGACGCGGGCCTCAGTCTGAACCGCAGCCGAGGGCCACTCCAAGCCCGCGGAGGCCTCGGCGCTGGGGCCCGGGGGCAGTTCACAGGTGCCCCCCACGGAAAGAGCAAAGCGTTCAAGGGAGCCGGGGGCTTCCCTGGGGTCCCGGTGGCGATGTCCATTCCCGGCGCCTCTCCAGGGACCAGCCAGGGTCCCGCCCGCCTCCCGGGCTGGGACTGAAACCGGAACCACGTGCTGGACGCTGCTCGCCCCCCTCGGGGCCCGCCCCTCCCCGCGGCCCCGACGCCCCGGTCCGCCTCCCAGCCGGGCCTCGGGGGAGGACAGCCCCGTCCCGCCGCGCCCTCCCAGCCCGACCCCCGGGCCCTCCCGCACCCCCGCCCCGGCGGGAGCGGAGGGCGGCCGACCCCTCGCGCTCGGAGGGGCCCCTCCCGGGCCAGAGCCGCCCCCGCGGCCCGGCCCCCGCGCCGCCGGCCCCTCCCCGCGGCCCCGCCCCGCGGCCCGCGAGGCGGCGTCAGTTTCCCCAAAGACCCCCCCCCCCCCCCCCCCGCCCCGCGTCGTCCCGCCCGCCCTGCGCCCCGCCCCGCCCCGCCCCGCTCGGACCCGCGCCCCCCCAGCGCAGGCGGGAGGGCCTGGGGCGCGGCAGGGGGGCGCCCCGGACCCAGAGGCCGCGCCCCTCGACGCCCCGTGCCCCGGGGGCGCTGCAGGCGCGGGAGGCGGGAGGGGAGGGCGCAGGGGTCTGGGGGGCCGTGGGGGCAGAGGGAGGACGCGAGAGGCAGGGCCCGGCCGTGGAGCCCCGGCGCCTCGGGATGGGGCTGGGGGAGAGGGTGGGGCCGCGCTCCCGTCCTGTCCTGGGGAGGCCTGGAGGGCGGTGGCCGGCGCGGGCCCGGCCTCTCCTGGGGGCGGTCACTGCACCCTCGCTGCGCAGACAGCCCCCCCCCCCGCTGGGGGCTCTGAGGACCCAGAGGGACGGCTGTCCCCCCCTCCCCCAGGGCCAGTGGGCCGGGCCCGGGCGCAGGCCCCTCCTTGAGGTGGTGTGGGGAGAGGGCGGCACACACGTGGGCACCCCCCATGCACCCCCTGCACCCCCTGCACCCCGACACGCACACCTCCACGTGCGCATACCCAGGCACCCACACATGCACACACGCCCACAGCCGCAGCCTCCACGTGTACCCCCCACGTGTGCAACACCCACCCTCCAGCGCGCACACGCCGCACACACGGGCAACGCCCGCAAGGCGTGCGCGCTCGGTCCTCTGTGCGCACACGAGGGCGCAGGCTTGCACTGCCTCAGGCACACGCGCGTGCACACATGCTGGGGGTCAGCAGTGACGGCGGCAGGAGAAGGTGGCCCCTGGGCCAGCGACCCGGGCAGGCGCCGGGGCCCCCACCACCCAGGAGGCCTCTCCAGGAGCGTGCGGCCCTGAGCGTGAGCTGGCCGCGTCTTTCAGAGAAACAGGGCGCGCTCTGTGCCGGAGGCACCGCAAGCAGGGATGGACACACGGCCAAGACGCCCCCGAGGGTGGAGAGGGGCCATCGACGCAGCTGGACACTGCCGGGGGGAGGGGGGCCGACTCCGCCGACGCTTAAAGTCAAGTCAGCGGCAGAGACGAGCCCAGCAGAGCAGGGGCCAGTCCCCGGAGGCCCTTCCCAGAGGAGGGCGTGGGTGACGGCCCGGCCCCCGTGGGCACGCGGACACGGCCTGACGGGACAGCGGGCTGTGGACACCAGGGATCTGCAAGGCCGGGCTGCGGGGCGGCTGCCCGAGGTGCCGGGGGCGGGCAGCGGGAGGGCCGGGGCAGGCCAGGCGCTCTGAGCGGGAGCCCCCCAGCTCGGGCCAGCCCCCTCCACCCGCCATGGCCCGCCCGCCCCTGCCCCCAGTCTCGCCCCCCCTCTACACCTCAAGCCCCCGAACCCCAACCCAGGCGGGGTGGGCACCCCGGCTCCAGCACCCCCATGTCAAAGACGGGAGGTGTCAGCGCAACCTTTGCCAATAACGTTGAAAGTTGACAACCGACAGACAACCTCGAAAGCTGACGACCTGACCGTATTTTTCTAGAAAGAGTCCCTCAACCACCCCTGAGGCCCTCAGGAAGGTGGGGGCTCCATCCCACAGCTTTATAGGGGCCCCTGGGCCTCCCCCAGCCCCTGCTCCTTCAGCAGCAGCCCTGGGCGGGCCTGGGAGGTGGAGGGGTGCAGGGAGCGCTAGCTGCGGCCTGCTCTGGGTGGGGGGATGGGGCCCCCCCTCCGTCTCACTGTGCAGCCCGAGGGCGCCCCGCCCCATCTGGGCCAGCCTGGGCGTCTGGTGGCGCCGACTGGCCGCTGGCATGCGGGGTGGGAATGACAGGTGTGGGGAGACAGAGGGCGAGTCACAGCCGCAGCCCCAGGCCCTGGCGGAGGGCGCCGCCCATGACCTCCCCGTGCTGGTGTCCCACAGCAGCGGCCATTTGGGGGCAGACTGTTGCCCAGCACTGAGCCTCAGCATCAGGCCGGTTTCTCCCCCAAGCCACCCCGTAACCATAGCCACAGGCTTCCGCCCTGGAACCTGGTTTTCCCGCATCCAGAGGGGCTGGTGACCCCTGGCTGGGGCGGGCGGGAGGTGAGTGGTGGGATTCAGCCAGCCTTGGGGCTCACAGCCCCCCACCCTGCAGCCTGCACACGATGAGGTGCCGCATGTGGCTCCGCCGTGGTGTCCAGCGCCCGGCCCGAGGGCCAGGCTGACAGGCTCCTCGCGGTGACCTGCTGTGGGCCAGGCTGCCTGGCAGCAGGCCGAGTGTGATGGCCGAGCTGATGAACAGCCGAGTCGGCAGCGTTAGGTTCCCGGGCATCCCGGGGTCAGTGGGGTGGGCCGGGGTGGACGCAGGGCTGGCTCTGGGAAGTAGGGGTGGAGGGGAGGGGGCTTGGGGACAGTCCCCTGCTTGGGGAGAGGGGCCAGAGGAACAGCTAGGGCTGGAAGCCAGACTGAGCGGAGGCAGGACCCACAGTGGCCGCAGAGGCGGTGGCCACCTCGCGCCCGTGCCCAGGCGGCCACAGAGGAGCGGGCGCTGGACAGGGCTTCCACCCTGGCCACCGAGGTGCGGGCGCCAACTGTGTGCGCGGGGCTGACCACGTGGGCGCCGGGACAGCCCTTGGTGCAGGTGTGGCCTCTGCAGGTCCCTTCCCTCCCAGGTGCTCGGGTACTCCCGGTGCGGGGGGGGGCAGGGGGCACTGACCTGGATCACGGTGTCCAGCCCCAGCTGGGGCCTCTCAGCCGGGTGCCCATCACCAGGCTCGCTGGGGGCGGAACTCATGGCCACCGGGGCCCTGGGAGAGCCGGCTGGCTGCACACACCTGCTCTGGCCAGCGGCACCCAGCTGCCCCTTGGGGTGAGGACCTCGGAGCAAACAGAACCCAAGAGTTGCTGTGGTAACCGGGACGCTGAGGGCTGGTTTCCCTGGAAAAGGGAGTGCGGGCGCTGTTGCCGCGGGGACTGAGGAACGCTGTTGCCATGGAGACAAGGACGGCTGTTGCCCAAGGCTGTTTCCCGGAGTCCTGGAGCCGCCAGGAGGGAGCAGCCACACCCGGACCTGGCCTGGCCCACCTGCGCTGGCCCCTGCAGCGTCCCCCAGGGCCGGTGCCGCTGCCCCCGTGAGGCAGATGGGTAAACTGAGGCCTGGAAGGCCCCTGGCTGGTGCGCACTGGAAGAGCCTTCTGGACTCAGGTGTCCGGATCTTGCCCCGGGGGCTGTGGCTCAGCCCGATGGGGGAGGGTGGGGCCTGCGGAGGCGGTGGCCGCCCAGCCGGCTCCGGGATCTGACGGCTCCCCGTCTGGTCTGGGCCACCCCCGCGGCCGGAGGCCGTCTCGTCTGGACGAGAGCGCATGGCTGGACACTGCCGGAGCTGCGGCGGTGCCCAGGCCAGCGCAGGACGGGCTCTGCTGGGGGTGTCGGCGCCCGCGTGGGCTGCGGCTGCGACGGCTCCCGGGACACAGCACAGCCTGTGTCGGGAGCGGCCTGGGGCGCACGTGGGGCAACAAGGCCAGCCAGTCCACCCGGCTCCTGGACGACCGCCCAGAGGCCTGATACCCGCCGGCCTGGGAGGGGCTGGGGCTGGGCTCGTCCTGGGGTCTCCTGGGTGGGCCCCACCTTGTGCTCCTCTGTGCAGGGGCTGCCCCAGGGGTCGGGGAGGCGGCGGGGTGACTCATGGCCGCCCGGGGAGTCTTCAGGACTGTGCACCTGCCCAACCCTACACGGACAGGTGAGGGCCCTGGGTTCCCAGCAGGTGAGGGGCAGGAGAGGAAGGGAGGTGACTGCCCGGCCCCGCAGCGACCCCCAGCCCGGCCCCCGCAGGCCTCCAGGGCTGAAGCCACCTCAGAGGCCGTTGCCCTCTGGCCCTTGTGGGTGTGAGTCTGAGCAAACAAGCACGAGCTCCTACAGGCCCAGCCCCTCTGGCCCTGGCCGTGAGGTCAGGCTAGGCTGACCCTTCCAGGTGTCCTGCCTCGGCCGGCGCCGCAGCAGCATCAGGCTGTGGCCAGCTGCCCATGGGGGCCCGGGCCCCAGGCTTGTACAGCCCATGGACATTGCCGCTTCACCTGAGACCCACCGGGGCCATGGGCCTTCGGCTCTGCTGCCCAGGACAGCGGCCTGCAGAGGGGACCCTGCTGGGGCGGCCCCTCCACCGGCCTGAACTGCCATGTCCGCCGTAGAGTATAAAGGCCGGGGGAGCTGGGGCAGCCGGTGTGGCCGGCACAGCGTCCTGGAGAGGGAGGCTGCCACAGTGTGGACGAAGGGGCCTGTCCTTTGGGGACCCACGGGTCCAGGCCGGCCTCCGCCGGCTCCCCGGAGGTAGTGGGGTCTGAGCACTGGCGAGGAGCTGGAGGCCTTGCACTCTGGGAGGGCCTGGTGAGCCCGGCGGGCAGGGACCAGCAAGGCCCACGTGTCCGGAGTTGGGCCTGTGGGCCGGGGCCGCCCTGCGGGGTGGAGGAGGGAGATGGAGCTGAGAGTCGAGAGGTCTGGTGGCCCCAGATGCCGCCTCCTTCCTGCTGAGGAGGCAGAGGGCCGTGACACAGTCGCCGGGAGCGGGGCGTGAGGACACCGTGAACAGACGGGCCAGGCCAGAAGGTGGACACTAGAGCCCTGGGGAGCGGCCTGCCCCTCCTTGGCCTCATGCTCTGGCCCCACAGGAGGAACCTGTGCTGTTTTAAGCCCCTGGTGTGTGGGGATGGCCACGGAGCTGCCGGGTGGGTGTGAGGACAGGTCAGGGAGTGGCCGGGCGGGCGTGGGACGGGTCACGGAGCAGCCAGGCGCACGCACAGACCAGGGTGCCCTCACACTTCCTGCATGAGGCCAGCTCGCCCAGCACAGCGCATAGGTACTGACCGCTGGGCAGGCAACCAGTGGGGCCAGCTGACAAGACCAGGCTGTCCGCGCCCACCCCTCTTGGCCCCCATCCTGCTCTCTGCACTGCCCCAGGGACCTGTGGCGCCACCCAGGTTGCTGGTCCCGGGTGCTGGGTCCCCCCAGGGTCCTCGGGGGGGGGGACTAGGGCCCTCCAGGGGTCCACGGGGTGCTGGTCCCGGGTGCTGAGGTCCCCCAGTGGGGTCTGTGGGGTGCCAGTCCCGGTCTCTGGGGTCCGCTGGGGGTCTGTGGGGTGCTAGTCCCGGGCACTGTAGCCCCCTCAGGCATGTGCTGCCCTGGCTCTGGCTGACTCCAGGTCCAGGCAGCTCCTGCCCAGCTTCCTGGCCCAGTTAGCATAGGGCGGCCCTTACCCGCCGTGGGACACACTGAGGAGGCCACCGTGCCAGCCGCAGAGCTCTCGGGGGATGGAGAGGGCCCGAGCGCCCATGTGGGCTGGGCCTCTGGGGCGCGGGAAGCTCCTGTCCCAGCAGGCAGCACTGGCGGGTGAGGAGGCTGTGGCGCGCACTTTAGGCTTCCCCCTGGACAGTCCAGGGGAGGGAGGAGACATGTGGCAACAGCAGAGGTGCCCTGGGCAGAGGACGTTACTCAGGGTTGGGGTGGGAGAACAGATCTTGGATGGGCCCCCGGGGTGGCCAGGTGGCCCGGCCTCCTGTGGACTCGGGCAGTGCAGGGTTCCTGCAAGTCCCAGTCCAGCGGCCCCTGGGGCCCAGCGGCAGGGCTGCAGGGCCTCTGGCCCAGGCAATGCCCCCAGGTAGTGTGCCCTGGAGGCCAGGGCCTCAGAGAGGCAGTGGGGGCGGGGGCGGGGCCAGCTCAGGCAGCCCAGGCCGGCTCTGAGAGCGGAAAATGAGGCCTTGAGGCAGTGAGCCCAAGGGGGCTTGGAGAGCTGCCCCTGCCTGCTGCCAAGCTCCTGGCTTGAGCCCTGAGTGCTGCCTGCCGCCTGGGGTGGGGCAGCTCCCGGATGTTGGGGCCCCTGCGTTGGGGTGCCCGGGGCTGCACTTGGGCTGCTGGGAGCTGACTTCCCGGCCAAGCACCCCTGCACGCCCCCCACCCCACCCCCGGCACCCCCAGGTCCTGCGGCCGGGTGGGAGGCGGCTCTGGGCCAGGGTGTGGATGGCGGGGCCTCCGGGACCAGGCCCCCAGGCAGCTCCAGGCCCAGGTGCAGGGGCTGGTCCCAGGCAGGCTGGGCCGGGTGGGGGGCAGGGGACACCCAGCCCCGCCCAGGGGCGGGCAAAGGCGCCCCCAGCGCAGGCCCCTCCCCGTCTGGAGGGGGCGGTTCCTCTTTTCAGAACCATGGCTGCCCCCCCAATGCCTGGAGTGGGGATACGGGGTGGGGGGACTGCAGCGGTGGGGGGCGGGCGTGGCCGCGGAGCCGCCTCCTGCCCCGGCGACATTCTTAATCGCGGGGCGCTGACTCACTTCTCTTCAAAGGCGGCGGCTCAGCTATTTAAGCCGCGGGGCTGGGCCCCTGCCGCCGAGTCCTGCTCTGCTGAGCCGAGCCGGGCCCACCGGGACACGCCGCCCGCCTGCCCGCCATGGCCACGCAGGTGTCCCCGTGGCACCACTACCTGCGCGCCATCCGCTCGCGGGAGGCGGCCCGGGCGCAGGACTGCCAGCGCGCAGAGAACACGCTGCTGACCGTGCTGGAGCAGGTGCAGGCGCGCGACCCCCGCTTCCTGGTGGACTACGGCTGCGGCCTGCGGGCCTTCCAGTTCGCCCTGCGCTCCTCGGAGGACCCTCTGGAGGTGGAGGTGCCCCTGCGGGTGGACGCCGCAGCGCTGCGGGTCGAGGAGCTGGGGGCCGAGGCGGGGGGTGGCCCGGAGCGCTGCCGCCTGGCCGTGCCCCGGGACGCGCCGGGCCTGGAGCCGTGGACCTCGGAGGACGTAGCCAGCGCCCCGGAGGGCGGCACCGGGGACTGCAGCCACATCGTGCCTGGCAAGGTCCTGCACACCCTCAGGGCCCTGGTGGTGGCCGCGCTCGTGCACTGCAGGCACCACGGCCTCATCCCGCCAGGTAGCGCCACCGCGGGGTGTGGGGGGAGGGCGTGGGGCGCGCATGGGGGAGGGGCGATGGGGGGCGTGAGCATGGGGAGCAGCTGTGCGTGTGGGGGGGGGCGTGTGCACGCTGCGGGGCCTGGGCGCGGCGGCCATGGGGCAGGCTGCCTGGCAGGGCCCTGGGTCCTGGTCCCCATGGGGACCGCCGGGCAGGCGCGTGGGCTGGCTGGACTCTGGCCCCGAGGCCAGAGTGGGAGAGGACGGGAGTGGGGTGCTGTCCAACATGTAAGCTCAGCACCGCTGGCCGGCCGACAGGGCCACCTGGTGGCGTGGGGTCCAGCCCCCCTCCTGGGGCGGGGGGGCCGTCTGCAGTGTCCTGTCACTTGGCATCCCCGCGGCCGGGGCCGGGCAGCTCCTCTGCAGCCACTGTGGGCAGCCGGCAGGGTCACTTCTGCCTCTGCGTCTCCCACCGCCCTCGAGGGGAGCAGGCGCTGACCGCACCCACCAGGGAGGCGCGGGGAATTCCAGGGCCGCTCTGGCACTCACCTGGGCGGAAGTGCAGCCGCCTGGGAACCGGTGAGGCAGGTGGGGGCCCAGGCAGGAGGGACAGGGATGGGCGGGGAGTGGCCGGTCTCCCGCCTGACCGCGGGTCACGGACACAACGCTGCTGACAGAAGGGAGCCCCCCGCCACGGCTGCGCAGCTGCGGGAGGCCCAGAGGGCCGTGGAGGTGGCATGGCCCCCACCGGGCTGGGGAGACAGGCCCAGGGCGAGGGGCCCAGTGGGAGCCGGGCTGGGGGCCTGGGCAGTGGGGGCGGCCCCGCGGGGCCCGGGCTGGGGTGACCAGCAGGGCAGCCCCACCTCGCTGGCTGCCGCCTCTTCTCCCAGGCAGGCCCCGTCCGCTGGCCCTGAGCCCTGACCGCGGCCCCGCTGGGTAGGGACCCCGCCTGCCCTGTTGACAGCGCTGACCTGGGTGCCCGGCATGGCTCGCCCCTCGCGCTTCCTCTCTGCTGAAGACAGGAGGCGGCAGGTTGGGGCCTGTCACCAGAGCCCCCACCTCTGCCTGTGGACGCCTGAGGACCCCGGTGTCCGTGGGGCTCGGCCCCGGCTCTGCCCCATCATCCTCCTGTGCCGCGCAGACCCAGCGGCAGCTGCACACGTCAGGGAGGGGGCGAGGTCTCCCCACACCCCCAGCCCCCGAGACAGTGGAGGCACCTGTCAGGGAGGGGTCGGGGCCCAGGGACACGACAGGTGTGGGCGCAGGCGGGACCTGGCAGCTCCGGTCTCAGCCACTCCCGGGGGCTGGCACTGCCACTGGTGTCCCCATGGCTCAGGCCCGGCGCATGGCCCCACCCCCCAGCACCGTGGGGGGAGCCCCTGGGTGCTGGGAGCCCTGGAGCCCTCCCCCAAGACTCTCCTGGAAGAGTGAGGAGGCCTGGGATTGGGGTGTGGCCTTGAAAACAAGCCACTTAGAAACGGAGGCCCTGCTGCAGGCCTTGGCAAGATTGCCAGGCTCAGGCCCCCGTCCCCAGCAGCAGCTGACACCCCAGTGTCGGGGACCCTGGAGCCCTGGGGGCAGCACCTGGGCCCACACCCAGGGACGGCGCGTGGAGGCCACTCGCAGAGGGGTTGGGGCCCCTGGGGCAGCTGCAGGAGACCGTGGCCGTGGGCAGCTGGGGCAGCCAGTAGCCCCGCCGCCGCCCTGGGGGAGGTGGGGGAGGGCGGTCGCAGAGGGCCCTCGTGCCCCGACCATGGGGCAGAGCTGGCCGCACACGGAGAGCAGTGGGCCCTCTCCACCCAGGCGTCCAGCAGCCCAGAGCCGCTCGGGCAGGAGGGGCAGCCAAGGCCCGCGGGCCCCACGTGGCCTTGCCCTGAGTGCCTGACCCGCCCCTATGACGAGGTCCTAGGCCGGCCCCCAGGACCCCTTCACTGTAGCCCCACAAGGCCCCCCTCCAGGGCCACACAGGGATTGGGGGCACAGTTCAGCCATCGATGCTGGAGGGCGGCTGGGGGTGAGGATAGATGCCCGCTGGGCCCAAGGGGGCAGGAGGCACCCCCAGGGCAGGCTGGGGTGGGGGGGAGGGAGACGCGTCCTGGGGGGCGCAGGGCCCAGGTGGGCTGGGGCGGGGGGGGAGTGGTAGAGGGGCTGGGGGCAGTGTCCTGGCGTGGGCATGAGGGGGCCTGTGGCGGAGGTGGGGGGGGAGGGGCAGGTGGGCAGGGGTGGTGCGGGGTGAGGGGCGGGGCCAGCGGGAGGCCCAGGTAGCCCCGGCGGTCGTTGCAGGCTCCCTGAGCGTGGCCAGTCTGCCAGAGGATGCGCTGCGCCTGACCCTGCTGGTGTGCGGCGGCTGGAGGACGCTCCGCTTCGGCGTGGTGCCCGTGGTGCGGGTGAGGCGCAGGGTGCCCGCGCTGGAGGAGGCCCAGCGGGCACGCGGATTCCCCGAGGGCAGCCTGCGCAGGGCGGCCCAGCAGGAGGTGGCCCTGGTGCCGGCCAGCGCCCAGCACTGGAGGTAGGCTGCCGGCTCGCACCTGGGGTGGCTGGGCCTGGACGGGGCCAGCTTCACCCCTTGGTGCTGCAGGGATGGGGAGCTGTGCCCCTGCGCTGCCAGTGGGTGGCTCGGGCAGGGAGGAGGGATAGGAGAGACCCCATGAGTGAGGCCACCAGCCAGGCCCCTGCCCTGTCCAGCTCAGCGCCTCGCTTGGAGGGAATGTGGCAAAGACAGTGGACGGTGGCCTGGGCACGTGTCTGTGTGGCCGAGTCCCAGAGCAGGGCTGACACGGCCCCCACGGCTGCCCCGGCCCCGGGCCTGTCGGGGCCTCTGCCCCGGAGTCTGGGAGCGGCCTGCGGGGATGGGGAGGCCCAGCGGTGCCCGCACGCACTTGGGCAAGCTGAGCCCTGGGACCGCACCTCGGGTGGGGACAGCCCTCCTGGCTGGCTCTGCTGGACCAGCTGCCAGAGGTGCTCTGGCTGGGCCTGCCCGTGCCTGGGCCGCTGTGGGGCGGACAGGAGTCACTGGTGGAGACTTCCTGCTTGGAGGGGAAGAGCCCGTCTGTGGTCTCTGCTGTGGGAAAGGCAGAGGTGGCCGTGAGCTCCCCTGGGGTCAGCAGGGGGCCGTGAGTTCCTGAGGGCCCTCCTTGGGCCATCTTTGTGCAGAGCAGGTGCTTCATCCAGACCATGGGGTGGCCACTCCTGTGGCAATGGAAGGGTGGTCTGGTTGGGCCTGGACTTGGGAACTGACCTCTCCTGTGCGGCCCCCACAGGCTGGGGCACTGGCAGTGACTGTCCAGCCCGGGGACCCCACGGGCCCTGGACCTGGGCCTCTCAGGGCCCACAGTGGCTGCGGCTGGCCAGGCTGGCCCCCTGAGACAGGCCTGGGCGCTGCTTCCTGGGCAGAGCGGTGTGTGTCTCTCAGGCTCTCCACGGACGCCTTGCTCACCAGGCTCATGGGCGCACTGGGCTCCCTCCCCGGCCACCGCCTGGACGGGCTGGCCATTCTGGACCGAGTCAACCACGAGAGCTGGCGCCGTGGCGGCCAGGACCCTGGCCTGACCTCCAGCCACCTGCAGGTGCGTGCAGGGCACTGTGGCCGTGGGCAGGCCCGGGCTGGGTGCCGCTGGCCCTGGGTGCTGGCGGCCTGGGTGAGGTCTGATGGGGTGTCCGGCTCCCAGGAGCGAGGCCCCAGGGTCCACATGGAGCCCACCGGAGGCAGCCTGGAGGCGCCTCCCCAGCCTGGGGTCGGAAAGGACACTGGGGACCCCCAATGGCACCGGCCATTTTGGGTGTCGCTCTTTGCTGCTCCCTGGCCCCAGGGTGCTGGGGAGAGTGGGGGAGGGGCTCGGACGCCCAAGCCAGCAGGGAGCGAGGTGGGGGCTGCAGAGAGGGCAGTGTGCTCCGCACAGCAGCTTCTGGCTTGGGGGGACAAGAGGGGCGCAGGTGGGGGCTGGGGGAGGGGGAGGGGACGCAGGGAGGTGTGAGGCACCCCTGGGCACTCAGCCGGGCATGGGGCCATGGTGGGTGGGCGAGGATGGGAAAGGTCCAGATCCCCGAGGGGCCTGAGTTCTGTCCTGGGTGCGGGGCCAGGGCTGAGGACGGCCCAGTGGGGCGGAGGTGCAGGGGCGGGTGGGCAGGCGGGCGGGCAGTGAGGCCGACCTGCCTGCCGCAGACGGTGCTGCTGTGGGCCGCGGCGCTGTTCCCGGCGCCCGAGGACTGGGGGAGCTGCAGGGCGCGGTGTACCGGCTGCTGGTGGTGCTGCTGTGCTGCCTGGCCACGCGGAACCTGCCGCACTTCCTGCGGCCCGAGCACAACCTGCTGCGGGGCGCTGGCCTGGACCTGCACGCCCTGTACCGGCGCGTGGAGCTGTTCGCCAGCCAGCCCGAGGCGGCCCTGCGCCTGCACGCCACCCACCTGGGCCGCAGCCCGCCGCCGCGCGTCGACAGCGGGGCCAAGGCGCTGCTGCAGCTGCCCGCCAGCGACCCCGCCTACTGGGCCACCGCCTACTTCGACGTGCTGCTGGACAAGGTGGGCTCCAGGCCCAGCCCCGGGGAGGGCGGGGACCACTGGCCTCTGGACCCGCGGATTGTGGGGGCGCATGCCAGGGGACGACGGCCAGGGGCCTAGAGGCAGGTGGCAGGCCCACGCCCGTCCCCAGCAGGACCACCCCAAGCCGCGTGGGGTGGGGGGCACCCAGAGCCCCATCTGCCCTCCTGGGGTGCCTTCCTCATGAAGGGTCCGCTCCCTGCTGCCTCCCTGGACTCAAGAGCCATGGCTGTGCCCCCTCTGTCCCTCTGCCCAGTGACCAGGAGGTGCCGGGCTGCTCACCAGCCACCCCTCTATGAGTTCCACAAAGTGGTCAGCTCTGCTCAGCTCTCCTCCCCACCCCGCAGCGCCCACCCCTCCCCAAGAGCAGGCACGGCCCTGGTGGGGTGCATGGGGGGCGGGTGTCAAGCCACCCGTGGCTGCAGGAGGGGCACCCAGGCAGGTCCAGCTGCAGGGGGACCTCGCAGGCAGAGGCCCAGAGGCAGGAGGGGCTGCGGGTCAGAGGCGAGGTGACCTGGCTGTGACCGGCCCTCTGGCCCTCTGTCCCCACGCCCGCAGTTCCAGGTCTTCCACATCCAGGACAAGGACCGGGTCTCGGCCATGCAGAACATCTTCCGCAAGACCAGGGCTCTCGGCGGCGGGGAGAGCTGAGCCGCCCGGCCGTGCCGGCTGCCTGTCGGCGAGGCCCTGGCTCCGCGGCTCTGGGGGGACGGGCCTCCCTCCGCGGGCGCTGGGGGAGGGGCGTGGAAGCCAGCACCCCGCACTGCCCCGGGCCCTGGAGCTCCGGGTGCTGGCAGCCGGACCCGGGGCGGCCTCAGGACCACCTGGCGCCGCGTCCCTGCCCGTGTCCCCTGAAGGAGCACCTAATAAACCCGCGCCCCGGCGGGGTGGCCCCGGCCTTCTCCTGTGTCTCGGTGGACTGTTCCCGGAAGTGGGGGTCCGGGGGGCCCGAGCACAGACAGCAATCTCAACCCCTCCATGCTCCCAAGACCCCTCTCGCTGTCTGCCGGCCCGACGCCCCCCGCGGCCCCCCAGCACCCAGCCCTCGCTGCAGGCAGCCCCGGGGCTGCGGCCCCGTCTCCAGCTCCACTTTTCTCTCCACCCACTTTGGCCTCCAGTGACACCCACTCGGCTCCTGAGCCCCGGCCGCTTGCCGGGTCCCCCGGCGGGGGGGGCCCGAAGGCTCTCAGCGCGGACATGGTGCGGCTCCCGTGAGCCTTTCTGTGGGCCGCAGCCAGCCAGGCTGGGGAACCTGCCAGCGGGGACTCCCAGGGCCGGACGCTGTGGGGCCCGGGGTCTGTGTCCACGCTGCTGCGAGGACAGGGAGGCCACCGCCCTCCTGGCTCGAGGGGGCCTGCAAAACAGGCTCGCGAACCACGCTGACCGCGATGGCACGAGTGTCCAGTCCACCGTGGTCACTCCCATGTTCATGTGCTGTGTGGCAGCGCTCGGCCAAGGCCACCACCCCGCACGGCCCCCGGCACGGTCCAGCCTCCCAGGGCCGCGGCGCCGCACTCCCCAGACCGCCACCCGCGGGCTCGGCCCCACCCCGGCCTGACACCACTGCGCGCCCTGTCCTGACCCCCAAACCCGCGCGGCCTGCGTGTTGGCCGCAGTGGAGGCTTCGTGGGGCGACATCCGCAGCTGAGACCCGGGGCACCCACGGCCTGGGCTTTGGCCGTGTGTGAGATGGCGGTGGCCTCGGGGGCGCCGCGCCCCACGGTGGAGACACAAGGCTCAGGTCCGGGCCGGGACACGGCGGCAGGGGAGCAGCGGGGCTCACCGCACACAGGAGGGAGGGCGGCGCCAGGGCTGCGGGGCGCAGTGGCCCGGGCCTCGCGCGGCTGTGGTCAGGCGGCGCAAGTGGGCACTCGCGGCCAGGAGACCTTCCAGCCCTGTCATGTGGGCCCCACGTGGCACCTCTGGGAACCCCCTACATGGGAGCCGAGGCTGGGGAGCACCCTTGTGGGAGCCTGGAGACCCCAGGAGGCTGGCCCGAGCAGCTGGCGGGCGCTGGGCCTGGGCAGGACTGAGAAGCAGGCGCTGAACACGGGCAGCAGAACCGCATTATTCATTATCTGCAAAGAAAACCCAAGCAAAGCCACGAAGAAACAGCCGGACTTGGCGACTATGGAGGGCGCGAAGGGGGCGCGAGGAGCGGAGGGGCGCAGGGTCGCCAGGGCAGCACGCGGGGCCGGCAGGGTGTGAGGCGCGGGTGCGAGGCCTCCCGGGACTGCAGTGCCCAGTGTGGTCTTAAAAGACCGACATTGCCGGGCACAGCCGGCGCTCACGCGATTCTGAGGGTTTTGCTGCCCTTAACGGCTCTAGCACCCCCACCAGAGCCCCAGGCAGCGCCGACGACAGAGCTCTGAAGGCTACGGGGCCCCAAAGCCTGGGGGTGCGGGACTGGGGTCACACAGGCGTTCCGGCCTCCCCGTGGGCGCGGGCAGGCGCCCGTTGCAGGCGGACACCCGAGCAGGGGCGCGCAGCTGCCGGGCGGGGTGAGTGGGGCTGGCTCTGGCGTGGGCGGGTCAGTCCGAGCCCGGCCTGCGCTGTCCCCCGCTGGCGTGTCCCGCCTCAGCTGTAAGCCCGGCCCCGGCAGCTGCGGCACCCACGCCCGGGGCCTCCTCGGGACACCGCCTCGTTTGAAAGACAGGACTAGGGTGAGGAGTCGACAACCGGGCAGGCGCTCGCGGCGACTCTGGGGCCCCTGGGACAGATGGCCACGGCCACCAGGCGCCACTCCGCAGGGGAGGGGCAGAGGGGGCGGGGAGAAGGGGGAGCAGGAGAGCCACCTCACGGGAGCGGAGGCCCCGGAGCCGCCCCCCCACATCCGGACTCACGGGGGCCGGGGCGGGAGGCTCAAGCCCAGGAGGGGCAGGACGGAGACCCCTGGCCAGCGAGGCCCCAGCGGCCGGAGCTCCCCTGCGCGCCCACTCGCCCCAGCCCCCCCGTGACTCCCCGCGAGAGCAGAAGACGGGGCACACCCAGCCTCCTCGCGCACCTTACTCTAGCCCCAAGCAGGGCGGCCCAGGCCCGCGCACAGCCCAGCCCCCAGCCCCTCCCCCCGCGCACAGCCCGGCCCCCCTCCCGCACAGCCAGCCCCCCCACAGCCCTGCAGTCCGTCCACCGAGGCTGACTCTGGGGAAACCGACCAGGCAGGGCGGCTAGCAGAACAGAGGCGGGAGCCCCCGGGGGCCGCCGGATTCCACGTTCTGCCCCAAGGGTCCTGCCTGCTCTGACCGCAGCACTGAGGGGGCAGCGTGGGCTCTGGGCAGCCCCGCCTCTCCTGGGGGCCACCAGCACCGCCCGTGGCTCAGGCGCTGCTGCCCACATGGACCGGCAGTATTGGGGCGTCCGTCAGGGACGCCGGGGGCTGCGGGCGTGCACCTGGCTGGGTCTGCAGCTTCCGGGGAGGGCAGAGGGGGTCGGTGAGGGCAAGGGGCAGGGTAAAGGGGCAGAGGTCAGGGGAGCCGGGCAGAGGAGGAGGGCGCTGGGCGGGGGCTGCCCACCCACCCCCGCCACGTCCTTGCTCGCCCGCCTGGACACGGGCCTGCGCCCTAGGCCCCGAGATCAGCCTGAGGCCGTGCGGTCCCCCAGGCAGGGCCGCGGGGCGGGGCAGGGCTGGAGCAGAGGCGCAGCCGCCAGGGCAGGCGAGGGAGCGGAGGCCGGCGGGGTGGGCGGACACTCTTTATTGACTCCTGGGAGGCCGGAGCCCACGCCTGGCGCCTGGCGGCGGTTCTGCGGGCCGCCCCGGGTCACAGCTTGTTCCGGGGACAGTTCTGCAGCGCCTCCTGCAGCGCCTCCGTCAGCCGGTCCACGTTCTCGCGCGTGGCGTTGTAGCCCAGCAGGCCGATGCGCAGCACCTGGCGCGGGCGCAGGCTCAGCCCCGAGCTGGGCACGGGGAGCCCATGGGTGCTGCCCTGGTCCCCCGGAGGGCCCGCCCTGCAGAGCTGTCCTCCCTCTGCCTCGGGGCATCCATATGGGTCATTCAGAACCACCCGCTCAGCGGGCACAGCGGAGCCAGCGGGGGGCAGTGCCGGGGGCAGGGACCAGGGGGCAGGAACCAGGGGGCAGGGGCTGAGGAAGGGCATTGGGGAGAAGCGGAGAAGCCGCTCCCCCACCTCACAGGACTGGGGAGGAGGCGGCTGCCCTTCCCCCAATTCCCAGGCAGCTGCTGACCCCCAGGCCCCACCCCCTGGCCCCTGTGGCCAGCTGCGCCGGTGTGGGAAGCCTTCCCTGCGGCCGGGGCCGGGCACTCACCATGCCCACCGAGGGCCCCAGGCCACCCATGATCTCGATGCCGAAGTGGTCCATGAGGTATTGCAGGATGTCCTTCCACTGGTAGCCGGCGGGCACGGCCACGGTGGTCACGGTGGGCAGCCGCAGGGCCTGTGGGATGCCCGGCCAGCCCAGCGGGGGTCAGGTGGGGGTGGGGAGGAGTAGGGTGCCCCACCTCCAACCACCCGTGCCCCCACGGGGTGTCCAGACACCACCCTGGGCTGGGGAGCTGAGAGGCTCCCGCTCAGAGACCCCCCCCAGCCACCGAGAGGGCCCTGGCCGGAGCCCCCGCCCACCGCCCCGGGCCCCTTACAGGGTCCTTCACGAAGAGCTTCAGGCCCAGCCCCTGCAGACGCCCGTACAGGTACTCGGTGGCCTCCCGGTGCTTCCGCCAGCTGTTCTCCAGGCCCTGCGGGCAGGCGGGCGGTGTGGGCGGCCGGAGCGGGGCCCTCCTGCCCGTGCCGCCCTCCTCCCGCAACGCCGGCTGTGGTGTGGGGCCTGTCCTGGGGGGAGGGGAGGCCTGGGGCTCCCTGGGCGCCCGTGGAGGTAGGTGGGCGAGGGCGGAGGAGACCGGGCGCCAGCCAGTTATTGAGGCCCTGGGGGAGGCGAGGGCACCTGGCTGGAGCAGGGAGCTGCCCAGGGGAGGGGACACGCAGGCAAGAGCGACCAGAACTAGGGCTCGGGCACCCTCCTCCCTCGGGGGTCACGCCCTTGGGGAGGGTCAGGGGAAGGAGGGAAAGAGGGTCGTCCCCACACCCGGGCCCCGGCCCACCTGCCCCCTCGCGGCCCTGCTGCCCCAAGCCCCCACTGTGCTCCACGGGGGCCCGGCCTCCCCTCCACGCTGACGCCCAGACCCGGCTCTCTGTCCTGCTTGTGACCCTGGCGCCCCAGACCCCTCCGTCCCCTGTTGGGGTGGACAGCGGCTGAGGCGGCCAGCGTGGGCAGCAGGGTACTGGGTCCTGTCTCCTGCAGCCTGGGCCACAGAGTGTGGACACTGCCCCCAGCAGAGCCAGGCCCTTGTCACGCGGCCGTGCCTGCCCCAGGACGGACGCTGCTGCAGGACTGTCCACTCTTGATACCGCCCATGCACCTTGGCTGTCCCCCTCGGCGGGGCCCACTCTGCCTCCTGAAGCAACCTGGGCTCACTGCACGGCCTTGTCCCTCCCGCCCCTCGGCCAGCAGGCCCGTCGCCGCCCAGTGGCGTCCCTGGCCGGCTGCCCGGAGCAGCCCCGGAAGCGCACCTGCTCGGCCAGGAGGGCCAGGCTCTCGCGCAGGCTGTACAGGCTGACCACGGGGGTGGTGTGGTGGTACCTGCGGGGGCGGCTGCTTGTCAGGGCTGGGGCCTGGCAGCCTGGCGGGGTCGGGGAGGCTCCCACGGGTCCCACCAGGCACATGGGCAGGGCTCCCTCCCATACTGCCCACGCCCCGGATCTCGGCTCCTGCTGTGGGCGACGTGGCCAAGCTGCCTCACAGAGCCCTGGCTCCCGCGCTCCTGCCCCCAGGTGGGTTAACTGAGTCACAGGGCAGAGGAGCGGGGGCAGGCTGGGCCCAGGTGCTTGCAAGACCGTGGGAAGGGGCGGCCATGGGAGGGCGGTGGGGGCTGGCGGGGCCCTGCCTCGGCCGGGGTGAGGGCCTGACAGGGACTGGAGCCCCGTAAGCAGGCGAGGGGGGTGGATAGAGCCCTGCCCGCCGCCCTCACGTCCGCGGCTGGTCGTCGCAGCCCCAGAAGTTGCCCAGCAGCTTGATGTCCAGGTAGAAGGAGAAAGGCTTCGTCTTGCGGGCGTCGATCTTGCTCCTGGGGGAGAAGTGGCCTGAGCGCCTGGCGGCTGCAGAGTCCGAGGCCCAGCCGGCACCTGGTGCTGCAGGCGTGTTTGCGCCCAGGGGCCAGCACGGCACCCCCGGGGTCCAGCCCCTTCCCCAAGTCTGGTGACCCCCTCTCCAAGCCCGAAACGCACCTGCTCGCACAGCTCCAGGCGGCAAGGCCGGCCCGACCTCAGGCCCGGCCCCCCACCTCACCAGCACACAAGCCCCGGTCCCACCGGGGGTGTCTGTGAGGTCCTGGGTGCGGCCGCGGCAGGAGCCTTCTGGGCCTGACCCGTCTCCTCCCGCCCCCACCCAGCCTGGCGCGGGTCTGGACCCCGGGATGTGGGGACTCCCGCTGGGGCTGCAGTGGGCCCAGGCGTCCTTGTCCTCCGGCTCAGCTCCCGGCACCTGGCGGGGGGCGGAGGGAGGCCGGCTCGCCTCGTCCCGACGCCAGGGCCAGGCCGCGTCCCACACAAGCCCAAGCCCCTGTGAAGAGCATCTCCCTGCAGCCAGCATGGCCACCTGTGCCCAGGCCCTCACCGCCTCGGCCTCGGCCACCGCTCCCCAGCCCGAGCTCGGGCGCCTGCTGGGGGCACCTGTCTGGGGCACCGGCCCAGGGGTGCTTGCTGGGGGCACCTACAGAGGGGTTCCTGCCGAGGGTACCTGTTGGGGGGCACCTCTGGGGGTTTCTGCTGGGGGTACCTGCGGGGGGCACCTGCCGGGGGTATCTGCAGGGGGAACCTTGCGGGGACACCTGCCAGGGCAGGGCTGGAGGCCCTCTGAGCGTGCCCCTTCTCCCCCCAGCCCTGGGGGCCCAGCACCCACACTCACTTGGCCTTCTCACTGAAGGAGATAATCGAGGTGCCTGGGGGGGCATTCAGGGCCTTCTGGGACCCCGAATACAGGATATCGATGCCTGTGGGGTGAGAGCCACACTTGAGGTCAGGCCCCTCCGGGGGGGGGGGCCCTGCTGCCCAGGACACACCCACCAAGGCTCCGAACGGGTGGGGGGGCTGCTCCCTGGGGTAGGGGACAGCCAGGCCCCTGGTGGCCGAGCCCCCGCAGGGGCAGGCAGGGGTCTGCAGAAGTGCCCCCCCGGGGATGGGCTGGCCTGGAGGAGGAGGCGGCCCCGACAGCTGCGGCGGCTCTGCCCACCCAGAGGCTCTGGCCCAGCCTGCTCCCGCCCGCCCGGCCCGCGGTGCTGCGCGCCCCACCTTGCTGGTCCATGTAGATGGGGGCCCCGCCCAGAGATGCCACCGAGTCCACCAGGAGCAGACACCCGTACCTGGGTGGGCGCAGAGAGCAGGGAGGGCTCATGCTCCGCCCGGGTCCAGGCGGCCCCCCGCACCTCCAGGCTTCCGCCTGGATCCCTGGACAGGCAGAGGGGGCCTCGGGGGTCGAGCCCAGGGGGCTGCTGCCGCGCTCGGCCAGCACAGCCTGGTCAGCTTGGGGCCGCGCCCCATCCTGGAGCAGCGGTGACGACAGCCTCGCGTCGCCCAGCAGCCACGCCCGTCTCCGGACCCTGCCGGGTGCCGGGTGGCCACGGCGGGCTCAAGCCCCCACCAGACCAGAGCAGGCCTGAGGTGGGGGGCCCATCCAGCCTCGGCCCTGTGCCCCATGTGTGGGGGCGGGGGTGGGGAGGGCTCTGGGGAGGTTGGCCCCTAGGCCTGGACCCGGGGCAGGGTCAGCTCGGAGCCCGCCCCTCTGAGGACCCGGGGGGGCCCCGGCCACACTGCAGGCAGGCCGCGTGGCCGGGGGGCAGGCGGGGGGCCCACCTGTGGCAGAGCTCCCCGTAGCCGTCCAGGGGCTGCAGGATGCCGCTCGAGGACTCCCCGTGGGTCAGGAAGAGCAGCACCGGCTTGTGCTGGGCCAGGCCCTGGGGACAGAGGAGCCGGCTGAGGCCCAGCGGGGCCCCAAGGTCTGCTCCTGGGCAGGGGCCCCCGGGACAGTGACCTGGTGGGCGGCGCCTGCCACCCCTCTGCTGGCACTGGGGCGGCTCCCAGAGGAGGGCTTGGCCCGGAGACAGGCGCGACCCAGACCCCCTGTGGCGCCTGCCGCCAGCGAGAGGCCAGCCGCGTCCCCGGGTCTGGCTGGTTGGGACTGACCCCGGGGCCCTCCTCTGGCCTCCAGGGGTCAGGGCTTTTGGCTCTGCAGACCCCTGACAGGATTCCCACCCGCCGGCCCCCAAGGCATGTACCCCAGCTGGGAGAGCCGAGGACCCCAGGGCCCCACCCCCGCCCGGAGCCGGCCCTGGAACCTGCCGCTGCCCCCGGCCCCCGGTACCTTTTCCACATCTTGCAGCGTGAAGTAGCTTCCAGGGCCCTTGACCATCGGGTGCACACGGGCTTCTGGGGGCAGGGCAGAGAGGGTGTGACCCCGTGTGCACACTGCAGGCCCTGGTGTTGGGGAGCAGAGGGCCTGGAGGGGCAGTGGCTGGGGGTGGGGGGACGCCCGGGAGGGGCCCTGGGGAGGGGGGCACGGGCGAGGGTGTCCAGCTCACTGATGCGCTCGGCGATTTCCACGGCCCGCTGCCCCCACATGCCGTTGACCCCGACCAGGAAGGAGTCCCCCGGCTCCAGGATGTTGACCAGGGCAGCCTCGAGGGCGCAGTGGCCGGAGCCGCTCAAGGCCAGCGTCAGGCGGTTCTGCGTCTGGAACACGTACTGGACGCCTTGCTTGATCTCGTCCATTATCTGGGGGGACACGCGGGTCAGGCCCTCGTCCTTGTGCTGAGCGAGGGGCGGCCGGGCGGCCCACACCCACCTGGAACATCTCCTTGTGCACGTGGCCGATCATCTGCTGGCCGCCGGCCGCCAGCACACGGGGCGCCAGGTTGGCGGGGCCGGGCCCCAGCAGCAGCCGGCTGGGGAGGGTCAGGGGCCGGAGCAGCGCCGGGGGCGGGGGCACCCGCAGCTGGTGGGTGGCCATGGTCCGCGCCCGGGCGGCCGCCTGGGGCCCAGGGCCGCGCCGGCCACACGCAGCACGCACAGCATCGCCCTGCGGCCGCGGGGATCGCCGGTCGATGGCGGTCGATGGCTCCGGCTCCTCCTTGTTTGTGCTGCGACCTGACCCTCCGCACACTCACCCGTGTGTCGGGGCCGGGCGGGGGAGGAGCCCGGGAGCCGCAGACACGGCCAACAGCCCACTGCCCGTGCCTGCCCCCCGCGGCCAGGGCGGTGTCCAGGCCGGGGGGCCGCCGCGTGATGGGGCGGCACGGCCCAGAGGGCCCTTGCTGGCGGGCAGGCGGCCCAGACCCGGGTAGCTGACCCGTGCCCTGCGTGTGTCCACGTGCGCCTGTGTCTGCACGTGTGCCGCTCTGCGGGGGTCGTGAGTCACACGTGTGCGTGTGTATGCCAAGTGTGCCAACACCCCCAGGCCGCGCCCCGTCCCCATCCTTCTGGAAGGAGCTGCTCCTCTGCCTCCCCCCAGGGCCCGGGGTCGCAGCCCGCTGTCCCCTTGCGGGCCGTGCAGGAGCCTCCTCGCCCCAGCCCGCCGGAGGGGAGGGGGAATCACGCAGGCTGCTCCCACACTTCTCCCAGGCCCGATGGGTCCTGTGGCGAGGGGACCCCGTCCCGCCCTCAGCACCTGCCCCTGACCCCACGCCCCTTGGCACTCGCCGCGGGCCCAGGGCCCTTAGCTAAGCAGGCGTTTCAGCCTGTGCGCCCGGACACCCTCGCAGGCCTGAGGGCAGGGTCCCTGTCCGTCACCTGGGACAGGAGGAACCAGCCTCGTGGGCTGGACCAGGGCGCCTAGCAGGGGCAGGTGCATCCCCGCGGGCCCAGGCCTGCGCCCTCACCCTCTGCGCCTCCAGGCCGGGAGCCAGCGGGAGACCCCCACCCTCCTCCCTGCACATGTGCCGGGGGACATGTCTTTCTACTGTCCCCAAAAGCCTCCCCTTGGGCTTGGACTCCTCCAGGAGGGTCCGGCCAGGCTGGGCCCACTAGGAGCCTAGTCCACCTCATGGACCGGGGACCTCCTTCCTGTCGGGGTCAAGGGCATGTGGGGCAGCGGGCCGGGACATCAGGGAGCCCATGAGTGAGCGGATGGGTCGGGATGTGGCCCTTCGCTCCATCCTTCCCAAAGCCCCCCACAAAGCCTGGCACCCCCTCCCCTGCCTCCTGGGGGCCAAGAGGAGAGCCGGGTGGCCCGGAGGCTCCAGGAAAAGGCTGAGGTGGAGTGGGGTGTCAGAGCTGAGCCTGGAGCCTGGCAGGGACCCCTGGGAGGGGGGGGCGGTCTGTGGGGCTTCCAGGGCTGGCCAGGCCCGCCGTGCAACCCCCAGGGAGCAGGCCCAGCTCAGCGCTGCCTGCGCCAGGTGAGGGTCGCCCAGGGAGCTGACGGCCTCTGCCAGCCTGCGCGTGTCCACTCTGCTTGGCCCTCAGGCTGTGTCCAGCGCTGCCCTCCACTGGCGGCCACCTGGGATGCCCTCTGTCACGCGCGGGCCGCAGGGCGACGGCCTTGCTTCCTTGGAGCCACGTGCAGGTGCCTCACGTGCAGGGCTGAGGCCGGGTGGACCCACCGCCCGCAGCGGGCAGCCTGCTTGCTCCAGCAGGGGCGTGAGCGCAGCGGGAGGCGCTGTTGCAATCTGGGGGGCGGCTCCCCAGGCTCAGCCACCATTGGGAGCTGGGGCCGGGCGTGGGCGAACAGCAGGGCAACTAAGTGACCTTTGTTCCCCCAGGAGCCCCGCAGATAAGGGCCACCTGGCCAGCTGGACCAGAAGTGGGGCCTCAATGCCCAGCCAGTGGCTGTGCCTGCCCAGCCCCCGGGCAGCCCCGCCCGTGCCAGCCCCTCTGCAGGGCAGGGACCCTACAGGTGGACAGGACCTGGATGAGACCCTCTGCTGGCCACGCCCCTCACCTCCGCCCTGGCACCCACGGCGGGTGTGGTACTCCAGGGGAGCCTCCGAGGACCGTGCCGTCCCCTCCTGTACCCACCCGGCTCCAATCAGCGCGCAGAGGATGGGGGGGTAGTCCCTTGCCCAGCGCCAGAGCAGGGGCCAGTGGGCCGCCAGGCAAGCCTGGCCTCCTCGGGGCAGGACAGGCACCGCCCAGCACAGCTGCGCAGGTCACCATCCCGGGCCATGCCCTGCTGGGGCGCCCAGTGTCCCCTGAGCGGGCACCAGGTGCTCACTTAGCGGTGAGGCGGTGCTGCCAGCGCCCTGGTGCGCCTCGGACACCGATGGGGTGGGGCACCCCCACTTGCGGGTCTGAGGAGCAGCTGCGGGGGGAGGGATGAGGGTGGGACAGAGAGTGGGGTGGGGCCGCGGGGCCATGAGCGTCCTGCTGTCCAGGTGCAGCCCCGGGGTGAGACTGGCGGGAGGGTCGGGCCCCCCTGCAGCGGCCAGGCACCGGGTGGGGACGACCTCAGAGCCCTGTGAGGCGCCCAGCCCCGCCCTCCCCTCCCGTCCCAGCCCCTGCCCTGTCCTCCCCTCCCCCACTCTCCCCACACTGGCCCCTGCGCTGCCCACCTGGGATGCAGCCAGAGGCCCTGGGGACGGCCAGCCGGCATGAGGCTGGCACCCTGGGCTGCTGCAGTGTCTCTCAACGCTCCTTATTTCCATTTTCACACCACAAGCTTTTTGACACTTTGCTGCAGCAGAGACAGAGTGGACGGGGCCCTCTGGGTCCGGTCCTCCCAGGTGGCCTCTGCCACCCAGTTTGCTGGGGACTGGCCAGGCCCAGGCCGCCTGCCCTGCCCCACAGCCCGGGGCGGCCCCAGGGCTTCTCCGCCTCTTCTGTGCAGTCTCCGGGCCGGTGCGGACACGCTGGGGCTGCGGCAGGTCTGCGACAAGCCTGCTCACCGGCCGCCCGGCTGGGGTCTCCTGGGGGGCCCGCGCGCCACGCTGGGGCTGAAGCAGGGCTCGGGAGCCACAGGGTGAGAGGCTGCCGAGACCCCCTGTTCACACGCGGGCTCTGGGCTTAGGGCTCCTGCATGCTGCAGTCCCGCCGCAGGGACACCGAGCGGGACCTGGGAGAGTCCGAGGGAGGCCCAGCTGGCCAGCGCCACCTCCCCACTCAGGGCCTGTCCACCTGGCACCCCTGCCGCGTGCTGATTGGTCGCGACCAGCACGAGTGTCCATGAAGCAAAGGGTGGCTCTGAGCCCGGCCGGGCGCTCCTGGGTGCTCGGGCTCTGCCTGCCTGCCTGCAGGGGTGCTCCCCTCTTTGGGCTGCTGTGGATGGAGGGGGTGGACATGGGTGTGGCGTCCACTTCTTTGGGGTGTTCGCCCAGCGTGGGGCTGGTGGGTCACGTGGCAGTCCCATGTCTGAACTGTTTCATCCGCGCCCGCAGCCAGCTGTGCCCCCTGCTCTGCGCCCCTAAGAGTGCAGGGGCAGCGGCCCCTGATGGTGGGGAGCTTTGACGGTGGGGACCCCTGACAGTGGGCTGCGGTGGGAGTCCCTCCGGGGAGCGCCCAGAGGGGCCCGGCACACCAGGGCCGTGGGGTGCCTCACGCTCTCTGCCCCCGAGGGCAGCTTCCATGCTCTCCCCTGGCAAGAGATACGGCGGTAGCTGGGCCAGGGAGGCCCACGGAGGACATGCCACCCACGGCTGCCGAGCAATGCGCCCCACATCAGCCGCCACCCGCTGCCCGCTTTGGCTTGATCAAACACCGAGTCAGCACTGCCAGCCTCCCAGCAGGTCCCAGGCCCAGCCTGCGAGGCCAGCCAGGGTGGGGGTGGGGCGCCCAGGGCCCCTCAGCTGGGGGGGATCTGGCTCGCTCTGGCCCCCTCTCCTGCAGGCTGCACACAGGCCATGTGGTCAGGCGACGGTACTGCGGTGAGCGGGCAGCTGGGAGAGCTGTCCCGCAGGTTGCAGGCACCAGCCTCCCCCACTGCCTCGCCTGTCTTCGGGGGCAGGGGGCCTGTGGACAGCGCACCAGCCACCGGCTTCCCCCCTCTCCTGAGGCTGCGCCCTGCAGCTCGGCCTGGGGAGAAGCTGGGGGGGGGCATCTGCGGGGGCCTGGCTCCCGCACGGGCCCTGCAGCACCCCTGGGCGCAGGGCCTCTCCCGGCCGCTGTGAATACCGCAGGCTGGGTGTCCCGGGCAGGCTGGGTGTCCCGGGCAGGCTGGGTGTCCCGGGCAGGCTGGGTGTCCCGGGCAGGCTGGGTGTCCCGGGCAGGTGTCCCGGGCAGGTGCTCCATCCAGTGGTGGCCGCGGGAGCTGCGTGGCGGGAGAGGCTCCCCACCGCTTTGGGAACCGGGCATTCGCGCCTGGTGAGCTGGGCAGGGGCTGCAGGGGCAGGTGGGCCTGGGCCCTCCGCCAGCCTGGGGAGGTCCGTGGACAGGGGCCAGGCTCAGGCCAGGGGACGCCGCCACAGGTGCCGGGCTGGGCCCCGCCGGGGCGGCGGTGCAGGGACGGGAGGGGCGGGTGAGGGCCGCCCAGCGGGGCCGGCCCTTTGTCTTCCCGCCCTGCCTCAGGTCCTCGGCGCGGGACACAGCGCGGGCCGCCCAGGCCTGGGTCCGGCACCGCATGGCCGCGCAGCTGGAGCCCAGAGAGCCCCCGCCGGGGCCGGCCCCGCTCCCGGGCCCTGGACTCGGCGCTGACCCGCGGGCCGCGCTCCCCAGCCCGGAGCGTGGCCCCGGCCCGGGGGACCTGCCCCCAGGGCGGCTGGGATGCGCTGCCCGCCGAGCCGGGTGGACACGCCCCGCCATTGCCAAGGCAGCGGCGTTGCCCGGCAGCGCCCGGCACCCACGGACGGCCCCGGGGATGGTTGCCGAGGCAACGCGGCAGCAGCACCCGGGCTGGGGCCTGGGGACGGCCCCCTCGGGGCGGGGCTTCCTCGCAGGGGCGGGGCTTCCTCGCAGGGGCGGGGCTTCCTCGCAGGGCGGGGCTTCCTCGCAGGGGCGGGGCTTCCTCGCAGGGGCGGGGTCTTAGGGGCGGGGCCGCGCATCCGCCCGTGGTCCGTCCTGCCTCAGCCCACAGGACTGGTCCCTGGGGTCAGCGTGGGCAGGTCCTGGGCCTGGGCCGGCAGGTCCCGGTGGGGTGGGGTGCAGGGGCGCCCCAGTATTCTTCCAATACTGGTTCGGGGTCTGGTCCTCCTGCACTTTGGGGAATTCCAGGTAGCCCGCGGGTGGGCGCCTCGCCACCCCCCACCCCCACAGGCCCCCTCCCCCGGCTTCTCCCCCCGCCCAGCTGCAGGAAGGTCCGGCCCCATGTCTGGGGGTGCAGGAGCTAGAGCCGTGGTTCTGGCGGGACCTATATGCTGCCAGGGCGGGGGCAGAAGTTCTGTGGTGTTTGGGCTCAGAGGGGAGGCCCACGAGCGGTCAGCACCCAGGAAGCCTCAGGGAGGGGCTCAGGCAGGAGGACAGGGCTGGGCTGCACCTGCCGGGAGGCACACGGAACAAGAAGCCAGTGGACATGGAGGCCGGGGAGCTCACAGGGCTGGAAGCCCTGCCGGGAAGGGCCTGAACGCCGCAGCTTCTCCCACCGGCCTCTCCCACCAGCCGCTGCCCAGCAGGCCCTGCAGGCGCCGCTCCGGCCTCCGCGGGGCGCCAGGCGTCTGAGCGGGACAAATGCGGGAAACGTGTCCCGGAGCTGGGTTAATTCCGAACATGAAAGTGAGAACTGAAAACAGAGGCGTGTTCGAGGGACTCGCTGGGAACGTGGCCCTGTCAGCGCGAGGGGAGGGCAGGGCGGGCGGTGGGCATCCAGGAGAGCGGGCTGAGAAACCCGCAGGGCTGGCCCAGCGAGGCGCCTTTGGGAAAGGGCTGGAGAATAAGAACTGAAAAGCTGCGCGGCGCCCACACAGATGAGCGCCAGCCACGCCCGCAGCCTCCTCCTGCGTGACGTCAATTAGCGGGCAGGCCGGGCCAGGGCACCCGTGGGCAGGACCCGAGCTTCTGCGGCCACTGTCCACCAAGCCCCGCAGGCCACGCTCCGCAAGCTCTGACCAGTGCTCGGGGTCCTGACCGAGAGCCAATGATTTAACGGTCCAGGCAAACTCACTTGGGTTCCCTCAACTCCCCACCACGCGGTGGGCAGCCCACACCACTCGCATGCGTGGGACAAAAGCCGGACCCAGAGTCTGCCCCGAGGCTCAGCTCCGGGGATCCCCGCCCTGGGGTCCGCCCCAGGTGGCCATGGGTGCCCCACCCCAGCGGTCCCTCAGCTGAGGTGATGAAAGCACCACCAGGTCTGGGGAGGTGGGGGGGCAGGGCGGAGGTCATGGGTGGGCGCCGAGGTCCTGCTCCTCACCCCACCCCGGGGCCGCACTGCCCCCCACCCCGTCACCTCTGTAAATAACCCCTCATCATACCCTCCCTAATGCCCCCGGTGCCTCCCGCCTGGGGCGGCGCCCTGCTGGGCAGGCTGCTGGCAGATGATGAGGCAATTCGATGAGAAACCGGTCACAAAGCTGGCTGCGGGGGCCACGCTCCCCAAGTGGATGGCGTGGATTGAGTGACCCGCAGGCTCTGACCCTAGGGTTTGAAAGAATCCCAGGGACGGGAAGAAACACCTCGGTCTGAACGACAGTGAGACTGGGAATGGCCACTTTTGCGAGAGCCCGCTGGGGGCTGCAGAAGGAGACTGGCTATCGGGGGACCCCCAGAAGGCAGACAGCAGCAGCGACGGCTAGTCGTGAGAGCAGGACGGAGCCGCCGGCCCGAAGGACGGGAGGGAAGGGCGGGAGAGAAGGGTCCGTCCCTGAAAATGTCTACACATATTAAAAGAGAAAATGGCAAAACCTCCACCAAAATAGGAAACAGAACGGAGAAAGGAATGGAGATCAGAGCCCACAGTTCAACCACGGACACCGCGGCCGCTCGGTCCTGAGAACAGAACATGCTCAGCTGGGCTCAAGAAAGAGAGAACGCGGCGGGGGGATGACAGAGACCCCCACGCACCCGCAGCCCCGGTGCGCCCCGACGCGCCCTGACCCCCGCGCACCCCCATGTGTCCCCCCACCCCCTCCCGTTGCTGCTCCGGACAGAGCCTGGAAGGGCGAGGCGCCCCGGCCGGCTCCTCCCCACCTGCCCGAAAAGCACCTGCCCGGCGGCGGCGGCACCTCCTGGGAGCACCGGCCCTGCCGGGCGGGGGCGCGGGGTGCGGGCGCCGCGGCGGGCGGGACGGACGGGGTGTCCCGGCTGCGCTGACGTCACCGCACCCACCGCACTGCGGCTCGCGGGGCGCCGGCCCGGGGCTTTGTGGGGGTTGGGGGAGGGACACGCGGCTGGCGGCCTGCGCGCGCCCGCCCCTGGGGACCCCGAAAGCAGGCCGGGGCGGTGGCCGAGGGAAGGGGCGCGGGTGCCGCCGGAGGGGGCGGCGGGTGCGCGGCGGCTGCCTCCTCCCCGGGCGGCGGGCGGGGCGGCACCGGCCGGGGCACCTGTTACAGCGGGGTCCGCGGCCAGGCAGGCCCGCGGGGGGTGCGGGGACCGTCCCCGGGCGCCCCCCCCCCCCCCGGCCGGGCGGCGGCGGGGGGCTTCAGGGCTGCCCTCCAAGGGGTCCGCGGCGGGGGGCCCCCGGGGCGCGCTCGGCGGCCTCTGCCCGGCCAGGGCGGGCGGGGGAGCGCGGCGGGCGCGGGCGCGGGGCTCGAGGTGGGGCGCCGGGTGACGTCACAGCCCCCCCCCCCCCCCCCGCCCCGCGGCGGCCCGACGCCGCCTGCCCGCGACGAACCAGCTGGCGGCTGGGGCTCGGGCGCCGCGCGCAGCCAACCAGCGGGGCGGGGGCGGGGCGGCCGGCCGGGGGCGCAGCCGTCACGCGGGGCGCAGTCACTGCCCCGCAGCCCGCGCCGCGGCCGGGACGCGCCCACGCCGGTGCCGCCGGCCCAGCCCGGGACGCGAGAGGTGAGGCCGCCCGCGCCCGCGCCCCGCGCCCCCGCCCCCGCCTGCGCGCGCCCCGCGCCCCCCGCCCGCGCCCCCCGCCCCGCGCCCCCCGCCGCCCGCGCCCCCCGCGCCCCGGGGCGCCCAGCACCCGCGGGCGCCCGTGTCCTTGTCGCGGCCGGGGCGCCGCGGCCCCTCCTCTCCGCGCCTCCCGCCCCGCCGAGAACAATGGGCAGATTCAGGGCGCCCCCCCCCCCCCCCCGCCCGCCGCGCGGGGCCCTCTCGGGAGGCGCCTCCCCGCGCCCCGCGGCGGCCCCGGCATCTCGGGCGCCCGCGCCCCGACCCCGCCGCCGCGCCCGGCCCGGGTGGGGGGGCGGGAGGGCGCGGGCCGGGGGGCGCCCGGGAGGGGCGGGTGCGGGGCGCGGGCGCGGGCGGGCGGGCGGGCGGGGCTGCGCGGGGCTGGCGGCCCGCGTCGCGCCCTCCCGGCCCCGCGCCCTCCCCGGCGCGCCCCCGGCCCCGCGGCCCGGCCGGCAGGGGCGCCGCGCGGGAACAGGTGCGGCCGGCGGCGCGGGGGGGGGGGGGGCGCGGGGGGGGGGCGCGGGGCGCTCCCGAGACCCTGCCCCAGCCCCTCCCCATGCCCCGGTCCGGGCCGCCGGCGCGCGCGGCGGGGGGGCCGGGGGCCGGGGTGGGGGGGGCCGGGGGGGCCGTGGGCCTGGGGCTGGGGCCCGGGGGGGGGGGGGCCGGGGGGGCCGGGGGCCGGCGCCGGGGCGGGGGAGGGGCGGGAATGCCAAGTCATGGGCCTGCGGGCGCGGGCACGATGCCGCCCGCGCGGACCTGGGGCGCGCCCGCGGTCCCCGGAATCCTGGGACCCCTCGCGAGGCGGGTGCCCACGTGCCCGGGGGCAGCGAAGGGGCCTGCGGCCGGGAGCCCCCCCCCCCCCCCCCGCAGGGTCGGCCCCTCCCACCGCGGCGCCTCCCTGCCCCCCCACCCCCTGCCGCCTGCGGGGCGCTGCGGGGCGTCCTCGCCCCCATCGCGGTCTGACGGGCAGCTGCGGGGTCCGGGTGGGGGTTGGGGCTGCACCTGTGGCGGCCATTTTGCAGGTGTGGTTACCCCAGGCCCCGGCCAGGGCTGAGGGGTGCTGCAGGCAGTGGGGAGCAGGTGGGGCCTGCAGAGCCGGGCTGCAGTGGGCTGCAGGTGCGGTGGGGCCGGGGCCAGGTCTACGCGGGTCGGGGTCAAGTTCCAGGAGCCCCTGGGACGCGCAGGGTGGGGGATGCTCAGTCTGGTGGACGTGAGTCTGGCAGGTTGCTGGGTGCAGGGGGGGCGGTCAGATGCACAAGGTCAGGCCCTGTGGGGTGTGGTCTGCAGGGCTGGAGAGGCTGGACCCGGTGTGCAGACAGGCCCAGGGGAGGGCCTGGCGTGCCAGGGAAGAGCCCTCTGGTGGGTGTCACGGCCCCCACCTGAGGGGCAGCGCCACAGTGGGGAGCCGAAGCCGGGGGTGGGGGCAGGGGGCGGCTGCTAGCCATGTCCAGCGATGTCCCTGCTGCCAGCACAGCTGAGCAGGCGGCCCTGCCCTCTGGGAGCCCAGCAGGGCTGCCCTCCTGCCCTGGGCCGTGCAGCTGGTGGAGGGGGACAGATGGGACAGAGGGGGCGGCTGGTCGTGGGGGGTGGACCCCTGCTCACGGGCCTGTGGCGGGGCCAGCCCTCTGGGTGTTCTGACTGGGCACGTGGCTGGGCTGGTGCCCTTCAGCCTGGGCAGGGGCCTCAGAGCCCGGGGCAGTGCTGGCCAGGCCCGCGGAGCAGGCAGTGACTGGATGAGCTGCCATCTCCCACCTGACCCCACCAGCTCCCAGGGCACAGCACCCTTAGGTGCTTCGGAGCAGGGACAGGCCTGCGACCTCACCTGGGGCCACCTGGGGCCCTCCCCAGCTGCCATGTCAGGGGCGCCTCTGAGAACCCTGCGGGGTTGGACCCCAGGGCCAGGCCGGGGCCACCTGCCTCTGTTCTGTGTCTGGTTTGCAGAGAGGGGCGGTGGGGTGCTCTGACCCCCAGCCCCCGTCTTGGCTGCAGCCCAAGGCACAGGCTGGCCCTGCCCCCTGCGCCCGAGCTCGGGCCTGGAGCGCTCAAGGGGTCCTGGAGCCCTGGAGGGGGCGGGCGTCAGGGCCGCAGTCAGCGGAGGATGTGCCCCTCGCCCGGCTCTGGTCCCGTCTGCTCTGGGGCGCCAGAGCCCCTGCCCCTGGCCGCCCCCGTTGTGACTGACCCTGCCTCTGAGTGGGGCCGTTGCCCCCCGACCCGTCCTCCCTGCTGGGAAATCCCTGGCCCAGCCCAGCAGCCTCCCTGCCACACGCACAGCTCCCCCTTGCACAGTGCATGCTCGGGGTGCACGCACCCTCACGCTCACCAGCACGCTCACAAGCACTCGCGCCCTCGCTGGCTCTGCCCCTCACGCTGCTCCCCTGCAGCCTCCCTGCCCAGCCTCCTGGAGGCTCCCAGCCCCTCACATGCCTGAGCCACCTCCAGGCCGGCGTCAGCTCCTGGGTGTCACCCCCACTGCAGTCGGGTTGGGGAGACAGGGGACGTTTGTACCCATCACATCCACCCCTCCCTGGTGGGGGGGCTCCCTGGCTGCAGATGGACTCTAGGTCCTGGGGTCTTGTCCCAGCGTCCAGCCTCCCGCATCTCTGCAGACGCCCTGGGCACCTCTGTCCAGCCTCCGCCTGTCACCCTGCCCGCCCGCCCCCGCGCCCCCCCCACCGGAGCTACCCCTCAATGGGTTGTCTGTCCCCCGCCGCCCATCCAGGCCTGGGCCCTGGCCCCAGTCCTGTCCGTGACACGCAGCTCCGGTTGGAGGCGGCCCCCGCTGCTGACTCCTTCCCGAGCCCCGCCCTGGCTGCCTCTGGGGAGGCCCAAGCCACCGCAGAGCAGAGGGTGTCGAGTCCCACCCCGCACCTCTTGCCCAGACGGCCCCGCCAGCTGCGCTGGCCTCAGGCTCCTCCCACCTGCCCTTACCAGGGCCGCGGCAGGCGGGAGTGGGCAGGGTCACACCCCAGGCCCCTGGTCCTGGGCCTGCGTCTGTGGGGAGGGCACGGCCGGGCGGGTGTTGTCACTGCTCAGTGTCATGTGGTCCTTGCTCTGCCCTTGTCTCCGGGCCGGGCCGCGGGGCTGCAGCTGCGGGAAAGGTGGTGACGTGAATGGTGGGCCAGAGGCGGGTGGGGAGTGCCAGGGAGGGGTAGGTGGAGAGGGCCGACGGGTGGGGTGAGGAGGACAAGGGAGAGGCGGGGCGCGGAGTGGGGGGCAGGTGGGGCAGGCGGGGGGCCGGGTGGAGCACAGCACCCTCCCATCCTCCAGGGCACCTTAAGGGCATTTGATTTTCCCTCGATCCTTTGTCTGTCCCTCCTTCCGGGTCCAGTGCGGCTCCTGGACCGAGTGCGGCTCCTGGACGCCGTTCTTGGTCTCACTCTTCCAGCCCGCGTCGCCCCCCTTCCCGGGCCCCGCCCCTGCCGGCCGGGCCTCGCATCCTCCATGTTTCCGGTCTCCATCCTGGGGTGACTCCCGTCGGCCCCTGTCCGGGATGCGGGTGCTCCGGGCGGTCCCCGGTGGCCTCCTCCCTGGAGGGCCGGCCCTTTCTCCCGGCCCTCGCCTTCCCGCGGCTGGGCCTGCTGGGCTCGGTGGGGCTCGGCCCCCGCCACCCCGCGCTCTGCCCCCATCCGGGGCGTCTGTGCTCTCGTCTCTTCTCCTGTGAGCGGCTCCTTGTTTGTGTTCTGGTTTCTGGACCGTGTGTGGCCTCATTTCCAGTCCTTTCTTGGGTGTGAGCTCTCAGCACCTGCATTCTCGGTCCCACGCCCCTCCTGCCCCGGCCCACCTGCCCAACCCACCTGCCCAGCCCTCCTACCTGGCCCACCTGCCCGGCCCACCTTCCTGGCCCCACCTGCCCCGGCCTCACCTGCCCAACCCACCTGCCCCGTCCCCAGCTTCCCTGGCCCCACTTGCCCAACCCACCTGCCCGGCCCCACCTGCCCGGCCCTACCTGCCTGGCCCACCTGCCTGGCCCACCTGCCCAACCCACCTGCCCAACCCACCTGCCCCGGCCCCACCTGTCTGGCCCACCTGCCCAGCCCACCTGCCCAACCCACCTGCCCAACCCACCTGCCCGGCCCACCTGCCCGGCCCCACCTGCCCAACTCACCTGCCCAACCCACCTGCCCCGGCCCCACCTGCCCGGCCCACCTGCCCGGCCCCACCTGCCCAACTCACCTGCCCAACCCACCTGCCCCGGCCCCACCTGCCCGGCCCATCTGCCCCGCCCATCGCCCACTGCAGACCATCCTGCTCTAGCCTGGGACGCACCCTCTCCCAGAGATGCTGAGTCACTGGGGGGCTGTTTATTGGTTTGCCTGTGTAGTTTCTGCTCTGTTGGCCCCCCATGCCGTGACCGGACAACCTCTCCAGCCCTCACAGCCAGGGACGCCCATCGGGTAGCAGAGCTTTCGACTGCTGAATCGCCCGCAAGTGGAATTCCACTGGGGTGTCCATCAGGTGACCAGCTTTAGGGAAGGGTGTGAGCTGGTAGCCAAGATGCCCCCAACACCAGAATGGGGGGCACTGGCACCCACCCTGAAGACTTGCTCCCACTGGATGCTTTCTTCCGTCTCAGGGGAGCAAGCCTTAGCTATGTGCTCCACTTGGGGCGCCTGCTCATGGGGGTTCCACAGCCGGAGCTGCACCCTAGCCTCCATCTCCAGCCCGGCTCACCGCTCCTGTCCCCCTGGGTGCACAGAGGCCCCGGGGCTGTTGCTGCCGTGCTTGCCCGGGGCCCTGAGGCTCGCTGGAGGCCTGAGCTTGTGGGTGGCCTCACCGTCCTGATCTCACGTGGTCTCGAGAGCGGTCACTATGGCCCTCGTCCTCCCGAGGGGCCCCTCATCCTCTGGGTGCCAAGGAGGTCTTGGCGCCCACACTCACGCTCATGCCAAGAAAATTCTGTTTTGATTTCCCACAAACACTTTGCCCAGGTGAGTAGAAGCCGCCACTTCTGGCCGGTGACAATGCCAGGGCCACTCTGGGGAGGCCACTGGACTGCACCCTCCCACTCCAGCACCCGCTCCCGCCTGCTGTGGTTGCATCCCTCCAGCTCCAGGCCCCCCCCCCCCCCCGTGGCCACGTTCTTCCCACTCCCACCAGCAGGGCCTCTGAGCCGACACCGTCTGCTCCCGTGGGCTGGGACCCATGTCCACGGGTTTGCCCGGCCTCGCTAGCCGCGGTCCTCTCAGTGGCTGCTAAAGCCGCCCCGTGGGTGCCGGCGGAAGGGGCCAGGGCTGCCCAGTCCCCTCCGTCAGAGCGGTCCCTAACCTGGGCACCACACCTGTCCCAGTGCCACACCTTGGTGATGGGGTATCCCCCATGGCCAGTTCCTTGTGAGCCAGGGATGCTGGTGACTCTGTTTCTCAGACGCCCCTCGTGGGGTCTGAGACCGGACTTGAATTAGCCTCAGTGGGTGCAGGGCCTTCGCCGTCCTCGGCTGTGGTGGAGTGGTCGGGCCCTGCCAGTGGCCTGGCGACTGCTGTCCCGGCAGGCGGGGTCCAGGCTGCACAGGCTGTGGGCCCAGGTTCTGGCGCTTTCTGCACTTCTCCCCTGGGACTGGGGTTTCTCCTCCTGCCTCCCCGGCGCCTCCTGCTCAGCTGTGCTGTGTCTGGAGGGCAGCTAGGGCCCAGGAGGGCAAGCTGACCCTGCGGGATCTGACGCTGAGTTTCCTGTGGTTGTCTGGGCACCTGGGGCGACCAGCCGCCGCTGACCTTCGGCCCTTGGGGTCTCCCTGAGTGGCCTGGCCAGCTGCGGGCCCTGCGCTCCGGGGGCCTCATTTCGGGGTGGGCAGGGCTCCACCCCCTGTGCCTAGGCCTGTTTTGGGGGCTCTGCTTACCGTGCGGCTGGCTCCTTCCTGATTCTGACCCTCGACCCCTCAACCCCCAGACTCTGACCCAGCCCAAGACCTGCAGGTGCCTCGTGGGGCGCGGGTTCCCCGCTGGGCCTGATCCTGCCTGCCCAGGGCCGTGGCCACTCTGCAGGGGGCCAGCGCCCACCCCAGTCCACCAGCAGGCCCGAGGCCCCTCCCGCGGAGTTGGCGTGTCCTGCGAGGGGCGTGTCCCGTGGCAGCTCCTCCATTCGTGAGAGTGTGGGTGTCTCCGTTGTGGTTATTTGGGGTTATTTTCTTTTTTGTAAAAAAATTTATTTATTTATTTATTTACACAAGCACTGGGTACAGTCAGGAGCGCGGGAGGGTGAGAGAATCCACCAGAGCCAGAGCGGGGAGCAGAGCAGGCAGAAGGACCGAAGGACACTGCTGAGGGGAGCAGCGGGCGGCAGGAGAGGTCTGCGCGCCATGTGGGACCCCCGCCGGCGGTCAGGGAGCAGCCGGGGATCGAACCGGCGCTGCAGAGGCTGCGGGCAGCTTCGCACCCACTGCACCACCGGGGAGGCCCTATTTGGGGTTATTTTGAGCACGGTGTTGAAGCTCTTTCTCATACTTGGATCTCATAGACTGCCCAGCACGGGGCCCTGGACACAGCGGCTTTGAAATCCAGCAGCGGCCACCCTGCACATATGGGCAGTGGCCGTGGGCGTCCCCGTGTGTGGAGACCTCCGTCTGCACCCCTGCCCCCATCTGAGCCCCCCACGCCCCGGTCTGTCTGCATCCCCCACCCCCCTCCCCTGTGGGGACCACGGGCCCTCCTGCGTGGTCCGCGAGGCCCAGGCATGCCCGGAGGTCCCCGGCCGCTTGCCCGGCTGCCCCTCACCTGTGTCCGGGGTCCGGGGCATCGCCGGACGTGGTCTGCAGGCCGTGGATTCTGGGCTCAGTCCCCTCAGTCTGCTGCCAGCGCGTCTTCCAAGCTTTGAGAGCCAAACCGCTCTGGACGTGGTCACCGCGCCCGTGACCGCCCGTCTGTGCACTCCCAGCCGTGGTGCAGCCCACCGCGCCGCCCGTGTCCCTCCCAGAGCCCTCCGGCCCCTCGCTGCCCCTCGCTGCCTCCTGGCGCCGTTGCGTCGCTCCCTGGGCTGGTCCCTCTGGGAGTCCGGCCTGGCGGGAGCGTTGGCTCCAAGGGGGCTGTGTTGGCCGGAGAACCAGCTTGCGCCGTGCGGGCCTGGCCGAGCGGGTCCTGCAAATCAGCCCAGGTCTGCAGGCGGCTCCGAGGACTGCGCCCATATGGGCCCAGCCCCTCCCGTGCAGCACTTCAGGCCCATTTCACGGGCAGAGCTTTGGGAGACCCAAGGGCATGGTCATGCTGTCCCCCCGATTTATGCAACTGAGGCCATGCCTTCTACTGTTGACTCAGCAGAACCCCAGTTCTCCGCATTTCGGGGGCCAGAAGGGCCTCAGCTCCTGAGCTGGTGGCCGTTTGGATTCATTCAGATCCCAGGCGGTTTCCAGCCGGAGGGTGTCCAGGCCGAGGGTGTCCAGGCCTGCTGTGCTTCCCCTGGGCCGGCCTGCCGGGCATAGTCCCAGGGAACGGCCACCCGGGGGGTCACCCGTACTGGTGGCCGCCAGCCCCAAGAGGTCTGGTCTGCCTTCCCAGAGCCTTCTGTGATCACTGCAGACGCTGCTTTAGGGTGAACGCGAGCAGTGAGGAGACTCAAATCTAGAGAACATATGTGGAAAACCAGCGGTTTCGCGCTGTGTCCCAGCCCCTCAGAGTCTTCTAGCTGCCCGTGTGGCCAGTGACGGCCGTCTCTGCTGACCAGTCACCTGAGGGGGGGAGGCCATGGGCGTCTGGGTCAGCCGGGGTCAGGCTCTCGGAGTCAGAGACCTGCATTTCTCCTGCCCCTGAAGGCAGCGGCGGCGGGCGGAGGAGCAAAGCAGTGGGCGGGCCCAGAGGCAGACGCTCCCCCCGTCCCCTCGGCCCCCGCTCTGCCTAGGCCTAGCGGCTGCCTGACTTGACCCGCTGACCCCTCGGCCACGGCCAGCCCTCCGGTCCTGGGGGCCCCGTGCGCCACTTGGCCAGCGCGGCCGGGAAGCCTGACTCCAGAGGCGAGTGGCTGTTGGGGCCAGGAGCAGCGTCCATCCGTCTCGTGTCCGCCACGGCCTCGCGGCCCCACTGGCTCCGGCACGTGCCCGGCTGGCGGCTGAGGGGCCCTGAAGCCGGAGGCTCGAGCCCCGCAGCTGACAGGGCAGCCAGCGCCCGGGACACCTGCCCTGGCCGTTGCCTCCCCCTTCCTGGCTTTCTGCTGGGTCAGCTTTAAAGTCTCCACGTTTCCCTTCTTGCGGGTAGCGGGTCAGTTGCACCTTCTCGCCGGCACTCAGCAGGGCCGGCCCTGCGAGCTGCGTCCGGGGCCGCTGGGAGGGGGTGTGGGCCGAGTCCTGCCCCCTCAGAGCGTGTGCGTGTGGCGTGTGCATGTGCCCATGTGCCCCCTTGCGCCCACTGTCCCCTCCTGTCCTCTGTCTCTTTGGCACCTGAAGACCAGGGCCGGGGCAGCCGCTGCCTGTGGCGCTGTGGGGGCTTCACTCGCCCCCGGCAGGTGGGGTCCCTGGTTCGGCAGAGACTGCTGCCCCCTGGGGCTCGCCCGGTGCCTCGGCCCCTCCGGCCTGCTCGGCTGGGCTCCGACGTCCAGGCATCAGGCTGTGAGGCCCCCAGGTCCGAGAATGGCCCGGCCTTAGGGGACCCGGGACCCCGAATCTCTGGGCCGGCTTCCCCATGGCCCGGCAATGGCTTGGCCTGGGGGCACTGCAGGTCCCGGCCATCACAGCGGCCACGCGGCCCCACCTGGGGCACCCAGGACCAGGTGCCTTGGCCGAGAGCCCGTGGGGGCTCTTTGCTCTCTTCAGACCTGAGGCCTGTCCATTTCCTCCCGTGTGCTGGGAGTGTCACTGCCCCCCCCCGCCCCCCAGGGCTCTGTGTTGCCCACTCCCTGCCCAGAGCTGCTAAGGCCCCTGAGTGTCCTGTGACACCTCCTGGGCCGGGCACCTGAGGTCTCCTCTGCCATGTGTCAGGCCTGGACTCCGGCCATGGACAGTTTGGGAGTAACTAGGGTCGCTGTAGGGGGCCCCTCTTTGTTCCTATTTTTCAAAATTCTCATTTGCCAAATTCCACTGGAAGCCCCACGTGTGGGAATCGTGTGGACGACGCAAGCAGCTGCCCACCCCGGCCCTCACAGGCTTCTCCCTGGGGCCATGTCCAGGGCCGCCTGGGGTGGGGCCCCTCTCCGAGAGGGCGCCCCGGGGTCCCGGCCGGGGGTCTTGCGGGCACACAGCTCAGGCCTCGCCGGCCGCTGAGCTCCCCGCTCTGGCTTCCCATGACGCCGGGCGCGGGCTTCACGGCAGCGGCGCCCTCCCCAGGCTGGGGCGGGTGTCCGGCGGGGTCAGCGGGGGCGCCGTCCTGCCTCTCTCGGTGCCTCCTGACTCACGACCCTCTCTCCCAAGGTGCCTCCCCGCTGCCCGGGGCTCCCGCCGCTGAAGGGGTGACCGAGAAGACCGCGGAGATGGCCGGGGCCTCGGTGAAGGTGGCGGTGCGCGTCCGCCCCTTCAACTCCCGGGAGATGAGCCGAGACTCCAAGTGCATCATCCAGATGTCGGGGAGCACCACCAGTGAGTGGACCCGCCCCCCCGCCCCCCCCTGCGGCCCCTCCACGCCTCAGTCTGGGGGCTCCAAACGGCGGATACGTCAGCGCTCACGGGGCTGTGGGGCAGAGTCCCAGGTCAGGGGCGGACAGGGCCAGCGCCCGCCCGCCGCCCCTCCCGCCCCTGGGGGCTGCTGCCCTGGCCCATTCTGGGGCCCGGGGACCCAAGAACACAGCAGGAGCGCCCCCTTGCCCCGCTGCGGTGGGCTGGGGCCGCCCAGGGCCTGGGCAAAGGCCAGGTGGGGGGGGTGCCTGGAGCCCGGGGCGGAGGTTGAACTTGGCCACCGCGCTTGTTTCTGAGGCCGCCACCGCGTGGGCCTGCGTCCGTGTCCTGGGAGAGCGGGGCCCGGGGGGGCCAGGCCTTGCTCTGGGAGGAGGCACGGGGGTGACCCCGGGCCCGCGAACAGGACTGACGGGCAGTCCCGCCGCCTCCTGCTGCCTCCCATCCCAAGGGCCCCGTCACCTCCCTGGGCTGCCGGACCTGGGGTCTGGGCCTCGAGTCTAGCCGGGCAGCCCTGGGGAGCAGGCTGGACGCCGGTGGCTGCCCATGAGGCGGCTCCAGAGAGCGGGCGTCTCGGCTCCTGGGGCGACGCCTGAGGTCCCAGCATGGCGACCCCCCCCGGGGCTGTCTGCCTGGCACCCCCCTGGAGGGCTGTGTGCGGGGCCAGCAGCCGCAGACCCCACCACACGCCAGGCCCCGGGGCCTGGGTCCTGCACCGCTGCTGGGGGCTGGCTGTCCCACGGGCCCCCGGCTCAGCGCCAACCACCGCCCCGCCCCGCCCTGCCCGCAGCCATCGTGAACCCCAAGCAGCCCAAGGAGACGCCCAAGAGCTTCAGCTTCGACTACTCCTACTGGTCGCACACGTCGGTGAGCCGCGCCGCCGCTGCCCGGAGTGTGGTCGGGGGCCTCTGCCCGTGGGGCGGGTTCCGGGGCCCCAGTGTGTGCAGACACCCCGAACCCAGAAGGGCCAGAGCCGGGTGCCCTGCGGCCCCTGCTGCGCCCCTGGGAGACCCCGCTGTCCTCCCTCCCGCCTCCACCGCCCAGTCCACCCCCTGCCCACCCCCAGCTCCTGACCTTCCAGAGAGTGCCCAGTCCGGACCCCCAGTGCCGGCCCCTGCCTGAGCTGCCTTGGGGGCCTGTCCCAGGTAGGCCGGGGTTGCTGCTCTTCGGGGTGGTGCCAGCCCCTCCCCTCCACTTTGCCACAAGCCCTGGTCAGCAGCGCCCAGCGCTGTGCTGGGCCTCCCTGGGCTCGGGCCCGCCCTCCGCAGCCCTGCCCGGCTTCTCTGGCTCTGAGCCCTGCGGCTGCTCCCTCTGCGGGGACGCCCTTCCCCTGCTCGCCAGCAGCCTCGCCGCCACCCCTGCCCATCGCCCGCGGCCCCCTGGCCGCGCAGTCCACTGGGGAGGCGGGGCGGGAGGGGCCTCCGCCACACCCGCAGCGCCCGCTCCCCGCAGCCCGAGGACGCCGGCTACGCGTCGCAGAAGCAGGTGTACCGCGACATCGGCGAGGAGATGCTTCAGCACGCCTTCGAGGGCTACAACGTGTGCATCTTCGCCTACGGGCAGACGGGCGCGGGCAAGTCCTACACCATGATGGGCAAGCAGGAGAAGGAGCAGCAGGGCATCATCCCGCAGGCACGCGGGGCACGGCGGGGCCGGGGGGTGGGGCGGGGACTGCGGGGCGCGGCGGGGCGGGGCGGGGCCTCACTCTGCCCGCCGCCCGCAGCTCTGCGAGGACCTGTTCTCCCGCATCAACGACACCACCAACGCCAACATGTCCTACTCGGTGGAGGTAGGCCCGCGAGGCCGTCCCTGCCCTGGTCGGCGCCCTTGGCTCCGGCTCCCGCCCGCCCCCCCAGCGTGACCCCAGGGCAGGCCCGGGATGACCAGGGGAGGGGAGGCCGGGAGGCCGGGCCGCTGAGTCCCGACCGGAACACTCTCGGGGCCCCACCTGGAGGCAGCCCTGCACCCCCACCTGGGGGCCCCGGTCACAGCCCCAGCCCCTGCCTGGGGGGGCCCTGCTGCAGGTCCCCGGCCCCACCGCGGCCTCTCATGCGCGTCCACCGCAGGTCAGCTACATGGAGATCTACTGCGAGCGTGTCCGGGACCTCCTGAACCCCAAGAACAAGGGCAACCTGCGCGTGCGGGAGCACCCACTGCTGGGCCCCTACGTGGAGGACTTGTCCAAGCTGGCCGTCACCTCCTACAACGACATCCAGGACCTCATGGACTCGGGGAACAAGGCCAGGTGGGTGTGGCCCGCGCCTGTCTCCCCAGGACGCCCGTCTCCCTGGTCGGTGGCGGCCCGGGCACCCCTTGTATGGGCTCTCGCCTCCCAGGGCTGCTCCTTCTGGGTGGCTAGCTCCGCCTGCCCCCAACCGCGGGGCCCGCAGCCCAGGGGGCCTCTGGCAGTTGCGGCCCGGGGGACCCTGCTGGGCTTTCTGCAGAGGCGGGGGCGGCCCCTGGGGCTCTGAGGCCCACGGGCAGAAACTGCTTTGGGATCACGGCCCTGGGGCGTGTGTAGCTGCGCCTGCTCCCCAGCTACGCGTGATTGGGGGCAGCTGGAGTCTCGGGCCCCCCGCTCTGTGGGTCCCCAGCCCCCAGTGCCTAGACCTCCCACCAGGTGACCGCCTGTGGCTTCCGTCCCCAGGACTGTGGCCGCCACCAACATGAACGAGACCAGCAGCCGCTCCCACGCCGTCTTCAACATCATCTTCACCCAGAAGCGGCATGACGCCGAGACCGACATCACCAGCGAGAAGGCGCGTGTGTGCGGGCGGGCGGGGGGCCGGCGGCTGTCCGGGCCTGGAGGCCGCCTCGTGTCTGTGTGGGCCGGGGTGTGGGTGGGCCTGGGGCAGAGCACCGTGGCCCAGGGTCCCCTCGTTCGCTGTCTGCTGAAGGGTGGTGGAGACTGGGGTACCCGGGGACATTTGGTGGCCCTCCCAGGGCAACAGTGGGGTGGGGTGTCTTTTGAGAGGTGACTCTGGCCTTGGTGTTGGCTGGCAGCAGAGCAGAGGGGGCCCGGGCCCTGGGCTGGAGCGGAGCCTCTGGGTGGGTGCCGGCATCTGCGAGCACGAAGGAGAGGTTGTGCTGGCAGGCAGTGCCCAGCCTGCCCCAGCCTGGTGCCTTCCCCACAACTGGGCACGCTCAGGGGCCCTGCAGGTGTGTCTCCTGGGGCTTCCGCCCAGGCCCACGGTCTGGGCTCCCCAAAGGCGCAGGGCGGCACCGGCTTCTCCTGCCCATCCCGTCTCGACCTTGGCCTGGGTCTCTCTGACCGTGCCCTGCCTCTGCCCTGCTGTCCAGGTTCCCTCTACACCTGCTGGCACCAGTGACACCATGGCCAAGGTGCCTGGGAAGGGGCAGCTGGAACTGGCAGCCAGAATCTGGGCTGGTTCCTGGGCGTCTGCCAGCGCCCCCTGCCTGCCACACCGGGCCTGGGGCTATGGCTGGGGTGTCCTGGCCTGGCGTGTGGGAGGGCACTGCTGTCAGGTCAGGGGAGCTGGGGCAGGCTGAGGGTGGCTCCTTGGTGCCTCTTGCCAAGCCCCCAGCCCTCACCTGCCTGTGCCTCGCCCGCCCTCAGGTGAGCAAAATCAGCCTGGTGGACCTGGCCGGGAGCGAGCGAGCCGACTCCACGGGCGCCAAGGGCACGCGCCTCAAGGTAGGCTCCACTCGGCAAGGCCCCGGCCCAGCTGCTGGGGGGCTGGGCCCCAGGGTATGCCTGGCAGGAGGCTGGGGGCTGCCAGAGACCAAGCCTGGACTCCCGTGCGTTAGCAGGCATGGAGGCCCCAGCCAGCTCCTCGCCTGTCTGCGTGTCCCCGAGACAGACACGGCCTGGGGCACCCCGGGCGGGGCGGGTGGCACGGGGGCACCTCAGGCAGGGGCGGGTGGCGCGGGGGAACCACAGGCTGGGGGCTCGGGCCCAGGGGCATGCTCAGGAGGCCCGGGCCTCTCGCCCACAGGAGGGGGCCAACATCAACAAGTCCTTGACCACGCTGGGGAAGGTCATCTCCGCGCTGGCTGAGATGGTGAGCTGGCGGGGCCTCTGCCTGGGCCCTCTCTGGGGCGGGGAGAGGCCACAGGCCAGAGATGGAGGAAGGATCTCCTGCTGCCTTGGGGTCCTCCCTGTAGGATGGGGGGGCCTGGCCCCGGCAAGGGGCTGGCCAGTGTGTGGTGTGGGTAGAGCTGGCCTGGCCTTAGCGGTGGCCGGGCTTGGTGGGCGGGTCTGCGGTGGGGGCGGTGGGCAGGGGGGCGGCGTGGCCTCCCACGAGAGGCTCCTGTGGAGGCCGCAGGGACCGGCGCGCCCCCCGCCCCGCCTCCCCCAGATCCTCAGGCCCTTTCTCTTTTCCTTCCCAGGACTCGGGGCCCAACAAGGTGAGCCGCCCGCCTCGCTCTGGGGCCGGGGGGCAGCGCCGGGAGCGGGTGGAAACATGAAGTGGAAAAGCCCAAATCGCTCTAAACCGGGATGGGTCCTCTCAGGGGCGGGACGCGGCAGGGGCGGCCCTGGCTGGGCGCGGGCACTAGGCGCAGGGGACACCGCGGGAGGGGGTGGCCCCCCGCGGGCCTCTGCCTGCCCCGCCCCTCCCGCCAGGGCTCAGGGGGCTCTCCACGTCCCCTGCAGAACAAGAAGAAGAAGAAGACAGACTTCATCCCCTACCGAGACTCCGTGCTGACCTGGCTCCTGCGGGAAAACCTGGGTGAGGACTGGCAGGCCACCTGGGCGCCCGCCCGCCCTCCGGGCCCTGACCAGCAGGCTAGGAGGCAGGCCTGGGGCCCATCTGGGGGCCGGGCCCGTGACTGGCAGAGGCAGCAGGTCAGCGAAGCAAGTCTGTCGGCATGCCTGGTCCAGGCCTGGCCCCCAGGCCAAGCTGCTTCTCCTTCCTGGGCCTCAGCCTCCTCCCGCGTGATGCCAGTAGCCACACGTGCCCACTGGGCTTCGGGGCCGCCGTGGGACTCCCTTCCCGTGTCTGAGTCCTCAGGAGGGGCGGGGAGCTGGGGCTGACTGGCCCGCACTGTGGCTCCCTGCCCATCGCAGCTGGAGGCTGACTCCAGAGGGGGTCCTGGGCAGAGCCACGGACACATGGCCGGGCCTGCCCCTCTCCTGCGGGCGTGGCTGAGGTGTGCAGAGCCCGGCGGGGCCACCCCATGCCCCAGGGCCAGCCTGGCTGACTCCCAGCTTGGGCCAGCGCGATGCTGCAGCGTGCATCCGGGGAAGGGGCCGCTCCCGGGCAGGGAGGGCCCCCACCACCTTCCTGGGCCCCGGCCTGGCCTCTCACTAGTGCTTCGCAGTTCAGGTGGGGTCGCCAGAGCACAGGTCCCCCAGGCCAAGCACGCGAGGCCGCTGTCCAGCCCCCAGCCCGTGGCAGCAGTCACCCGATAGGGCCCCGGGCTTGTGTCTGGACACAAGGCTGCCTGCCGTGGCCTCCACGTGGCCTGGGCCAGGGCCTGAGCACTGCCGGTGAGGCCAGCATGGAGGAAACTGTCCTGGTCTTGCAGCCAAGGCCATAAGCTCCCCGGATTCTCCTCTTTTGGGGGAGCTGGTGTGAAAAGACAGAGTATGGGAGAAAAACACCAACAGGCCTGGGGTGACGGAGGCCAGCCCTGCCGTCTGTGTTCACCTAGCAGGCCCATGACTCAGTTGACCCCACGGGGCGAGCACCCGGTCTGAAGGGGGGGTGGTGGTCAGGGCTGTGGGAGCGGGCGGGTGTGACCACATCTCCCCATAGGCGGGAACTCGAGGACGGCGATGGTGGCGGCCCTGAGCCCCGCGGACATCAACTACGACGAGACACTGAGCACCCTGAGGTGTGTCCTGCCCGCTGCCCGCACTGGGGCCCCGGGTCGCCTGGGACCCCAGGCCCGCCCCCCACCACCCCCGGGTGCACCCGGGGGCTCAGGCAGGCCGGTGCCCCGAGGCAGGAGAGCTGGCCCCGAGGCCCCGGTCATCGTGGGTTTCCTGGCCTGTGGTGCTGCCCGCCTCGGGCCGCCCCCGGCCTCGGTTTCCCCGCGAGGGTGAGCCGCTGCCGTGGCCCCGGCGAGGGTGTCCCAGGCTCTGCCTAAGCCCGGCCCGCTGAGGCGCTGCTGCCCCACCAGGTACGCCGACCGGGCCAAGCAGATCCGCTGCAACGCCGTGGTCAACGAGGACCCCAACAACAAGCTGATCCGGGAGCTGAAGGACGAGGTGACCCGGCTGCGGGACCTGCTCTATGCCCAGGGTCTGGGCGACATCACCGACAGTGAGTGTCCGGCCCCGTGCCCCTGCCCAGCCCCGGTGGTCAGGGCCGCCTCCCGCCCGCGGTCAGGGCCCTACTGTGCTGTGCCCACCCGCGGCGGCAAACCTGTTCTTCTGTTTCCGTCTCTCCCACGCCTCCCGCGCCTCCCACGCCCGCAGCCAGCACTGTGCCCGGAGGACCCACATGTGTGTACCCCGCTGCCCCCCGCCCCACCCTGCCTGGCCGCCTGCTGCCTGCCTGCAGCGGGGCTGGGGCGGGCCTGGCGCCCAGCGCCCCCGGGTCGCAGGGAAACCGAGGCTGCGGGCCCAGGGCCGCGCTGATCTAGCCGGCTGACCGCCCGAGCCGGGGATGGGAAGGTCTCTGTCCCCGTTCCTGGCTTGGCTGCCCCCACACCCCGAGACCCCCCGGAAATGCTGGGGTCTCCCAGCGCCCAGCCGGGTCTCCACTGGCCTTGGGCCTGGCTCCATGGGGAGGGTCGCCCCTGTGGGCTGAGGGCACCTCGGTCTCCCCAGCGCCCCCCGCTGCTGCTCTGCTGTGTGCCTGCTGGCTAGGAGGGGTGGGGGCCATGCCCGGGAAGTGCCAGCCAGCTCTGGGGGCTCTTGGTGCACCCCATGCTATGGTGCCCCAGGTTTGCACAGCCTCCTGCGGGGAGGAGGGGCATCCTCGGAACCCACAGAGCACCCCCCTCCGGCTCTCTGGGCCGAATGCCCTGCTGGGCCAGGTGCGCCAGGTGCTGTGGGTTTGGGGACAGGTGCCCCTGGGGGGGGTGCCGGGCCCAGGCAGGGTCTGCTGCAGGGGGCCTGGCGGTGCCTGTGGCTCAGGCCCGAGACAGCAGGAGGCTGGGGGCGGGAGGGGCCTGCATGTGCTTGTCCTGCCAGGCTGCACCGCGGCGCTCATCCCGGCTCCGCTTGGCCGTCCCTGGACCCCCTAGCTTCCCCCCTCCTTGCGCTCTCCTCTCCCGCTCCTCAAACCGTCCACTCCTTCCCTCCTGGCCAGGGCCCGTCTGGCCGGCCAGCCTGACCCCAGCCCATCGTCTCTCTGCAGTGACCAACGCGCTGGTGGGCATGAGCCCCTCGTCCTCGCTGTCAGCCCTGTCCAGCCGCGCCGCCTCAGTGTCCAGCCTGCACGAGCGTCTCCTTTTCGCCCCGGGCAGCGAGGAGGCCATCGAGCGGCTGAAGGTGGGCGGAGGACGGGTTGGGGTGGTCAGCGCGGTGGGGACTCCGGCCTGGCCCGGCCCTCACAGCCCGCGCCCGCTCCCAGGAGACGGAGAAGATCATCGCAGAGCTCAACGAGACGTGGGAGGAGAAGCTGCGGCGCACGGAGGCCATCCGGATGGAGAGGTGGGCCTGCCGCCCGCCCGGCCCCGGCTGCCACCAGGGGCCGTCCATGCCGAGCCTGACACGCGGCCGCCCCCAGGCCCACGCGTGTCCCCACCCCGGCCCCGCCTCTGCCCGCACGTCCCAATCCTGGTCCCGTGTCCCGGCAGCAGGACGCCTGCCTCCCTGAGCAGAGGCTCTGGGCGGCGTGGGGGGCAGCCTGGGGCCCCGGGCCCACGCGCGTGCTCCCACCCCCAGGGAGGCCCTGCTGGCGGAGATGGGCGTGGCCATGCGGGAGGACGGCGGCACGCTGGGCGTGTTCTCGCCCAAGAAGGTAGGCCCTGCCCCGCCCCGGGCTGTGGGGGGCGTCTGGACCAGGCGGTTCGGAGGCAACGCGGCGCCTGGCCCCCCAGGTCTGGGCTGGGGAGACTGGGAGACCCCGAACGCCAGGCTGGGTCTCCGTCACCACAGATTCACCCCGGCCTCAGAGATGCCCTGGGCGCCAGGTGGGACACTGAGGCCAGGCCAGCCCTCCCAGAGAGGCCTCTGCTCCCACCCAGGCCTGGCCTGGCCACCTGACCAGCCGCCCAGATGGGGCTCACATTCAGGGAGAATTCTCGGGGTGATGCTAGTAGCCAAACCCTCCCCACCTCAAAGGGCGTCAGACGCCTAGAGTCCTCGACACTTGAGCTTCAAGTCAGGTGGCCTCCCTGGAGGCGATGGCGGCCTGCCCTGCTCCCAGCCCGCCCCCAGCCCCGCAGCCTGGCCTTGTCTGGAGCAGAGGGCATCTCCATTTGCCAACCCCGGAGGAGCACGTAGGGGGCCTGTTGTGCCAGTCAGGACCCCAAGGGAGGGGCTGGCGCTGGTGTCCCTTTGGCAGGTGGCTGTCCAGGGATGGGCTGGGCTGCTCGGCAGAGCCCCAGGTTCTCCAGGTGGGGCAGCACTTGCTGCGGCCCAAGGCAGGAAGGGGGTGCCTGGGAGGCCCCCGGGGCCACGAGGTCTAGACCTGCTGCCTTCACACGCCCCCCCAGAGACTCCTGTCATGGGAACGGGCAGGCCTGCCCTCCCAGAGGGGGTGGTCCACCCCGCACCCCGCTAGCTGTGGGCATGGCTCCCCTTGGGCACTTGGTGCCCCGAGGTGGCTGCTTCACTGGCGGCAGGGGGGGTTGCTGGGGACCCCAGGCCCAGGCACTGCCCAGGCTGGACGAAAAGCCCTGGGAACCCCAGGGACCGCCTCAGAGAACTTGGGGTTCCTGGGGCCCTGAGAAGCACTCAGGCGGGCTGGGATCTGCCCTGTGGCAGGGCCCTGGCCTGCATGTCGGGAGCCCCCAGACCCCAGGGAGCAGGAGAACATGAAGATGGGGCACAGGCAGCCCAGGGGCCACCGGGAGAAGGGCTCCCCGACCTCAGGCCTTGCTTGAGAGACCAAGGCCAGAAGGATGTGGGCATCTCCCAGGGGAGCCAGCGGGTCCCCGCAAGCTCTCCACACCCCCAGGGCCCAGCCCTCCCTGTGACGGCAGGCCTGCTGGAGAGCCCGCTCCTGGCCGCCCTGGTCACACGGGGCCCTGGGGCCAAGAGCCGGCCTCCGCGCACGTCCAGACCCACCACAGCTCCCAGTCCCGGGGCCACGTCGGAGCCCAGGCCCAGAGCCGCGACGCCCGGCCCCTGCGTGCTGCGCCCTGGCCCTGCTGGCACCCAGCGGTCCCTGCCCAGCGTCCTCATCCCCCCTGGGTGCCCAGAGGGCGTGGCAATGGGAGAGGGGGCACAGGGGCCCTTCGAGCCTCTCCTTCGCGTCTCCAGTGTCTCCCTAGCCCCGGGTCTGGCCCTGGGGAGAGGTCAGAAGGCCAGTGGGGCTCCTGCTCCCCGGAGAGGTGACCCTCTTGTCTCCCCAGACGCCGCACCTGGTCAACCTCAACGAGGACCCACTGATGTCCGAGTGCCTGCTCTACTACATCAAGGACGGGGTCACCAGGTAGGGGTGGGGTCCGGGGAGGGGCAGGGGCACGGCGGCGCCCAAGGAGGGACGGGAGGGCCAGGGAGAGGGGCCCAGGGGGTCAGGCCAGGAAGGGGCCCGTGGGGGGCTGGCCCAGGGAGGGGGCCCAGGGAGGGCCGAGTCCGGCCTGCCGGGAGGTCCCGGCCCCCACGCTTGTCCTGGAGCAGTGCTGGGCCGTGGGCTCTCCGGCCAGCCTGCCCGGGTGTCCCTGGAGCAGGGCCGCGGGGCCGCAGGGGTGGGCGTTGGGTCACCGATGGCGCCGCCCCCAGGGTGGGCCGGGAGGACGGCGAGCGGCGGCAGGACATCGTGCTGAGCGGGCACTTCATCAAGGAGGAGCACTGCATCTTCCGGAGCGACTCCCGAGGGGGCGGCGAAGGTACTCGCCCCAGGGTGCAGCGCTGGCCAGAGGCCAGCCTGGGCTCCCGGGCACCCCTCCCTGCTCCCCAGGCTGGCCGAGCCCCCAGAGGGCAGTGCCCGCCCGGCAGGCAGGTGGGACCAGCCTGAGGCCGGAGAACTATCTTTAGCTGACCCTCTCCTGGAGGCTGTGGAGCCGCCATCTGTCCACTCCTGCCTGTGCCCTGGCCCCGTTATCCATCTCGCCGTGACCGTGTCGGCTGCCATCCCACGCCCGGCCCAGGCTCAGAGTGCTCCTGGCCATGTCCCACCATGGGGAGGCCTGCGTGGCCAGACCGCCTGGGAGGGTGGACAGAGTGGCATGGGGCCTGGCCAGGGCTAGGGCATGCTGGACAGTGGTGCCCACAGGAGCCAGGGGGTCAGGCCCCGCGCAGCTTCTCTGGCTCCGTGTCTCATGGCCTATGCCTGCTGGGTGCCCCCACTTCCCTGAGGCCCCAGGATCGCCAGCAGTCAGGGAGCAGCGGTCAGGGAGTCCTGGTGGGGCCCACCCGGGGGGCCGGGCCTGCAGGCGGCAGCCCCTCACAGTCCCCTCTACCCTTCGCTGCCCGGCAGCCGTGGTGACGCTGGAGCCCTGCGAAGGGGCGGACACCTACGTCAACGGCAAGAAGGTCACGGAGCCCAGCGTCCTGCGGTCAGGTGCGTGGCGGGTCAGGCCCCGGGCCACTGACCAGCCCCACGCCCCCCACTGGACACCAGGTGGGGCTCTGGGCAGGACCAGCCCGCAGTGTGGCTCCGTGGGGCTGCCTGCTCTGAGGCTGGCAGACCCCGCCTGGGAGATGCCCCGCCGCACAATTGGGGCTCTGCTGCCAGTCGCGTCTACTCGTGGGCCGCCACCCTGGCGCCTGCCTGTCACCTGTCCGTGCACCTGTGAGATTTACCCCAGGGGCTGGCTCCTGCCATCGCGGGCCGCGGGAGGGGTGCAGCTGGAGCAGAGGGCCGCTGGGGACGTCCGGGGCCCCACTTGCAGGACAGGCCTGGCCCCCGCCTTCCTCCCTCGTGCCTGAGCACCCCCAGCCCGCGCCCCCCAAGCCCGGCCTCTGCCCCCAGGAAACCGCATCATCATGGGAAAGAGCCACGTGTTCCGGTTCACGCACCCAGAGCAGGCGCGGCAGGAGCGCGAGCGCACACCCTGCGCCGAGACGCCCGCCGAGCCGGTGGACTGGGCCTTCGCGCAGCGCGAGCTGCTGGAGAAGCAGGGCATCGACATGAAGCAGGAGATGGAGCAGAGGTGCGCCCCGCCCCCGCGCCCCGCCGGCCCGCGCCCCCGCCGCGAGCCCCCCACTCACGCCCCCGGCCCCCAGGCTGCAGGAGCTGGAGGACCAGTACCGCCGGGAGCGGGAGGAGGCCACCTACCTGCTGGAGCAGCAGCGGCTGGTGAGGCGCCCGGGCCCCCCCCCGGCCCCGCCCCTGGGCCCCGCAGTCTCAGGCGGCTCTGCCCCGCGGGGTGGGGGCGGCGGGGGCGCGGGGCGGCCTCCCAGGAGCCCGGCCGCTCCCGCCCCAGGACTACGAGAGCAAGCTGGAGGCCCTGCAGAGGCAGATGGACGCCAGGTACTACCCCGGGGCGGCGGAGGAGGAGGAGGAGCCCGAGGACGAAGGTGAGCGCGCCTGGCGCGTGGCGGGGCCGGCCCCGGCCCGGGGAGCAGGACGGGCTGTGGGTGGGCACCGCGCACACGCGTGCACCGGCACACGCAGGCACACGCACACTGGGCCACCGTGTGCGGGGACACCCCGCGCGCCCCCGGCCCACATGTGCACGCGCCTGTGCACACCCACGTTCGTGCGCGGCCCCCGCGGGGACGGAGGCGGCCGGCGGCCGTGCAGGCGCCTGTGTCGCTCAGCTGGTCCCGAGGGGGTCGCGGCTTCTCCCCTCAGGAGCCTCTGCCTGAGCACTGGGGGCCCCTCTGCGGCTGCGGTCAGGGCGGGCGGGGGGACAGCGGCGCAGACTCGTCCAGTGAGGCCTCTCAGCTGGCCAGCGCCTTCGTGCCGAGCGACCTGGTCTCGCCTGGACGCACCTGCCGAGACGCCCTTCCCCTCCCGGGGCGCTGGCAGGCCAGGGGGGCGCAGGGGCGGGCACAGCGCCAGCCCCGGCCGCGCGCCCTCGCTGGGGTCCTGGCCGCCGGGAAACGCGCTCGGGCGCTGTGCCCACAGTGCAGTGGACGGAGCGCGAGGGCGAGCTGGCGCTGTGGGCCTTCCGCAAGTGGAAGTGGTACCAGTTCACGTCGCTGCGGGACCTGCTGTGGGGCAACGCCGTGTCGCTCAAGGAGGCCAACGCCATCAGCGTGGAGCTCAAGAAGAAGGTGCGGGGGCCGCCGCGGGGCAGGGCCCAGGGCCCCCGGCGCCTCTGACGCTCGCTGCCGCCCCCAGGTGCAGTTCCAGTTCGTCCTCCTCACGGACACACTCTACTCCCCGCTGCCCCCCGACCTGCTGCCCCCGAGGCGGCCAAGGAGCGGGAGACGCGCCCCTTCCCCCGCACCATCGTGGCCGTGGAGGTGCAGGACCAGAAGAACGGGGCCACCCACTACTGGACGCTGGAGAAGCTCAGGTGGGGGGCGTGTCGCCGGCCCTTCTCAGCCTGTGTCGGGCACACAGAGCGGAGCCTGGCGGGCGCCTCCTTGAGGGGCCGGCGCCCTTCTGTGGGCTGCGGTGGCGGGGGCTGGAGGGTGGGGGGCTGGGGGACGGGGCTGCGGGGAGGGGCGGGGCTGCCAGATGGAGCTGCGGGCAGGAGCAGGTGGTTCCGTCGCGCCTGGGCCCGGGGACGTGGCTGCCGACCCCCCACTACTCTTGGGGTCCGGGAGCCACAGTTCCTTCCTGGCCTCCGTGTTCTCTCCCCACCACTGACGTGTCCGGGCGCTGAGAGCCCACGCTGGCCCCAGGCACTCCCCGCCTCCCCCTCCCCTGCGCCCCCTGCTCCCCTCCCCTCCTGTTCCAGTTCACCCTCCTCCCCTGCTCCTCTCCTGCTTCCCCCAGTCCCCGCCCCCACGCCGCCTCCCTCCCTGCCTCCGCCGTCAGCTGCTGGGCCGAGCTCACCTGCCCGCCCTCTGCTGACCATTTGCAACGTCCCATGAGGCGCCCGGGCCTCGGCGGGCCTGCGCAGGGTGCGCGGGGTCCTGCTGGCCCAGGACAGGCCGCCTGCCCACACCGCTCGCCCCCAGGCAGCGCCTCGACCTGATGCGGGAGATGTACGACCGGGCAGCCGAGGTGCCCTCCAGCGTCGCCGAGGACTGTGACAACGTGGTGACCGGCGGGGACCCCTTCTATGACCGCTTCCCCTGGTTCCGGCTGGTGGGCAGGTGGGCGCCCCCTGCAGGGCCAGAGGGCGGGAGGGGCCCTCCGGGGGTCCTGCGGGCCTGGCCGCACCTCTGACGCCAGGCTGCCCAGCGCACACGGCCGGGGCGGGCCGGCGGCCCCTGGTGGCCCCGGTGCGCGTGGGAGGCAGGGCCCGCCGGCCCGGGGCCTCGGCGTGGGGAGCCCGGGCCGCCCTGGCCGCTCTGCCCAGGCCGCCTCCCGCCGCGGCAGCCATGCTAATCTCTGTCTGTCTTGTCGCGCCCCAGCTGGGCCGCCGCGGGCCGCCACAGCTACCCCCTGCTCCGCTCGTGCTTGAGCGAGCGCGCGGCCGCCCCCGCCCCCTCCCCCGCCGGCTCCAGCCCCGGAGCCCCCCGAGGGGGAGGAGGAGGACCTGCCGGACGACGCCTTTGCGGAGCGGGTGCCGCGCTGCGGCCGGGACCCGTTTTACGACCGGCCCCCCCTGTTCAGTGTAGTAGGCAGGTTGGTGCGGCGGCGGGCGCTGGGAGGACGGCTCCCGGCCCGGGCTCCGCGGGCGCCTCGGGATGTGGCTGGCCTGGGGGCGCCGCCGGGGCGGGGCGGGCGGGGGCGGGCCGGGTCCAGCCCCGGGAGGCCGGTCCCAGAGCCTGCGTGGCCCCCAGCAGAGGCCGGAGCCAGGCCCAAGGCCAAGTGTGGGGAGGCAGCCCGGGGCCCCTCCTTCTGCTTGGGGAGAGGAGGTGCCCGTCAGCCCCCCGGGCCAGCGCAGGGCAGGAAGGCCCCCCGGGCCTGCCCCTGAACCTGAATAAAGTGAGCGTGGCTCGACCCTCCGACCCCGCAGCCCGCGCAGCCCGCAGCCAGCATCTCCTGGAGCAGCCAGGCCAGCGGGGCGGGCAGTTTGGCAGACGCGGGGCCTGTCGGGGGCGCTCCGGGAGTCCGTCAGCAGCGGGAGCGTCCTGGGGACCGAGTGGACGGCGTTAGGCCGGCCCACGCCACCCTCCCAATGTGGGGTTGCCTCCTTGGTGGCTGCTGGGTGTCTTGGACACCGGCCGTGGCCTGAGGGCTGGGCGGCCGAGTGGGGCCTGGCGCTGCATCCCCGGGTGCAGGAGGTGGGGAGGCCCGCTCTGGCCGGGCGACGAGGCGGCCCGCTGCAGGGCTGGGTCCTGTATCCCTCTCCGGAGCTGCCTGGGGGGGCTTCAGCGCAGGGAGGCCTTGAGGGATAGGGGTGGGCCTTGCCCCCTGCCCGGGGTCTAGGACAGGACCAGGCCCAGCCAGCAGAGTGGCCGCCCTGGCCCGCGCCGGGGCCCTTGGAGGTGGCCGGCCTGTGGCCCCGGGAGGCCAACTCTCCTCCCCGCCCACCGTCCCCCCTGCAGCTGCTGCTCTCTCTCTGCAGCCTCTGCGGCCGGGACTCTGTGTCCATCTCCACCAGGAGGGCTGGCCGGCCGGCCAGCATGCCCCTCCCCCCTGCGCTCACCCCACCTCGCAGCCTGGCTCTGCCCCGCCTGCTTCTGGCCTCGCCTGGGGGCTCCCCCGGAGGAGGGTGGGCTGCCCGGGTGGGGGGAGGGGGCTTGGCACCGGGTTCCTCAGAGTCACCCCTGCCTGGGAGGTGGGCGGGGGCAGGACAAGGCGTGGTCACTGCAAAGCGCTGGCCTGTTGGGGCTCCTGCTCCTGGCGGGAGCTGTGCGGGGTGCCAAGTGAGGCCGTGGCCCCCGCCTCCTGGGCCCACTTCCACTCCTGCCCCCAGCTGGGTTGTGGGTCAGAGAAGATGGGGGTGGCCACAGGCCCCCAGGAGTCTTTTGGCAGCAGGCCCCACCCTCCCGGCCATGTCGGCCCCGGGCACCCTGCTGTCTCGGCCCACCCTCTGAGGGGCGGGCAGCTCCCGACCGCCAGGCCCGGCTCCATGTGTCTGGTTGTGGGCGGCATGGGGCGAGGCAGGGCGCGGTGGGGCGGCGTGGGGCGGGGTGGTGTGGGCGTCGCGGGCAGGTGTCCTGTGCGGGATCCGCATGGGTTCAAGGCCGCGTCCGCGCCGTGCATGGGGGACCTGGCCGCAGCGCCCCCACTGGCCCTGTCCTGGGCCTCGCTCCTCAGCGACTAGAGTTGGGGTGCTCCTGTCTCCTCACCTCCGTGAGGGGGGGCACAGGGCCCCGCTGGCCCCACGGCATCCCCCCACGAGTTCCCAGGGGGAGGGCCTGGGGGCCTCCTCTCCAGAGTGCTGACTGTGCCCCCAGGCCCCACCGGTCAGGGTGCTGGCGCCCACATCGCCCGCCTCGGCCTGAGGTTCTCCTCCCCAGAGGGGGTGGTCCCGGGGCAGGGAGCCCCTGGGTGCTGGGAACAGGACGCATGTCCGGTGGGGCTGGTGGGGCTGGACCGCGGGTGCCCCGGCCGCAGCGCCGGCCTCCTCTGGTGTCCTGGGGCTCTGGTGTCCCAAGTCCATCCCGGCCGCTGGGGCCCGTGGGGAGCGGCAGGGCGCCAGCCGCCCCGCTGCAGGGGGTGGGGCAGCGGGAGGCCCCTGGGAGGGGCCTGCCTGGCCAGCTGAGGTGGGCAGGGCGTCGTCCTCCCTCCTTCCAGATGCCCCTGGGCCCATGTCTGGAATCCGGCTCTCACCTGTGTCCCCCACCACTGCTCCCTTTTCACCCCCCAACGCTCCAAGCTGAGCTCCTCCCTGCCACCCCAGATCCTCACGGGCTGGGGGCTGCCAGTGTCCTCTGGGGGTGTGGGGCTGCCAGCCCGTCAGCTTTCAGCCCTTCCCGTGCCCGGCCCTCCTAGCGGGATCCCGATCCAGGAGGGCGTCCCCATCGTAGGAGAGCACCCCTACCACAAGGCCGCCCGGAACGCCGCTGAGGTCTGCTCCCCGTCAGCCCCTGCGGAGCCCAGGGCTGTCCAGAGCCGGTGGCCCCGCGCCTCGGCCGCCTCTCGAGGGGCGGCCAACACCAGGGGGCCCGTGGCCACCCTGCCCGGAGGAGCTCAGCTGCCCAGGGCGTGCCGGGCCACGTGCGTCTGGGGCGTCCGGGCGCAGTGCTGCCCTCTGGCCCGGCTGGAGGCCCTGTCCGTGGCGTCAGCTCAGAAGGACCCCTGGGCAGGGGCCGCCACCCAGCCCTCCGGGAAATGTGGGGGCAAGCCCGAGGCCCCCAGGCGGCGTCCTCCCCCAGCAGGCCGAAGGCCCCGGCTCTCCCTGCCCGCCGCCTGCCCGCGCCCTGGCTGTGTGCTTCGCTCTGCCCTGCCGTCCCGCGTCCGGGCACCCCAGGCCGTGACGCCACCTCTGCCCCCAGGGCCTTCGTGTACCTGAGCAACCTGCTGTACCCCGTGCCCCTGGTGCACCGCGTGGCTGTGGTCAGCGAGAAGGGCGAGGTCAAGGGCTTCCTGCGCGTGGCCGTCCAGGCCATCTCAGGTGGGTGTGGGCCGCCCCCGTGGCCTGGCCTGGGTCCCGGCCCCCCCGGCCCCGTCTCTGGGTCCCAGCGCAGGCCCCACTGCCTGGGGCCTGACCCCTGTGCTCTGGGGCCCTAGAGGCGGCAGGTGCAGGCCTCCTCCTGCCCCGTGCCCTCAGGTGTACCCCGGGTGTGGTTGTGCTGAAGGCTGCGGGGTGCTGCCGCTGGGACCCCTGCTGTGGCGGCCACCCCGCCTCGCCCTAGGCCCGTGCCCATCCACGGCCCCTCTGTGGTCAGGGCTGCCTCCCGCTGGGCCTGTTTGAGACCTGGTGCTGACACCCCAGGGACCCCAGGGCACCCTGCTCCCACCAGCAGCACCCCCAGATGGGCCGAAGCCTGCTGGGCCCCCATCCCAAGCACCCCTTGAAGGGGCCATACCAGAGGCCACTGGGGGACCCTGAAGGCCCTCTGCCTGGGTGCCGTGGGGGCCTGGGGTCCCTGGCGCTGCCCCTCCCAGCACTCCCAGGCAGTGGCCAGCTAGGGGGCAGGAGCTTCTCGGGGCGCAAGCCCACAGCTGAGGTCCAGGCCCTGGCTGGCCGCGCCGTGCTCCCCGCCAGCCACTGGCCCAGCCACACAGCCCAGGGCAGCCGGTGCTGATGCCTCCCCCCACCCCCAGCCGACGAAGAGGCCCCGGATTACGGCTCCGGCGTCCGCCAGTCGGGAACCGCCAAGATCTCCTTCGACGACCAGCATTTTGAGAAGGTGCAGCTGCCACCAGCCCCTGTGGTCCCCTGCGCCCCACAGCACCCCGGGTCCCTGGCAGCCTGGGCCTCCCGGGCCTCCTTCTTTCCTCCCCCGCCCTCCCTGCCCTCCGCGTCTGCGCTGACCCGGCGCCCGCAGTTCCAGGCCGAGTCCTGCCCCACCGGGGCCTGTCCCGCTCTGGGGCCTCGCAGGAGGAGCTGCGCATCGTGGAGGGCCAGGGCCAGGGCGCGGAGGCCGGTCCCTCGGCCGACGAGGTCAACAACAACACCTGCTCAGGTGGGAGCCCGGCCCGCATGGCCGCCCCCGCCCCCCAGGGGCTGTGCCCCGCCGGCCCCCACGTCCCTCTGCCCTGGCCCCCCATCTGCCCCCCCAGGAGCCGCACCCCAGCCAGCCCCCCATGTCCCGCTGCCCCGCCCCCATGTGCCCCGCCCCCGCGCGCCCCCGTAGCCGCGCCCGGCCGGCTGCTACGTCCCTCTGCCCACCCCGCAGCCGCGTCTCCAGAGGGCCTCCTGCCAGACGGCCCCGAGAAAGCCGGGCTGGAGGGGCCGCTGGACGCCGCCCTGGACCACCTGCGCCTGGGCAGCACCTTCACCTTCCGCGTGACGGTGCTGCAGGCGTCCAGCATCTCCGCCGAGTACGCCGACATCTTCTGCCAGTTCAAGTGAGCCGGGGCCGGGCGGGGTCCTCTGCACTGGGGGTCTCCCGCCCCGCCCGGGCCCAGCAGCTCTCCCTCCGCAGCTTCATCCACCGCCACGACGAGGCCTTCTCCACCGAGCCCCTGAAGAACACGGGCCGCGGCCCCCCGCTCGGCTTCTACCACGTCCAGAACGTACGTCCGGCCGCCCTCCCCCGCGCCCGCCCCCAGCGGCCGCGATTGCCATTTTGGGGTTCCTTCTCCCCTTTGGAGAGCCAGCCCAGCGGGGCTCTGGGGCTGCCGGGCAGGCCGGGCCAGTGGTTGTGGGCTGGCTGCTCCACGGGCCCGGGTTGCCCTGAGGCCAGCTGGCAGCGGGGGGGGGGGGGGCAGCCGGGAGTGGAGAAGGGCGGGCAGGGCCCTGCTCATCCACTGCCGGGCCAGAGGGGGCCAGACGCACCTCACTCCCCAGGGAGGGTCGCCCCACAGGAGGCCTCGGCTGCCGGCTGGTGCCTGTGTGGCCTGAGGGGTCCCCAAGAACCTCACTCAGGGGGGCCCCACGCTCCCCCAGTCCTCCCGCACCCCCCAGTCCTCCCACGTCCCCTGGTCCTCCCGCGCCCTCCCCCCCCCCCGTCCTCCTGCGCCCCCCGGTCCTCCCGCACTCGTCCTCAGCCAGTCTCTGTGTCCCTGTTCTGCAAGGACACGGGTCTCTGACCTGTTGTCTACGGGGAGGCCCGTCTCTGAGCGGACCTTGGGGGTCAGGACTGGACGTGGCACGGGGCACCCACGCAGTCTCAACCACGGCCATGGAGTCCGGGGAGGCCCCAGGGCCCGACCCCAGGCCCGGCCTCTGCGCCTGCTCTGGCTGTGCCTGCTGTGCCAGAGCCGCTGGGGCCAGACCCCGTGGCGGGGGCAGGAGGGCGGGGTGGGGGGCACAGGCCGCCCACTCACCACTCGTCCTTCCTCCGGCGCAGATCGCGGTGGAGGTGACCAGGTCCTTCGTGGAGTACGTCAGGAGCCAGCCCATCGTGTTCGAGGTGTTCGGCCACTACCAGCAGCACCCCTTCCCGCCGCTCTGCAAGGACGTGCTCAGGTCAGCCGCCCGCCCGGCCAGCCCAGCGGCGAGCATCCCAGGAGGCCAGCCGAGGCCGTCCTGAGCTGTGTGGTGCTGGGGCGGCAGGTGGGCCCTGGGGCGGCAGGCGCTGAGCCGGCGGTGGCCCAGAGGGGACAGCTTCTGCTGGCAGCGCCCAGAGGACCCAGCGGCTCCATCATGCCCTCAGCAACCCCAACCCTGTCCCTGCCCCTGGCTCCAGGTGGCTCTGGGGAGGCCCCGCTGGGCTCATCTTCCCAGGGCAGAGGGGGGCAGGTGGCATCTGGGGCGTCGGGGGCGAGCTGGGCCGAGGGGTGCTGCCCAGGAGCCCTCGGCAGCACATCCGTCCTGGACGTGCCTGGACCTCAGGCCGAAGGCGGAGCTCGCCCACCATGAACAACCCCCCAGGCAGGGGGGCGGTCCCACAGGCCTCTCCAGACCCCTGTGCGCCCAGGTCCGCCCCTGGCGCGGGCCTCACCCCCGCTCTCTCTGCAGCCCCCTGAGGCCCTCCCGCCGCCACTTCCCCAGGGTCATGCCCCTGTCCAAGCCAGGTAGGCCACTGCCCGGGCGGGGCTGGGCGGTGCCCGTGCTGGCACCTGTGCGGGTGGCGCTGGCAGGCCCTGGTGGGTGGGGTGTTCCCTGCCTGGCAGTGGGCGGGGCCTAGGGTGGGGTCCTGCCAGGCCCCAGGGGCTGGGCTGGTCGGGGACCCAGCGGGGTCGTGGGGCTCCGAGCAGTGTGGACCTGCTGCCCTGCTGCTTCTGTGGGGCGCGAGCCTCGGCCGGGCCCAGGGCAGCTGCGGCGGCTCCTTACACCTGGCCTGGGGACAGTGGGGCTGAGGCCTGGCTGCTGGGGTGTGGGATGGGGCTGCTGCCCGGCCTCTTGGGGGTGGGCGCCCCGCTGCCTCGGAGGCTCGCCTGTGCCCAGGGTCGCCCCCAGCACCTCCCTCCTGCCCCCAGTGCCGGCCACCAAGCTCAGTGCGCTGACGCGGCCCAGCCCCGGGCCCTGCCACTGCAAGTGCGACCTGCTGGTCTACTTCGAGATCTGCGAGCTGGAGGCCAACGGCGAGTGAGTCCGCGGGCAGGGGCTGGGCCCGAGCGTGGCCGCCCACTCCCCACCCCCCACTCCACGCCCGGCCGGCTGGGGCAGCCTCCAGAGCCCCGTCCCTGTGGGCAGCGCTCGCGGCGGAGGTGGACGACTAGGGTGGGGGGCACGTGGGGCGGCGGGTCCGGCCGAGGGGGCCAGGGGCCTGCGGTGCCCTCGGAGCGGCAGGGGAGCTGTGGCAGGGGCGGTGGGGGGGAGCCATGGCCAGCGCCGCAGGCCTGAGCCCAGCAACCGCACCTCTCTCCGCAGCTACGTCCCGGCCGTGGTGGACCACCGAGGCGGGATGCCCTGCGTGGGGACCTTCCTGCTGCACCAGGTGCGGAGCCCGCTGGCCCTTGGCCAGCCCCCGCCCCGCGCCTGGCCTGAGCTCTGCCTCCTGTGGCTCGGCCTGAGCTGTCTTCGCCCCGCAGGGCATCCAGAGACGCATCACCGTGACCCTGCTGCACGAGACGGGGGGCCACATCCGCTGGAAGGAGGTCCGGGAGCTCGTGGTGGGTGAGTGAGCGGCCCCGCCAGCATCTGCCCGGCTCGCTGCCCCACCCGGCCCCCGGCCCAGTCCCAGAGCTGGGGCCTGGTGTCCAGACGGGAGCCGGGAAGGGGACTTACCCACCTGCCTGCGCAGTGTGGGGGGGTCACGTTGACCTGGGTGTGGGCCCGGAGCGCAGCAGCCACGTGTCGGCCGTGAGCGACACAGCAAAGCGTGTCACCTCCACGCCCGATGCAGAGGCCCAGCACGCTCAGCTCCCCGTCGGTGGCCCGCGGGCCTGCGTCCCACCTGGGTCAGGCTGACCGGCTGGGCTGCTCTCCATCTCGGCCCTGCACAGAGGTCCCAGGCGACTGAGCATGCCGTGGTCAGGCGCTGCAGCCTTGGGTCAGGAGCGAGGACGGGTGTGGGGCAGCGAGCCCCCCCCCAAGGGGCCAGGAAGTGCCGGGGCCTGGGCTGGAGGTGGTTCATGAGGCCTGCAGTGAGGCACCTGCCGGGGCAGCCCCATTGCCACCGCACCCGCCCCCCAGCTGGCCCTCGTTTTCCCAGCGGGACAGCAGCTGCATGGCTGGACTGGACGGGGGTGTGGTGTGGGGGCGGGAGGACAAGGAGCAGCGCTGACTGCATCCTTGGGAGCCAGCCACCCGGGGCCACCTCTTAGCAGACGGGCAGAGCTGCGCCCAGGGGTGCCTAGGAGTGACGTGCCCCCACCCCCATCCCCACAGGCCGCATCCGAAACACCCCGGAGACGGACGAGTCCCTGGTTGACCCCAACATCTTGTCTCTCAACATCCTGTCCTCGGGATACGTGCGTCCAGCCCAGGACGACAGGTGAGTCCCCGCAGCCACGGTGGCGCCGTCCCGATGGGCGCTCTTGGCTCCCCGCCCTCAGCCACCTCTGTCCGTCTGTCTGTCTGCTCGGCCCCGGCCAGGCCCGCCCCCAAGCGTCCCCGCAGGCTTGGCCGGCACTGAGTGTCCGTGCGGGGTAGTGGGCACTGGCCCCCAGCTCGTGGGTGCTGGCAGCTGGGGGCGTGAGCAGCCTGGACTCCCCAGGCGACGCTTGGGGGTGTGGCCTCTGGTGGGGTGCAGGCTGGGGCGGCAGGCAGGCTGACACTCTGGGCAGCGGCCTGGCGCACCACCCGCAGGCACTGCTGGCCTCGGCCCTGGCGCTCCTCTCCAGTTTCTGGGTGGTGGCCGGACCCTGTGCAGCCCAGCGCGGCCGCGGGCGGGGCGAGTTGACGCCAGGCGCCGGCAGCCGGGGAGCGGCCCTCGGAGGCCAGGTGCAGGCTCGGGTGCGGCTGCCCCGGGGCCGGCCTGGGGCGCTGCTGCGGGGCTCAGGGGTGGGCGGCGGGGGCGACCGGTGCCAAGGGACGCGCGCCTGCGCCTGCCCGCGGCTGAGCCGCCGGAGACCACCCCTGAGACTGGCGTGCTGGGGGACGCACGTGCCGGAGGGGCCTCCGGTTCTGGCTCCCGGGTCCACGCAGAGCTGGGCCCTTCGCTGACCCCTGGAGGGGCCCTGGCAGGAGTCACCGGGGCTGGGGGCGCGGCTGTGGCTCCAGCCCGGGGAACCTTCTGTGCAGAGGAGGCGGGCTGAGCTGGGGCGTGGTGTTCTCGTGCTGAGGACCAGCAGGGTGACCGCCTGGGAGGGGGCACGGGCTGACGGTGGCCGGGCTCAGGGCTTCTCCTGTCGCCATGGAAACGCACCCTGGCGGCAGTGGCCTGGCACCGACCCACGGGCAGGGCGCTGCCTGCAGGAGGGTGCCTGGCGGGTGGGGTGTGGGGCCTGTGCCCCTGGGCGGGCCCCTGCCGTGCTGAGCGAGCTTCTGGCCCGGCCTCCACCCCTTCCTTAGCATCTGCAGCTCCCGGGCCCTCTGGGGGCCCCTGCACTGTCCACGCCTCCCTGCCCTCCCCGGCCTGCACAGCTGGGAGCTCCGGGGCCCAGCCCTGGCCTCGGTCTCGGGGCCGCGGGGGCCCTCGGCTGGGCCCCGCCTGCGTCAGTGGGGCTTTGGCCAGACTGCGTCACCTGTTCCTGGAGCCTGAGAACCCGCGGCTGGAGGGCTCGGCCCTGCTCCCGGGGCTGTGGGGCGAGGTGGCCCACGGTCCCCCTCAGCCCGCACTGGGGTCAGGGCCTGGCCGGGGCAGGGAAGGTGCGTCCAGGGCATATGCCAGGGCTCCTGCCCGTGCTGGTGTGGCCGGCACCCGGGGAGCCTCGAACTCCCTCCTGCCCAGTCCGGGGCCCCAGTGGCTCTGGCTACACTGGCCAGGCTGGCAGGCCCTCCCGGGGCCTTCGTTTCCCTGGACCAGGGCCCACGACCTCGGAGCCCAGAGTGGGCAGGCTGCCCCTGCTGCCCCGCAGAGCCGAGGTCCAGGGGCCCCCGGCCCAGCTCCGTCCAGGGGCCTGCGCTGCCCGGAGCTTTGCCACGACCTCGGCTGCCTCCTGCTCGAAAGCCCCCGCTTCGCAGCCCCGCCCCAGGCGCCGAGCGGCCCCCCGCTGCCCGCTGCCCGCACCGCTGCCGCCCGCCCGCCGCCCGCGCACTAACCTGTAATCCTTTGTGTCTTGCAGGCAGTTCCTAGATTCGGACATGCCTAGGTACCTTGCCCTGGCTTACCCCGCCTCCTTCCCGCCTTCCCCGCCCTCCAGGCTGCGTCGGCCCCACCCCTGGGCCTGCACCCGCCCCCCGCCTCCCTCTCCCGTCGCTTCACCCCGTTTCCTTGCGACACTTTGGTTTTTTTGCCCCCCGCCCCCTGCTGAGCCCCGTGGGCCCCACTCCTGGTTTGCCTGCTGTGGTGGTGGCTGCCCTTCCGCAGACCCTGCCCCCCGCCCTGAGCCTGGCCCACCCAGCCTCACCCCGAGTGGGAGCGGGGGTCCCCACGGGCTCCCGCCCATGCCCATGGGGGCAGGAGGGAAGGGGGACTGTAGTGGACATGGGGTAACCCCGAGACCCCTGAAACTATACTTCCCACCCAGGGTGTGGCTCCAAGTCGTGCCCCACACAGGGTGGGTCCCCAAGTCCATGTCTCCCACCCGGGCAGGCCTCCGGAGGCCCCCAAGACTGCACCCCCCACCTGAATGGGCCCCGAGGCCCCCCACTTGTATTCCTCACCTGGGCGGGCCCTGGCCTGTGCAGGGGCAGCTTCGGCTGTGGCCGGCCCCTTCCTGCTGGGAAGCTGGCGGGGGTGACACCCCATGAGCCCTGAATCTCAGGATGCTCGGGGGGCCGTGGGCATCCTGGGGCCTGCTTCCTCCCTAATGTGAGCGAGGCCCCTGCCCACACTGGCCGTGTGGGGGCTGCGAGGCCGGCCCCTGACCTGGTCTGCGGGAGCAGAGGTCCGGCTGTGGCCGTGGGTGGGTCCAGCTGCGTGTGGGGTCCTGATGTGCAGGGCGTTGGGCTGGGGCACAGCACGCGGGGGCGGGGGGGGGGCCCTGAGGTCTGGGAGAGCCGCAGCTGTGTCGGCAGCTCCCTGCCTGTCCCTGGGCCCACACCTGGCCCGTGAGTGGGTCTGCTGCGGCCCCGGGGCCTGCGGGAGGAGCAGTGGGGGTGTCTTTCCCGGGGATCCCAGCCCCCCTGGGAGGCCGGGGGTACCTGCTGGAGGTGACTGGCCAGGTTGGGGGCTCCAGCAGGAACGGTCTATGGGGTCCCAAGCTCCCTTGGAGGGGATGTGTTTGGGGGGGGACCTGGAGCCGCACTGGCTGTGTCCTTGCCGGGGGAGTGGACAGCGGCAGAACCTTCTGGAACCGTGCGTGCCTCTCCCTGCCAGTGGGGATGGCCCTGGCGGAGGCTGAGGAGGGCGCGGGCAAGCCCTGGTCAGGGTTCGCCCTGCAGTGAGCTTCACGCGCTCTGCCTCGGGCACATTAGAGTGGACGCCCCCAGCCCTGAGACTAGGCTTTGCTGGGACCACCGGGGTTGCAGGGTCGCGGCACCCCCACCCGGTGCCAGGCCCCGCCCCGCTTTCCGGAGAGGTGGGGTTCCCGGGCCTCCACCGCAGAAGGGCCCCCCGTCCCATCCCTCCTTCCATCCTGCCCCAAGGCCCGACCCTCCCTCACGCGCAGCCTCCCCTGCTGGCTCGTCCCGGTCCGGTCCGCGGTGGTGGGGGTCGGCCCGGCTCCAGGCCGGGCTGCTGGGGCCGCAGGCCGCTCTCCACCCGCAGACGCTGGGGGGCGGGGAGGAGCCTGTGTGAGCGCGAGTCCAGAGCCGGACTCAGGGTGGGCCTGTTTCTGAGCCCGGAGACCTGGGAGGCCCCTGGGGGAGGAGCCCGCCCCGCTGGTAGCAGAGACCAGGGGGCGCCCGGCCTGGCTCCCAGAGAGGGCAGCTTGGCGGGGAGCGGGGGAGGCGCCGCGTTTCTCCCAGGACCTCCGGCCGGCGTTCCCGGGGGCCCGAGCGGAGCCCGAGGGCGGCCTGCTGGAGCTGCGACCTGGCGCGGGGGCTGTCGGTCTGCTCCCGCCCCCTCGGAGCAGCCCCGCTACGTGGCCGGGCTCGGCCGCTGTGGTCCTTCCCGTCCCGGCTCAGGAGGGCTGAGGGCTCAGTGTGGGGCGACGCACCCCTCCCTGCCGGCGGGGGTCCCCGAGGGCTTTTCTGCAGGGGGCGCGGGCAGCCCCTCCTGGGCGGAGCCCGGGGTGCGGGCCGAGGGGTAGCCGGGCATGGGCCTGCGGGTGGCGCCGGCCATGCGGCTGTGGGCTCGGGCAGCGCCTCCCCAGCGGGCTGGGGGTGTGAGGGTGTGAGGGCGTCCAGGCCTCTGGAGCTTGAGCCGGCGAAGGCACGCCCTAGCTCCGGGGCGGGGTCTCGGCCAGAGCCGCTCGTGGGGTCCTCGGGCTGGGCCTTTCCCAGGTCCTGGGGCCAGTCAGGGTCACCCTGAGTCCGCGGGTCGAGTTGGCCCCGAGGACATGTCCAGGCAGGGGTGGGGGCCGCGCCTTCCCCGGGAAGCAGGGCACAGCCCGGGCTGCGCATCTGTGGAGCCGGGGGCTGAGGGTGGGGGCGGCCGCTGCAGCCCCAGGAGGTGCCCGCCTGCCCTGCCGGGGGCGGGGAAGGCAGTGGCCGGCGGGAGGCCCCAGGGAGAGGCGCTGGGCGTCGTCTCGCCGCGAGCGGGTGGACGGCAGCGCGGGCCCCGCGCACACCCTGCTGCACCCGCCCCCGGGAGGCCGCCTCTGACGAGCGTTTCTCTGTGTGTGTCCGTGTCCGCTGCCTCCGCCCTAGGGCCTCCTTCGGAAGCGGCACTAGGTACAGCGGCCTCCTCTGCTCCGCTCGGTCTGCGCTCCGTGCCCGCGGGCCCCTCTCCTCCCTGGCCCCCGCCCCACTGTCCTCACCCCCTCCCTGGACCTTTGGGCGCCCTGTGCCGACAGCGACCCTGTTCCCGGCGCCCGGACTGACCACGGGGCCCGCGGGGCGGCGTGCGGGGGTGTGTGCCGCCCTGCGTCAGGGTTGGGGTGTCTCTGCGAGTCGCTTGGACGGAGCCCGGGCGGCTGGGGGCAGCGCGCTGGCTGGGGACGGAGGCCCTGCCCGCAGACGCGGGTCCTCGCGGCCCCCTCAGGAGACGCTGCTCCAGGCTGAGGGACAGCGTCCCTGGGCCACGACCTGGCCTCCCGGGGTGCTGAGCTGCCAGGAGGGGCTTTGGGGCCCTGGCCCAGCTCTGCTCACGGTCTTGAGGGCGGAGGTGGGGTGTCCGAGAAGCCACCGCCTCCGCAGGCGGGCAGAGCCCCCACCCCTGCCAGAGCCGCCCGAGGCCCCTCCAAGCCCCTCCAGGCCTCCTCTGAGGACGAGCGGCGGTGGGGGGACGGGGGCGGGCGCAGGGCTTTGGTAAACCCAGGCAGGTTCCCTTGGGCCTGGGAGAGACAGCACCCCTTACTCAGACCGAGGCTGGGGGGCCGGCCACTCCCCCACTCCGCCCCTGCCCGCCCCGCGTCGCTCCGTTCTCACCGCCCCTCCCGCCCCTCCCGCCTCCCCGTCCAGCCTCAGCTGGGGGCCGTGGCCAGCGTGTCCCGCACCCGTGGGGCTGCGCGCTCTGGGGTCCTGAGTAAGGGGGCGTCTGTCCCTCCTGGGCACCCCTGCCCGGGCTTCCCGCCTGGGCCTGTCCGTCTGTCTGCACGTGCCCCCGGCCGCGGCCGCAGCGCCAAGTCGCCTCCGTCTGTCTGGTCTCTGCCCCCAGGACGTTCTTCCAGTTCGAGGCTGCGTGGGACAGCTCCATGCACAACTCCCTGCTGCTGAACAGGGTCACCCCCTACCGGGAGAAGATCTACCTGACCCTGTCCGCCTACATCGAGGCAAGAAGCCAGGCCCTCCCCGAGCCCCCCGCCCGCAGCCAAGGGGCAGGGAGGGGCCTGTGCGCCCCGCGCCCAGCGGCCCGTGCTCGTCCCAGGCCCGGCCGCCGCGCTGGCCTTGCTCCCATGCACCCCCCCCCCCCCCCCGTCTTGAGCCCACGGCGTGTCCTCTGGTGGCACCTGAGGGTGGGCCCTCGGGTCGGGCCGGCTCTGCTTCGTGGGACGCCCTGGGCGCCCCCATGCTGACCCCTCGCCCCGCGGGCAGATGGAGAACTGCACGCAGCCGGCCGTCATCACCAAGGACTTCTGCGTGGTCTTCTACTCCCGCGACGCCAAGCTGCCCGCCTCGCGCTCCATCCGGAACCTCTTCGGCAGCGGGAGCCTGCGGGCCGCGGAGAGGTGGGCCGGCCCCTGCGCTCAGCCCTCTCCCCCGACCTCGGGGTCGGCGTGGCGGGCACAGGAGATGCTGATGATTGTTCCCGCAGGGTTGGGGGGCCTGGGCTGCACCCCGGCTGGGAGCCACAGGGGCTCGGCCGCTGGGAAGACGCCCGACCTGGGGGCTGGGGCGAGGGGCTCTGCGGCTGCCACCTCCCCCGCCATCTGGCTCATTCGTCCCCCGCTGCCCTCCCCGCACCCCTGCACCCTTGGGAGGCTCGTGGGCTCAGGCCTCCGGAGGCCCCCGGGGGCGTGTCCACAGCCTGGAGGGCTGCCCTCGGCATTGGCGGTCCCGGGAGAGGGCGGCGGGGGCGCGGGTGGGGGCTGGCACGTGGGGCCGTGACGACGCGTGTCCCCACAGCAACCGCGTGACCGGGGTGTACGAGCTCAGCCTGTGCCACGTGGCGGACGCGGGCAGCCCAGGTAGGTGCCCGGCTCCGGCTGGGGCGGTGCTCGGAGCCAGGCGGCCTCGCTCCACGGCCCTCTGGCACCCCTGGGTGGTGAGCCCACCCCGCCCACACCGTGGGCACCACTCACACAGAGGGTGTTTCCGACGGTTTCCCCAGGGATGCAGCGGCGGCGCAGGAGGGTGCTGGACACGTCGGTGGCCTACGTGCGGGGCGAGGAGAACCTGGCGGGCTGGCGGCCCCGCAGCGACAGCCTCATCCTGGACCACCAGTGGGAGCTGGAGAAGCTGAGCCTGCTGCAGGAGGTGGGCGGGGGGCTGGGCTGCGGGGGGACGGGGGGTGGGGGCACGCCTGGGCTGCTCCCCGGCTCCGGGCCTAGGCGAGGCGCTCTGGCCCGCAGGTGGAGAAGACCAGGCACTACCTGCTGCTGCGGGAGAAGCTGGAGGCCACGCAGAAGCCCAGCCCCGAGGCACCATCGCCCGGCTCCAGCGAGGACTCGGCATCCCGCAGCTCCTCCGGGGCCTCTTCCCCACTCACGGCCGAGGGCCACCCGTCGCCGCTGGACACGCCCAGCGAGAGGCAGCGGGAGCTGGCCGTCAAGGTGGGACCGGCGGCCGCCTGCGGAGGGGCCGGAGCTGGGAGGATGAGGCGTCTGCAGGCCCCACCCGATACCCGCCCTCCCGCGAAGCATTTGGGGTGCTCGGCGCTGCTGCCCTCTGGGGTGCCCGCACTGGGCAGCCCTGACCGGTGCGCTTGCTGTCCCCGCAGTGCCTGCGCCTCCTGACACACACGTTCAACAGGGAGTACGCGCAGGGCCACGTCTGCGCCAGCGCCAGCGAGAGCAAGGTGCGCGCCTCCTCTGCCCCGGGGGAGGGGAGGGGCCGGCCCCCCTCTCAGCGGCCTTCTCCCTCCTCCTGCAGCCCCTGCTCCCCCCAGGCCGGGGTGGCCGAGGCCTCCCCCATGGAGCCCCGCGGCCGGCCCCGGCCCCGCTCATCTGTCCTCATGCCCAGCTGTGTGCGGCCTTGGCCCCTGGTGCGGGGCCTCCCACGGCCCGCACTGAACACCCTGAAGTGGGCTCAGGCCACCCCCACGCCCCTCACGCCCCTCACGCCCCTGGAGGGCGCCGGGGTGGGGCTCCCTAGACAGGCGGTAGACTGGGCGTGGGGCGCGGGCGGGGGCACAGGCGGGGGCCGCGGCCGCGCTGAAGCTCGCTCTCCCCCCAGCTGTCCGAGATGTCTGTGACGCTCCTGCGGGACCCGTCCATGTCGCCGCTGGGCCCGCCCACGCTCACGCCCTCCTCCACCTGCCCGTCTCTGGTCGAGGGGCGCTACGGGGCAGCTGACCTGAGGTGGGGCTCCCGGGCGCAGGGCCGGGCGGGCGCCGGGCGAGGCCGCGGTCCCCCCTCCCTGTCCCTCGTGCCGCTGAAACGCACGTGTCCAGTTCAGGACACGAGGGCGCAGGGGAGTCGCGGAGCCCTGGGAGGGGGTGGCCGCGCGCCCAAGGCCGCTCCCCGCACCGTCTGCGGGACCCCCATGTCCCGATGCCCCATGGTGGGGGGGCGGCCGCAGGCGTCCCCAAGTCTCTGGGCTCCTTGTCTTCTCCCGTGAGGAGAAAGAAAAGGGCCCCGGGCCTCTGGCCCTTGTGCTGGGGCCTCCGGGGAATGTCCCCAGCGCGGAGTCACCCTCGCCACGACTGCGGTGCCACCTTCCGGTGGGGGCAGGAGGTGGCGGGCGGGGAGCCCCACAGACAGCCCGGGCCAGGGCGGGCAGCCTCCTGGGACGCGGCCGGCAGACCGCGGGTGCGCAAGCTGCTCTGGGGGGTGCTGCTGGCCCCGGGCTGCCCGAGGGGAGTCCCGGCCAAAGGAAGCTGCGGGCAGGGGTGCAGCTGCTTGACTCGGCCTTCTCAGGACCCCCCAGCCCTGCTCCCGGCCCGCCAGCCCCGAGCCTGAGCCCCTGCCAGAGGTGGAAGCCAGGCAGGTCCCCTCCCCGGTGCGGGTGACCGAGGTGGACAAAGAGCCGCAGCCGCTGCTGGTTCCAGACATCCAGGAGATCCGGGTCAGGTGTGTGGGGCCCGGGCAGGCTGGAGAGCACAGACCGCGAGGGCAGCTGGGCGGGGAGAGCCCGGCGATGTCCACACGTCCTCCCGCGGCCGGCGTGTCCACTAGCAGGTGCTCCCTGGCCTTGTGCCCCAGGTCCCCGCTGGATGGCCTAGGAGCATGGGGTGCCGGCGAGGGGCAGCCTCGGCTTGGAAGGGCTTCTCCGCTTTATAGCCGGGGAGACCGAGGCCAGGGGAGGGGTTGCTTGGTGCTGCCCGGCCGGAGGGCACCCCTGAGGCCAGCGTCCCGCCCGCAGCCCCATCGTGTCCAAGAAGGGGTACCTGCACTTCCTGGAGCCCCACACGGCGGGCTGGGCCAAGCGCTTCGTGGTGGTGCGGCGGCCCTACGCCTACCTGTACAACAGCGAGCGCGACAACGTGGAGCGCTTCGTGCTCAACCTCTCCACGGCGCAGGTGGAGTACAGCGAGGACCAGCAGGCCATGCTCAAGGTGCGGGCGCGGGGCCGCGGGCGGGGGGCTGCGGGGCCGCGAGGGTGGTGGGGCCGTGAGGCGGGGCGGCCCCCGGCTGAGGCCACCCGGATCCCCGTCTCTCCGGGCGATGGCCGGTGCGGGGTGCAGGGACAGGGCCGGCAGTAGCCGCTCCCTCCTCCTGGGAATTTGTGGGGTGGCCCTGAGCCGAGGGCCGGCGGGCAGTGGCCCACAGGGTGGAAGGGGAGCCGCCCGCGCCTACCAGGCCGGGATGAAGGGGTTAGCAGACCCCCCTGCGCCAGCAGCGAAGGTCCTGGGCCCCCGTGGGAACGCGGATGCCGCCAGGGAGCCCCGGGCTGGGGCGGGGCGGGGGGGGGAGGTGGGGAGGCTGCGCTCAGGGCGGGCTGTGCCCCCTGCAGACCCAGGCAGCCCTCTCAGGGTCTTCTCCTGCCTTCTGGACCCCGGGGGTCTCCGCGGTGCCCTGGGGCGGGGGTGGTGGCCGCGGGCCTTTGGCTCGGCCCTCACCGCCGCGCCCTCCCGCAGACGCCCCACACGTTCGCCGTGTGCACGGAGCACCGGGGCGTCCTGCTGCGGGCCGGCAGCGACAAGGACATGCACGACTGGCTGTACGCCTTCAACCCCCTGCTGGCCGGGACCATACGGTAGGCCCCCCGCCCCCCTCGCCCTCCCCTGCCGGACCACGCAGTAGGCCCCCCACCATGCGGGTCGGGCACAGGCGCTCGCCTGTGTCCGGGTTGCTCACGGGGTCCGACGCCCCAGAGTTTCAGATGCCGTCCACCCACCGGGCGGCCCGAGGCGGTGTCCCGGGCCTGGAGGACGGGGCCGGTGCCCACCTCTGGCCCCCGGCAGGCGGGAAGCGGGCGCCTCGCCTCACGCCTCGCCCCGGCCCGCAGGTCCAAGCTGTCCAGGAGGAGGTCAACCCAGATGCGGGTCTGAGCCCGCCGCCCGCCGAGACGCAGCCCGACTCCGCCCCTGTCAGTCCAGCCCGGCCTCCAGCCCCCGGAGGCCCGCCGCGCCCCACAACCCGGCGTCCCACGACCAGCCCGGGGGCACCTCCTGCCTCCTCGCAGACAGGGCGCCCCGCGGGGCAGTGGCAGGGCGCAGGCGCGAGCTGGTATTTTTTTAAGCATAGACAGACTTATAATTAACCGCATTAGTTAGCGACGTGGGCCCCGGCGCTCAGCAGTGGACGGAGACGTGTCTATTTATAAGTATTTATTTCTAACGCCTCACATAGGCCCCTAGTGGGCCCCGGACCACCCCGTGTCCCCACCCGCCTCTCCCGGCCCCCTCGGGACAGACAGCGGCAGCCTCAGACCTCGGCCAGGGTGTGCAGCGGCCGGCGGCTCTGGAGGTCCGAGCGGCAGTGGGCGGCCACCCCGGGAGCCCCGGCGGAGCCGCGGCCAGGGCCGCCTGGGCGGAGGTGGTCCTGGTGGGCAGAGGGAGAAGATCCGGATCCCCCGCGGGCCAGGTGTCCAGGCCGCAGGCTGGAGGTGGGCGGGCGGCTCTGGGGCTTCAGCTCCCGGGGGGGAGGGCCGACCGCTCAGGCGGCCACTGTCAGGGGCCTCTGGTGGGGAATCCCCTCATCACGGCATCTGTCTGACCCTCTGCCCCACCCCCCGAGACCCCGGAAGGCACGGACAGGGCCTCAGCAGGCTGCACGCTCCGGCCACAAGCCGCCCTCGGGGTTCTCAGGGCCCCGCAGCCCCTTTGGGGCACACCCGGCCCCTCAAGGAAACCAGCAGCAGACCCCAAAGCCCAGCTGGGGGCAGCTTCCTCTGGCGCCCCAGAAATGCCCCTTGCCAGTCCCCCAGCACACCCTCACCCCACCCTGTGACCGCTTCCCCCCACCAGGCTGGCCTGTCCGTGGCTCCCCGAGTGTGGGGGCTGCTCCGACTCTCCCGGGGCCCCCTTCCAGGCTCTTGTTAGGATGCAGGATGAGGTGCCTGTGGTGGGGTCTGTGCCCCCCAGAAGCAGAATGGGGCGTCCAAGCCATCGCACACACTGGCCCGGGATGGGCATCGGCCACCCTATGGGTGCAGGGTCCCATGTCCCGCAGACGGCCCCAGACAGCACCAGCACGGGCCGGGGAGGGCGGAGGAGGGCAGGGGAGCGGTGGGTGTGCACCTCTGAGATGAGCGGGCCCTCGCGCTCTCCGGGGAGGAAGGGGAGGTGCTGGGCCTGACCCGGCCACTCAGGTCAGCCAGCCTGAAGCCGGCCTCGAAGGCCCTGCCTCCCTGGCACAGGTGTCTGAGGCCAGGCAGCCCAGCGCACCTGCCCCTGCGGGCGCCCCAGTCCTGGAGCCTCCGTGGCCACGGAGGCCCAGCTGCTTCCCTTTGCCCTGTTGCCACCTGGTTGTGGTGAGGGGGGCCGCATGGCGCCCCCTGGCCATGCCCCCGGCCTGCCCCAACACCACTTGTCATCCGGCTGAGGACTGGACAGGGCCACGCTGGGGCCTCACCCCCAGGCAGACGGGAGGCGGTGTCCGCTGGCACCCGCGGGTGAGGAAGGAGGGGAGATCCGGACAGCCGGCGCCCGGTCGGCGCTTGTTCTCACGTGGGGTGCTGCTCGGTCTGAGGGTGACCGCTGCCCTCCCTGCTCCCCACCTCTGGGGTGAGGTCCGTCCTTGTGAGCCGAGGAGAGTTCAGGGAGGGGCGCTGGGGGGCAGGCGCCTGAGAGTCCCCCCACCCCTGCCCTAGCAACAGAGATGCGGGTCCAACCACAAGCAGGGCGGCACGCACAGACGTCCGCAGGCGTGTGCACACGAGCGCACACGGACACACAGGTGTACACAGACATGCTCGAGCTCTCACACACGCTCGGGCGCACAGGCGTATGCACACCCCCTGCGGCAGCTGTGGTGAAGTGGTCTCCCATGCTCTGCCCGCCCACCCCACCCCACCCCCCACCCCCGCGCCTCTAGGGCGCGGGGAAGACCCCCCAAGTGTTGCTGATGCTGCAGGTGTGAGGGGTGGCCGTGCCAGTGCCCCGTCCGCTCCCCCGTACACCCCGGGAGGCACCTCGTTTATGCCTGGGGCCGGGCCAAGCAGGCCCAATCCCGGCGGCCTGTCTCCTGCCTGGCTGTCCCCCAGCTCCCCAAGACTTGTACATACGTGCCCCCCACCCCCGCCCGCCGCACCCTGTGCTGTGTGCGCTTGCGTCTGTGTAGCCCCCAATAAACGCCTGCCGAGCAGCACCCGGCCTCCGCCTGCTTCCTCCGCCTCCGGGGGGCCCTGGGTGGGCAGAGCCAAGCCTGTCCCGAAGCGGCGCCCCTCCCCGGTGGGAGGCAGAGGGCAGAGCCCCAGCAGCCGGTCCCGCGCTCACCTGCCTGCACCTGCCGCGGCCCCAGGAGCCCTCCGGGGGCTCAAGGCGCCTGCCAGGTGTCTTTGGGCTGCGCCCCGGCCCTCGGGCGCGCTGCTCCAGGCACTGCGGGGCCCCCACCCTGACGGAGCCCAAGACCGAGCTGGGGACACCGCTGCCCTGCTGGCCGCCGGGGCGCTGGCCGGGCAGCCGCACGCACCCGCGGGCCCCTCGGGCGCCCGGCCCTCCCGGGGTCCGCAGGCCCCCCGCGCCCGCAGGATGGCAGGGGCAGCTGGGCACAGCGGCCACCCGCGTCTTTCCTCTCCCACTGGGGGACGCGGAGCCTGTCCTTTGGTCACCAAGGGAGAGCGACAGCCCTTGGCGGGGTCCGCCGCGCCGGCCCCACGCGCCAAAGGCCCCCCGGCTGCCCCAGGGCTCCCGCCCGCGCCGGTGGAGGCACACGGCGGGACCGACTCCGGCGCGGACAGGCCGCCCTGGCGGACCGCACTGGCCCTGGGAGCCCGGAGGCCCTGCCGTGCCCGCGTCTCCACCCCGCGCGCTGCCCGCAGGCCGCCGCCCCCCCCCCCCCGCCGCCCCCGCCCCCCCGTCCCCCCCCCGCCCCCCCCGCCCCCCCCCCCCCCCCCCCCCCCCCCCCCCCCCCCCGCCCCCGCTCCCCCGCCCCCGCCCGGCGCGGCAGGACCCGTCGGGGTCCCGGACCCCGCGGCTGGGCGGCCCCGAGACCCGCTGCTCAGCACCCGCCCCCGCCCTTCTGCGGGGCCACCGCGTCCCTCGGGCGCGCAGCGGGGCTGGTCTCGCTCTCCGGGCAGCGGTGGGGGTCGGCCCCGGGGTCTCCCCTGAGCCCCAGGGAGCTCCGGAGCCAGCGGCTGCCCCTCCCGCCAGCCCAGCCCGCCCCTGCTGGCCCCGCCCCGCCCCGGGCTGGCCACGCCCCGGCTGGCCACGCCCCACCCCAGCTGGCCCTCCCCGCCTGCCCTGCTGGCCGCGCCCCGCCCTGCTGGTCACGCCCCTGACCTGCTGGCCCCGCCCCGCCCTGCTGGCCCCGCCCCTGTTCGCCCCGCCCCGGCTGGCCCCTCCCTGCCTGCCCTGCTGGCCCCGCCCCACCCCGCTGGCCACGCCCCTGACCTGCTGGCCACGCCCCACCCTGCTGGTCACGCCCCACCTTGCTGGCCCCGCCCACCCCTACTGGCCACGCCCCCGCCCTGCTGGCCACGCCCCTGTCCCGCTGGCCACGCCCCCGCCCCGCTGGCCACGCCCAGCGCGGTTGCACGGCTGTGGACTCCCGGGTGTTACCAGCCAGTCGGGCGAGGACCGGCGGCCAGACAGAAGGAGACCTGGACATCGCGCTGGTGTTTGTGAACTAAACGGCCGCGGGTTCAACGTCGCAGGAGAAACGCGGAGACGCCGTGACGGGGGAGGCGGACGCTCGGGCCGCTCGGGCCGGGGCAGCGCGGGGCCGGCGGGCGGGGAGGGCTGGTCTCGGGGCGCGGCCAGCGCAGCTGCAGGAAGACACAAGCGCGTGGACACCCGCGGCCCTGGAGAGCGGCCCACGCGCGGGGGACGTCCAGGAGGGGAGCGGAGACCAGGAACCGGCGAGCCGGCTCTCGAAGGGGCGGGCGAGCTCCGCACCCCGGGGAGTGCTCAGGAGGGAGACGCCGGGAGTGGGCGCAGGGAACAGGCGGTGGGACGTGGAGGAAGACAGTGGCATCCGCAGTCCCGTGCCACACGCTGGGCAGCGCAAGGCAAGGGAGTAAGTTTCCTGAAGGGACGCTCGGCCAGAGTTTACCGGGAAGACAGGCGAGCTGGCTGGGCCTGCCCACGGGCCACTTAGGGTCTGAAGTTTTAAATCTTCAGTTTAAAAATCGCCCTCCCCAGCGCTGGCACACGGCCAGGCACACGGGCGGGCGAGGCCCGCTCGGCACAAGCTCTTCCAGAAGCGCCACTGGCCCTCGGCCGTCCGCACCGGCGGGGCACCCCGCGCCACAGTGCACCCCGACACCGAGACAGGCGAGACAATGAAAGCACAGCCCAGTGTCCATCACGGAGACGGACGGGCCCCCTGAACACCGCCTTGCCAAAGTGGATCCGAAGATCATGAAAATGGGGGCACTCCCGCCAACTGAGGTTCATCCTGGAAAAGCAAGACCGGCTCAAAAAGCAGCCCGGGAGCCCCGCACTGACGGGCAACAGGGTCGTTGTCCCACAGACCCCGAAGCAGGAGGCAGAGTTTGAGTAAATCCTTTAACTAAATCCTCCGAATCAGACCCGTCAAGATTTGAGGAAGGCCCTTCAGCGGCGGTGGACTCCCCGCCCCAGGGGCTGTCGCAGAGCCACGGGGCCACGCTGCTGCCCCAAGGTGGACAGGCCCAAAGCCGGCTGGGCCTTCCTCGCCCCGGGTGTGCTGGCAGAGCTGGGGGGGGGGCAGGGCCCGGCGGAGAAGCCACTGCGCTCACCTGGGGGGGCTGCTCAGGTAGGGAACTCACAGGAGGTCCCAGAAGGTCGCCAGGTACCAGCTGAGGCGAGCCGGCGCAGAGCACAGGGCCAGTGCCCAGCACGACTCCGCTCCACGCAGGAGCAAGGGCAGTTGGACATTAGAATTAAAAACGCCGCCCCTGGGTGAGCGCCACCGGGAGCCGCAGGGTCAGTCTAACAAGACGGTGCAGTGTCCACCTGCGGGGCCACAGGTCACACCGGAGAGGCCCAGAGAAGACCCCAGTGGACGAGCTGTGCAGTACCCAGACCCCAGGTCCCCGCACGCAGCTCCCCAGTCCCCGGCAAGCCCGACGCATGCGGGAACAGCCTGAGCAAGTCCAGGGGCCGCTCTTCCGAGCAGGTCCGTGGGGAAAGCGGGCAGCTCTGCTCCTGACTGGCCCCGGTGGAAGCCCCACCCAGAGCAGGGACTGCTGTGCCATCCTGGCCCGGAACCCAGACCCCAGAACAACCCCCCAGCCCAGACCCCAAGCCCACAGACCCCTGGGTCCGTGGGGCACCCTGCGGACACGCAGCCTTCGTCCACTTGGGGTCTCAGGGCAGGTCCTGGATGGAAACGGGAGCCCCGAAGCTAGAGAGAGGGCGTCGTGCCCGGAGGCCGACGGGGACCCGGTGGACAGACCGGCCGGGTCGCCACGGGAGAGGAGTCGCTCACCCGGGAAACACCAACACCTGGTGGAGTCGCTGGAAGAGCCCCCTGCGACAGAGCCAGGCCAGCCCTGAGTCCCTGGGCCCTGGCGGCCCAGCCCACAGCCCCCTGGGCGCCCCCCTGGGAGGTGACGTCCCCAAGAGTGGGCTCGCAGGCGGCTCCCACCTTCCCAAGGTGAGAGGACGCTGAATGAAGATATCCACCCGCTCCCTGGTGGCCATCAGCGAGGGGCGCTGCAGGAAATATTGGCCCCAAGCAAGCAGCCCCCAGATCTGGAATGACCTCACCTGGAGCGAGCCCCCAGATCTGGAGCGCATGCAGGGCCAGCCTGGCCTGCCCTCAGGAGCAGGGGGCCACTTTGGGGATCTGGGACCCATTCTGGAGGGGGCTCCTGTGATGCCTTCTCTGCCCAGAGGGAGGGCGCCCACGTCGCAGTGCCCTAGGGTGGGGTGTGGGGGCGAGCCTAGGGGAGGGGGCCTTCCCAGCTGGATAAAGAACATCCATGAAGTCCCTTCACTTCCTGGGCTCCCTGTGCTGCTGAGGTGGTGACCCCGAGTCCCGAGACCCAGCCCTCAGGGCCCCGAGCCCTTGCAGCAGGTGGGCCCAGCGTGGCGGCCGCCCTGGCCCCTGGTGGGCTTGGGAGCCGAGCCCAGGGCGGTCCCTCTAGGCCTGCGCCACCGCCCGGGCTCCTGGGACTTTCCTGCAGCTCAGTCCTAGGCCTGGGGCCCGGCCCGGCCCGGCAGACGGCCGCCTTGCAGGGGGAGCTGGCGGTGGACGCATGGTAGGGTGGGAGCTGCCGGGAGCCGGGGCTGCAGAAGCTCCGGAGCAGCTGCTGAGCTGCGCTGGCCCCGGCCCCGGCCAAGCAAGCGAGGGGCCGGCCGGGGGCGGTCCTCTCTGGCGCCCGCCTCTGGGGGCCAGGTGTGGCGTTCCCAGGATGCGCAGGTGGACTCGCGGCACCTGCCCCGGGGCCAACACGTCAACTCGGCCGCCTGCGCAGCCGCTCTCCTGGAGGCCCGGGCCATGGCCGGCCTGAATGTGTCCCTCTCCTTCCTCTTCGCCACCTTCGCCCTGTGCCAGGCGGCCAGGAGGGTGGCCAAGGCCCTGCTCCCAGAGGGCGCCTATGCTGGCTTCGCCCGGGAGGCGGCAGGCGCCGCCCAGCTGGGGGCCTGCTGCCTGGAGATGCGGATGCTGGCGGAGATCGGGCCCTGGGCGGGCGGCTTCGGCCCCGACCTGCTGCTCACCTTGGTCTTCCTGGTCTTCCTGGTGCACGGGGCCACCTTCGACGGGGCCTCGGCCAACCCCGCCGTGGCGCTGCAGGAGCTGCTCCTGGCCCGGGCCTCCCTGGCCGGCACGCTGCTGAAGCTGGCGGCCCAGGCGCTGGGCCTGCAGGCGGGCTGCGTCCTCACCAGGCTCTACTGGGGCTGGGAGCTCAGCGACCTGCACGTCCTGCAGAACCTGATGGCGGCGCACTGCAGCTCCACCCTGCGCACCTCTGTGGCCCACGGCGCGCTGGTGGAGGGCACCTGCGCCTTCTTCTTCCACCTGACCCTCCTCCGCTTCTGGGACAGCCCTCCAGTCTACAGGGTGCCGGCCGTGGCCCTGCTGGTCACCACCATGGCCTACACAGGTGACCCCTGGCGCCCTGAGCCCCGTGGACACCCGGGCTGGCAGCCACAGGGAACAACGGGGTGAACGTTTCCCAGGAGCCTGGTGGGGGTGGTGGCCAGCTGGGCAGGCGGCCCGTGGGGGGCCCGGGCGGGGCCCCAGTGCCATCAGCCCGTCTGTCCCAGCTGGGCATCCGTGAGTGTCCCGTCCTCATGGGGGGCGGGCAGGAGGCAGCCGGTTCTGCTCTGGAAGCTCTTGCATCCCTGTCACCCCCTCTAGGGAGCCAGGTGCTGCCTTTCTCCCTCTCCTCGGTCTCCCCCAAACCCCTGCCCGTCTGGGTCCCTCCCCACCAAACTCACAGCCCGCTCCAGCCCAACCCCCACCAGGCGCGCCTCGCCTCTCTGCTTGCCCCTCCCTGTCTGTGTCCCAGAGACGGCCCCCAGGTGGAGGGTGGTAGAGGAAGGGGGGCCTGTTCTGGGGCGTCAGAGTGGGACCTAGGCTCCCGGCCCCACTGGCCGGCCGGCTCCAGCCCCACCTGGCCGCAGAGAGGGGAGCAGTGGGGGCGCCCGGCCCGGTGGCAGCTCTGCCTTCCTCGCAGCTGGGCCCTTCACGTCCGCCTTCTTCAACCCCGCCCTGGCAGCCTGGGTCACCTTCCGGTGCTCGGGGCACACCTGGCTGGAGTACGCCCAGGTGTACTGGCTGGGCCCGTTGACAGGTGAGGCCACCGGGGAGGCGAGGAACTCTGGGTTGTGCTGAGCTGCGAGTGGCCTGCTGGCTCCAGGTGGAGACCCCACAGGGAAGGCAGCCGGGGGAGGGAGCCTGGGAGCCAGAGAGGGCAGGCGCGCCACGGAGCGGTGGGCTGCGGGCACTGCAGGGGGGGTGGGCAGCGGGCGGGGCTGAGCCAGGGCGTGGGCAGAGCTGCGGGGCGGGGGTGGGGCGGGGGCGGGGCTGTGGCCTGTGGGCAGGGCGGGGCTGCGGGAGGGGAGTGGGCGGGGCTTTGAGCGGGGTGGGGCTGCAGGGAGTGGGCGGGGCTGTGGCCTGTAGGCGGGGCGGGGCTGCGGGAGGGGCGTGGGCGGGGCTGTGGGGCGGGGGCAGGGCTGTGGCCAGTGGGTGGGGCGGGGCTGCGGGAGGGGAGTGGGCGGGGCTGCGGGAGGGGGAGTGGGCGGGGCCGTGGGCGGGGCTGCGGGAGGGGAGTGGGCGGGGCTGTGGGCGGGGCGGGGCTGCGGGAGGGGGAGTGGGTGGGGCGGGGCTGTGGCCAGTGGGTGGGGCGGGGCTGTGGGAGGGGGGAGTGGGCAGGGCTGTGGGCGGGGCAGGGCTGTGGGAGGGGGAGTGGGCGGGGCTTTGAGCGGGGTGGGGCTGCAGGGAGTGGGCGGGGCTGTGGCCTGTAGGCGGGGCGGGGCTGCGGGAGGGGCATGGGCGGGGCTGTGGGGCGGGGGCAGGGCTGTGGCCAGTGGGTGGGGTGGGGCTGCGGGAGGGAGTGGGCGGGGCTTGGGCGGGGCTGCGGGAGGGGAGTGGGCGGGTCTGTGGGCGGGGCGGGGCTGCGGGAGGGGGCGTGGGCGGGGCGGGGCTGTGGCCAGTGGGTGGGGCGGGGCTGTGGGAGGGGGAGTGGGCGGGGCTGTGGGCGGGGCAGGGCAGCGGGTGGGGAGTGGGTGGGGTGGGGCGGGGCTGGTGGGGTGGGGCGGGGCTGCAGGGGTGGGCGGGGCTGTGGGCGGGGCGGGGCTGTGGCCTGTGGGCGAGGGTGAGTGTGGGTGGGGGCAGGAGCGGGCTGCTGTCGCGGGGCCACGTGGAGCTGTCCCCTGAGTGTCCTCGTAGGTCACCGGTCATGCTGGGTTTAGGTTTTGCTCTCCTCCAGCGTGACCTCCTCTTAATTAGCTACTCACGACTGTAAAGATCCTATTTCCCTTAAGTCGCGCCCTGAGGTTTCCGGAAGGACATGAATTTGGGGGTCTCTGTTCAAGCCAGCACGGCCTCTAACTGCACAACTGCAGTGGGCCGTGAGAAGCCCTTATAGGGGTTCCTTTGGAAAACTTTTGGGGTGCAGTGGGGAAGAAACTGGGAGCTCAGCACCCGAAGCACATGGCGCTCGTGTTCTGGGCTTGGGAGGGACCCTGCGTCCACGCACCTTCTCTCGAGAAGAGCCCCATGTCCTGCCAGGCGGGCACAGACTCCCACCCCCTCCTAGGTCCGTGCACCCCCACAGGGGCCGGTCACCGTGCCCCGGTGCAAGTGGGCTCCCGCTGTCTGCCCTTTGCCTCCACTTATGGGCGTGTCGCCCACTTGCCGTCAGGTTCACGGTCGCCCCCTCGCCAGCCCCGTCTGCTGTGCTGGCACTGCTCCCGACAGCCCTTTCTGTCGTGTGAGCGGTTTCGGGACACCGAGAGGCAGACGGTGCCGCCTCCCTGGCGTTCCCAGTGAGAAAGCGCGGTCAGACAGCGCCCCTGGCCGTGAGGCGTGCACCCGCCGCGGGCACCACCCTGCGCCCACCTGTGTCCGCCACCTTTGGGAGCAGGTGGGACCGGTGGGCACCCCAGGAGGAAAGGAGGTGCAGCAAGCAGAGCATGGCACACGTGGACACCGGGGCATTTCAGGAGTGGCTGGAGGCAGCCAGCGTGCTGGTCCTGGCCAGGGGCTCCCCACGCAGGAGTTTACACCAAACTTGAAGAATCTGTGGCCCAGAACTTGGCCAGGCCCAGCCCTCAGATGCCCTGCTCTCCCGCGGCGCCTGCCTTGTCCCCTTGGGCCCCTTCTGTCCTCATCCCTTTGCGGCCGGCCCAGGAGGCACAGGCCCCAGCCTCAGGGCTCTCAATTCCCAAGGGCTTGTCCCACCCTCAGGGGGCAGGCACCCACCCTGGGGGTGCTGGCAAGAGCCAGACCCAGGTCCAGGGGAGGCCCCCAGGTCTGGGCCCCTGCCCCTGCAGCGTCCTGGGTGCCCAGTTGTCTGGGGGCAGTGAGCGCTGCCTGGGGGCCCGAACGCTGACGTGCAGCCTTGCAGGGATGGTCCTGGCGGTCCTGCTGTTTCACGGCCACCTGCCTCGCCTCTTCCAGAGGAACCTGTTCTACAGTCACAAAAGCAAGTACCGCACCCCCAGAGTGAAGCCCGCTCTGGTGCCTGGAGGCACCCGGACACCCACCGAGGGGAGCAGCAGCGGACAGCCTGGGCGGCAGGGGGTGGGCAGGACTGGCAGCCCCTGAGCTCCAGCTGCACCACCACCTGGTGAGGGTGCGGGCCTGAGCCGCCTGGGCACCCGAGCGAGGGGAGCAGACTCCTGCCCCTGGAAACCAATGGCCAATAAACTGCTCCTCATACCCCCTGTCTTGCAGCCACAGACTTCTGGGGGGTAGCAGGGGGCAGGACGCACAGCTGGGGCTGTCCTCCCCAGTCTCTCCCGCCTCCCTGAGCAGAATCAGAGCCAGAGGTGAGTCGGGCAGAAGACCCGAGTGGGTCGGCCTGCCCTGGGAAGCCTGAGGGTGCCCAGTGCTCCCTGACCTATGGCCAGGGCGAGCACACCCACAGCCTAAACCTTCCAGCCCACTGAGGGCAGCAGCTGCGCCGGGGGCTGAAGGAACGGCAGGCCCCCATGCTGCAGCACCCCACCTCAGAGCAGACGCCCCCAGGCCTGCGAAACCAGACAAAGCCAAGCGCTATGGAAGGCTCCAAAGCGAGTCAGCCGCTCCCTCCCCAAAGATCTGGAACTTCACACCCAGGAGATAAAGCCCCTCAGGCGGGGGCCCTGGAGCCCCTTCCAGGGTTAGCATCAGCCTGACCCTGGGGCGGGAGGGAGGGTCCTGCAGGCGTGTCCTCCTGTGCCGCTTCCTGGGGGCGGGCGAAGGGGAAGGACCCAGGCAGGGGGCGGCGCCCCTCCTCTGTCTGCTCCCGCAGCAGTGACCCCCTGGGGAGGGTGAGCAGCCCTGGGGAGAGGCCTGGGTGCTTTCCAGGGGCCCAACAGGGCGTCAGAGAAGCTTCTAGAAAGGGAGCGTGAGCACACGGGGCGGCGACGGGACAGGGTGGGCCAAGCCCTGGCCAGCAGTCTGTGTGGGCAGGCGGGGATGTCGCTGGGGCAGCCTCGGGCAGAAGCCAGGGCTGGGGGAGGAGGGGCTCCCGGGAGGGCCGGACAGAGGCAGGGGCAGCGCCGCCCGCCAAGAGGCCCCGCCCTGCCCCCCCACCCGACCCGGCCCCGCCCCCGCCGAGAGGCCCCGCCCGCCGAGAGGCCCCGCCCGCCGAGAGGCCCCGCCCCCACCGAGAGGCCCCGCCCCCGCCAAGAGGCCCCGCCCCCACCGAGAGGCCCCGCCCGCCGAGAGGCCCCCGGGCCGGGCCGTGGGTCCGGGCGCCGCGCACAGCCTGGGCACGGCCTGGGCACGGCCCGGGCTGGAGCCGGCCGGGGCGGCGCGGGTGGCTGGGCGGGCGCCCCCCCGCCGTCGGCGCCCCAGACGTTTCAGGCGTTTCCCCAAATCTGTAGTGGTCGGTGGGACTTGGGACAGACACGTCCGTGCCCACGCCCACGTGCGCGCTTGTGTGTGTGTTGGAGATTCACCTGTTTGTCCACACGCGCCGGCGCGGGGGGCGAGCGAGCCCCCAGAGCCCGAGCGGGGGCGGCGCAGGCGGAGGGACCGAGGACGCTGCTGGGGGGCAGCGGGCGGCCGGAGGGGTCCGCGCGCCCTGCCGGACCCTCCTCCGGGGCCGGGAGCAGCCGGGGATCGAACCCGCGCCGCGGAGGCCGCGGGCCGCCTGTGCAGTGCTGACTGGCGCTCGCCGCCGAACTCTGGGTCGGACCTTCTCGCTGCAGACCGCGGCGGCTGAGGTGTAGCCAAAGAACTTCCAATGTGCGGCGCGGGAAGACACTTGAACGTGACATGTCAGCGGCGCGGGCTCCGAAGTCCCTCAGAAAATGGCTATTGACTAAATTTCCAAATAAAACGTAGCGACGTAGAAAACAATTTTGATGTTTCAGAAACGTCATTTTTTACAGGTCTCCCACCAGGAGTCCCCACGATGCGCATCACAAAACGGACGCGTGGGAACTCGGTGACGGAAGGGGCCAAACCTCCTGACTGCCAGTCTGCTCTGAGCTGGCCCGTGTCTGCCATGCAGCGGGCCCTCGGCACACACCTGTCGGAAATGGAGGCGTGTCTGGCACGATCCCCAGGTCTCTAGTTTGGGAGTCTAACTAGACGCTGATGACATTAATTAGTGGAAATGACAGAGTAGGAACAGGAAGAGTGAGGAAAAGAGAATGAACTCGAGACAGTGATGGGAATTCAAAGGCGGAGTCTTTCACATTGCTCAATGTCGCAGAGAGAGCAAATATAAAAGGGTTAAAACATCACCCCGGCAGCTCCGCGGGGACCCCAGCTGCGGCGGCCGAGGGCCAGGCCAGGGCTCGGCCACCCTGGCCTCCAAGCCCGCAGGCCGGACCAGCGCAGCGTCGGGCGCGCACGGGGAGACCCCAGGGAGCGGGTCCCACCAGAGAATGCAGCAGGGCTGGGCTGGCGGGGCCAGGGGACTTGCGGGGGAGTCTGGGCCATGACCCTGGGCCTCCCGGGGCGGCTGCTCGTGTCCTGGGGTGCTCGGGCACAGAGCTGAGGACAGCCAGGTGGACAGGCCAGCACAGCCAGACGACGCTCTTCCCTCCCTCCCAGGCTGGCCTGGCCCGGAGCCCCGCCGCCCCCACCCCCTCCCCTCGGGCGGGGGCTGAGCAAGGTCCCGCCGCCCTCTCTGGGCCCTGCTCCGCCTTCAGCTCCGTCCCTCCCTCCCTGAAGCCACGGGGGCGGGACGTGGGGGGCGGGCAGGTTTGGGGGTCCCAGGGGCCCCCAACTGCCTGCGACAATCCCAAGACTTTGGAAACGGGAAGAACAAGTTCAGTCAGAGCCACTTCAGAGGACACCGTGGCCTCGCCGCACCCCAGGGTTCAGTGTCGGGCCTTCCTGTTGGAAATCAATCCTGGGGTACCCGGCACGGAAGCTGAAAGAGCAAAATCAAAATCAAGTCCCCCAAACTAGGGGACAAGATGGGGCCGCAGCCTGCAGCGCCGCCACGCGGGGCCCATCTGCCCGCGCAGCAGCCGGGCGCTCTGGGTGCGCCCCTGGGCAGGGCCTCCCCCTGGCCGCGGCCACGGCGGACGCCAGCAGGTGCGGGGAGCCCTCGCGCCTCGTCGGTCACCCGCAGTCGGGCGGGCCCAGGGATTCCGACGGCAAACATGCCCCAAACAAGGGTGCAGACAGAACCCCAGCGGCGGACCCCCCAGCGTCATCCAGACAAAAGTTCTTCTGCTCCAGACCTTGCGAGGCCCAAGTCTCTCCAGGAGGATCCCCTGGGCTTTCAGTGTTGAGGGCTGCCGCGTGCCCCCCCGCCCCCCACCTGCGGCTGCCAGCGCTGCGGGGCTGAGTGGGCGGGCGGGGGTGCCACGCCGGCTCGCTCGTGTGGGGACACTCCCGGGGGCCGGCTCCGGGCGGGGACGGGCCTCCTGGCCTCACTGCTCGGGCACCCGTGACCGCACGTCCTCCAAGCGGAGACCTGGTAGGGCCGCGACCCCAGGGGCAGCACGTCACAGGGGACTGTCCCCCCGCCCGTCGCTCAGGCAGCCCAGCGGGGCGGGGGCGGCACGGAGGTCCGCCCGCTGCAGGTGGGTGGGGCCGGCGCCGCCGGACAGGGCAACCTCAGCCGCACACAGACGCCGCGGGCAGGGGATCCTGGGTCGGGCCCCCATCCCGCGGGAGGGCCCCCCAGGGCCTCAGAACAGGCGCTTCGGGCGAAGACGCGGGCTCGCCCCAGGGATGAGACCGCAGGCTCGCGGCCCGTGTGTCTGAAGGCTGGCGCCCCCGTCCCGGCACACCCTGTCCGCACTTGGGCCTGCCCAGGCCTCCACCCTCCAGCCGCCACCACCAGGACCCGGCATGGGCCAGGTCACCCTGGGTCTGTCCCCCAGACACCGGGGCCCCCGCGCCCCACCCTGATCTCCTGCTCTGTCCAGTCCCTGTGCACTCTTTGGGGGTTCCTGTGGGTGAGGGGCCTGACCTCGCTGGGACCCCATAGGCACAGATGCTCTTCTGGGGTTCTGCTGGGAGACACCCCAAACCTAAGAGGTCCTGTAGGACTCTGAACAGAGGCCAAGGCCATCTCCCTGAGCCAGGCTGCTGAGGGGAGGCTTTGGGGTGACGGGCCCTGACGCCTGCCCTGCTCCCGTCGGTCAGCACTGCCCTGCCCCCGCCCCGCCCTCGGCCACGGCTCAGCGACGCCCAGTGCCAGTTGGGGCTGGTGACTGGCAGTTTAGAACTTTGGGAGCGGCGGGCAGTGCTGGGCCAGGAGCCGCCTGCCTGGTCGGCCCTTGGGTGCCGCCCCTGGGGCTTGGCCCCACACCGTGTCCATCCTGTCTCTGCCAGGGACAAACGTCCACAGACTTTGGGGACCCACAGGCTTGGGGGGCCACCGACCTCCTTCCTAACCACCTGGACAGTCCCGCAGGCATGGGAGGCCTGGAGGCCTTTCCTGCCCCCGGGGCGGCGGCGCTTCTGTGGAGGACACGGCACAGGTGCCCAGTGGCCCCAACGCCCCAGCCATCCACGTGGGTCACCAAGATGGACCAGCTGGAGCCCCAGGGGGCTGAGCCAGGCCGTCCCGGGGCTGCTGCCCTGGCCTGAGAGTGGCTGGGGACGGACCCCACCCCGGCGTGTGGGACCCGGAGCCGCCTCGGGGAGCCCGCGGCCATCGGGACCTGTCCCCTCCGTGAGCAAAGCCCCGGCCAGCTCACACCCGAGCTCAGCGGCCCCAGCATTTGGGAGCCTGGGAACAGACACGGGCCGCCCTGGACTCGGTCCCAGGCCAGGGGCCCCGCGGTGGGGCTCGGCGACCCTCAGCTCGCTCAGAAGCCCTGGCTGAGCCGCCGCCACTGAGGGCCAGTGGCCGGGCCCCCTAGGGAGAGCCAGGAGGGGCCCTTGTGCTGCCCCGGGGGCGGCCATGCCCTGGCCCCTGGGCCTGTGGTAGGGACGGGGCCGGGGCTTCGAGGAGCAAGAAGGCGTCCACGGGGCGGCCCTGCCTGCCCGCGCAGACCCTGCCCACAAAGCTCAAAGCTGCAACCCCAGACCTGCCTCAACTCTGCAGCTGGGCGCCCTGCGGGGCCCACCCGCTCTTCCCAGAGCCCGTGGGCTGCCCGCCCCAACGCCAGAGGCTGCAGAAGCCCTCGCTCCTCCCGGCTCCCCGTCCACCCGCCTTCGCCTCGGACTCAGCGGGACCCGCTGACCTGCCCGTGACGGCCACTCCTCTCCGCCCTGCACCGGTGCTGGCCCTGGGTCGGCCGGGCCTCCCCTCAGTGCCCAGTGAGCTGCTTCCGGCTGCCCAGAGGCCATCCTGCCACCACATCGCCCGCCGGCGCCGCCCACTGCCCCGGGGAGGACAGTGGCCCCGGGAGCCCCGAGAGTGCGGTGGAGAGCTGGCTCTGCGTGTCCACGCTGACCACCATGGTGCCCCCCGCCGTCCCTGCGAGGGCAGGAGGCGCCCGCGGACAGCGGAGGGCAGCCCAGGCCTCCGGGCCACGGTCCTGTCTGCCGCACCTGCACTGCCCCACGCTGGCCGCCGCCTCTGGAGGGCAGCCCCGGCACCAGCACGGGGCTGTCAGTGATGAAACAAGGCCAAGACCGCGCGGACCAGCCACTCAGCCGCCCGGCCGACGTCCGCCCGGGCCTCCTGGCAGCACCTGATCCAGAGCAAACTCCGGCTTCAGGAGCCGCTGGCCACACCCCGTGGCCCTGCCTCGCGGCTGCTAGCCCCTGCCCGCACATGCCCCCCGATAATAAACACACGCTGGTGCTGACCGCCTGCCTGGTCTCAGTCATAGGCCCGACCGGCGGCCTCTGGGCTCTCGTTCCCGGCCCCAGGCCACGCTGCTGGCCTGTGTCACAGAGGGTGCAAGGCCCAGTGCCTGCCCGGCCCAGCAGGTGCAGGGCTGAGCCTGACGGGGGTGGCGGTAGCGGGGGGTGTGCTCAGGCAGGGTGTGTGGGCAGTTCTAGGGACAGTTCCTGCCCCTGAAGACATGCCCACTCTGTCCCCCAACCCGGGAGTGACCGCCACAGTCCGGGGGGACCCCAGGGATGGGCCAGGCTGGGGAGGGGCTCCTGGACCTCTGGGGCCTGCCGTCTCCATGGGGACTGAAAGGGGGCGGGGCTGGGTAGTGCAGAGGCTGGGCCTTGAGACCTACCTGTCTCATCTGCCCTCGTGTCCTGAGCCCAGGACCTGCAGGGCATCCCGGGATCAGCAGGCCCCAGGGTGCAGGCAAGGGTGCTAAAGCTGGTGAGCAAACCACCTTAGGCTGGGTCCACGGCCAGCAGCTGTACACCACGCAAGTGACGCAGACCAGGGACCACTGACATCCACAGGCCTTGCCGCCCTGAGCCCGGACCACTCCGGGAGCTGACCACCCTGGGCCCTGACCATGCTGGGTCCTGACAATGCTGGGGGCTGACCACCTTGGGAGCTGACCATGCTGGGGCCTTGACCACCCTGGGAGCTGGCCACACTGGGATACTGACCACCCTGGGCCTTGACCACGCTGGCAGCTGGCCATGCTGGGGGTATTGACCACCCTCGACCCGGACCACGCTGCAGCTCTCACCAAGCTGGGCACTGATGTCAAACTTCCCTTATGAGAAACGGTGCCCAGTCATGGCTTTCTCCAAAGCAGCCAGAGGAGATGCGGACAGTCCATGGGGACTGAGAGGGAGGGGGTGGGCATCAGAGGGCATCGGAGGCCTGGGCTGGGCGGGGAGGCGGGGCTGGCGTGGGGCAGGGCAGGGGCGGGGTGGGCGCCGGGAGGGGTGTGCCTGCAAGCAAGTGCTGGGTGGGCAAGTGCTGGCCCCAGCCGGGCTGAGGGGGATGCACGGGCGGGGTCTGGGGCACAACAAAGGGACGGGGGCACCAGTGCGGAGCAGAAGCCCATGACCGGCAGCAGGAGGAAGAAGGGCAGCAAGGAGAAGGCCAGTGTCCTGGGGCCGCGCACGGGCCCCTGGCTCTGCCCGCCCCTGCTCCCTCCTGGCCCTCACCCCACACCTGTCCCTGGTCTCAGACTCCTGGGGAGAGCCCCTCTTACTCCTTGGCTGGGTCCCTCTAGAGCGTCCACTGGGGCCTCCAGCTTCAGCCCCTTTCAAGGACCCCATGGCCATCTGGACTCCCCACCGCGCTGTCCCCGCCCCCCGCCAGCCCGCCCTTGGGCGCCCAGAGCAGCCTCCATCCTGACCTGCCTCCGCCCCCAACCGGAGTCCTGCGGAGGCCCCAGTCTGCAGCAGGCCCCGCCACTCTTGACCAAGCGCCGCCGCCCGGTGAGCCTGCCCAGCCGCGGTCGCCTCCCCACCCCACAGGGCCCCCAGGGACGTGCTCGGCTCGGGGTGGGGCTGTTCTGGGGAAGGACGAACTCGGGCTCTGAGTGCCCTGCCTGAGGCGGGGATGGGGCACAGGCCAGGGGGAGCCCCGCCAGGCTCTGGCTGGACAGAAGCTGGTGCTTGGCAAGCCCTGCTCTTTTATTCAGTCCTGCGCACGAGGGTGCCCTCCCGGGGGCCCGCAGTGTCGGTGACCGCGCCAGCCACCCCGGGGCAAGGAGGCGGCCGTCTTCCCGGCGGCCCCTGTGGAGCAGGGGCGAGCGCTCGCGGGCCCCTGGCCTCCTCTGCTGCCCCGCCCTGGCCTCCGGGACCGGGGGGCTCCGAGGCAGAAGCACCCTGGGGCGAGACGAGGAGGGCCCCCACCTCTTCCTGGAACTCCTTCGCCACAAAATAGTAGCCGGCAGCGTCCAGACAGCAGTTGGCGTTGGCCAGGCGGGAAGCCACCTGCACGAAGGCAGCCACCCTCTGGACAGTGGGGCAGGCCGCGCCTGTCCACTGGGCCACGAGTGTGGCCAGCAAGGCCACGTGCAGCGGCAGGAAGCACACCAGGAAGGTGACCAGGTTGGCGGCCACCACGTGGAGGGCCTTGAGGGTGAGGCCGGCGAACTGGGGCGGGGCCCGCCGCCGCTCCCGGGCCAGGTGCCAGAGCACCTGCGCGGAGCAGAAGCCCATGACCGGCAGCAGGAGGAAGAAGAGCAGCAGGGAGAAGGCCAGTGTCCTGGGGCCGCGCGTGTGGCCCCGGCCGAAGCAGAGGCGCTCCCCCGGCCGCAGCCCGGCCGCAGACAGCCCCACAGCCGCGAGCACCAGCAGCCAGAGGCCGGCGCAGGTGAGGGCGGCCTGGCGGGGGCTGCGCCAGCCCCGGGCCCGCAGCGGGAGGCGCAGGGCGGCATAGCGGTCGGCGGCCACGGCGGTCAGTAGGCCGACGCTCAGGTAGGTGTTGGCGTGGTAGAAGCCCTGCAGCACCCGGCAGGCGGTGCCCTCCTCCACGCCCCGCGGCTGGCCCAGCGTGGACAGCACCCCCGGCAAGCTCAGCACCAGGAGGCAGTCAGCCGCGGCCAGGTTGACCATGTAGACGCGGGTCTCCGTCCACCTGCGCAGGCGGCGGCCGAGCACCCAGAGGGCCGCGGCGTTGAGCGGCAGGCCCAGCGCCAGGACGAGGCCGATGGAGGCCTGGGTCAGCGCCTGCGCCAGGGCGCTCCTCTCCGTGCTGCAGCTGGTGACATTGATACCGGGGCTGGCGGCCGAGGACGCCATGGCGAGGGCCTGGATGGGCGGAGACGGGACCTCAGCGGCCTGGGAGGGAGCCCCCGACCCCCCAGGCCTCAGGTAGGGCAGCGCCCCCTCCCAGCCCCGAGTCTCACCCCTCTCCTCCCTCCTGCCAGCCTCAGGGCCCTCCCCCCACCCCAGGGGACCGGCCACCTCCCTGCCCTGCCCGGCGGGGTGAGCGAGCCTCCCCAATGACGGCGCCCCCACCCCGGTTGGGGACTCAGGGCTCTCGCCTCAGCCCAGGGCTTCTCTCTGGTCCTCCCTTGGGAGTGTGGCCACACCCAGGCCACCCCTGGGCCCGGGATGGGCGGCCAGAGGCCTCTGCCAGGCAAAGTTGGCCCCTGGTTCTCCCTTGAGAATCCAGACCACCCCCCACAGCTGTCAGGTCCCTGGCGGCCCCAGAGGCTCCCGGCCAGCAGGGGAGGCCAGTCTGAGGACACGAAGGGCCCGGGCACTGGTGGTGGCCGAGCTCACCTCTGGCCTCTCTCTGGGTTTCGTTGATCTCTCGTCTCTGTCCCCCCACCCCTGCCCTGCACACTTCTCGTCCTCACTCCTGTCTGCCTCCCCCTCCCCCACCCCCGCCTCCTCCTGCCTCTGCCACTGGCCCCCGGACTCTGTCCCCCATCTCCCTACCCTTCTCCCCTGACCCCCCGCCCTCCGCTTCCTGCCAGCTCTCACCGCTGCTCTAGGCCAGAGACCGCCCTCCACAGCCCCGAGCCGAGACCCACCTGCTGCCTCTGACTGCCCTCCACCCTCTCTCCTGCGGAGAGACCCTCAGGCAGACCCTGGCCGGGGCAGACCAGCCCAGGGGAGGCAGCCTGGCAGCCAGCAGGGCGAGGCGGGGTAGGCCGGGGCCGAGGCAGACCCTGGGGGGTGGCTCACCGTCGCTCCAGCTCCAGGACGTGGGCGCAGCGGGGCTCCCGGGCAGGCCTCCAGGCCAGGCTGGTCACTGCCTTGTGCTCTCTGCACCCTGGGGTGGGGTCACGCCTGCAGGGCCGGCAGGTGGCAACAATCCCAGAGCCCTGTGCCGGTGGGTGCGCCGGGTGGCTGCAGACAGCCTGTGCCTTCTTCCTTCCTGATCGCGGCTCTGGCGGATGGGGCCGCCCAGGCTCCTGCAGCCCCCGCCCCGCCCCCGTCACCCCGCTGTGGTCCTGGAGGCACCAGGCCTGCACCCCAACAGTGGGCCCCAAGGCCGCGGCCCTGGGGCGGGGTCCCGCGGCTGCTCCGGCTGGCTGGGGCTGAGCTGGGGGGCCATGGCCGTGACCTCTGGCTGAAGGGGTTCCCTGGCCGCACACCTCAGTGTCCACTCCCCCGACCCTGACAGCCCAGGTGAGGGGGCCCTGCAGGCCTCACCCCTCCCTGCAGTCCCCAGGACCGGGCATGGCGCAGGCCGAGGGTCTCTGGGCTCTCCCGGGAAAGGCGGTGGCTCTCCAGCTGCGCCGACCACGGGGCCCTCTGGGGGCCAGCTCGCGCCAGGGTGGGCTCTCCACTGGGGGTGCTAGGTGGGGGCCTTGGGTGTGAGGGGCCCTGGGTGGGGGCCTCGGGTGGGGGCAGGGGGAGCAGGACGAAGCTGAGGACATGCCAGGGACCCCCCACTGGGGCTGCACGGGAGGCTGACCGGGGGACTTCACCCCTCAGGCGCCCGCCCTGCCTACCCCAGCCCCCGGCTGGGTCCTGCTCGGGCCTCGTCCTCTTGCCCTTGTCCATCCTCCCTCCATTGAGGGCTGGGGTGCGGCCAGACCCTGCCCAGTCAGACCTCCTGGAGCGCACCTGCCCGGGGTCGGCCCTGCACCAGCACCTCCCGGAGTGCGGGACCCGCCTGGAGCTGGGCCTGTCCCCGGGCCAGGGTCACGCACGCGGTCCCGGTGCCCCGGCCTCGGTGTCCCCCGGGCCGGGGTCACACATGCGGTCCCGGCGCCCCAGCCTCGGTGTCCCCCGGGCCAGGGTCATGGACACGGAGTCCTGGCCCAAGCGGGCCTTGGCGCTGGGGCGCGGCGCGGACGCCTCCTGGAACTCGCGGGCCATGTAGTAGTAGCAGACGGCGTCCAGGCAGCAGTTGGCGTAGGACAGGTGGCTAGTGAGCAGGAGGGCGTACCGCATGGGGCAGGAGGCCTGCGGGCCCCCGGCCAGCCGTGCCGTCAGCACCAGGTGCAGTGGCAGGAAGCAGACCACGAACACCACCAGGTTGGCCCAGACCATGTGGGTGGCCCTGCGTGTGGCCTCGGCCTGCGCCGCGTCCCCCGCCGGCCTCCTGGCCAGTGTGGCGACCACCTGTAAGGAGCAGAAGACCAGCACGGCCAGCGGCAGGTAGAAGCCCAGCAGCGAGAAGACGATGGTGGAGGAGTTCTGGCGGGCGGGGTTGGAGAAGCAGAAGCCACCCTCCTGCTGGCCCAGCAGCCAGCGGGCGCCCAGGGAGACGGCCACCAGCACCCAGAGGGCCGCGCACAGCACCCCGGCCCGGCGCGGGGAGCGCAGCCTCCGGGCCCAGAGGGGGTGCCGCACGGCCAGGTAGCGGTCCAGCGCGATGACCGTGATCAGGCTGATGCTCATGTACCTGTTGGCCAGGTAGACGGCCTGGGAGAGCTGGCAGCGCAGCGAGTCTGCGTCCTCCTCCCGCAGCGAGCGCAACATGGAGGGCAGCGAGCACAGCAGGCACAGGTCGGCCACAGCCAGGTTGACCATGTAGACGCGGGTCTCGGTCCAGCGCGGCAGGCGGCAGCAGAGCACCCAGAGGGCCGCCCCGTTGAGCAGCAGCCCCAGCACCAGCAGCGCGCCGGCGTAGGCCTTGAGCACGTGCTCCGGCCAGCCCAGCGCCTGGAGGGCCTCGCAGCGGGCGTGGGCGCTGCAGTTGCTGCTGCTGCAGTTGCTCATGGTCCTGGGCAGCGGGCGGGAGGCTGTGGGGGGAGGGGGACGGGGACGGGCGTGAAGGCAGGGCGGGGGCAGGGCCACACCCTCCGGCCAGGGGCCAACACCCCACCTGGGAGCCACTCGCCTTCCCCAGGGGCCCTTCAGGCCAATCCCCACCGCCCAGAGGCCTGGCCGCGCTGGGGGGAACCTCCACTCCCGTGCAGGGGCTCTGCCAGCCCTCGGCTCCCCAGGGCCACTCACTCGTGGGGGACTAGGAGCCCCGAGGGTGGCCGGCACCGTAGGAGGTGGGGGCGGGACCCCGCAGCTGAGGCTCGGCTGGGGCCGGCAGCCTGGGACCCCTGGCTGCTCCCTCCGTGGCCCTGGCACCCCTCCCTCCCTCTGAGCAACCCCTGCCTGCTCCAGGGCCAGCCTGAGGCCCCTCCCCGGCCTGGGGCCAGGCGCCTGCAGGGCAGCGCTGGGGGTCACTGGTGCCTCCCACCCCACCAGGCCCGCAGGCCTTGCCACACCTGTCTGTCCCGCCCCCAGACGCCTTGGGGCCGGGGCCGGGCCAGGCTCCCCGGCGGACAGCAGGTCTGCGTCCACCGGCGGCAGAGCAGGGCTGTGGCGGGGCGCTGGTGTCACGAGTGGCTGGCACCCTCTCCCCTCCCTCTGGCTGGAGGGCGTGGGGGTGTCCCTCCCAACAAGCACAAGTCTCTGGGGTCCCCCTTTAGGTGTGCACGGGGCCAGAGCCAGGCTCCCCCTCCAGGAAGAAGCATCCAGATCCGAGGGCAGACCTCTTGGCTGCTTAGTGCCGGGGCTGGGGAGGGCTCACCTCCGGGGCCCCCAGCTTAGTCCCTGAGGGAGCCGAAGGCAGGCACCCCCTCAGGTCCAGGGCTGGCCACAGCCTGGGGGCACGGGCTCCCGCTGCCTCCCTGGGGCCCTGGCCCGTCTGTGAGGGACGGAGCTCTGCCCGGCGGGCCCTGCTGCGGCCGCCACTCCTGTCACGGGCCCTGAGGGGGCGGGGAGCACCTGCGACGTCCTTGCTGCCAGCTCTGTGGCCGGGGTGCTGCGGCCTCAGCCTGCTGCTTCCTGCTGGGGGGGCTGTGGGCCTCTCCTGTCTCCCCGCTGCTCCCCACTTCCTCCTCCTGGTGAGCTCAGCCGCCGCCCGCAGCTGGGGACGCCCCGTGCGTGATAGACACTGGCGGTTGCCACCAAGGGGAGCCTGGGTCGCCCTTGAAGTAAGACCCCTGTCCCCCGCCAGCCCCGGGGCCGGCCCCTCCTCTGGAGCCCGGGACTCCCCGCTCGGATCAGATAGGACACCCCACAGGCGCAGTCAGGCGGCGATCCAGCCCCAGAGCCCCTCTGACTGCGCTATTGCCCCCCCGGAGGTCCCACCATCACAGAAAGGCCCCAAAAGCCCAGCCCCTGGCCTGGCTGGCCCAGCCCTCGCCGACGCTGGCCCCACCCCACCTCGTGCCCGCTGTCCTGGGAGGTGGCGGGGCCCGGCCGGGCTGGACCTGCCCCGCCCTCGGAGGTCAGGTGGGAAGGCCGACAGCAGGGCCACCGGTTGGACCCCACCTGCGCCTCCGGGCTGCGGGGCCGTCTGGGAGGCAGTGGGCGCGGTGTGGACACCCCCCAGAGCCAGCACGCTGCTGAGACGGGCATTTGCTCCGTGAGCGCGGGGGCAGGCTCTCGACGGGGTCCCCCGCCTGCGGCCACAGCCCGGCCCTGCCCAGCGCCCTGCAGCTGCACCTGCCCCCCCGCCTCCCTCCTCCAGCCCTGCTCTGAGCTGCCTCTGCAGAAGCCCCGGCCCTGGTCTCCTGGCACTCGGGCCGGGGAACCCGCTGCACCAGCAGGGCTGCCCTCCCGCGCCCACCCCGGCCTGTGCGCCGGGCAGCAGGACCTGCGGCCTCTGCGTGGGCCCACAGGGGCACAGGGGCGCGGGTTCCATCTCAGGGGCCAGATGCAGCTGAGGGCACCCCTGCCACTTGAGGGGATGCAGGCCCAGGGCTCGGCCCCTGCGGCCCCCCTTAGCCTGCGACCTCACCCCCCGCAGCCCCCAACCCCGCCCACCAGGTCTTCCCACAACTCTGCGCCTGGTCCCCGCAGCCCTGGCCCCCGCAGGTCAGCCGAGGGCAGGGCCTCTGCTGCTCCCCCCTGCTGAGACACCCTCCTGGCCACTCAGCTGCAGGAAGCGGCCAGCTCGGGAAACCCTGTAGACATGGGGGCGGCCCCGTGAGCCCGAACCTCGGGGCGGGTGCCACCTCCTACCTGCCTGGGGCGCAACAGCGGCGCAGGAGCCCAGCCCAGGAGGCTGCCCCACCTGGCCTGACCTCACAGGCCATACCCCACCCAAGCCAACCTCGCTCCACACCTGGTCGCCTCCTGACCAGCCCCACCACCACCCCGTGTGGGTCCCGGAGGAGGGAGGGTGCGCTGGCACACAGCCCTGATGGGACATGGGCAGGCCATGGCAGACAGGCTTCCTGGAGGCGGCGGCCCTCAAGCTGGCCAGGAATGCGCAGACGTGGCGATGGGTGGGGCTTCCTGGAGGAGGGCAGGGCACAGGAGGCCTGCATGGGCAGGGGCATGGCGGGGCCCTGCGGCTGGTCCCCACTGTCGGGCTCTGCCCAGCGGCGGTGGGAGGCCGGGCCTGGTGGCAGAGGGTCCAGGCAGCGGGCAGCCTGTGCAGAATCCCCCGCGGACCTCTGCGCCCGGCCGCAGTGGGGTAGGACATCGTGGAGCCTGGCTCCGCTCGAGCTGGCTCTGAGTGCTGCTTCCCGCCGGCCCACTGGCATGGCCCCGGGGCCTGCTGCCTCGCTGGCTGCTGCCTCTAGAGGTGCTGGGTGGGGGCCCCAGCCTGAGAAGTGGGGGCCTGTGGCCTGGGGGACCACAGGCTGTGGGGGATGTGGCTGGGAGGATGTGGCCTGGGGGGTGCAGTGGGGGAGGGTGGGGGCGGGGCATGGCTGGGGTCATGGCCTGTGGGGGTCATGGCTGCAGGGGGATGTGGCGGGAGAGAAAGGGTGTGGGGGGATGTGACGGGGACGTGGCCTGTGGCAACCAGGGCACTTTCTGGTCCCCTGGACACAGCCTCCTGCAGTCTCTGCCCCCCTGTGCAGGGCCGGGGCCCAGGCTGGAGGGTGGGGGGCCCAGGGGGAGCCAGGGGGCCCTCCCCCACTGCACATCCTCCCTTCCTGCCCGACTCTGCTCCTTGCAGTGGGGTCCAGCCTGCTGGCAGCCACAGGCTGGCCGGCTGGGAAAGGCAGGGCGCCCTCTGCCTGCTCCCGTGACCAGCCCTGCTCTCTTCCAGGGTGTCCCCTGGCACCAGGCCTGGCCGGTCCCCAGAGAGGGCTCTGATCCCCCTGCCGCCCACCCTGTGCACAAGGCTCCTCCTCCTGCTGGGCCAGCCCCCTGCCGGCCTCTGGCTCTGCCCTAGCCTCCTGGTGAGGCTGTGCCAGCTGAGGCTGAGGGGCCCCTTGTGCCCAGGCCCCAGACAGGGCTGCCCGCCTCCTCCTGAGACTGCAGGGTGGGCCTGGCCTGCCAGGGGGCGCTCTCCTCGGGGCTGGCCGGTGCTGGCCAGTGGCCCACTCTACACCTCTCCATGTCCCCAGACAGACCTCGCCCCGGAGACCCTCCCCCACCCTTTGCCCCGATCCAGGAGTGCCCCCGGGTGCGGTGCCACAGAGCTCTAACTCTAGGGAGCGGCCCCCACAGGCAGCAAGGGACACGGCACTGGGAGTCGTGAGGGGCCAGGGCAGGGCCCACAGGAGCCACAGGAGATGCAGCAGATGTCCCCCCCAGATGCAGATCCCCGCGGTGAGGGGCGCTCCAGGTCACCCACCCCCAACAGAGCCCTGCCGGCCTGCGGCCGCTGCTCAGCCCACTCAGGCCCGCTGCCAGTGTCCGGAGCCCAGGCCTGCCCATGCCTCGGCCGCCTGCAGATGCCCGCGGCCCCTCTGCAGCCACAGCCTCGCCCGGGACGGCCTGCACAGCCCTGGAGCCTTGGCCCACCCTGCAGCTCTGCTCCCTCCAGAGGACACCGAAGGCAGCCACCCTTCCAGGACCGGGTCCCGGAGCCGGGTGCCCTGCTCCCCCCGCACCCCCTTGCTGCCCGCCCCTGGCTCCTCCCGCTGGAGGCTGCTGCTGGCTGCGCGCCAGGCCCACTCTGGGGGCTGCCCTTCTGCAGGCCGCCCCAGACCTGGGTCTCAAGCCCCTTCCGCAGAGACCCCCGAGCCCATGCCTCCCGGGAGAGCCTGTCTGGGGGCCGAGGGCAGGGCCTCACCTGCCGCAACTCCACCAGCCGGGGCGGGGCAGGGCGAGCCTATAAGGGCTGGTGCCTCCGTGGTTCGCTGCCTTGACAGCCTGTCTGGGGCCCAAGAGGAGGTTCGCTCACCCAGCACCCCAGCGACTGAGCTGGAGCCCTTCAGCCCCGGGCCAGGGCCGCCGCCCTGAGATACTTCCTCCAGCAGAGACGTGTCAGGTGGTTCCCAGAAGGGGAGGGAACGGAGGGGCCGCCAGGGAGCACCCCCCCAGCACAGCGATGGATGGCAGAGGGCCAGGCCCGACCACAGCGCAGGGGCGCGGCTTCCAGCAGCGGGAGGCTCCGCTCCACGGGGAGGCGGGGAAGGGGCGCCCGCGAGGTCTCCGCGACACCTGCACGCTGGGTGTCCCCCCACCTGGGCGCAGGGCAGTGGCCGAGAGGAGGGGAGCCCCGTGGGGTCGCCCCACCCCCTCCTGCTGCCGGACCGTCCTGGGGGTGTCCGGGCCTGCCGGCTGCAGGGGTCAGCCGCCCAACTAGGGGGCGAGGGTCCTGGATGTGCACCCCATGCCCGCGTGGCGTCCCTCCAACGCAGCTGCTGGGACCCACCCGCGGAAGCCCCCGCGAAGGTGCCCGGGCTGCGGGCGAGGTTCGGGAGCGGAGCCCGGCCCTCGGCAAGGCCAGAGCACCCCCCAGCCCCTCTTCCTCCAAAGCTCCCATCTCAGAGAACGACACCTCTTGCTACCCAGGCCAGATGCTCGAGAGCGCCCCCCGACCCTGCCCCCGTACCTGCGCCCCGCCGCCAGCAGGCCGCACAACGCAGGCCCTGGCATGCTGGAGGGTGGCGCAAGGGGCCCAGGGCCATGGACAGTGCCAGTGTCCGCTGATCCAGAAGGGGCGGCGGCGCCAGAGGGCCGGGCTGATTCCACGATGGGCACGCTGGACACCACCACTCTGGCCTCGACCACTGAGCTGGTGGCCGGCGGCTTCAGGGTGGCAGTGCCGTCTGCCCAGAAGACACGCGTGGCGGCATCAGTCAGGTCAAAAGGGAAGAAGCAGACGAGATGGGGGCCGCTCTGGCCACAAGGGGCCGCCGGCCACGGTGCTGCCAGGGCAGGCACCCACCCTCCGGGCGGCAGGGCTCATGGGTGGAGGATTCGGGCACTGATGGGCTGGGCAGGGCAGGCTGCTCTGAGCATGGTGTCTCCCAAGCAGGCCGTGCTGGCCGCCGCCAGAGCCCCCCGGGACTCAGGGCCAGAGCGGGACGGTGCCCACGCCAGGGCCGGAGCTCCTCAGGCCTGACCAGGGTGAGCGCATGAGCTGTGCATGCCGTAGAGGAGCGGCAGCCGCGACAGGGAAACGCAAGGGCACTGTGAGGAAGGAGCTGGGGTGCTGCTGGCCTCAGGCCCAGCGTGAGCTGGACAGTTGGTGCTGGGCCACGTGGACGCCCGTGTCCCGGAGCACGGCCAGGGAGGGAATGACGCGGCGGCAGCCGGGCCCGGGAGCCTCGCGGGCGGGCCGGGAGAGGCGCCCACACGTCTGGCGGTCGGCGGCCCTCAGCGGACACGCACGCGCTTCTGGACCGTCACAACCTGCAACGGGAGGGCCGAGAGAGGACAGCGCGCTCCCCCGGCCTTGGCTCCCGCCACGCCCGAGAAGCCCCGCAGGAACAAGCCGGCCACCTCGCCCCGCCGCCAGGGCAGGGCGCTCCGCTGGCGCCCACGCAGGCTCTGGTGCGAGGGAGGGAGGCCAGGCCGCAGGCCCATATGGCGACCCTCCTGCAGCGCCCGCGGCCGCACCCGGCAGACGCCCCCTCAGACGCCCCCTGTCCCCGCGCAGAGGCCCGCAGCCAGGGCCCCGCACGCTCCCTCGGGAGGAACCCGGAGGCGAAGTCATGGACAAAACCCACCGCCGGGCACCCAGGCCCCCTCGGCAGCGCCCGGCAACCTGGCCAGAGGCTCCCCCTTTACCCAACCTGGATCGGGGGGCCCAGCCATAGAAAGGGGAGAAAAAGGCTCCCAGAGAGGAAGGGAGGCGCGAACTCCCTGAGGCCGCTGTGCGGAGCGCCCTGGCCAGGGCCGCGGCTGAGCCAGCAACGAACGTCCACCAGCGGGGCAGACAGTCGGGGGTGAACAGGCCGTGCCGCCGCTGCCCGCAAGGGGGAACCCCGGGAGGCTGGGCAAGTGGAGGCGCCCGGGGAAGGGCCCCCCGCCCCCTCGGGCCCCCCCGCGGCCTGCCGCTGCCCCCATGACCCTCTGGCGGCTGGTCAGCCGGGAGCGCGGCCTCCCAGGGCCCCGGCCAGGACTCCGTGGGGCGCGGGGACGGGAGCGGGCCTGGACACGAGCAAACACACTCGGTGGCTGCAAGGGCAGAGCCGGCCAGGCCCGGAGCTGGGACAGCCCTGACCCGTGCGTGTGTGGTGGGTGTGTGTAGTGTGTGTGTGTGATCACATGTGGTGTGTACTTGTGGGGTGTGGGGTTGCCCAAGGAGCCGGCCCCCACCTCGGGCGTCTGGCGGGGCGGTGGCCCAGGCTCCTGGGCACACAGACCTCCATGGGCAGCGGTCCCCACAGGCCTGGGCCCCCCTAGTCAGCAGGAGGCGGCACCACTGTCCCATTTCCAAGCAGGGCGGAGACCGAGATGCCCAGCTGAGCAGTCCTGGGGCTTGAGGGTTCAGCCTGCCCCCACAAACCTCTCCTGAAACCTAGAGAGGGAGGACCCGCTCCCCGTGGAGCTGCCAAGCCCCAGGCCTCATTTTAGGGTACAAGGTGCCCAGCGTCACGGGAAGAAAGCGGCCCTTCTGTTAATTCAAAGGCAACAAAACCATCTGGTGGACGCGGCGGGAAACGCCCGTAACACACGAGGCGGAACTGCACTGGGGCAGGTCGGAGGCCGGGGCCCAGGAGGGGCGGGGAGCCGCGCTTTGGAGCGCCTGCCCGGGCCCCGACCCGTGCCTCCTGCCGCAGCCCGGGCTCCCGCCCCTGCCCAGCCCTGCCCCTGCCTGGAAGGCACCTGTTCTTCCCACGTTTTAATACTCACCCCAGAAACTGCCGACACCCTCAGACTGGCGCCGATCGGGGGCCAGTGGCCGGGGAGGACGCTGGGCACAGCGGAGCCCCACGTGCGGCGGGCAGGGAGTCGCCGCAGACGGGCGCGCGGGCAAAGTCTGCTGGCAAAGCCAGCATGCCAGACCGGCCTGGCAGGGCGTGTCCCGCCACCCCATGGGAGGCACCCGCGGCAGGTCCCAAAACAGCAGGGACCCCAGGCTCAGCCTGAACACGCCCTGGACCCGGCACCGCATCAGCTGGACCCAGGGCCCCAGGCGGGGTGACCGAGGGAGCCGGGGCCTGCGCGGGCCGGGCTCGGACCTGTGACTGGGGTGCGGGGCCCTTCCCTCTGCTCCCTGCAGGCAGGGCAGGCTCCTTCAGCCCCAGGCTGTGGCGGCCGAGCCCGTGAGCCCTCCCGAATCAGGGCCCGAGACCGGCTCAGCACCCCAGACTTGTGTGCTCCATCTCGGGGTGCCAGCTGCCCATGGCGGCCCTCGGCCCGGCCACTTTTCATCTGGGGTGGCCACGGGCCCTGGCCAGTGCAGTGCAGGCCTGGGGGTCAGCCCCCAAGGGCCCCAGGGGAGCCAGCCCAGCCCCTTCCCGGCTGCGGGAAGGCTGGCTCCTGCTCCTGGCGCTGGGGAGCGTTCTGAGCACCTGGGGGTGCAGAGAGCAGGTCCCTCAAGTGTTTACTCCTGGGGGGGGGCGCTCGTGGACGGAGGGGCCTGGGTAGGGACACTGCGCTTTCTCCGAGTTCTTGTGAACAAGCAGCTGGCAGCAAAGGGTGACCGTGGGCGGGCGGGTCCGGCCACCGGGGGCCAGGCCGCCGCAGAAGGGCAGGTTGGGGGGACGGGTCCAGGGGACCCTGCAGCGGCAGGAGGGGACGGAGCAGGATCTCCAGGACCCGAGCACACGGGTGAGGAGAGTCCTGGGGCCCTCGGTGGCTCTTCAGGCTTTTCTTGCAGCTCACCAGGCGCAGGCGGGCGGGGTGGGGGCGGGGCTGGCAGGCCTCCGGCCCCCGCGAGTCTTCGCTCTTCCTGGGCTCTCCGGCGTCTCCCGTGGCCTCTGCTTCGCTGCTGGTTCTCTTCGGCTCTTCCTCCTGGCGCTTCCCTTTTGCTCTGCTGGTTCCCTGTGACGCCGCCCCTATAAGGCCGTCTCGGCCCAAGTGCGCCCACCTACATGTGCCGCACCCGCTCCAGGTGCCGCCATCAGGCGTCAGGACTGCAGGGTCCACCGGCCATACTAACGGCGGGAGGGCGGGAAAGCCCGACCATCATTTACCCACAGCCCCTCTCCGGCAGCTCCCTGGAACACGCAGCTGCCGGGCTGGCCCCCCAAAAGCCTCAGGGAGAGGCCACTCAGGAAGCAGACTTCGGGGAACAGTGGCTCAGACGCAGGCAGCCGAGCTGCGACGAGCCCTGTCCTCGCCTGCTGGCTGCTGACCAGAGACCGCGGGTGGGCGGCTTCCAAGCGGATGCTGGAGGCTGTTCAGGCCAGGGCCGACCTGGGGAGGACCCACTTTCTGCTGAGCGGCCTCCGTGCACAGGCAGCCGTGCTGTCCCCCGAGGCACGCGTCCCCTCGGGGCCAGCCCACAGCACCTTCCTCCCGGGCCCCGCTGGCCCCAGGACCTGCTGTTGATGAGGGTGAGGCCCTTCCCGGAGCCAGACACACAGTCGTCATGCAAATGGACACCGTCACACGGAGGAGCTGCTGATGACGAGGGTGCTAGACAGCGACAGGACAGGCTGGGTGCCCACCGCCCCACGGCGCGGCCTGCAGGGGGGTGTCCACTCCCCTCGCGCCAACCACAGCAGAGTCTGCTCTGGGGCCAGGACGGCTGGCCAGTGGGGCCTGCTGGTGCCGGCAGGGCTGGCAGCTGCTCAAGATGCCCGGGAGTGGGGATGGCTGCCCCCACAGGTGCCAAGGAGCAGGTCGAGTCCCGGCCAGGCGCCGAGGAAGGACCCCCTCCCTGCCAGTGCTCCCCAGCCCCTACCCCACCGCGGTGCGCTGGTGGGAGGGGCCGGGAACGGCCGCCTCCCAGTCTCCAAGTGTAAGTGGGCCCAATACCGGGCACGGGGGCAGTGCCCCTTAGGGTCAGACATATCAGGGGAGGGGAGGCCGAGGGAGGCCTTGCCATCACTCCACCTGGGCAGCAGGACCCGGTGGGGGTCACGTGCCCCTGGAGTGGGCACAGGCGCCGCAGCTTTTTGGGACGCCGTGACAGCTGGGAGGGGGCGGGGAGTCTGCCGTGCGGGGCGTGGCTCGGAGGCCAGGAGCCAGAGGCCTGTGGGGAACCCTAGTCAGGGGCGAAGTGGTCACTGCCCCTCCCGCAGGAGGCGGCCGCAGGCCTGGGGAGCTGGCGTGGCCGTGCTGAGGGCGCCCTCTGGGCCCAGTGACTGAGGCAGTGAGCGGGTCTGCAGGGACTCGGGCCTGGGGTGGGCTCTGAGCACCTCCTGCAGACCCAGCGCCGTCCCTCCCACAGGCTGCACCCGCGCAGCTGCTGGCACAGATTCGCGGCAAACTGCTGGGTTCAAGTTTATTGAATTTCCCCCTAAAATGGTCACCAGACTTTGGGGGATGGGCCAGTCCCTCCCGGCGGAGCCCGCTCTCCCAGCGTGAGATGCGGGAGCACGGGGCTGTCCCTGGCACCTGCCCGCAGGCCGCCTCCGTCCAGGCCAGGCTTCAGGGACAGGCCCAGGGGCCCAGGAGGCCGCCTGGGCCCTGGCGCAGCTGACACCGGCCGTCGTTCAGGTCCTCCTCACCGCCATGTAGGAGGCCTGCAAGAGGGGCGGGGCGCTGCAGGGCTGGCACTTGCCGGCCTCTGCACCGCGGCACACACGGGAGGAGGCAGGGAGGTCCCAGCAGGTGGGGGCGCCTCCCAGCCTCGCCTACCTCCTGCAGGGGCTGCCCCAGCGTCTCCTGGCTGTGTACCGAGCGCCTGCGGGGAGAGTGGGGGTCAGCCCTCGGCCCCGGAGCCCAGGAGGGGTGCAGGGCCGGGGCCCACCTGTCTATCCTGGTGGCGACCGTCACGGTGAAGGTCCCCTCTGTGTCGGGGAGGTAGGTGGAAGGCACGACCCGGTAGGCGCCCGCGGCCAGCTGGCAGAGCCGGCTCACCTCCTGGGCGTAGCGATGGGGCACGCAGCTCAGCACCGGCTCCTGGAGCAGCAGCGGGGGTGCCCCTGGGCTCCCGCCCCCTGGCGGCACCTGGCGGAGGCACAGCTCAGGCCAGGGGGCTGGGGTGCTCCCATCCCAGGCTCGGTTTGTCTCTGCGCCCCTCCTGGGCTCGGTGGGGTCCTCCTCGTGGGTCAGGAGGCGCCCCCAGCTGGCCAAGGCGGACTCCCATGCCCAGCCCCGGGGCCTTGGCTTGAAGGGCCCAGGAAGCCCGCGGGTCAAGCCCAGGACACTGGCCCTTCGGGAAGCTCCAGGGCCACCCCCGGGGCCAGAGCCACAAGCAACCCACCCGCCCGCTCCAGCCTTTCCCCAGGCGCCCAGGCCGGGCACCAGGGTGCCTGCGGCCCCTGCCCTCTCCCCGGACGACCGGCATGCTGCGGGGACAGTGAGCCAGGGAGGGCTCTGGCCCCGCGGTGGTGACAGCACCCGCCCAGGCCCGCCCGCGGCGCTTGCCTGGAAGACGTGGAAGCCGATGGGGAGGCACTGGCTGCCGTCGCAGTGCTGGCGCAGGGTGATGCGCACGCTGCGGGGGCCGGCGCCCGCGGGCACCGAGAGCGGGAAGCAGGGGTTGGTGGGGAAGGAGGCAAAGTTCCTGCTGCCTCCCGCCGTCCGGCCGGCCTGCCAGGCACCCGCCAGCCGCACGGTCTCCCACTCGCCTGCAGGCGGCGCCTCCCGGCAGCGGGGGCTGGGGGCGCCCCGGATGGCACTGCGGGAGAGGCGCAGGTCGGGCCAGGCCGAACGGTGCGACAGGCGCGCGGCTGCGGGCCCCAGGCACCGCCTCACCTGAGGGAGACCCTCCCGGTGGAGAAGACACGCAGCAGGAACTGCCCCGGCGCGTCCTTCAGGAAGGTGCTGGGCACAGCCAGGTAGTGGCCCGCGGGCAGCTCGCAGCGCAGGTGCACCTCCCGGTCGTAGGCGTGGCACGGGGTGCCCGCCACGGGGGGTGCGGACAGGACCCTGGGCAGGCTGACCCGGCGCTTCTCCACCTGCGAGAGAGGCCATTGCCTCTGGGGCCCTCAGGCCTCCCCCCGCCCCCGGGCACCCCCGCCCTGCACCCCAGAAGTGCCCCCACCTGCAGATGTCGCGCAACCTTGGCACTCGGGCCTGGTCAGCACACTCGGGCTGAGGCCAGGCCCTGCCGCCAGCAGGCACAGCCCTGCCTAACACCGTGCGGCCACCGCATCCACCGCCACAGGATGCGCCCGCCAGGAGGGCAGGGCCAGGCAGCAGGACTGAGTCCAGCACCCCCCTAGAGGCCAGGCAGGGGCCTCGCAGCATACCTCAGCCCCCAGCGAGCACCCCCACTGAATGGGGCCCAGGTGGTGGGTACCTTCCAGATGTGCAGGCCCACAGCCTGGCAGGCCCTGCCCGGGGAGCTGGCCACGCTCCTGGCTGCACAAGGGTCCCCTGCCAGGGCCCGGCCTGCCCAGTCCGCCGAGCGCACCGGGGGCCTCTGCAGGACGGCCACGTACACCTCACTGGGCTCTAAGACCCGCAGCCAGAACTTGGGGTTGCTGGGAAAGGCGCTGTTGTTCCGGCAGCCCCCGGCCGACTGGCCCTTGACCCAGGCCCCGGGCAGCTGCTGCATGTGGCGCAGCTCCCTCCCTGCCGGGGGACACGCTCGGTCAGCACTGGGGACAGCCCCTCCCACCCCCGAGCACCCGCGTGGGGGCCAGGGGTCCCGCTCAGCGAGCAGCAAGGGGGGCGCGGAGAGGCTGGGCGTGCCTGCCTACCTGAGCGGAGGCTCTGCAGGTGGCCGGCCTCCGTGACCGGGTAGCCGATGGTGACCTCGTCGAACTCGCGGAGAAACTCCTCCTCCTCCACCCAGAACTCCCCCTCCTGCAGCCGGGACAGCAGCCCCGACGCCTCTGCCGCATCCACCCGGCTCCAGCCTTCACCCCTGGAAGGAGCCCCCTTTGGTGCCAGGCTGAGTGGCCCGGCAGGACAGCACAGCAACGGGAGCCTCCCGGCCCTGAGGGGGGCTGCTCGCCGCCCCCGCTGAGGGAGCGGCCCCCGTCCCGGCCCCAGCACCGCGGCCCGCCAGGCACCCGCACTCAGCAGGAACCCTCCGGACAGGACCCCTGCCTCGGGCCACCGTGTCCCAGGCGGGAGCCGGGCGCAGGCTGCGTCCTGGTAGCCCCAGGGCCCGGGCCAGGCGGACATGAGGGCGGTGGCACTCACCCCTCTCTCCAGGGCCCCTGCCAGCAGCGCCGGCCCCAGGGGTTCTGAATGCGCAGCAGCAGGATGGCTGGGCCGGCCCCCGTCGGAACCTCCCGCACCTCTGAGATGATGAAGGCGTGGAACTCCCCCAGCCCCGAGGCACCTGAAAGGACGTGGTCATGGGCAGGGAGCCACAGGCTGCGCAGCGCCCGGCACCCCAGCTCACAGGCATCTGGGCCCCGGGGGCCAGGGGGCTCCCCTCGACCCCCAAGGCAGGCCCGCTCCAGGTACGGCCTCAGGAGCACAGCCACGAAGATAGGGTTTGGGCCCTGGCAGACACCAGGCTGACCACCCTGGCCCCGGTCCGGCGCCCGCCTGTGCCAGCACCCAGACCCGCGAGGGCCAGGACACAGAGGGCCCCTCCGGCGAGGCGGAGTCTGGCAGGAGCCGCAGGGGCGGCTGGAGCCCCGGGAGGGCGGACGCAGGGAGGAAGCCAGGCAGAGGGCAGCACACCCGAGGGACGCCCAGGGAGAACCAGGCTGCCTCGGGAGGGCACGGCAGCTGCACGGGTCTGTACCGGCCCCCTAGCCCACCTGTGGCCCCAGCTCCCTGCAGGAGAGCCCTGTGCTGAGCACCAGCCCGGCCTCGCTGGGGCGGCTGCCCTGGGGGCACCCGAGTCGTGCCTGCTGCAGGCTCCCGGGCAGCTGGGTTAGCCTATGGGCCAGGTCAGGCCAGGCCGGGGCAGCCCCTACTGCCCGCAGCTCCAGTCAACAAGGCTCCATCTAGCTCATCGTCATGGTCCCGACCCAGAGCCCGCGTCACGGTCACTCATCACAGCCCCGAGGGCAGGGCCTGGACACCGAGTGAAGGGACGGAGCTCCCGCAGGCCTGTTGTCGCCGTGGAAGGGTGAGGATGACCGTGGAGGTGCTGCCAGCCAGGCCTGCTTCTCTGGGCGGAAGTGCCGAGAACAAGACCAGGGAGGCCACGCCCAGGAAGCAGCTTGTGGGCTCGGCTGCTGCCTACCTGGCCTGGGGCTGAGCACGGAGCAGCTGATCAGACACTGGTCCTGGAGGCGCAGCAGCTGCCGGCAGGTCCTGAGCTCCGGGCCACCCGCCGGGCGTCCGTCCTGCTCGCCGCTGGCTCCGGCCAAGTCCTTCAGGCTCCAGCGTTCTGCCAGGCCGCCGGTCAGGTCCACCAGCGCGTCCGCCACCTGCCCTGCCCACAGGTGTTCGTAGGAGCCATAGACCCTGGAGACCAGCACAGAGGGGGGCCTCTGGCACCGGGGTGCGCTGCCTGCCTCCCTCCCGCCCCCGCCCATGGCTTCCGAGACCCCTCGCTGCTCCCGGCCTCTCTTCCTGCCTTTTGGGCCTCAAATGCTGCCATGTGCATCTTGGCGCCGCCCTCTGCTCCCGCACCCCAGGAGGTTCTTGGGGCCAGGGTGCACCCCAGGGGGTTCTTGGGGCAGGGAGACAGCTGCCACCTGCAGGGGCCCCTCGCCGGCCCTGCGCTCGTCCCTGTCTCATGGTGGGAGGACGCCTGCAGGAGGGTCTCCTTCGCTCCAGACTCCCCTGAGGTCCTGGGTCGCTCAGGCAGACTGGCCCTGACCCAAGGGCCTCCTTCCGCCCCGGGCCGGAGAGAGGACGCACAACCCCGTCAAGAAGCACGTGATGGAAAGGTGTGTCACGGGGTGAGGGAGTGGGAGCAACAAACACCCCTTTCTGGAGGTGATGCCTTCACCCTGGACTGTGACGTGAGGGCAGGAGAGGACGGGTGGGGGTGCATGGCGGCGGCCCCGGCCCAGCGAACGGGGGCCGAGAGGCGTGTGGGGAGCTGAGGCCCCCGCCCGCCCGCCAGCAGCGCCTACTTGGCGTAGACCTTCTCCAGCAAGGGGAGCCAGAACACATCCTCGCTGTGGCACCGGGAGAAGCAGAGTCTCCCCGCGAGGCAAGGCAGACGGTCATCTACGGTCACCTCCACCCAACGTCCAAACTGCCAGACCCGACACGTGAAGGCGCCCCGGTACTCCGGGTCCCGCCAGTGCGGCTGCCCCGGAGGAAAAACCTGCAGGTCACAGGGGGCGGGGGAGACGTGAGCCCCGGGACCATCCTGCGTGCCCCGAGGTGCAAGCCAGCCCTTGGGCGCTACTGCCCACACAGGCCCCGGACCCCACTGAGGGCAGGGGAGAGCGGCACCCGGACCTGGTCTGGCCCTGGCGCTGCTGCTCACCGGCCGGGAGGTGAAGGGTGCGGTGCCCTTGTTGGGGGGAAGGGTCAAGGGCTGCACGGCCCACGCGTTGACAGCGTGAGGGCTTGGCCAGCAGCCGAGCCTGACCGTGCTGGGGCCGCCCCTCCCGCGGTTGTCTTTGTGGGTGCCGCTCAGCCAGGCTGGCGTGAAGCCCAAGCGGGAGCGGCTGGCAGGGAAGCCCGCGCCAGGCTGCTAGTTTAGGTTCAAAACCCGTGATACGCCCACTGGACAGGGGCTGTTCCCAGCCCGGTCCGGGGCCCTCCACAGCCCCCAGGGTCCAGGATCCTGCTGCCCCCCCACACCTGGTGCAGCAGTGGCCGGCTCCGGCCCAGCGCGGCGCAGGCGCACAGGAACCAGCAGTCGCCCAGCAGCCCCTGCTTCACCGGGCCCTCCTGCGGGCTGTCTGAGAAGAGTCGGGGTGCCGCACAGATCTCCTGCAGGGAGACAGCTGGATCACAAGGAGGGCGCTGGGATCCAGGTGCCCACGTGCCGGAGCCCACTCTGGTCCACGCGGCACCCCACGCCCAGACCGTCCCCACCGCCCCCGGTTGCTGCTCTTCACAGAACCGCCCCCCGGGCCAAGCAGTGGCCACTGGTCCTCACCCACTACCCCTGGAGCCTGGACTCCTCCCGAGATGGAGTAGGGTCCTGACACCACTGCACCCCCAGGCTTCCCTGCACTGACACACTTCCAGAAAGAGCTGCCATTGCAACCTCCTCCCTCCCGCTCACTGTCCACATGGCCTGTCTCTAGCTTCCAGGCCAACCTTGTCCCCAGCTGCCTTTCTCAGTGGCACCTCCATGTGCTAAAATGCAAAGGGCCTCTCTGGACCGTCTGCCCTTGGGGCTCCACAGCCGGCCAGCTCCGGGCTGCCCTCTGGGCTCATTGCCGACCCCACCAGGGCCTGCAGGCTCAGCCCCCAGCCCCTGTCTTGCCTCCCGCGCCCTTCCAGGACGCCCTGGCTGTACGCCGGGGTTCCCACCAGGCCCACTGGACATTTTCCCAAGCTCTTGACCCGTCCACCAGCCTCCCTGACAGCTCCACCTGAACATGTGCCAGCAGAGCCTGTCCTGGACGCCCACCCCACCCTGGCCTGCCCTTCCCACACGGTCTCAGCCAGCCCCCAGGCCGCCCCCAGCAGCTGCGGAGGCCAGAAACCTCGAGTCAGCCTCGAGTCCTGCGTCACTGCTCCCCTGTCCCCGTCAGTGCCCTCGGAAGTGGACGGGCACCCATCGTCCCAGACGGCACCTGCTTAAAAGGCAAATCTGACCGCTCGCTCCTCCGCCGAGCGGCCGGGCTGCCCTGCAAATCCGAGCTCCCCCACGCGGCGCTGAGGCCTCCAAGGCTCCTCCCACCTCCCCCCACAAACGGGCCGGGGGTCCCGCGCTCATACGCGGGTGTCCAGGTGCTTCCCCCCAGGTCCACCCGGCGCCGCGCCGCTTCCAGCGAGGGGCCCTGCACGAACCCAGAGCGCCCGGCGCGCGGCCACCCCAGGCGTCGGCACCGAGGCGCGGCAGCGGCGGGCTGGGCGGCGGGCGCACCTGGGGCCGGCGCCACGTGATGTCCCCGCGGAGCCGGGCCAGCGGCGTGGAGCGGCCGGACAGCAGCGAGGAGTCCGCGGCGGGGAAGGCGGCGTCCCGGAAGAGCTCCCTGGCCGGCGCCCGCATCTTCGGCGCCCCGGGCGCCCATCGGCCAGCTGCGGACGGAGGCCGGGTCGGCTCGGGCCCCCCGCCGGCCCCACGGACCCCGCCCGGCCGGCCCCCCGCCCGCGGGGGCCGCAGCCGACTCAGCCCGCGCGCGGCCGGCCCCGTCGCCCGGGCAACCGCCGGGCCCGCGCCCGCGCCACGTGACTGGGCGGCCCCACCGCGCGCGCGCGGGGAGGGCGCGCCGGGTCCCCGCCGGGGGCGTGGCCCGCTCTGCTCTCGCGAGACCCGCCGCGGAGCCGCGGCACTTCCGCTTCCGGGTCGGCGGCCCCGCGCAGGGCCGGCCGGAGCGTGCGCTCGGAGGTGGGCGGGGCCCTTGCCCGCGGGCCGCTGCGGCCGAGCGGGGGCGTCGGGACCGCTCGGGCTCGCGGGCTCTTGGCGCTGCAGGCACCGAGCGGCCGCCCGCCCCGAGAGCGGGCCGCCGACGCCAGCTCCCAGCCTGCATCGCCGCTCCCCAGCATGCACCGCTCCTTCGGGGCGGGGCGGGGCTGGCGGGCGGGGCGGGGCCTGGCGGGGGGGCGGGGCCTGGCGGGCGGGGCGGGGCGGGGCTGCGGGGGACCTCGGCTGGGCCCGCCGCGCACCGGCCCTGCAGCTGGGCCCGCGCACGGTAGCGCAACACGGAAAACGACTCGGCCTGTCCCTTTCGCGGCGGGACGCGTGGCGAGCTCTCGCGTGCAGGGGACCCCGCTGCAAGCGCGTCACTGTCCGCCTGACCCTGGCGCGCCCTTCGCCCTTCCCCCCGCGCGGGTGTGGGGCGCTCCGGCTGGGATTAAATTCAGCTAAATTTCCCGATGAAAGGGTTTTGTCTCTAATAAAACATTTTTTATAACGTTTATTTATTTGGGGCCTCCCTGGTGGCGCAGGGGTTAGAGAGCACTATTGAGCTGTCGCCAGCACAAGTTCGATCCCCGGCCAGGGAGCTGACCCACAGCGCGCGCGCAGCCGACCGCTCCTGTCCACCCGCTGCCCCCTTACACGCTGCCTCTGCGAGCCCCCTGGGCCTACCCCTGGCCCCTTTGTTCCCCGCCCCCGCTGCGTGGGGCCAGCCCCCAGTGGCAGCTGCTCTGCACCACCAGACCCCACCAGGGAGCAGCCACCTCCTCGGGGCGCAGGCTGGGGATGACACCTGACGCCTCTCTTGGGGTGCTGGCCTTTCCTCACCACCAGCACTCAGGGCATGTCTGCTCCAGCTGAGTCTGCCCTGCTGGCTGGGCTGGAGCTGCAGTCAGGGAGTGCCTGGACCCCTGCCCTGGGGTCTGGAAGGGGCAAGAGAAATCCCTTCCCTGCTGCGGAGGTGAGTGACTGACCAGCCCCGGCCACGCCGAGCCCTGGCCACGGAGGCCCACTGCTTCCGGAGAACTTGTTGGCCTCTAGGGTTACACCCAGCAGGAGCAAGGGGGCAGCTAGTGCTGCCAGGCCTGCAGGGATGGTGAGGGGCCAGCTGGGCCGGCTTCCCTGCACTGACTGCCCCCGGCCCTGGTCCCTGTGCACCGCTCTCATGGGGTGGCCAAGTCAGGGTCAGGCCGGAGGCTGTGGGCAGTGTGGGCAGGGGCGTCGGGAGATAAGGGCAGAGAGGAGAAGGGCGATAGGGCTGGGGTTTCAGAGACCCTGGCAGGCCGGGTAATAAGGCAGGAGCTGGGAGAATGGGCAGGCCTGCCCTGGGAGTGAGGCCTGGGAGACGGCCACTCACGAGGCAGGGGATGAGAGGAAAGCGATGGCCCTGCCCGCGGGTCTCGGGGTGCAGCGCAGCCCGCTCTTCCTCTAAGCGAGCTGCTCTTTGCTGTCTCCACAAAGGTCACTTCTCTTGCTTTCTTGTCTACAAAGTCTGCGGATTCCTCTCTAGGGTTTTGTGGGACAGAACCTGGGGTGGCTAAAGGGCTAAACTCCCCCCCCTCTGAGCCCGGCCCCAGCTGTGCAGGGGTGTCTTGGCCAAGCTGTTCCCTCTGCAAAGCAGCAGCAGCAAACCCCCCCCCCCCCCAGCCGGCACCGTGCAGGCCTCGTAGCAAAGCTGCGTCTCGGCAAGCGTCCTTTACCCTCCCCTCCCCTCCCTGCTACCACAGCCTGCCCTTTGGGGCACAATGGATGCCCATCTTGGGATCCTCGCCGGTGTCGCTGAGGGGTCTCTGTGACACTTTTCCCAGGGTACTAACCCAGGGACCCCGCTCTCCAAACCCAGCACCTTCCTTCCGGCCAGCAGCCAGTCTCGGGGGCCTGTCAGAGGGGGGCCTCCCAGGGGGCTTTCCATGGAGCCTTCACTGTGGTCTGTGCCCCAAGCTCCACCCCAGGAGGGTCTCGGTGAGCAGGGGGCAGGGGAGTGACCAGGATAAGCCTGCTCCAGCCTGGGCCCAGGGCCTGGACATTCTGCTGGCCTGGGCCGAGGCCCCCAGTGAAGGTCTCTAGCTGGCATCTCTCCGCACCTCCCTCGGCCCAGCAGATGCTCACGCGATGCTCACGGCCCTCCCGTACCCTGCGGACGTCCCCCCTCTTCCGACGGCCGCCGTTCCCTCTGCCCCCCGTCTGCTGTCATGGGGTCATTCGTGCCTTTGGCCAAACCCCCAGTTGGGACACACAGGCCAGGGTCACTTGCAGTGGAGGTTTAATAGGACAATCACGGTGACCCCAGCACAGTGGCCCCGGCTGCCAGCCCTGACGGCAGGGTCCCCAGGCTTCTCAGCGGCTGGGCCTGGAGAGCTCCAGCATCACCTGCCCTTCCCAGGCATTGCTGCCCGCCTGCGAGTCACCAGATGCTGTCCTGTCCACTCCTCGGGCCAGGTCCCTGCGTTCCCTGAGGGCTAAGGCTATGGGGCTTGGGCCCCGCCCAGTGAGGTGCACCTGTCGTCCTCAGTGACCCCGCCCCACACCAAGGGCCGGGCTGCCTCCCTGTCCCTTGGCCGGGGCCAGGTACGGCTCCTCGCGGAAGGGACCGGGGCCAGCTGCGGGGCAACGAGCCACGGATCCCTCACGCAGACATTAAGGCACAGAATGGCAGGCAACGCCCGGGCAGCGCCCAGCGGTCAGTGTTGAGCCAGGAGGGCATGGCGGGTGCTGGCAGCCTGGGTTCTGCCGTGCAAGAGTGGGGGTGGCCCTTGGGCCTGGCGGCCTCCGCAGGTCCCAACAGCCCGCGGGAAGGTGGGGGCCGGGCGGAACTGGTGGCCAGAGCCGGGCGCGGTTCGGCGACCAGGCCGCGAAGGCACATCGTGGTGTCCGGAGGTCCGGTCAGGCAGACACGTTGACGTCCCTGAGAGCGATGGTGCCGCCGGGGGCCTCGTCCCCAAGCAGCAGGGCTGGCGTGGCCGCATCTGCCTCCGTGTCGGTCCCCGGCCCGCCCGGCTCTGTGCGGGGCTCGGTGCTGGGGCCCAGGCCCTGGGACAGGATCTGCTGGATGGCCCTGCGCAGGCTGGGGTGCAGCTGGCCCCGTGTCTGGTAGAAGACCTCCAGGGCGAAGGGCTTGAGGGCACCGGTACTGAGGTCCTCGTACAGCGGGATGGTGTACATGCGGGACATCTGCGGGGGTGCACCGTCAGCCCCGCCCAGCCACCCCGCCCTGGCCGCTTCTCACCCTGTCTGCAGGGAGCGTGGGCTGGGGCGCTGATGGGGACCAGCCGAGGCTCCTGGGGGCCTAGGCCCCCAGAACTCTGTCTGAGGAGCTCAGATGCCTCCAACGCCCCACCCCCGGCCAGGCCCAGCACCAGTCAGGGCCACGGCAGATGTGGACCAGACTCTGCCTTTGCTCCCAGCTGGACCCACCGTGAACTGGGGAGTCCGGTCTCTCCCTCCAATTGCTGACACCCCCCCCACCAAAGTCCCCACCTCCATCTCGTGCCCAGGGACCTTGAGTGACCAGCGCTGAGGGTTGGGGAGGCCGTGGGGCAGGGCTCCATGCGGCTGGGAAGGGTGGGGAGTGGTGCCCCGTGGGGGGCAGCCCTGTGCACCTGGCTCTCCAGGAAGCACCAGTGGCGGGGCCTGTTGTGTGGGGGATTGGGGGGCCCATGGGGGCACACCTGGCTCTCCAGGAAGCGCCGCACTCGGTGCAGCTCAGGGTAGTAGTCGTTCCGCACCACGACCTGTAGCCAGCGGACGCGGATCTCAGCGTTCATGGAGTCCAGCAGGGCCGAGTAGCACTCAGACAGGCTCGTCACCACCTCTGCGGGCACAGTGGTCAGTGGGACAGGCGCCCTCCCACCTGCCCCCCATCCGCAGGACCTACCCTGGGGCAGCGGAGACCCGTCCAGCAGCCGGTCCAGGAACAGCGCTGTCTGGAAGGTCCTCCACTTGGAGATGTCGATGGCGCTGGCTGAGGCAGCCGCCTGGTCCAGTGGTGCCGCCGTCCACAGCTGGAAGAGGGTCTCCACCGGCCGCGTCAGGCTGGACCCCTGAGACAGGTCTGGCTCGGCCAGCGGGGGTCCTGTGGCGTTGAGCCAGCGCTCAAACTCCAGCCCTGCAAGGAGATGTGGTCCCTGCCTGGATGTGGCTGTGGTGGCTGGGCCAGCACCGGTGCTGGGCACAGCAGGCTCAGCTGGCGACTGGGGACCTGCCCCTCCCTGGCCCAGAACAGGGATGCCTGTCGGCCTGACCTCGGCACCAGGCAGCTGTGGGTGGGTTCTGCCCACCTCCAGAGAAACCCTGGGTGCACTTGTCAGGTCTTCCTGCACTCAGGCGCACCTGGTGGATGCCCCCTGGTCTCCAGCAAGCCTCCATTCCCCCCACTGCATGGCCTCCTGTCCCTTCAGCCCGTCCCACCCAGGCCCCCAGGCCCCAGGGGACTCTCATGGGCATTGCCGGGCTGGCCAGCTCTGAGGCAGACCTCCCAGACCCCACCGACCCTGCCCCAGATCCTCTGCACACACTGCTTCCAAGCCTTTTCTTGTGGCTGCTCAGTTCACTCAGCCTGGCCTAAGAGCCACGTCCTCCAGGAAGTCCCCTCGGCACCCTCCCCTGCTCCCGTGATGGGGCACACTGTCCTCCATGGTGGTGCACCGAGGACAGTGGGAGCTGGTCTGGCCTGCTCCCCTGCCCGGCCCCGCCCTCACCCGCCTGGCCCCGCCCCTCACCTGCCGGCCCCGCCCTCACCCGCCCCTCACCTGCCTGGCCCCGCCCCTCACCTGCCCTGCAGTCCACACTCTGCTCCTTCAGCTCCGGGAAGAAGCTCAGGAAGGAGTCCAGCAGGTCCTGCGCCACCACGCTGGTGAACTTGTACTTGTCCACGTAGGCCTGCCGGGGCAGGGTGGGCTCAGCGAGCGGGGTCGGGCCCCGGGAGGCCCCCCCAGGGTCTGCCCAGCACGCAGGGGTGTGCGCGGGGCCCAGGGTGGGCGCAGAGCCCCCTCTGCTGTGGCGCAGGCACCGCCTGCGGCCAGAACCGGGTCGCGGGCGCCGAGGCCAGGCGGGCGGCCAGCGCGGGCCGCGGGAGGGGCCGCTCACGCGCAGGAAGTCGTCGAAGCGCTGGGGGTCTCCGCAGAGCTGGGACAGGTAGTACACGAAGCAGTAGCCCTTCTCGTAGGTGAACAGGTTCATCAGGTGGCTGGGGTTCACGCCTGCGGGGACAGCGCTGCGAGCCGGCGGCCGCGGGCCGGGAGGCAGGACCACGCGCCGCGGAGACCCCCGGGCTGTGAGACGGGGAGGCAGGTGGGGCCGCGGGGGCTCCTGGACTCGGGAGAGAACCCGTCCGGACGCGGGCCCGGAGGCGCCAGGAGGGGCAGGGCCGGCCGGGGGCGTGGCCAGAGGGCCCAGGGGCGTGGCCAGAGGCCCCGGGGCGTGACCAGAGGGTCCAGGGGGCGTGGCCAGAGGGCTGGGGCGTGGCCAGAGACCCAGGGGCGTGGCCAGAGGGCCCAGGGGGCGTGGTCAGAGGGGCGGCGGCGGGGCGGGGCGGGGCGGGGCGGGGCGGGGCGGGGCCAGGCCGGCTTACCTGGCTCCAGCTTGACCTGCAGCTTGCTGACCGGGCTGTCCTCTCCCAGGAGCTTCATCTGCCTGTGCAGGGCGTCCAGGCGGAAGGCCGTCTCCAGACAAGTGAAGGCAGCACCTGGACGGGGTGCGGGGCGGCCTGAGCTGCTGCCCGGGCCGCGAGCGGCTGGGCACGCACTGCATGGCCCTGGCGCAGGCCCGGGCCAGCCCTACCGTAGGTCTCCGTGGTGATGCGGCGCTGGGCGTAGGTGGCCAGACCCTCGCTCAGCCACATCTCCTCCCACGAGGCGTTGGTGACGGCGTTGCCGAACCAGCTGTGGGCCACCTCGTGGATGACGTCGATGACCAGGAACTCGTCACTCTCCAGGATGGAGGAGATGATGAAGGTGAGGCAGGGGTTCTCCATGGCCACGATGGGGAAGGAGGGCGGCAGGAACACGATGTCGTACCTGCGGGGCAGGCGTGTGTGAGCGGGCGGACCGCAGGCCGGGTCCACCCTGGGCGGCTGCGGCTGCCCGGCACCTACCTGCCCCACATGTAGGGCCCGTACAGCCTCTCAGCGGCACTCAGCCACTGCTCCACAGCGCCCGACAGCTTGCTGGTGGCCGTGGGCAGGAGGCTCGGCTCAGCCCACACGCGGCTCCTGCCACAGACGGAGAGGCGCTCGGGCTGCGACCCGGGGGGCCGGGCCCTGGCCCTGAGGCCTGAGCCCCCTGCATCGGGTGGGGGCCGCTGCTGGCGGCGTGTGGGCGCAGGGCTCCCTGATGGGGCGGCCCCACGGGGGAGAGGGGCAGGGCTGTGCCCATGGCCATGCAGGGCGGGCGGCAGCAAGCAGGTGGGGCCTACCTGGGCCCGATGTCCGCTGGCTGCAGGTCCCCGGCCACCAGGGCCACGAGGTAGGCGGGCACGGGGTGCTCCATGTGGAAGTGGTACACGCCCTCCTCCTCCACGTAGGTGCTCCGCGTGGCACTCATCAGCACCTGCACCCCCGCCGGGGCCTGCCAGCCCCGGGCCCACCTGTCAGGGCAGCTGCGCCCCGATGGGGAGCCCATGCCCCCGCAGGGACCTGACAGTCCTTGCGAGGAACCCCACGATCTCTATGGGGAGCCCCATGTCATCGTCAGGGAACCCTAGAGACCCCATGCTGCCGCTCGATAACGTCATCTGCGGTAGCAGCACCTCCAACGGGGTCCCCACAACCCAGGGCAGGGAGCCCAACCCCTCAGGGGTGCCGGGGTCAGGCAGTCGCACTGTCACAGTACCCCATCCCCATCCAAGGGCCCCATCCCCATCCCTGCCTGCCAACCTCTGGCCCCTGTGGGGAGGCAGCCACGCCGGAGGCCCCGAGGCTGGCCCCACCGCCCCGCTGAGCCTCCCCCGCAGGGAGCCATGGCCCATCCCCTCCGGTGCCCAGCCACCCCCGGCCGCCCCCGCCCCACTGCGTGCTGCCCCTCCTAGGGCGGCAGGCCCGAGGTCAGGGCGAGCAGGCGCCGGGCACTGACCTTGACCACGGCCGAGTAGGTACACTTGACGGCAGGCGTGTCGAAGCAGGGGAAGAAGGAGCGGTTGCACACAGAGTGGCCCTGCGTGAAGACGAAGGGCTTGGCGTGGCCGAAGGTCAGCTCCGGGTCCAGCCACCAGATCTGCGGGAGCACGCGCGGTGAGCGTGGGCCGCCCACTCCCTCCTGCATCCACTCCGCAGGGGACCCCACGCCCACTCCGCAGGGGACCCCACGGGGCCTGGGCAGAGCAGAGCTTCCCGGTGAGTGGCCCGGAGGGGATGGGCCAGTCCTGGGAGCACGGCCGCCGTGGAGGAAGGGACGCCGGCCGACAGGCCTCTGGACAGCGGGCAGAGGCCAAAGAGGAGCAACAGGCTGGAGGGGGGCCCGAGGCGCCGCCTCCACGCGAAGCCAGAGCTGACACAGCACCCGGGGGCCTCCTCTGCGCCCCGCCCGGAAGCCCTCTGTGGGAGCCGGCGCTCATGGGCCGGGGAAGGGCAGCTGCGGGGAACAGCGGCCGCGGGCTGGGGGGGGCGGAGGATGCCCCTGGAAGCCCCGCCCCCTGCTGGGCCGGTGCCGTGGAGGCCCCGCCCACACGGTGACCCCCAAAGTCTTCCTGGTGCTCAGGTGCCAGGGCCAGGCCCTGCCCCCACTCCAGCCCACTCCCCACCCAGCCCTGGCCTGCTGCCTGCACCCCCTTCCCGACCCCCTCTCCTCTCCACTCAGGCCTCCTGGGCCCCCAGTAAGGCCAGGGCAGAGTCTGGGAGGGACCCCCAACTGTGGGCGTCCCGAGGACCCTGAATCTGCTAACACCGCACACCGCTGCCCCCTCCGCTCGGACCTCTCCAAAGCCGAAGCTGGTGCCGCGCCCGGGGCCCTCCGTGCGGAAACCAGGAGGCAGCGGACCCAGACCCGTGGGGTTACCCCTGCTGCCCCGCTATCCCCCCAGCACCTCAGAGCTCCTCTCGCGGCTGTGAGTCTCTGTCCCTGCGCCCCCTGCGGCTCTGCTGGCAGCCTGGGCGCTCCGAAGGCGCAGGGGCCTCTGGGTGGCCTCGGCCACGGGCCCCAGCACACAGGGCTGGGAGACACCCGCTGATGCTGCTGCGGGGTCCTGGCCCACCTGAAAGCGGGGCCCCTCCCGGCCCCCCAGCACTGCCCGCAACTGCTCCCTCTTGCCGAGTCCTCTTCTCCCTAGGTCGGGTCCAGCTCGGGGACCACGTGCACCCCTCAACCAGTCTGGTGTCCCCTCGAGCTGCGCTGACGGCCTTCCTGGGGGTGAGGCGGCTGGGGTGCCCCAGGGCACGGAGGTGCTTTCGCTGGGGGCTGGTCAGGAAGGGGCTGGGGCAGGGAGACACTGCTCTTGCTGGGCTGGGGTGTGGGCTTCAGGAACGGGTGCAAAGAGCATGGGCCTGGGGCAGCAGCACCCTAAACTGCCAGGGGTGCAGGGCCTCGGAGGCAGCTGCCCAGTTACCTGGCACAGGGACAGGCCTTGGGTCTCAAGCCTGTGGCCCAGGACGGGCCAGGCAGAGAAGGGGGCCCTGTGCGGCGAGTGTCCCGGGGGCTCATGCCCAGGCCAGAGGCCCCCAGGGGCCCCCATGTCCCATGTGCGTGCACAGCCCTGGTGTGCTGCCTGCCAGCCCTGTGGCCACTGGGCAGCGGGAACCTTGCCGCCCTCCCCCTCTGCCCCCCAGCATCAAGGGCCCTCAGCAGCCACAGAAAGCCTACGGACAGGCCGCCCTTGCCTGCCTGGCCCCAGCCCCAGTGGGATGGGTGGGCCTGACAGCTGGGTGCCCAGTTCACAGAGCGAGGTCGGGGAGACGGGTTGTGCTGTCCGCCCAGCGGGGCGCCTGCAGCTGTCGGAGCCGGCCCTGCCGCAGCGTGGGGTGGAGGGGGCGCCTGGAAGGGCTCCTGGGCCAGCATGTGTCCACCCGGGCTCTTCCCCGGGGGTGTCGCCTTCGCCCGGCCCGCGCCTCTCCACACCTGTCCGGCACTGTCCACTTGCAGCTCCGGCAGGGAGCGGCACAGGGACTGGGGGGCACGCGTCGCTCCGCACAGGATGGGGGGCAGCAGCGGCCCCTGGCCCGGGCACCCGGCCTTTGCAGCGGGGCCTCTGGGGCGGGCTGCCCGAAGCCAGCAGTGCCTGCGCTGGGCGGGGGCGCCTGGCACACGGGCCCTGCCAGTCCTCGCCCGGCCCGAGCGTCAGCTCAGGGGTCCTCCCTGGGCCCACCCTGGGGGCCTGTCCCTCTCGCCAGCGCCGCCCGAAGCTCCCCGCCCCGCGGCTCCAGCAGCAGCTGCTCTGCGGCTTGACCGGGCGGGCGGCGGGTCCTGCCGCCGCGGGAGCCCCGCGGGCCGCCCCGTCCGCTCCCCGGCGTGAGAGCGCGGGCGGGGCCGCGGGCCGGCGGGGAGCGGCGGGCAGGCCGGGCCCTCCGGGCGGGCGCCCCGCGCCCGCGCCCCGCGCCCGCCCGCCCGGCGCGGACTCACGGCGGGCGCGTCCGTCGAGGTGTAGCGCAGGATGACCTGGAAGGGCTGGTGCGCGGGCAGCGCGGGCGGCAGCGCCACGGTGAGCGACGAGCCGTAGTCGGTGAACGGGTCCACGCGGAAGGCCAGCGGGCGCGGCGCGTCGGCCAGCGCGGGCAGCGGGGGCGGCGGGGGCGCGGGCCCGGGCCCGGGCGCGGCGAAGGCGAAGGCGCAGGGCGGCCCGGCGGCGGGCGCGCGGCGGAAGGCGGCCGAGTGCAGGCGCAGGGCCGGGTGCGCGTCGAGCACGAGCGCGGGGGGCGCGGGCCGCCGCGCGCACAGCTCGAGCACCAGGCAGCCGGCCAGCTCGCGCGCCTCGGGCCGCAGCTCCAGGCCGAGCTGCAGGTGGCGGAGGCGGAAGAGCTGCGCGCTGGAGGCCGAGGCCACGTCCGGCGCGGGCGGCGGCGCGGGCGGCGGGCGGGCGGGCGCGGCCTCGGCGCCGGGCGCCTTGCGGCAGCAGCACTGCGCCGCCATCCGCTAGGGGCCCTCCATGGGCGCGGCCGCGGGCGAGGGGCGCCGGGCGCGGCGGCGGCGGGGCGCGGGCACAACAGGAAGTCGCGCCGGGAGCCGCCCGGCCCGGCCCCGCGCCGTGCGCCGCCCCGCTCGGGCTCCGCGCGGCCGCCGCCGGGGGCGCTGTGCGCGGGGCCGGGGCGCCGCGCGCGGGGAGTCGGGGGGCCGGGGCCGGGGCGCCGCGCGCGGGGGGCCGGGGGCCGGGGGTGTCGTGCGGGGGGCGCGGGGGCCGGGGGCGCCGTGCGCGGGGCCGGGGCGCCGCGCGCGGGGAGTCGGGGGGCCGGGCCGGGGCGCCGCGCGCGGGGGCCGGGGGCCGGGGGTGTCGTGCGGGGGGCGCGGGGGCCGGGGCGCCGCGCGCGGGGAGTCGGGGGGCCGGGGCCGGGGCGCGCGCGCGGGGAGTCGGGGGGCCGGGGCGGGGGCGCCGCGCGCGGGGGGCCGGGGGCCGGGGGTGTCGTGCGGGGGGCGCGGGGGGCCGGGGCCGCGCGCGGGGAGTCGGGGGGCCGGGGGCGCCGTGCGGGGGCGCGGGGGGCCGGGGGCGCTGTGCGCGGGACCCCGGGAGCTGAGTGCCGGGCGGGGCAGCGCGCTTGGGGCAGGCGCTGGGGCGGACCCCGGGCGCCGCGAGCAGCTCTGTGCCCGCCGGCCCGGCCCCTGCCGCGGGGGCCGGGTGCAAGGTGGCCCAGCCCGGTGGGCGTCCTACCGGGCAGCGCCCAGGTGATGCCCGCGCCGCTCCCGTAGGGCCGCGGCGGGCCGGGTTTCTGGGGCGGCTGCTGGGACCCCAGGGCAGGGCCGCCTCTGGGGCCGTCGCTGCTCCGGGAAGCCGGGCGTGTGGCTTAGAAGTCAGGGTGATCTGGGGCCTCAGGCCTGGGACCGGGGAACACGGACCAGAAAACCCGGGAGACCAGCCCTCCTGCCGCAGGCATGGTGTGGGCTCAGCGGCGAACCTGAGCCACGCTGCAGGTCGGGCCCCGCCCCGTGCGGCTCCTGGGGTTGAGGCCCAACATTTCAGCTCCACCATCACACTGGCCGCACGTCAAGGCCTTCTGCGCCCGCGTGTGTGGCCGTGCGTGGCTGTGTGTGGCCACAGCAGCCAGCCTGGATGGAGCTTGTGCCCCAAACACAGAAAGTTCTGCTGTGGTGCCGGCCGGCCCTGGGGTGCAGGCAGGGATGTGCCACCCAGCACCTGGCCTCCCTGCCCTGTCCCCCCCAGGCCTGCCCGGGAGCTGGGAGCCATCACACTGGCAGGAGCTGCTCACGAGGTGATAGGGTGGGTCGGGTGGCATGGGGTGTGTTCCGGCCACACTCTGTCCTTGGGGAGAAGGGCCTGGGATGTGGGCCCGCACCCCCAGAGCAGGACACACACAGCGCTTGGCCTCACACCCCCTGCACGGAGCCCTGAATTCCATATTCCCACCCACCTGCCTGCCCCCTGTGGTGTGGGGAGTGGGGTGGGCTGGCCACCGGGCAAGGACCCGGCTCGCTGAGGACATGCCCTCTTGGGGCAGCCACCTCCACTCACCAGGACCCCCAGGGTTCGTGCCCCACCAGTGACTCAGTCCTGTTCCTGAGACTAGAGGGAGGAGCTGGGGCGTGAGAGTCCTTGCTGCCTCCAGGTGGCCAGTGCCCACCCAGGTGGCCCATGCCTCGGTGCCAGAGCCCAGGGCAGGGTGGAAGCAGCATTACAGCTTCTCCAGAGCCCGTGCCAGCCTGCCCGGCCACCCTCTGGAGGCCCACGGGCACTTGCACCTCAGGGTGACTGGACACGGGGCCTTCTTGCCCTCTTGGTCCCCTGGACTTGGTGGGGGGGGGTCTCTGCTGGAGGGCCCTGGACATCTGTGTCCAGTTCTGTGCAGAGGGGTGTTGCTGGCCCAGTGGGACTTAGTGACCTCCTCCCCCACAAGAGGCGGCCTCACGGGGGCAGGGGAGAGGCCGCAGTGGGGGCAAGGCCCAGCTCTCTGGCTGGAAATGTCATTCTCCAGCCTTTGCTGACCAAACCCGGCCCACTTGGGAGATGCAGCAGTGGATGCAGCCTGCACCCCGTTGCCCCCAGAGCACAGGGCCTCCCCCACTCCCGAGGCTGCCTGGGAAGGAGCACGTCCCTGGCCTCACTGCTGGGAGGTGGGTTTGGAGGCGGGAGGGTTTCCAGGAGATGGCACTTGAGTGGGGTGTGCTGTCCCTTGGACAGAGGGGATCTGTGTGGTTCTTGGAGTGGAGCTGCGGGACCCACAGATATGCATCAATCCGGCTCGGCTCTGCTGCCCTCACGCCAGGCCAGGCCAGGGCAGGGCAGGGCAGGTGCTGGCCGTCAGAGGCCACGGCTTGCAGGTCAGAGGCCTGGGCCCAGGGCCTGATTCCCCACCTCCCTGCTGGGCACTCGGCTCACCTGGAGCCTGGTGGCCTGCCAACTGGGGACAATGACAGTAGCTTCCCTGTGGCAGTGATGAATAAGCCTGTGGGCATGCAGCTTATGCCGGCAGCTGGCAAGCCCCGTGTTAAAAGGGGTTCAGCCCCGAGCTGCAGGTGGGCCAGGCAGGTGGGGCCTCTGACTGGTGAGCTTGTGGATGTGGTGCAGGGTGCACCAGGCCACGTGGCATGGAAACAGGGCCAGTGGCCTCGCAGCCAGAGGTCCACAAGCAGGCAAGTCAGTGCATGGGGCCCTGTCACAGCCCCCCAGCGCTTCCCCCACAAAAGGCACTCCTTGGCCAGAGGTCTTCCTAGGTGGGGCACCTCCATCTGGGGCGCACCTGTGGATAGGAGGCTGAGACACCCCAGCCCCGGACTCTTCGGGCCCCAGAGGCACCGCTGGCTCTGCTGGGTGTGGTCATGTGGCAGTAGGTCCTCCTCCGGGGCCTTCTGCACCCTGGGGGCGTCCAGGTTGTGGGCGAGGGTGCGGGGGCTGCACCAATGTGGTGCCCACTCAGGCCCTGGGGCCAGGGGCTTGAGTTAGCCTGCCGGAAGGACCAGCAAGGAGGTGAGCGCCGGCTGAGGGCACAGGACTGGAGCCAGGGTGGCAAAGTGACTCAAGACAGAATTTTATTTGTGACTGTGTCACGCCCACCTGTACAGGTTGACCCAGACAGTGTTACCCGCGATTCCAAGCAGTCTCCCCGCTACCTGTCTCGGGAGTGTGGACGGCGGCCAACTTTATACCCTTAGGCCCCGGCGCCCAGGAGGGTGTGTGGGACTGGGAATCAGCCCCCACTCCTGCAGGCAGGGAGGCCAGGGCTCAGGGCTGAGGCTCCAGGGAGGGCAGCTGGAGGCAAGGGAGGCTGAGCCGCAAGGCGCCTCAGCGGGCGGGTGGCCTACTGCCTCGCACAGCCAGAAGCTCCCAGTTTGGAAGCAGGCCCAGGCTGGGGGGCCCGGGCTGGCTGGGGGCCTGGGATGGGGGCCCCCACCGCGGTCTGGAGCAAGTCCGTCGGCTCTCGCAGGTGGGGGGCTCGGCGAAGCCCCGGGGTCCTCGTGGAGGGGCCGCTGCCCGGCGCCCGCCCCCGCCACGCCGTAGCATTTTTCTGCCTGAGAGTCTGCGAGGGGTCCTAGATGTCCCGACCAGGCCCCCTCCTCGGGGGACACACCCTTGCACAGGCGGGGCCGAGGGGGCCGAGCCCCTCTGGGCTGCGTTTCCGAAAGGCCCGGAGCCGGGAGGAGCCGCGGGGCCGCAGGGGAGCCGCCCGGCCCGGCGCCTGCTCCCGGCGCGCCGGGGCCCAGGGCTAGGGCTCGCCCTGCAGCGCCTCTCGCCCGGCTCGGCACTGTCCCGGGGGCTCCCTGGGCAGGAGGGACTGGGCCTGCAGGGCCTCCTCGTACTTCTGGAGCTGAGCCCAGAAACCCGGGTTCGGCTCGGCCGCGGGGCGGGCGCTCTTCACCGCCTGCGAGGGAGACAGGGGTAAGCCCGCGCCGGCCCGCCCCCGAAGCCCCGCCCCCGGGAGGCCCCCGCCGGCCCGCCCCACGGAAGCCCCGCCCCCACGGAGGCCACGCCCACCTGGAGTTCCGCCGGCCCGCCCCTGGAGGCCCCGCCCCCACGGAGGCCCCGCCCACCTGGAAGGCGCGCGCCAGGCTGAGGCCGCGGTGCCGCATGAGGTAGGCGGTGCAGACGGCGGCCGAGCGGCTGCGGCCGTTCTTGCAGTAGACGAGGCAGGCGCCGCCGGCGCGCAGCGCGGCCTCCATGGCGGCGCAGGTGGGCTCCAGGTGCGACAGCAGGTCCTCGGCTGGGTCGTCGAACACGGGCACGCGCAGCTGGGCCACGCCGGGCGCGCGCGGGCCAGGCTGCTGTCGCGAGACGTTGACGCACAGAGTGACGCCCGCGCGCGTCAGCAGGTCCGGCGCGGCCGCGGCGCGCGCGCTCCCGAGGAAGAGCGCAGGGGCGACGCGCGCGAAGAGCGGCGGCGCGGCCTCGGCGGGCTCGCGGGGTCCGGCAGGCCCCGGGTCCATGACCCGCGCTCGGGCGCCCGGCCCTCCCTGCCCCGCGCGGGCTCCCCCTCTGGCCGGCTGCGCGCGGGCGGGGCCGCCGGGAGAGCGGACTGGCCGGGGCGGGGCGGGGCGGGGCGGGGCGGGGCGGGGCGGGGCGCGCTGGGGTCGCCGGCCGCCGCCCGCGTCCTGCCGGGGTGGGCGTGGCGCCCGCGCCCTGGGCGGCCCTTCCGTGCCGCGCCCTGGCCGGTCGGCGCCTCAGCTCCGCCCCGCGCGTGGGCCGGCGGCGGCGCTGCTCCCGCGGCTGCCCCTCCTTCGCGCCCGCGTCTCGCCTGCTTTCCCGCCGTCCCCGGGCGGGGCGCAGGGGCGCTCTCCGGCCTCACGAGCGCCAGCTCCGCTTCCCCGGGGCCGCAGTGTCCCGCCCCCCTTGCTCCTCGCCGTCAGCACGTGCGATCCGCCCCGCAGCCGCCGCACTCAGACCAGGCGCGCCCGCCCCGTGACCCTCCAGGCCCGCGGGGCTGAGGGAGGACGAGGGCGGAAACACTGGGGAGGGGCGCCCACCGCCGGAGCCTGCCCCACGCGACCATTAACCAGCTGTGGAGGCCGGACCCGGGGCGGGAGGCCCAGCAGGACCAGGTGCTCCAGGGCGTGGAGGCGGGGCCTCCCTGGGCTCTCGGCGCCCTTCTGGCGCTGCCTGTTGCCCCCCATCAGCTACAGGCAGCCGCTCCCCGGAGGAGTGACGCTCGCAAAGAGAAGAGGACTGTACCCGGAGGCTCTGCGCGGGCGCGGGGCAGCACCCCAGCGCCCGCCGGTGACGGTGGGGCCTCCTCGCCCTCTCCCCCGCAGCGCAGCCCCTGCCCCCGCGACCGCGCCCGCCGGGCTTCTCCTCACTGACCCCTCGGCGGAGGCCGCTCTCCTCAGGGCCGCGCCCGCCGGGGCTTCTCCTCGCGACCCCTCGGCGGAGGCCGCTCTCCTCAGGGCCGCGCCCGCCGGGGCTTCTCCTCGCGACCCCTCGGCGGAGGCCGCTCTCCCCAGGGCCGCGCCCGCCGGGGCTTCTCCTCGCGACCCCTCGGCGGAGGCCGCTCTCCCCAGGGCCGCGCCCGCCGGGGCTTCTCCTCACTGACCCCTCGGCGGAGGCCGCTCTCCCCAGGGCCGCGCCCGCCGGGGCTTCCTCACTGACCCCTCGGCGGAGGCCGCTCTCCCCAGGGCCGCGCCCGCCGGGGCTTCTCCTCACTGACCCCTGGGCGGAGGCCGCTCTCCCCAGGGCCGCGCCCGCCGGGGCTTCTCCTCACTGACCCCTCGGCGGGAGGCCGCTCTCCTCAGGGCCGCGCCCGCCGGGGCTTCTCCTCACTGACCCCTCGGCGGAGGCCGCTCTCCCCAGGGCCGCGCCCGCCGGGGCTTCTCCTCACTGACCCCTCGGCGGAGGCCGCTCTCCTCAGGGCCGCGCCCGCCGGGGCTTCTCCTCGCGACCCCTCGGTGGAGGCCGCTCTCCCCAGGGGCGCGCCCGCCGGGCTTCTCCTCACTGACCCCTCGGCGGAGGCCGCTCTCCCCAGGGCCGCGCCCGCCGGGCTTCTCCTCACTGACCCTCGGCGGAGGCCGCTCTCCCCAGGGCCGCGCCCGCCGGGGCTTCTCCTCACTGACCCCTTGGCGGCGGAGGCCGCTCTCCTCGGCCGCCGCCCGCCCGCGCGGGCCTCTCGGCAAACCTGCCCCCTCGGGGCAGCGCCTCCTGCCCGCGGTGTGTGCGCCGGGCCCTTCGCGCGGCCGCCCCTCCCCTAATAAACCTGCTCTTGATTCCCACGAACGTCTGTCTCGTGGAGAAACGCGCCTGGAAACTCGCCGCGGGTCGCTGAAAGGGAGCTCTGGGGACCCTTTTCCCCGGGTGACCCCGGACCCGCACTCCACTCGCGGAGTCCAGCGACGCCCACGGAGGACCCGCGGCCACCAGCGCCGGTGCCGGCGGCTGCAGCCTGGGCCCCTGGAGCGAGACTCGCAGGGCGGGCCTGAGGCCGCTCGGAGCAGCCGCCCCGCGCGCCCTGCCAGGCGGGCTTGCCAGCGAGGGGAGCCAGCGCTCTCCCCGGCTCCCGGGGCACCGGCCGGCAACTGCCCGTCGCTGCGGGCGTGAGTGGAGCGGCCCGCGCGCCTCCTGTCGGCCCCCGCGAGCCCCCGGCCCTCCGGCGGGCACCCTGGTCGGCGCGGCGCCGCGCGCGGGAGCAGAGGCGGCCTGCGCGGCCCGCCTGGCTCACGGCCACCTGGGGTGGGCCCTCCACGGCCGGGCTCCGCTCCGGGAAAGGGCGTGGAGAGCCCCGGCTGGTGGAAGCACCAGGCGGCCCGCGGGAAGCGGAGCTGCGAGGCAGCCCGGCGCCCGCGCCCCCCCCACACCCCCGCCGCCCTCCGCCCGCGGGCGTCGCCGTGGGCCGCCGCAGGAGCTCGGCCCGGAGCCCTCCCGCCCGCCGTCTGCGCCCCCGCGGCGCCCGCCCAAGGAGCTGAGCAGGGGCGCGCGTCCGGCCCCGCGGGGTCCTCCAGCCGCGCCCGCAGGGCCTCGAGGGCCGAACGGCCGCCCACGGGGCCCCCGGCCGTCCGCGCGTCTGACCGCAGGCAACGCCCGGGCGCCCCCTGACGGCGAAGCCGACGGTGCCCCGCGTCGCCCGGAAGCCCGCGCCGGACAGTGCGGACGCGGCCCGGCTGCCCGCCGGCGCCCCCTCACGCAGGTGTCCGGACCGCGCCCGTTCGGGGAAACGGGGTGAGGCGCCGGCAGCGGCGGGAGGGGCACCCCGTCCCGGCAGTGCGGCGCGGTGGGCGTGTGGGACGCGGCGTGTGGGGGGTGCGGGCGTGTGGGGGGTGGGGGTGTGGGCGTGTGGGGGTGGGTGTGGGTGTGTGTGGGGTGTGGGTGTGTGGGGTGTGTGTGGGGGTGTGAGGTGCGGGGGTGTGGGGTGTGGGGCGTGCGGGCGTGTGGGGGTGTGGGGGTGTGTGTGAGGGGTGTGGGTGCTGGGGTGTGGGGGGTGTGGGTATGTGGGGGGGTGGGCGTGTCGGCGCGGTGTGTGTGGGCGTGTGGGCGTGTGGGGTTGTGAGGGTGTGGGAGCTGTGGGGGGGTGCGGGCGTGGGGGGTGTGGGGGGTGTGGGCGCGTGGAGGGCATATGGGCGCGGCGTGTGGGGGGTGGGCTGTGGAGGTGTGGGCGTGTGGGGGGTGGGGGGATGTGGGCGTGGGGGTATGAGGGTGTGGGGGTCGTGGGAGTGTGTGGGTGTGTTGGGGTGTGGGCTGTGGGGGCGTGTGTGGGGGCGTGGGGGCGGGCTGTGGGGGCGTGCGGGGGCTTGGGGGACGTGGGGGAGTGGGGGGACGCCTGCGGGGCGCGGCGGGGGTGGGACATGTGTCTGGGCTGGCGCGGGGGCGTGTCGTGTCGGGGACGCCGCATGTCGGGTCGGGTCGGGTGGTGTCGGGGTGCTCCCCGCAGGCGCGCGCCGTCGTGTCCGGTGGGGTCGGGACGCCGCGGGGGCGCGGCGGGGCGGACGGCCCCTCCTGGGCTGGGCCCTCGAGCCCCACGCTGCGGGGAGCCGGTCACCCCGAGATTCGTTCCCTGGCCGGGGCATTTGCTGGGCTCACAGGCTCGCCGAGGCACAGACCAAAGCTGACTCCGACCGTCCTGGCGGGCGCGTGGCGGCAGGACGCGCTTCCGGTGAGCACCCCGGGCGGCCCGGTCCCGGGCCCGAGCGGCCGGCGCGGGGCCCAGCCCCGGGCGCCCCCCCCCCGCGCTTCTGGCGTGGGGCGCTCCTGGCCGCGCTCGCCCGGCGGGCTCGTCGTCAGGTCTGCCGGGTTCGCCCCCATCCAGCTCCTGAGCTGTCGCCTCCGGCCCCGGGCGGGGTCGCCGTCTTGCCCTGGGGTGCGGGAGAAACGCCGCCGGCTGCAGCCCCGACTGCGCAGACCTGGCCCAGCCGGAGGCCCCGGGCGGCGTCCCCCTCGCGGGCGGCGCGGAAAGGCGCCCCGGGCCGGGCCAGAGCAGCCCCGCCACGGCCTGCGGAGCCCAGGCTGGGGAGGGCGATGGCGGGCGGGGGGTGAGGGCTCCGCGCCGGCTGGTGGGCGCGTGGTGGCATGCTTCCGCGGGGATGTGGCCTGCACCCCTAAAACGCGAGGTCAGAAACCCCTGTCACCCTGATTAAAAGTAATTTCATCAAAAATGACCCGTGGCCCGCGAGCTGCGGCGGCGCGCCAGGGACCAGCCCGCGGGGAGGAACCGATTCTGCACAAAAATGAGCCGTGTAAGAAAATAAATTTTTAAAAAGGCCCGTTTCCAAACGAGGGCACTCGCAAGTCAACCTGTCTTTTTCGGGGGGCGTCACCAGCCACCCCCCGTGGTAGGGGTCGCGGGACAAGCCTGCGCGGCCAGCCTGGGTCCCGCGGCCGCCCTCCCGCCCGAGGCGCCTCCCCGCGCGGCGCCCGGGACGTGCGCCCGCGCCGGCTGCCGGCTGCCCAGGCTCCCTGCGGGCGCTCCCGCGGCGGCGGCCGGGCCTGGGGGCGATCCCGCGGCCGAGGGAGCAAAGCCGGGAGCGGCCCGCGCTGCCCGGTGCTCGCCCCGCAGCTGCGTGCGGGCCCGCAGAGGGACAGAGTCGCCGCTAGGGCGCCGGGAAGGGCGCCGGAGGCGCTGCGGGGAGCGCGCGGCTCGGGCAGCGCTGGGGGGGGCCGAGCTGCAGCCAAGCAGGGGTGCGAGGGAGGCGGCGCCGGCGCCTGCAGGGAGGACGGGGGGCGCGCGGGGGTGTGTGGGGGTAGAGGGTGCCCGCGGAGGCCCGAGCGGGGACGGCCACACCCCGGAGACCGGGCCCCGCCAGCCGGCCGGGAGGTGGAGGCGCGGGGGCGTCTGAAGCGCGAGCCCCGCGTCCGCGCACAGCAGGTCGGGCAGGCGGGGCCGGCGGCGCCACCACACCGGACCCCAGCCCCGGCAGCCCCGGCAGCCCCGGCAGCCCCTGCAGCCCGCGGCGGGGGCGCCCCTTACTGACCATCGGGTCTGCGGGCGCCGCGAGGCTGTGGCTGCCGCGTTTCCTCGTCCCGGCAGGCGGGAGCCTCTGGGCGCCTGCGGGGCAGGTGGGGGCCGGGGCCGGGGCGCGGGGGCGGGATGGGCCTGGAGGGAGGGCCGAGAGGGAGCCGGGCAGAGGGGCGGGAGCCCTGGGAGGCAGAGCTGGGGGGCGCGGGCAGCCCGGGCGCCCTGGCACCGCAGCCTCAGCTGCAGCCGGCCGGGTCCGTGGGCCGCCCGGCCCGGCCCCCCCACGCAGGGGCGGCCTGGGGGAGAGCCCCCCGCCCCTGCGCCTCCGCGGCCCCCGCAGCCCCTCTCCAGCCCTCTCCTCGGCCTGACCGCGGCTCCCGCTGGCCCGGGCCCCACCGCCTCTGGCGCCCCCCCCAGGAGCCCCGCTCGGGCCTCCGGCGGACGCTTCCTGACCCCCCACGGCGGCCGAGGGCGGCCCGCGCCGGTCGGCCCCTGCGCTGGCATCCGCGGCGTCCCCCGGCACCGCCTGCTCGTCCCCCGGCACCAGCGTGGCGGCCGAGCCGCGTCCTCCGCTGGGCACCGAGGTCGGTGGCCTAGGTGGGCCCGGCCCGGCCCGGCCCGCTGTGGGGATCGCGCCGGGGCGCGGCGGGCGCGGGTCGGGTCTCGGCTGTGAGGTCGCAGGGGCGTGGCGTGGCGTGGCGTGGCGGGCGCGGGGATTGGCGGAGGCCGGGCGGGGCGGGGCGGGGCGGGGCGCGGGGATTGGCGGAGGCCGGGCGGGGCGGGGCGGGCGGGTCTCCAGGGAAACCCGACGCTGGCTGCGCGCTGGCTGCGGCCACGAGCCCGGGTTCCGCGTTTGTGCTGCGAGGGCCGCGGTCTTGGGCCACCCGGACGGTCGGTGCGCGCTCTCCCGGCCTTTGGTCGGCAGTGAGCGGGTGAGGGAGGGGCCGGGCCCGGTGGCCGCAGGACCTGCTCGTGGCTCGAGGCTGGGCCGACCCGCTGTCCTCCTCGGAGAGGCCAGGCCGACTTGGAGCCCGGCGCGGGTGAATGTGTGGCTGGGTGGGGCGGTGGCCCCGGACCGGGCCTCTGCCACCCTTCCGCCCGCAGAGCCTGCTGGGGAAGGAGACCCTGCACCGGCAGGGCATAGGACAACGGCCTCGGGCTCCCAGGGGAGGGAGCACAGGACACCCCTGGGTGCTGGGCAAGGTCTCCCCCAGGGGGTTTCCAGCAGGCCCCGCCTTGGCGGCCTGGGGCAAAGGGTCTCCTTTCTCTGAGGCCTGTGGGGTTGCGGTGGGGTCCCCAGGCACCTGCCAGAGCCCTGAGCCTGTGTGTTCCCAGCTTCACTTCCAGGTTTGGAGCAGACATGGAAGGAAGCCCATCCCCCTTAGCCTCAGATTCCCCGGGAGCCCCACGGGCCTCCTGCCCGGTAGAGCAGCTACAGGGGGCTCCGAGGACCGAGGACTTGAGGATCCTGGGGAGCTCCACGCTCTTCTCCCAGAGGTGCGAACTGCCTCAGTTCCAGTACCAGATGTAGCTGGGCCCGCAGGGGGGCAGGTGTTAAGCTTCCCAGTGGGAACGGCCTGTGCCAGGGTGCCCACCCATCTCCCTCCACTCCCTCACCCCTCACCGCCTTGGGGATGCGTCCCAGGGAGCTGGCATGGCCTCCGTGCACAGCCGGCCGTGAGGTGGGAGCTCTCAGGCCTGTTCCAGATCAGCTGCTGCCTCGAGCTTCAGCTCCACCCATAACCCCCTGTGTTGCCCATCATGGAGCAGCGTGCCCGTACGCTGGACGCTGCCCCCCAAGTGGTGGCATTAGGAGGGAGTTGGGTCTGGATGAGCCCCGGAAGGGGCTGTGTCCTTGCAATAGGGCAGAGAGGCCAGGGTGCTTCCTGTCCACCCAGTGAGGACAACAGGGAAGCAGGCCCTGGCCGCCCGGTCTGCCGTGCGCCGAGCCCAGACCCCTGCCCCGGGTCTGTGGGAAAGAAACAGCAGCTCTGCAGCCACCCGGGCTGCGGCTTTGATCTGTTCGCCCCGGACTGCAGCCCCATGTCAGCTGTGAGGAAGCTGGGTCTTGAGAAGTGCCTGCCCGGTGGCAAGCACACGGCTCTGCCTGGTCCTGTCCAGTGACCCTCGGTGGACCCCAGCCGGCCGCTTACATTAATGACGTTCTTGGCTTGCCTCCAGATTGTTTCCATCTAATTTCCTTTTTAGGAAAAAATGCAAACTTTCCTCATGTCCCCTGTAGATCGTTTCCTCATTTTTAAAAGTTAAGTAAGCAGCGTCTGCTGTGCGGAGAGCAGCGAGAGAAGATGGCGCTCGCCAGGCCTGTGGCCAAGCGTGCTTGCGGGCGTCCGTCCCCTGCGCCTTTCTCTGCACCGACATCCCTCCCCATGCCCCTCTCCCCATGCCCCCCTCCCCGTGCCCCCCTCCCCATGCTTCCCTCCCCATGCTTCCCTCTCCGTGCCCCCCTCCCCGTGCCCCCCTCCCCATGCTTCCCTCCCCATGCTTCCCTCTCTGTGCCCCCCTCCCCGTGCCCCCCTCCCCATGCCCCCCTCCCCGTGCCCCCTCCCCGTGCTCCCCTCTCCGTGCCCCCCTCCCCGTGCCCCCCTCCCCGTGCCCCCCTCCCCGTGCCCCCCTCCCCGTGCCCCCTCCCCGTGCTCCCCTCCCCGTGCTCCCCTCCCCATGCTTCCCTCTCCGTGCCCCCCTCCCCGTGCTCCCCCCGTGCTCCCCTCCCGGTGCTCCCGATGTGGGCGACTGCCCCGAGTGCCCGAGGCTGCAGTGTGACGCCAGGTTTTGCGAGAAGGAAGCTTTGTTGCAAATGGGTTGGCAGGGCGCAGTGGGGCGGCTCCCTCTGCCCGGGTTGGGAGGGACGAGGTGATGTAGTTTGGGGACCAGCGTGGAGGACAAGCAGCCCCTTTCCCGGCCGAGGCGCGGAGGGCCGGCCTCGTGGTTGGCGCGGAGCCGCGCGTGACGCTTCCTTCCTGGCGTGCGGGGTGTCTGCAGCAGCGCCTGCCCCGGGGCCTCCGTGCGGTGCGCTCGGGCTGCAGATGGAGTGCACGTGGGAGCCCCGGAGAGAACGTGGGGTACTTTCCCTGTTCCCTCTTCAGCCCTGAGAGCAGTTTAACCCTTGGGCGGGGTCCCCCGACGAGGCGGCCACGTGGGATAAGGCAACCCAGTGACCCCCTTCGCCGGCCACCTCTGAGACTTGGCCCCGCATAAGGTTGCAATGTCAGGTCCTGGGATTTAGGGGTTTCTGGAAGGAGGGGACACAGGTAACGGGGTGGAGCCCCGGCCGGAAGCCCCGGCCACATCGCTGCTGCGTGCGGGGCCTTCTCGGGCCTCTGCGGGTGCGCGGGGGGCGTGGAGGAGTGTGCCCAGCGGGGCCCTGATTTCGTGGGCAGGCGGAGGCGTGGCCCGGGGCTGGCCCTCGGGGGCCAGCTGGTGGAGGGCCCGAGCCTGGGGGCTGCGCCCCGTGCTGGGCGGCAGCAGAGACGCCGGCGCGCCACGGAGCCTGCTCTCACGTGGCGGCTTGAACTTCTGGGCAGTAAGAGCAGGACAGACGCGCCCACCCGTGCCTGTGCCCGGCCCCGGCTGTGCCCCTCCGTCCTTCCGTCCTTCCGTCTGTCCGGCTCACTGGCGGCCCCTCCCCCGGCACGGCCCAGCCCGCCCCCGCGCAGGCCTGTCCTCCTCAGACCCTGCCTTTGTCCCCACATTGTGCTGCGTCTGCGTCCCCGGCGTGGGCAGCGCCGGGCTGGACAGGAGACCCGTGGGGGCGCCGCGCTGCTCTCGGGGACGGCCCCGGCACCCGGGCGGGCCCCTCCTGTGAGCTGGGCAGGGCCGCACGTCCCGTCACCCCCGCTGGTGGCGCAGCCCCGGGCACCGCCGGGCATCGAGCCTCGGTTTCCCTGTCTGGGCTCCGGGGAAGGCCACGGCTCCCGCCCGCGCCGCGCCGGGAGGGCGAGGAGATGGGCGGGGCTCCGGGCTCACGTGCTCTGCCTGGCCCTCTCCCAGCGACACCCCGGAGGCCCCGGAGGACGAAGAGGAGGAGCCCCAGAGTCCGCCTGGGGAGCAGGGCCTGAAGGACACCCCCGTCCCGCTGGCGCAGGGCATGCAGGAGTGGCCGGACGGCTGCGTGTACCGAGGCCAGTTCGGGCTGGGCATGAAGCTGGGGCACGGCGAGTTCTCCTGGCCCACGGGCGAGGTAACTGCCCGCCTCCCGGGGCCCTCGGGCCGGGGCACGCTCTCCTGGGCTCGCGGGCGGCGCCCCTGCCTGCCTGGCTGTCTGCAGGCTGCGGCTCGGGCCCGGCGCTGCCGAAGGGAGGCTCCTGTCCCGGGCGGGTGTCTGGGCCGCGCGTGGCTGCCGTGAGCGGGGACCTCAGACGCCCATAGGCCGGGGACAGGGGCTACTAAGGAGCAGATGGAAGCGGGTTCCAGCGCCCTGCCGAGGCTCCCCCGAGACCCTGCCGCTCCTGGGCAGCCGTGGGGTGCAGACGCTGACCGTGTGGTCACAGCCCGCCCGGCAGGGGCAGTTCAGAGCAAGGGTGCCCCCGTGAGCCCGCAGAGGCCCCTCCAGACACCTCGCTGAGGCATCCGGGCCAGGGGGCGGGGCCGCGGGGCCCCCATGGCGGCTGGCTGGGGGGGCGGGGCCTGTGCTGGCCCAGAGCAGCAAGGCAGGGGTGGGGCAGGGCCGTGGGCAGGAGCAGCTGTGCCCGCACATCCCCCTGGAGGTCAGCGGCGTCCCTGAATGGAAGGGCCGGCACTGACCCTTGCTGGGGGTCTGGAGGCTGGCGGCGGGCAGCCCTTCTTCAGGGTGGAGCGAGGTTGGGGTCCGCAGCCTGAGGGGGGCCCTCCTCGGCCAGGGCTCCTCAGCAGAGGCCGGTCCTGCCGCGCCCCACGGTGGGTACCTCCTTCCTGACTCAGGCTGTCTCCGAACTTGCAGGCCCCCCAGCCCCCTGTGCCTGGGCAGGAGGGAGCATGGCCAGCAGGGGGCTGACCACCTGGCACCCGCCTGCGTGATTTAGGTGACCGAGTCCCCGAACTTGAAGGTCTCGGCGGCCCCACGGGTCCCCTGCCGACCGCCCCACTCTGTTGGCAGCGCTACCACGGGCAGTTCTACCGGGACCACCGCCACGGGCTGGGCACCTACGAGTGGCCGCAGGGCTCCAGCTTCACGGGCACCTTCTACCTCAGCTCCCGCGAGGGCTACGGCACCATGTTCCTGAAGGCTCGGCTCTTCCAGGTGAGGCCCAGCTGCCCCGGTGAGGCCCGGCTCCCCAGGTGAGGCCCAGCTGCCCGGGGCGGCCCCACAGCCTGCTGGCACCTTGCCTCTGCTAAGCGCTTGACTGGTAGCGCTGCGTCTCTCTGAGGACCTGGTGGAACCGGGACGGGCTCCCCGAGGAGACACAGGGAGGGACAAGCTTGGGGCTGTGGACCCTCCATGGACAGGTGCTGGGACATTTGCTTTTTGCTGATCTAAGCTGGATCCTTCCAGTGCTGGTGTTGGGGCTCCGCCTCCCCTGGGCTGCCCTCCTGGCTTTGCAGACACAGTTCTGGGGGTTTTACCCAACATAAATCAAGCTACAGAAGTCTGTCACCCCAAAATAGTGACCTGTGCCCCTTGGGACAAGCCTCCCCTCAGTCTGGCCCCTCTGGGCCGGGGGTGCCTTAGCCCTTGCAGGGATCTCACCGCCGTGGAGCGTGGGGTCTCCGACTCAGCTAGTTGCCCTGAGACCTGCCCCGCCATGCACACGTGGGGCAGTCCCTCCCCCAGCCGTGGCCTCCTGGTGTGCCCCCACGGCTTCCCCAGCCCCCAGCCCCCGAGCAGAGTTTGGGCTGTTCCCAGCAGTTGGAACCATGAATAAAGCTGCCGTGAATACAGGGTTTGTGAGTGTGTGTGTTCACACGCATGTGCGTGAGCAGGTTTTTGTCTCAGTGGGTGTGTGGCCTAGGGGTGGGGCAGTGGTCGGTGTGGACCAGTGCTCCTTCCTCCAGGCGGCCAGCCGGGCTGCTGGCCCTGGACCCGGCGCGCCCGTGGCACGGGAGGGCCCAGCTGCTGCACGGCCTGGACCGGGGGTCTGTCGGCTGCATCCTGGCGGCGGCTGCTCCACGCCGGGCGGCCTCCAGGCTTGGCGCACTCCCCGCGCACCGTCATCATCGTGGGCGTTGGCGTCCTTCCTGGCTGGCCTGGGCTTTCTCCTTCCCTTTGCTCAGTCTCCCTGGGGCCATTGTGCTTGCGATCGCTTCCCCCAGAACCTTCCCCTGGCGTGGCGGGTCTTCCTCTGGTTGGGCCCATTTCAGTACCGGCTTCTTTATTCTTTTCTGCCGACACATCTGCTTCCGCTGGCTGGTTTTCAGCCTCTCCCCTCCCTGACTCGGACTGAAGCGCGCAGCTCCGGCGACGGCCCGCGCTCCTTGCTTCTCATTTGGTTCAAAATACATTCCAGTTTCCCTCGGACTTCAGTCACGCTCCTTCGGTGAGTAGCACTCGGTGCTCAGAGTGCACTGGGTTCCTGCAGCTCCGCGTGGTTTTGGTGCTTTGGAGCTCGAGGTTTGCCTTATGACGCTGACAGCGGCCGACTTTGACAATGTTCTGCGAGTTCATGGAAAGAACACGCCTGTTCGCAGCTGTCATGGGAGCGCTTCACGTGTGGCTGGGCCCCAGATCTTTTAGGGGCTCTGTGTACTCTCTGTTCCGCCCCTTCGGCCGGTGAGTAGGAGAGGTCCGAGAGCGCCTCCCGCTCTGTGGATTCTTTTACTTGTTACAACTGGGTCAGGTTTTGCTTTATGCATTTTGAGACCCTGTTATTCGGTGAGTGGAGGTTTAGATGCGTTCTATCTCCCTGTAGGTTCTGCCTTTTATTTATTATTTTTAAAGATTTATTTATTTTATACAAGAACCGGGGCACAGGCCAGAAGCGCAGGAGGGTGAGGGGACTCAGCAGAGACAGAGCGGGGAGCAGAGCAGGCAGACTGACGAAGTACGCTGCTGAGGGGAGCAGCGGGCGGCAGTAGAGGTCTGAGCGCCATGTGGGAATCTCCCTGGCTAGCCGGGATCGAACCTGCGCTGCAGAGGCTGCGGACAGCTTCACAGTGCTGCGCTCATCCCACTGCGCCACGGGGGAGGCCTGGTTCTGCCTTTTAATAGTGTGATTTACTTCTTGAAAAAACCAATCAAACAAAAACTCTTGTAATGCTTCATGCCCCAAAGTCCAATGTTTAGCTCTTCATCAGACTGTGTTGGCCATTTAGAGTTATTTTCCTGCCCTTGCCCCATAATCTAACTTTCGATCTTTTCCACCGTTTTGGATACTCTTCTTCCTTCGGAGAAGGTGTGTGTGGAGCAGGGGCGCGGACAGAGGCAAAAGGGCAACAAGGCAGGAGGCCGGATGGAAGGACGGGGTGGCTGCCCCCTGCCGGGCTCTGAGACCAGAGCGGCCAAAATGTCCCAAGGGCCAAAAACCAAAACCAAGTGTCTAACAAAGGACAGTGTCCACTAGAGGACAGGTCAGTCTGCGGGTCTCACCCACATGCACAACTGCAGGAGGCCTCGGCTCTGGCAACACCCACGCGCACGGGTGCAGCTCACACACAGGGTGACAGCGCTCATGTGGCCACGCGGGGCCACCTCACCCTGACGCGTCAGTGATTGTCCCGCCGGTCACCAGGTGTCTGGGCACCACTGACCAGTGTGAGGGCCACCAGGAGCCTGGGCAGCACGGGCCGGTGTGAGGGCCACCGCTGGCCCCAGAGGCAGGTCAGAGACACCCCGTGTGACAGTGCCCGGGTCTCGGGCTCCTCCAGGCGGCGTCGGGCGGGACTGGCCGTCTGTGACCGAGTCCTCCGGCCCCTCCCTCCTGGGGGCGGCTGCTGGACGCTTTCCTTTCTCTGGGGGCCGCGATGGTCCTCCCCGCCTCCCCCTCCCGCGGGCAGCGCCGCCGTCGCGGCCACTTCTCCTCAGGCGCGGCTTCCCCTTTCCTCAGCGGGCCCGGCTTGTATCCCGGGGAGCCCTGCCCACAGCCTGAGCGGCCGCCGCTCCGTCCTGCGGCTGACTGGGCCGTTTAGCCCCGGTGAGCTCAGAGCTCGCGCCTGACGGGTCCATTGCCTGCTCCGGGCGGTGCCCTGTTACATGAGAGGGCCCTGAGGCGCCCGGCCCCCCACCCCCCACCCCCGCCAGCAGGGCTCCCTCCCCGGGCCCCACACAGCAGACCCCCCCGCACCCTCTCCGCCGTCCACGGCGGGCCCGGCACCTGCGCGAGGCGGGCCGGGGCCCCCGCGGTGGAGGCGCAGCCGCTGGGCCAGCCCAGTCGCCGCCCTGTCCGGGCCGCCCGCGTGTCCGCCGCGCCCGGCCGCCTGGGGGCAGCGGGGAGGGGCCGCCGGCCGCTGAGGACCCGGGAGGTGGGCAAGGGCCGGCGCCTGGGGTGGCACAGCCTGAAACCCCGGGAGGCCGAGCGGACGGGCTTGGAAGTCGCTCCGCGGACTCCGCTCGCCGTGACGCGGCCTCCCGAGCCCGCCGAGGGCCGCCTGCGGTCCAGCCCCGCCTGCACCCTCCGGTGTGCCCGCCCGTGTGCCTGCCCGCACCCACCCGTGTGCCCGCCTGTGTGCCCGCCCGTGTGCCCGCCTGTGTGCCTGCCCGCACTCATCCTTGTGCCCGCTTGTGTGCCCACCTGCACCCACCCGTGTGCTCGCCCGTGTGCCTGCCCGTGTGCCCACCCGTGTGCCCGCCTGTGTGCCTGCCCGCACTCACCCTTGTGCCCGCAGGTGTGCCCGCCCGCACCCACCCATGTGCCTGCCCGTGCGCCCGCCCATGTGCCCGCCTGTGTGCCTGCCCGCACTCATCCTTGTGCCCGCCCGTGTGCCCGCCCGTGTGCCCGCCCGTGCCCGCCAGCTGTTTGCTGGGCTCCACTCTGCGCTGGGTAGACGGGGCAGCTTGAACACGTCACTTGGCTTTCGGAGGCTCAGTCTGACACTTTCTACCCTTCCGTCACCTGCCAACCCCGCCGCCTCCTTTGTCAGGCGCTGCCCCTTTCCGGAAGGTCCCACGCGGGGGCCGCGCAGTGCAGGGACACACCTGCCTCGTGATGTCCGTGCCTTCCGCGCCAGCCGCGCCCGCGCGCGCCCCCGGTTCTGCACGCTGCCCCAGCCGCTGTCCCCGAGAAGGGGTCAGCGCGCCCTCACCCGCAGGACGGGCTTCCCCTCGCTGACTCGCCGGCAGCTGCTGAGTGCCTGCAGGCCTGGGGTCACGAACACAGCTGTTCGGGACAGTTGAGCATTTTATTTTCTCTTGACTGAACCACATGCTAAGTGTAGGATACTTTTTTTAATTGAATAGTTTTATTTTTTTAAAGATTTATTTATGTATGCACACAAGAGCTGGGGTGCAGGCCAGAGCTGCCGGGGGTGAGAGGACTCCCCAGAGACCGAGTGGGGAGCAGACCAGGTAGATCCACTGGCACACACTGCTGAGGGGAGCAGCGGGGAGACAGGAGGGTCTGCTGCGCCCTGTGGGCTGCTCCCTGGCCGGGGATGGAACTCGCACTGCAGAGGCTGCGTCTTAACCCCCTGCGCCACCAGGGAGCCCAGTGTAGGATAAATTTGATAAGCAACAGAACAGTGGTTTTTCAAAGTGGCAGTGCCGTTGTCCATGTCAACTGCCAACATGGACGTTCCAGTGGCTCCCCCCCTTTGTGATGTCTTACTGTGTTTGGCTTTGCAATGCCATGCGCATGATCTTGAGCATCTTCTCACCTCCACTGCAGGGGACACGTGTCCGGGGAACTTCTCTGTGCTCCCGTGCCAGCTCTTCTCCCGGGGTCTCCTTGTCACGGGGGGTGGCCCTGCTGGTTGCCATTCCTCGCCCAAGGCCCTCCTGGCTTATCCCTCTTCAGTCTTCCACCCACAGGCGATTTGCTTGCCGTGTGCCATGGAATTGTCCGCAGAGGCCCGGAAATCGCTGCAGTCTGCTGGGCTCATGGGAGCAAGGATGAGCTCCCCCCACCCCTAGTTCACACCCGCCTCGACACCCGCTTCCACCCACTGCTGGCGCAGCCTGTTGGGGGTATTTGGGCTGGACGCTCAGTGTTCACGCTGTGGGGGGCCTGGGGCTCAGCACACGTGAGGCCGCCCTGACACTGTGTGGGTCCCACCTTCTCCACGAGGCCACCGCTTGGCCACCCGGGGCGGCACACTCCCGCCAGCGCTCCCGGGCCCGGGCATGTCAGCCTCAGCACTCGTCAGAGCAGCGCGTTCCGTAGGACTGTGGTGTCTTGCTCCTGGGAGGAGCCGAGGCTGCTGACACCTCTTTGCCCGGCAGGGGCTGTACAAGGCGGACGAGCGCTTCGGGCCCGGTGTGGAGACCTACCCCGACGGCTGCCAGGACGTGGGGCTGTGGCTCCGGGACCACCTCATCCAGCTGTGCACCGAGGTCCCCGGGGCCTTCTCCATCCGCAACTACCCCGAGTTCCAGGACTTCCTCACCCAGCCCACAGCAAGAGTCAGCCTCGCCGACAAGGGGGAGCCGGGCTGGGGCCTGAGCGAGGAGCAGGACCCCCTCTTCTACGACTACAAGCGCTTCCTGCTGAGCGAGGACCTGACGCTGCCCCCCGAGCTGAGCCTCTACTCCACGGACAGCGGCCACCTGCCCATGACCAGCGCCCTCTGCCGCGACCTGGACTCCCGCATCTTCCTGAACGGCCTCCCGCCCTTCGTGGAGGACGCGGAGCCCTGGCTGGTCAGGAACGAGACGCCCCTGCTGCTCCGGATGCAGAGGCACGCCTACAGGTTCAGGTAGCTGTCGCGGGCGCCGGCCGCCTCGGGGGCCATGGCCGCTGCAGATTTGTGCGGACAAGGGCCTCGGTGTGCCTGACCCAATGGGGGCGCGGAAGGCCCCTGGTGTGGAGGGCTGCGGGGGCCCCTCATGTTCTCACAAGGAGCTTGTGAAGTGCTGGGGCTGCTGCCTGCTCTGGGGCAGGAGGGCTGGAGGTCGGGCCCGGAGCTGGGGTGCTGCCCAGGCCACGGAGCCCTGGGCCGAGGGGCTGTTTCCGGCCTGTGCAGGCTGCGTGGGGCCCCACAAAGAGGAGCCTGGGGTGCCCTGGGGCACGGATGTGGGCTGGGCCAGAGGCCACCGGGCGCCAGGCGTGGCCGGTTGCCGGGGCTGGCTGAGCCTCTGCTGGGGGCAGGAGGGGTGGAGAGGCCCCGCTGGAAGGGGCGAGCGCCCGAGGGGAGCTTCTGCTCCTGCATGCAGCCGGCATTTTCAGACCATCATGGTCTCTTTCCTGGACACCCCTGGTGTCCCCAGACACCCCGAAACTTTTAAGAAAGTGTTTTGTGAGCACAAGTGGCTACTTCTATGTCCACCGCCCACCTCTACTCACCAACTGCCCATCCTCCAGGCACCAGCTGAGCCGTGTCCCAAGGCTGGTGCAGAAGCTCCCTGAAACCCAGGGGGGTGTCCGCAGGGGCTTTGAGGCGGGACGGCCTGGGCAGAGCCCGGCAGAGCAGGCGGAGTGCGCGGGCGGGGAGGGAGGGGCAGGGGCCCTCGCAGCCTCTCCTGCCCAGGCTGGGCATTTACCCTGAGGCGCTGCCTCCCTGCCCTCCCCGCCAGCAGGGCAGCCCCAGGGCCCAGGCGGACAGCCGGGACAGAAGGCCCCCAGTGTGGGGCAAGGGAGCAGGGCAGGGGCGAGGCAGGTGCGGTGCCGGGGCGGGGCAGGCCGCTGAAGCCCGCTGCATTGTAGGAACAAGCGGGCCCACAGCAGCTGGAGGATGGACGCCATCCTGGCGGGCGACCGCAGCTCCTTCGGGCCCAGTGGACCCAAGGAGTGTCTTTCCAAGGAGCTGATCCTGAAGGCCCAGGAGGGGGACTACCGCTGGGTGCACAGGGCGCTGAGGGAGAGCCTGGTCAGCCCCGATGTGGCAGACGCCAGGGGCTACACCGTGCTGGCTGCGGCCGCGGTGAGCTCCCCACCGGGGTGCTCCTGTGGGCTCCGTCTGCCAGGATCTGAGTGATGGCACCCTTGTGGGGCGCCCCTCTGTCTGTGATGCCCCCAGGTGTGGAAATGAGGGGTGGGCGCCACGGTCCCCGCAACACTGCCTCACATCCCTGACACTGACCCTTTGCAAGCCTGAAAGGCTTGTGTCCCCACCCCGAGCTTGCGTGGTGCAGGGCTGCTGGGTGCTGGGGCCGCCGGGCACTTCCCGGCCAGCAGGGGCTGAGGGTGCCCGCCCCCAGGTTCACTCCCAGAGGGCCATCGTCAGCCTGCTGCTGGACAGCGGGGCGGACGTGAACAAGCGCTCGGACGAGGGCCTCACGCCCCTCAGCATGTGCATCCTCCTGTACTACCCGGCCCAGGCCTTCAGGCCCAACATCGCTGAGCGGACGCTGCCCTCGGTCCAGGTCAGCCCTGCCCCCGCGCGCCCAGGGACCCGGCCCCCCAGGCCACGGGCACAGCAGCGTGGGCCGAGACCCCTCCTGTGGGCGGGGGCAGAGGCGCGCGGGCGTGTGCGGGGCCCAGTCTCCGCTCCGTCCGGTCTGTCCACTCTCCTCCAGAGAGGCCTTTCTTAAGCCCCTGGCCCCTGCAGGCGCGGTTGCTCCTGAGCGTGAGAGGCCTCTGGGTAGGCGCGAGGCCCTGCTGCCGCCGCCCCTGCGCTGCCTGGGCCTGGGGCCGCGTGGGGCCCGGAGCTCTGGCTGGGGCCGGTGGGGCAGCAGGAGGCGGGGCGGCCCAGAGCGCCGGCTGGTCCTGAGCCGGCCCGGGCTGTGCAGCCCGCGGGCTAGTCCCTGTGGCCCGGGTGAGCCCAAACAGGGCAGGGGAGGGCCCCCACCCCGCAGGGGACTACTGGAAACGGGACCCGTGAAGCCTTTGCAGGCTGCGCTCACCGCTCTGGTGCCCGGCGTCACTTTCTGAAAGGAACTTGGTTGCCCAGGCTAAGGGGGGGCCGCACCCCGCTGCCCTGCCCTGAGTCTCCCCGCAGCCCTGTCCTCTCCCAACCCTCTGCCCGGGCAGGGAGGAATCAGGTGGACGCGAGCCCGTCCGCCTCCCTCCATCCCGGCCCGGCCTCAGGTCAGTCACATCACGGCCGCTTCTCCGGGGTGGACTCTGGGGTGGACCTCGAGGGCCGCCCCGCGCGCGCCTGGCCCCACCCTGCCTGCAGCCCCGAGGCTGGACGTGAGCACAGCGCCCGCAGGGCCCCACGCCCTCAGAGCCCCAGGCGCAGGCCTTCTGGCCTTTACCCGCCCCCTCGCGTCAGTGACGCCCTGGCCATGGCTGCTGGGCAGGTCACCGGCCTGGGGCCTGCAGGGGCCGTGCTCCTCTCCGTGGGTCTCCGGGAAGGTGGCCCTGTGGACGCGCGGCCATCGGCCCAGCGCTGGGCCTGGCTCACGGCCGACGTGTGGCGGTCACTCTCGTTTCTCCTGCCTTCTGATGCCCTCCCGGCACCTTCTCAGGACGGCCCCAAACTCCCGGCGGCTCCCAGCCGATCCTCCGTGGCCCCCCAGGGGGTCCTGGGCTCCGCGCACGAGGACCTGGTGTCCGGCCCAAGCGGCCTGGAGCTGTGGCTGCTGCCCGTGCCACTGGAGGACGAGGGCCTGTCCCAGGAATCCAGCGACGTGAGGAGCAGCCCCCCCAGGCGGGCCTCCCTGTCGCCCAAGGGCAGCGTGGCTGCGGACGTGGAGCTGGGGCCGGAGGGCGCGCCGCACAGCCTGGACGAGCTGGCCGCGGGCAGCCACGAGAGCGACTTCCAGTCCGACATGACCCTGCAGGACTTCTCCATCCGGCTCTCCCGGGACCTGCTGGAGAGGGGCGCCCAGGCCCTCAGCCTGCTGCCCGCTCCCCTCGGGGAAGCCGAGGCCTACAAGGGGGCCACCAGGAGGATGGCGCTGTCCCTGATGGAGTAGGTCCGGGGGCGCGGGGGAGGGGAGTGCCGGGGCCGTCCTGTGTCCGAGAGCCGCACACCCTCGGCCAGCGGGCAGGGCGCTTCCCAAGACCCCCAGCCGCCGCGCAGCGGGCTCAGGAGGGTCTCCCTGCGCGTGGTGCAGGTGCTCAGACCCACCGCCACGCGCTGCCTGGCGCCCCTGCACACTGGCATCCCCCACCGGCTCCCTCACCCGCGCCCCCGGCCAGGCAGAGGGCGGCCTGGGGCCTCCGGTGCCCCACGCCCCTCACTGCAGCCCAGAGGCCCTCCCACAGCCGGGCGCGCCCTCTGGCTAGCCTCCGTCCCCAGCCCGACCTTCGCCTGGCCGCAGGGCTGCTCCAGGCCAGAGCCCGGCTGCCCACTGGACGGGGCCTCCGTGGGCTTCCTCTGTGGGGCGCGCCCTGCAGGCGCCTTCCCAAGCAGGCTCGCTCTAAGGGCAGCCCTGACGTCGTGGCCAGCGGCCCAGAGGGCTCCCTGAGGGCAGTCCTGGCGTCAGGGCCTGCGGCGGGTCCACCTGAGTGGCCTCCGCGTGGGCGCGCCCCTACTTCACAGGGGCCCCGTGGGGCCTGGGGCCTGGCACTGGCAGCTGCGAGCCCAGGCTGGCTGGGGGCGTCTGGAGCTGGCGGGGGTGGTGCGGGCACTGCGGGGTGGCGGGGGGGGGCGGCAGGGGTGCGGCAGGCGCAGCTTGCGTGGCAGGCGGCCTGACCAGCCGGGTGCTGCAGGCGCAGGAGCCGCTGGCTGACCATCACGCTGCTGCTGCAGCGCGGCGCCGACCCCAACCTGAGCCGCGTGCCCATGCATGTCCTGTTCCTGGCGGTGAAGGCCGCGGACGTGGACGGGGTGCGGCTGCTGCTGGAGAGCGGGGCCAGGACGGACATCGCCTTCCCGGCCGAGGTGGGCCTGAGCGGACAGGCTGCGCCCTTGCCTGCAGCACCCACGGGGGTGCCCGGGCGTTGGGGTCCTGGGGTGTGGCTGACCGGGCCCCACGGGCCGCTGGCCTGCACTCCCTCCTTGGGTCAGCTGAAGGAGAGAGGAAAGCAGGGGCACGCCCAACCCACGCAGCCTCCCAGCGGGTCTGTGGTCCCGGCTGGACCCCACGCGCCAGCCGCCCTGCCCTGCCCTGCAGAGTCCTCTGTGCCGAGCCTGCCGTCGCCCGAGGGCAGCGGGTGGGCCTGTCCTGTCCACGCCGCCCGCCCGGTGGAGGCGTCAGCGCTCGGGCTGTGTCCCGGCCCCAGGGCAGGCCGGCGGCTGTGGGCTCCCAGCCTTCTCCGTGGCCTGGGCCCTTCGGTGGGGCACCAGCCTCACGCGGGGCGCGGCCAGGGCTGGCCGGGTCGGAGGGGTCGGAGGGGTGCCGCGGGGCGGGTGGCGTTCAGAGGGGTGACCCAGCTGGTCCGGGCCGGGGTGCGGGGCTTGGCTCTGGGGCTGCCGGGGGAGGGGGTGGCGGCCGGGGCTCAGGGCGGGGCCGGGGCGCCCGCCTCACCCGCGCGCCCGGCTCCCCCGCAGCTGCGCGCGCTGACGCCGCTGCACATCGCGGCCGCGCTGCCCGGGCCCGAGGGCGTCCGCATCACGGAGCTGCTGCTGCACGCCGTGACCGACGTGGACGCGCGCGCGGCCGACCGGGACGAGGCGTACAAGCCGGGCAAGGTCCGGCGGGCGGGCGCGGGCACCGGGCTGTCCGCGGCGCTCGGCCCAGGCCCCCCCCGCGGGGCGAGCGCGCGCCGGGCCCCGGGCTCCCGCGTGTGAGAGCCCAGGGGCGCCTGGACCCCTCGCGGGCAGGCGGCCAGCCCGGGTGGAGGCCGAGCGTCCGGGTGCTGCTGGACGCCCGGGGCGGGCGAGGCGCACGCTCACTTCTGCGCGCGCGCGTGCCTGCGTGTGCGCGAGCCCGTGTCGTGGGCCTGCGTGCGCGCGCGTGCCCATGTCGTGGGCCTGCGTGTGTGCGCGCGAGCCCGTGTCGTGGGCCTGCGTGCGCGCGCGTGCCCGTGTCGTGGGCCTGCGTGCGCGCGCGTGCCCGTGTCGTGGGCCTGCGTGTGCGCGAGCCCGTGTCGTGGGCCTGCGTGCGCGCGCGTGCCCGTGTCGTGGGCCTGCGTGTGTGCGCGCGTGCCCGTGTCGTGGGCCTGCGTGCGCGCGCGTGCCCGTGTCGTGGGCCTGCGTGTGCGCGAGCCCGTGTCGTGGGCCTGCGTGCGCGCGCGTGCAGGCCTGGGGGCTCCACGGTGGGGGTCTGGGCGCGCGCGGGGGGGGGGGGCGCGCCCTGACCCCCCGCCCCACGCAGCTGGACTCGCTGCCCTCGAGCCTGAAGCTCAGCAGCGAGACGGGCCCGCCCAGCTGCTACCACGGCCCGCCCCGGTCAGCCGCGGACGAGGGGGGCCGGACGGCACTGCACGTGGCCTGCGAGCGGGAGGACAGCGCCACGGTGAGGGGCCGGGCGCTCGCTGGCCACGCCCGCGGCCCCTGCGCCCGCCCCTGCCCACGCGAGCCCCTGGGGCCCCGGCAGCCGCTGCCAGGATGCCTGAGGGCAGCAGGGGGTGGGGCGGCCCCCAGGGGCGGCCTGGGGGCCGTGGGGGGACCAGGGTCCAGACCCGCGGTCCAGCCTGTGCCCCTGCTGCAGTGTCCTGGAAGTGACCAGTGCTGCTCCAACAAGTGGGGGCGCCGCCCCGCCCTGTTCCTTCCCGCCCCCCCTGCCCTCCCCCGGCAGCCAGCTGCGTCCTGCACCCCACTCCACCCCACGCCTGGGCAGCGCCGGGGCTGGGGCCGGCAGGGGACAGCCGCCCGCGCCGCGCCCGCCCCCACCCGCCGTGGCTCCCCCACGCGCCAGGCCGCCCGGCGTCAGGCCCGGCTCACGCGGTCTCGCCCGCAGTGTGCCCGGGACGTGGTGCAGCTGCTGCTCTCCCACAGAGCGAACCCCAACACGCTGTGGAGCGGCCACTCCCCGCTCTCGCTGTCCATCGCCAGCGGGAACGACCTGGTGAGCGCGCGCCGGCCTTGGCACCAGGCCCGGCGGGCGGGGGCGCGGCGGGGCGCCCCGGGCACTGCCCTGGAGAGAGGGCGCGGGAGGAAGGCCGGGAGGGCACAGCCGGCTCTCCCGCCATGGTCCACGCAGCTGCCCCCACCCGCTGTCCCCAGCGGCCATTCGCCCTGCCTGCCCGCCCGCCCTCCCAGAGCAGGTCCCTGGAGTGCCCACCAGGTGCCGGGCAGGCAGCATTCCAGGCGCTAGAGCAGCCCCGCGGGCCGCTCCCCAGCAGGGGACGGGCGGCCGGAGCCGGGGCTCAAGGGGGAAGCGGGGGCCAGTGTGGCCTCCAGGTGAGGGGTGGCCCCTCCAGCTGAGCGATGCGGGCTGGGGCTCTGGAAGCTTCCGCCTGGCCTCCGCCCGCACCCCTGCACTGAGCCCTGGTGTCACCCTTGCTCAGCTCAGCGCCTGCGTGGGGTGTCCCGGGGCCGCGCTGACCGCCGCCTGCGTGCAGGTCGTGAAGGAGCTGCTGGCCCAGGGCGCTGACCCCAACCTGCTCCTGACCAGAGGCCTGGGCTCCGCCCTGTGTGTGGCCTGCGACATCAACTTTGAGCACCAGCGCAGCCTGGACAGCAAGCTGGCCCTGGTGCGGGGGCGCTGGGGGTCCTGGGTTGGCCCCACGGGTGTCCTGGTGAGGGGCAGGGACCAGGCCTCTCCCGGGAGGGGGTGGGGAGCTTCTCCTGTCGGGGGTTGGGGCCTATTTCCTGGTGGAGTTGGGGGGCAGTCCTCTGGGGGGCCGGGTGCTGTAGCTGGGGTGACCCAGGCCTGAAGCTGGCTTCAGCTGCTGGGAGTGTCCGTGACAGCTCTGGCCGCTGCAGAGGGGCCAGCCAGCTCAGCGTTCTGTCCCTGAGCCCCTGCCTCCCGTGCTCGGGGCCTGCAGACACCCCCACATGCTTGTCACCCCCCACCCTGAGCCATCCCTGGGTCCTCTCCGCGGGCAGCTCCGTCTCGGGCAGGCCCCGCCCCCTCCCACAATCCCTCTCGGACTGTGGTGCCCCCAGCTGCCCACAGGGGAGGGGGCAGGGGTCCCTCCTGCTGGGTCCTGGACCCGCCACACTGCCCGGAGGCCCCTGGTGAGCTGCCGTGTGCCACCTGGCTTCCCACGTGCCCATCCCTGGGGCAGGGAGCCTCCGCAGCCCCCCAAGGCCTCTCTCCCGGGGCAGGGACCTCTGGGGTCCTGGCGAGCTCCTGCGACTGTCCCAGCAGATTGACCGGCTCCTCAGCTATGGCGCGGACATCCTGCAGCCCGTGACGCTCACGCAGGGGGACAGGGCGGCCGTGGGCACCGCCGTGGACTATGGCTACTTCAGGTTCTTCCAGGTGCGGCCCCCGGGCCCTGCGCAGCTGCCGGCCTTGGCGGGCCCAGCGTCCACTGCATGGAGAGGCCGGGTGCCAGCACCCTGCACACCCCACCTGCTTGTCGGGGCCAGCAGGTCACCCCACCTCCCCATGGGCAGGGCCGGGGCGGGGCCGAGGTCCGTGGGGTGACCGGCGCTGTGTGGCAGGACCGGAAGATCGCCCACTGCGCCTTCCACGCGCTCCTGCCCGCCGAGCGGGAGACCTTCCTGGCCCGGAAGAGGCTACTGGAGTACATGGGCGTCCAGCTGCGCCACGCTGTCCAGGCCAAGGAGAGCCAGTGGGACCCCAAAGCGCTGTACCTGAGCAAGAGAGGTGGGCGAGGCCGGGGGGCGTGGGGGTCGGGAAGCCGGGCCGTGGCCAGCGCTGGCGGCCCTCTGCCTGCCCCGAGCAGCTCAGCCCCCGCCGGCCTCGGCCCCGGCCTGTACCAGTGAGCCCCGGCCTCTGGCGGTGCTGTCTGGGGCTGCCCTCTGGGCGGGGCCCCTGGCTCTCGGCCTTGCCCTCCCAGGAGGCCTCGCGGAGAGGAGCGGTCCTGGGCCGGCGGGCCCACCGTGACGAGGACGCTGAGGGCCAGGCTGGGCCCTGAGCGGCTCGGCGGCTCCTCCTGCGCCGAGTGCCCAGTGCCCCAGGAGGCCCGGGTCGAGTTGGCGCCTCCCGCCGCCGGCCCCGCTGCCATGGGGGGCGACACCTGAGCAGGGCCTGGTGCCAGCCACGCGCTGGGCCCCGGCAGCGGCGGCCTCTGGGAGCCGGGCTCCAGGCCTGGCCCGGCCCTGACTGCGCTGACGCCCCCGGGGTCAGGCCGGCTGCTCCGCATGCGGCCGGTGGGCGAGGTTGACTCCAGGGCTGGGGTGTCCTCTCCGGGGGACTGGGGGCCCCGCGGCCATTTCTGTGACAAGGCACACGCGGGTGGGGACCGCCTCTGCCCGGAGCTGGCGCGGCCCGGTCTGGGGGCGGTTCCACGGTGAGTGCTGGCCGGCGTGTCCGCCTGCTCGGGCCAGCTCCCAGCCGGGCGACCCCCCAGCCGTATCCCCCGTGACCGCGCCTCCCGCTCGCTGACCGAGGGCGGCGTGTGGCTGCGGCCTCTCCAGGCCCCGTCGCCAGAGGCGTCCCTTCCTCTGGGCGGGTCCGGAGTTTCACCGGGTCAGTCTCGGCCGGGGGCCGCGGCGGCTTCGCCCGGGCCCACCAGCCGTCGATGGGGCCAGGTCCACACACGGCGCCCCGCGGGCCCCGAGCGGCAGGGCGGCGAGGCCAGGGGGGCCCGGGTCCTTCGGGGGAAGTCTCCGGGCGGGCGGGCCTTGGTCACCGCTGGGAAGAGGGCGCCACGGCGGGACACCGGGAGCCCCGAGACCCAGCTCCCGCTCGCGCCGGGCTGCGGGGTGGCCCAGAGGTCAGACGCGGGGACCAGGGGCCCCGGGACCAGCATCGCGGGTGACTGTGGAAAGGACGGGCGGGCGGGTGGCTGCGGTCAGCGCGGACCCAGCCTCTTCCACACCGGCGGCGGCGGGAGCCGCGGAGGCGCGTGGCCAACTGCTCCCAGCGCGAGCGCCGGGCACCGGCTGCCACCGGGCGTGCACGGGCAGGCAGGGGCCCCCAGGGCTGCGCGCTCAGGTGGGCTTGAGGCGCGGGGAGAGCGCTGCAGCCGGGAGGCGGCAACGTGTCTCGAGGAGCCGGAAGAAATGCTGGACTCGGAGGGCCCGCGAAAGGCCTGCGGTTGCCCAGCGCCCTGGGAGAGGGGCGGGCGGTGCCGGGCCTCAGACCTACTCCGGAGAGGGAGCTGGAGACCAGACTGGCTGGCACGGACGCACCCTCTGCGGGGCAGGCCTGGGCCGGGGGAATGGCCGCACGCGTGGCCCCGGCGCGGGGAAGGCCGGTCCTGAGCAGCGGCGCCGGGAGGCGCCGGTCACAGGCGCACAGAAAAGGGCCCCTCACGAGCCCACACGCAAAATGAACCCCGGACGGATCAGAGACGCAAGTGGAAGCCCCGCAGCAGCCAAACCCCGAGAAGCGAGCCCCGGCCTCGTGTCCCTGATGCGGCCAGGAAGGTTTGGGGGCGTCCTGCTAGGGCAGGGAGTCCAGGGCAAAACGGGCGAGCGGGATTGCCTGGTGGGACCCTCCGCGCGCTGGCAGAAAACACGGGATAGCCAGAGACGCCCGACGGACGCGGGCAGCGCTCCCCCAACACGTGACAGCCCTGCCAGCGCCCGGGTGCGGGGCGGCCTCGCCGACGCTGTGGGGGAGCGCCACGGTCACGTGAGCCGGCCGGGGGCTGCGAGGCGCTGCCCACCCGTGGCCCCGCCCCGCAGGAGGACCCCCACGGCATGGCGGGGGGCGGGGAGGGCTGGCCTCGGCCGTGAGGTGGGGGCCGCCGTCTGCCTCAGAAACCTGCGATGGGGGGCTCCAGACACCCCAACAGCACGCTCTCCAGGCTCACCCTGGGACGCAGCCACTTTCAACAGCCGGAGCGAGCGTGAGAGGATGACGTGCCGCGGAAGTGAGCACTGGCGTCCACGCAGCCCACAGTCGGAGGACTTGGACACGGAGAACAGGGTTGGGGGCCCCGTGGATAGCCCGAGGGCTCCAGGCCTGTGGGTCAGGGCTGTGAGCAGCGGGGCCAGCAGCCGGACAGAACGGACACATCACGGAAGTCAGCAAACCGCCGGGCCGAGGAGACGCCTGGCGGCCCGGCCGACTCACCAGCCGGGAGACCGGGGGCAGATCCAGACCTGGAACCAGGCGCCGTCCAGCCCCGGTGGCCGCACTGGCCGGTCGTGCTGATTGTTTCAAGCAGAACTCGCAGCGACACTTGAGCAGATCTGCCGAACCGGAAGGGAGGGAGGCGCTTCCCGGCTTACTTTGTGACGGGGCGTCGTGTGACGGCGAAGCCAGGACACCCCCTCAGCCTGTGCCGGACACCCCCCATCAGGACGCCCGGCAGACCCTGCTCAGCGGCGTCAGGGGTCCCCGGCCGGGGCCCAGCGGGGCTCGCCCCGGAGTTGCGAGGGCAGCCGGCATCCCGGAGTCAGGGGACGCGCCCCATCGCCAACGGGAAGGAGGCTGCGCAGTCGCTTCAACAGACGCAGGAAGCACCTTTAGTGAAGCCCAACACCCTCTCAAGAGGCAAACACAGGACAGGCGCGGCACGGAGGGAGCCTCCCCGACTAAGAGGGGGCTCCCGGCCCCACAGCCAGCGCCGCCTTCGGAGGCCAGAGACCGTGCTTTCTCCCCGCCGCCAGGAAGACAAGGCTGGCTTCTCTCCTCGGGTCTGTTCAGAGCGCCCTGGAGTTGTTGGCCGGCGAGGTCGTGCGAGAAAGAGAAACGGGTTTCCCGCTGGAAAGAGAAAGGTTGGGTTTCTGTCAGCTGGTCCCACTGCTGCGGCTGGCAGCCCCGGACACCCACCTGGAAAACAACCCAAAACGAGTATCGAGCTAGTGAGGAAATCCGCCCACACCGGAACAGGAGGCGGGCGCCATGCGACGGAGGGGCGGGCCGGGCCACGGGCCGAGAAGAGGAAACCGCCCGCCTTTCTGGGCCGCTGCGAGGACAGCACAGCGGAGCCTCAGCCGCCCTCCCGCTGGGACAGCTGCCGCGGGAATGAGGCGCCTCTGGGAGCACTGGCCGGGCGGCAGGAGACACCGGGGCCTTGGCGAACGCCCACCCCCCAGCTCCTGTCGCCCCCCGGCTCCTGTCCTCGCGCAGGTCGAGAAGCCAGTTCTGAGGTCCACAGGGAAACGCAGCGGCGCGGCCTCTCGAGAGGGGACCGTCTCCAGGGCCTGACACTCCCCGGGCCTGCACTTGGGGCAGAAGGACAGCGAGGGGGGCCTGGCGGGAGGCACGGCAGAGCGCGCCCCGACATGACCGCGTGCGGGCGTCTCCCAGCGGGCGGTGCTGGCCGCTGCCCCCGCCCGGGCCGCACGGTGGCGGGAGGACCCGCGCAGGCTTCAGCCGCCCAAGTCCCAGCAGAGCCCCGGCGGGGCCGGCCCTGACCACCCCGCGGCAGCCCGCAGAGAACACGAGCCGAACAAGCACGTCGCGCTTCCAGGGCTTCCGTGGAACATGAACGCGCGGCCACGGGACGGCGGGGCCTCTGAGGGCGCGGCCTACGGAGCGTGTGGAGAGGGAGTCTGAACACGGGCCGCCCAGCGTAGAGACGGAAGCCGGAGGGGCCCAGCGCCGTCGGCCCTCAGGCGACAGCCCCACACCAGCTGGGGCCGCCATGGGCTGGGCCTTGGGGGCTGTGGGGCGGCCCCCGGACAGCCCCCGGACAGCCGGCGCCACCCCGCATTTCTACTCGAGGGCCGTGAGGGCTCGTGGCCGTGCAAAACTCGTGCCCGGATGTCCCCCCGGCACCGAGGCGGCGCACCTGGACGCGGGGGAGGGAGGAGGAGGGGTCCCCTTCCTCTGCTCCTGGAGCCAGCAGGGGTTTCTTTGTGGGGTGTCGCACCCTAAAGGGGGTGAGGAGTGGAGGGGTAGCCTTTCTGGGGCGACTGGCTGCTGTCGGGGCCCGCGGTGCGGAGGCGGGGAGGCGCGGGGAGGGCGCAGGGAGCCTGCAGAAGCCCCGTCCTCAGGCCCCAGACCCCCCTCCCGCTGTCCCAGGCCTGCGCGGCTGTGGGGGCACCTGCCCTGCGGTGCTGGGGTGCTTGCTCCGTGGGTGAGCAAAGCCGGCTGAGCACCCCCACCACTCGAGGGGGCCCAGGCGCTAACGGGGTTTCTCTGGGCGCAGCGGAGCTCCTCCCACACCACAGGCTGAAGCGGAGGAGCACCTGCGTGGGCAAGGCGGCCGACTCGGAGGAGCAGCAGCAGTAGGTGGCGTCACCCTGGGGTCCTGCTCTGGCCTGGCGGGTGGGTGTCGGGCGGGGCCGCCGGGCGCAGTCACAGGGGCCCGGGCTGCTCCCCTGGCTGGGCTGGGGGTCCCCGCTCCCAGGGGGGCGCCCAGTGGGCGCGCTGTCCGGCCTCCGCCCCCACCCCGGGTTCCAGAGCCGTCTCTGCCTGCGGCGCCGTCTCCCTGCGGGAAGGGTGGCGCGTCCATCCAGCGCTTGTCCCCTGACACCCGGCGGCTGGGCCAGCCTGCGCCTCGTGCTGGGGGCACCCCCAACCCTGCTGGGCAGCACCCTGGGGGCCTCCTAATCCAGGGCTGGAGCTGGGGGCGGGACTGGGGAGACGGGGAGGGACCCGCGGGGAGCGGAGGGCTGGCTCCCAGTGCCAGGTGCTGCCCTCGGCCTGCAGGACCCTCCTCCCCTTCTTCAAGTTCTGCTACCAGTGCGGCCGCTCGGTGGGGGTGCACCTGGCGCCCTGCCTGCGCTGCTACGGGATCCTCACCTGCAGCAAGCACTGCAAGAGCAAGGCCTGGGCCGACTTCCACAAGCGGGACTGCGGGGACCTGCTGGCCCTCAGTGAGTCGGGGCGGGGCGGGGACAGGAGGGGGCTGGGGAGGCGTGGAGGGTGCAGCCGCGGCCAGACCCCTCATGTCCAAGCCTCTTTCCAGAGTGGTCTCTGGGCCTGGGGTGGGTTGGGAGCGGGACGTGGGGACGCCATGGGGGCAGGGTGGACTCTGCCTGCCCTGGCTCGTGGGCCTCGGGGCTGCTTCCGGAAGGCCCCTCCGCTGCTGCGGGCTGGCCCGAGGTGTGGGAGCGGCAGAGCTGCCCTGGGCCCCAGCATGTCCTGTTTGAGCCCCACCTGCCCTCGGTGGGGGGGTGCTGGCAACTAGACCCTCCTCGGGGCCACGGGGATCTGGCCGCCCCTCCCCTGCTTGGCCCGGCGGGTCTCAGAGCACTGGTCACAGCGGCGCCCAGCTGAGCGCCCCAGTGCGGGGACGGCGGCCCTGGCCCTGGCCGGGCTGCCTCAGAGCGCTGGGCCCAGGGCCCGCGGGCCGCAGGGACACTGACGGCGGCGCCCAGGTCCTCACTCGCCCCTCCCGCCAGTTCCTCACTCAGGGAGCCAGTGCCGGGACAGCTGGAGCTCCAGGGCCGAGGAGCACCCGTGAGGCGCCGAGGCCGCTCTGCCACCTGCTGCCCCTCGCGGCCGGTGTGGGCGCGGCTGCCCGTCCTCGCCCCGCGGGGTGGGGGGAGCGGCCGCGCGCGCCCTCCCGACCTTGCAATAAAGCGGCCACACGGAGCGTGCGCCCCGCCCGGCCCGGCGGTGGGGGGCTGGAGGGGGCCGCGGGGGGCGGGTGCCCGGGCGCAGGGACCCTGCAGGCCGGGCCGCCGGCCGCCCAGCGTCTGCCTGCACTGGGGCGCGGGGGCGCGCGATGGCGGCGCGCCGGGGGCCGCGGGGGGCGGGGGCGCTGCGGATGGTCAGGGCCGTGGGCGGGCGACCGCGGCGGGCGGGAGAACAGGGCGCGGCCAGTCCGCGGGGAGGGCGGGGGGGGGCGCCGGGGGGCGCCGGGGGGCGGGGATGGGGGCGGGGCCGAGCCGGCGGCCCCGCTCGCGCCTGAGTTCTCGGTGCTGGCGAGCGGGGGCTTGGGGCTGACCCCAGGGGCGCCCAGCCACGCTCCTGCCGCGGGGAGCCCGCCCGTGCTCGGGCCTGGGCCGTCGAGGGCTTCCCGGGAGGAGGCGGCGGGGCCGGCGCGGGCCGCGCGCCCGCGGGAGGGGGGCAGGGTCGGCCTCGGGGCGCGGGCGGGGCGCGAGGGCGGGGGACGCCGACGCCGCCCCGCCCCGCCCGGCTGCGCCGCAGGGCCCGGGCGCCCGAGACGAGCCCGAGCCCGCGTCCCGCTCGAGTGGCCGTCGCGGCCCGCTCCGGGCAGCGGCGCGGGCGCCGGGGGCGGGGGGGCGTCGCGCGCCCCGCTCTCCTGCGCTCCGCCCGGGGCCGCGGTCCCGGCGTCCGGAGCCCATGCCCGTGGCGGGAGCCTGCGCGCCCCGTGCGCACCCGCGCCCGCAGCCCCCGCGCCCCCCGCGCCCCGGGCGCGCCACACGCCCGAGCACTGCCGGCCCCGAGGGTGCGCGCGGCCCGCTCGCCTCTTCGGGCAGCGCTGGTCCCGGGGCTCACCCCGCCGGCCTGTGCCAGATGCGGGGCGATGCGGGGCGGGCGCGGGGGCGCCGACACCCACGTCTCCAAGTGCCCGCCGTGGGGAGACGGCGCGTCCGGCCCCCGAGGTGCCCTTGCCGCTCGGCCGTCCACGGGGTCACAGCGGCGGCCTCCGGCCCCTCCCCCAGCCCGCGAAGCTCGGGTCTCCGACCCCGCGGCCAGGCGGGCGGCTCCGGGTCCAGGCCGGGTCCACCCTGCGGTGCGGCGGCCGGACCATCTGCTCGCTGCGGGGCGGGGCCTGTGGCGCGGGGGCGGGGCCGTGGGCGGGGCCTGTGGCGCGCGGGGCGGGGCCGGGGCTGGGGCGGGGCCTGCGGGGCCTGGCGAGGGCGCAGAGGTCAATGTGGAAACGCTCCCCCGTGGGCGGCGGGCGGCGGGCGGCCTGCGGAGCCCGGGCAGGCGGGGCCAGAGGGGCCGCCGGAGCCGGGAGCGGGGCAGGCAGGAGGCCTCGCCGCGGGGGCGCCCGGGACCGCCGCTGGGGCCCGCCCTGCGGGGAGGCGGGGAGGCGCCGGGAGCTGCTGCACCCCCTCCGGCGCCCGGCGGGCGGGGGGAGACCAGCGGCCGGAGGAGCCCCCAGGGCCGCGGGAGGACCTCAGCGGGCGCCCTGGGGCGGTGCCTGGTGTCTCTGGGCTTCAGCGCCCAGGGGCGGGGAGCAGGCTCCCTGGAGAGCAGGGGGCGCCTGGGGAGACGCAGGTAGAGTCGGGGGCTGGGAACGCAGGGGTGCCTGGCGGTCCCTGAGCGCGAGGCCCCGAGTGTGTGCCCGCAGACATGTGGCGGGGTGTCCGTCCGAGTGTGGGTGCACGTGGGGGGTGTCGGAGGGTGACCACGAGGTGGGGGAGGCCGGTGGCTGCCGAGGGTGGTCTGAGGCAGCCCACCGCCCCTCCCCCGGCTACTGGGAGTGTACCCCAGCTGCCTGACTCCGCTCGCCCCGTGACCCCTGTCAGTCACCCACCTGGGCTGTCGGGGTCCTCTCTGGCTGGGAAAGAGGCGCCCCTCCACCTGCCCAGTCCAGCAGGCCTGTACACCAGGGACGACTGAGGTGGGCACCGGGGTGGGGGGGCCAGAGAGGCGCCTCAGAGTGGGCGATGTGGCTGCGGGCCTGGGTGGGGGGAGCAGCAAACTGGGGGCCAGCTGGGGGCCAGAGGCAGGAAGGCCCAGCTGTGTCTCGGGGGGGAAGTCCAGCAGGCGGCAGGAGGGGAAGGGCCAGAGGGTCCCGGCCCCACTGAGATCCGCGGAGCAATGGTGGAGGCGGCCCTGGGGCCGAGGAGGTCTTCGGGGCAGCCCAGTCCTCGGGGTGGCTGGGGCAGCAGCAGGCCCGGAGGCCACGGCCACTGCCTGGGTGCCCGTGTGAAGGCTGGGGGATGGCAGCTGCCCCAAGGGGTGCGGGTGAAGCCAGGGGCTGGGAGGCGAGATTGCAGGGAGTGGGTCAGGCCTCGGGCAGGCTGGGCAGGGTCGAGCCAGCAGGGAGCCTGGGTGGGGAGGCCGCGGGCAGCCGGAGGGGCCTCGGGCAGGCCCTGGGTTGCTGTGGTGCTTGGCCCGGAATCCCGGCGGTGATAAAGAGCCTGGAATTTGAGGGTGTCCGAGTTCCGTAAGCTCTCTGGAGAGACGGGGTGTGGGCCACACAGAGAAAGCAGTGGGGGTGAAACGGTGGGCTGGCTGCAAACCGCCAGCTGAAACAGGGTTCAGGCAGCCCAAAGCCAAGGACAGTAGAGGGCCCTGTACAACGGGCTGGCCCAAGGACAGGGCCACAGAGGACAGGCCACTGCCGGGGCCTCCCCCGCACAACTGCAGGAGGCCTCGGGTCCAGGAAGCACCGGGATTTACCTTAGGAACAGGGAGACAGAGCTCACCGAGGCCACAGGTGGGGGCTGCAAGCACAAGCAGTGCTGGTCACCGGTCAGCAGAGCTGGGCAGCGCTGGCCAGTGGGGATGGGCACTGCTGGTCCCCCAGAGGTGTGACGCCAGGCCTGGGGCTTGTCTGCCTAGCCCCTGTGGGCCTGCTGCAGGTCCCCACCCCGGCTGACCTCGGGCCTACAGCCCCAGGGGTATTCTGTGTCTGGCCCCCTCGGCTTCCTCCTTGCTGATACTGGAGCTCAGCCCCCCCCCAGTCCCCCCCACCCCCATGGCCTTGGGATGCTGGGGCTCAGGCACCTCCCCGTGCCTGCGGCGGGTGCGTGTCCCCTCCGTCCATACGCCTGTGCTGTCTCCTGGGCGCTGTCCTCCCGTCCCGCTGCTGCCCGTCTCCCGGGCGGGTGCAGAGGTGGGATTGTGGCCGGCCCGGGGAGCTGCTGTCTCCCCTTCCTGGCCCGGCAGGGTCGGGCCCTGCCTGGCGGCCAGGATGACCCCCTCCACTCCACAAGTGAGGCGCTCAGGTGGAGCCCCCCCAGCTGACTGGGGCCCCAGGGTGGGGGCTGCTCTCCACCGGAGCCCACACTTTGGGCTGCAAGTGCCGTGTCTAGACAGGGCAGCGCTCCAGGTGGAGGGTGCAGTGGCCCCACAGGGAGCAGAGTGTACCCCGCCTCATGTCTGTGCACATGTGCAGAGTGGGGGTGCCTGCCTGTGAGTGTAGGTGTGTGCACACCTGTGCAGACCGGGAGCATCTGCACTTGTGCCCATGCACCTCCGCTGGCAGGGCGAGCATGCAAGCGCGCACGCGACAGTGGGCACCGCAGACACCACGCTAGCCCGCCAGGCTGCCCGTGGAGACTCCTGGGGCGAGGGGTTCATGCCCCTGGCGTGTCGGCTGGGTCTGTGGCCTCCCTGACTCCCGCGAGGAATGTTGGGGTCAAGCGGGGCTGTGCCAGGTGGCCGGGCTCGGAGTCGGGGGCCCAGATGTGGGCATGGCTGGCGGGCGCTGCTCCCAGCAGGAGGCCAAGGCCAGGGAAGCGTCCCCATTCCTGCTCACGTGCTGCGCAGGACGCACGCCTGACCGCCCCGCCCCAACCAGGGCGCCTGGTGGAGAACGGGAAGCCCCCAAAGCCCGCGGTCAGGAGCCCGCGGCAGGAGCCCCGGCAGCCAGCTGGCCACAGGAAGACCGTGTTCTCCTCCTACAGCCACGGGTGAGGGACTGCAGCTGGGCCTGCGCCCAGAGGATGGCTGCCCCCTGGGGCCTCGCCCTCCCCATGAGGACAGAGGGGGTCACACAAGGGGGCTGCCCTGGGCTCAGGGCGGCGGGGGACACACAGCGTGCTCTGCTGGTGTCCAGCGGCGCCCGGTGCTGCCAACCCGGGGCCCATCCCTCCCAGAAGCCAAGTGCCCCCTCCCAGCATGTGCTGGGGCCTCCTCAGCCTCCCACGGGGTCTGGCCACTGGGCCAGGGGCTCCAGGCCTGGTGACAGGTTGTTTGCCAGCAGACTGGCGCGGCTGCAACGCCCAAATAAAGTGACTCTTCACGGACCCGCTCAGAGTGTGTGCTTCTGTGCACCCCGTCTGTCGAGCGTCGAGTGACGCCTGCCGAGGCCTGAGGCCAGGTCAAGCCCAGGACTGTGGTGGACAGGGTGCCCTCTGGGGCTGGGCGTCCGGCAGGGCAGGGATGGGCACGGCAGGGGGCAGTCCCCCAGAACAGCACCTATCTTGGAGGCTACCTGGCAGGACCCGGAACCTTCCAAAGGACTGGGGGACATGAGCACAGAGCAGGGGAGGCGAGGGTGGCTCCAGCACCAGCGCTCCAGGCCCGGAGTGAGGGTGGGGCACACGCAGCCCTACCAGGCCCCTCCCGCCTCCACCCTGATGCCCGCACAGCCACAGGACTTGCAGCCTCGCCCGGTGCCAGCCTTTATTGGTACAGGGCTCCAGGAACACATGTCCCGCTGACATGGCATGGCGGGGGAGGCCTGGCCACCACTGACCGGTAACCGCGGCCCCTCCCAGGGGTGTGGATAGGGCAGGCTGCCGCGAAGCGTGGACAGCCACTGTCCAATTCCCAGGCCCAGCGCACAGGCACTCCTGCCCCAGCAGGGTTGTTGGGGGTGGGCATGCCTGAGGAGCTGGCTCCTGGCGGGGCACAGGGCAGAGGCCCTGCACCCCACACGTGCCAGGATGGTTGCAGAGAACACCGGTTCCAGGCCAGGGGACTGGCCACCAGCGACCCGAGCCTGGAGGAAGCAAAGCAGTGCTGGCCGGTACCATGTCCCTGGCCGTGGAGGTGGGCACCCGGGCCTGGGGCTGCCTCCCGGAGCCGCGCCCTCTCCGGCAGGGTGCATGGGGGCAGGCCCCAGAATGGGGGTGCAGCCTGAGTGAGCAAGGACCCCAGATCCACGGTCTGAAGGCACCAGGAGTCCGCTCTTCATAAGCTGCTTGGGGGGGCTGAGGGGCTCCCAGCGAGCGGGGTGGGAAGCACCTGCAGAGACGGCCCCCACCCCATGGCCACGGCCTCGCCGCAGTGGGCGTCCCTTGGCTGCACCGCCCGGTCTCCTTGGCCCTGAGCACAGGTCGCCTCCAGCCGCAGCCTGCGTCGCCCTGAGCTGGGACTGGCCCTGGGCCGGCGTGGGGCGGGGCGCGGGCGCGGGCCTCTCTGCTGCGCGGCTGATCGTCCTGGAGGCGGCAGAGCCCCAGGCAGCCACGGGAATCCTGAGGGGCGCGGCCTGCCCGCTCGCCAGGCCCAGCAGCGCGGGCGCGGCCATCCCGGGGCCCAGCCCTGCTCCCGAGGCCGCGCGCGGGGCCCCCTCGGCAGCGCTGACGCGAGGCTCATGCACAGGCGCAGGCCCCGCCGCCCGCGGGGACCCCGCACCCTCTCGGGCTTCCTGGGCGCCCAGCTCGCGGGGGAGGAAGGCACAGGCTGGCGCGCGCTCCGGGGCGCGCTGCGGTGTCCCCGCGCGGCCGGGCCGGGGCCGGGGCCGGGCGGGGCCGGGGCGGGCGGGGTCCCTGAAATGCATGGCTTCGGGCGGGGGGCCGGCGGCCGCACGCGAAGTTAAAAGGCCGCGCGGGGGCGCGGGGTCGGTCCCCCGCCCGGCCGCTCTCGTCCTCCAGGCTCGGCGCGGGCCGTGCGGCCGGGCGGCTACCGGGAGCCGGAGCCGGAGCCGGAGCCGGCCGCCGCGAGCGCCAGCGCCGGGAGCAGCAGCGCCGGGAGCAGCAGCGCGAGCGCGGCCGGCCCGGGGCAGCCCGCGGCCGAGGCCGTCCGGCCCTCCTGCTCCGCCGGGCCCGGGCGCGCGCGCGTCAGGGGCGTCCTGGCGCCGGGGCTCTTCTTGCCGACGCCCCGGCCGCAGAGGTCATCCGGGCAGCCGTCGCCGCTGCCGGAGCCGCTGCCGTCGTCGCCTGGCGGGAGAGGAGGCTCTGAGGGCCCCGGCCCGCGGCTGCGCCCCCCGAGCCCCCGCCCCATCCGGGCAATCCCGCCCCCGCCCTGGGGGCCGCGCTCCGGGGCGGCTGGGGCTGGAGGGCCCGTCCGGCCAGGTGTCAGGTGGGCGCGGGACGTGGGGCAGGGGCTGGTGCCCGCGCCCGGAGCGGGAGCGTCCACGGTGGGGACGCAGGCCCCCGAGGGGCTCCTCCCAGCACCCTCTCCCTGCCGGGCGGGGCTTCACCCCCCGCCCCGCGGCCCCCAGGGACTGCCCAGGCCGGGCCTCACTGGCGTCCTGGAAGTCCATGTCGTCCCCGTTGTAGGCGCTGCGCAGCCGGTTCGTCATGATCTTCAGCTGCATGATCTGCTGGCGGATGGTCATGTCCGGCTTGGTGATGTCCACCTCCACCTCGGGGTTGTTGATCTGGTTGGCCAAGCCGTCACCCATCACCTCCGGGAGGTACCTGGGGGCCGGGCAGAAGGGTCCTGTCACTGCACTCGTCCCCGCAAAGGGCCCCGGCCCGGCACGCCAGCCACACCCTCCCCCGTCCGGGGGGTGGCCTGCGGTCCCGGTGGCCTCTCAGGGCCCTTGAAGACGAAGGTCCACCAGGAGCCCCAGGGCACCTACCGGCCCACGGCCATCCCGTTCCAGCAGCGGTCCTCGCTGGCTGTGCTCACGGCCAGCTTCTCGCTGCACAGCGTCCCGGGGAGGCTGGTCCAGAAGTCCTGGGCGTCACGGAGCTGGACCTTGGCCTCAGAGACCTGCGGGGCAGTAGTCAGGCCACCTGACCCCTGGCCCGGGCCCGCACGACCCCCGACCCCCCATGGGAGCAGGGGCGCACCAGCCTCTCCAGGGTCCCCGAGGGCGGCTTCTCTGGCAGCACCAGCTTGTCTCGCCGCAGCTTCTCGTCGGGCCCCGGGCCCTGGCGGTTCACCCTGGGTTTGCCGCAGCCCTGGATGACCTGGGGGAGACCACAGGGGTCATGAGGCCCGCAGGCCCAACCGGCCCCCTTTGGGGTGGCCCACCTCCCCTTCGCGGCACCCTGGCACCTTGTCCTTGAGTGTGTCCTTGTTGTCCTGGAGGGTGCTGATGGCCTCTGCCAGCCACAGGTGCATGTTGCCCATGGCGCTCTCCGCCCCCGACGGGCCCCAGAACTTGTTGGTGATGAGCTCCATGGAGTCTGCACGGGCGTGCGCGTTGGGCGTCAGCCGTGGGGCCGCCCACAGGGCTCCAGCACAGCCCAGGGCGCCACCGCGCGCTGGCACGTTCTCCGTGGGCATCATGCGCCGAGCATCCAGCACATGAGCTCGCGGGTCAGCACGGGGCCCACGGCCCGCCACCCTGCCCAGCCCACGGACTGGGACGCCCCTCATGGCGCTCCCTGGGGGGCGCGGCCCACCACGTCCGCACTTGCGTGAGCTCGGGCACGTGCCGCCCAGCTGCACACGCCCGCCTGCAGGGCTCCCTTGGGGGGCGGCCAAGCTGCTCAGCCCACCGGCTGTGGCACCCCCACCCCTCCACCCGGCAGCTCCTCCCAGACGGCGTCCGGCAGGCTCAGGGACCCGGGGGGACACGAGCAGCTCTGCCCGGGCCCTGCCCCTGTCGCCACCAGCCACTCACCCAGGAGGTTCCTCCACTCCGCGTCCAGGTCGGCCTGGTTGGCCAGGCAGCCCTTGAGCACGTTGCGGCAGTAGTCAGGGCAGGGCCGGGCGCTGGGCACCCCCAGGCAGTGCGCGCAGTACACCAGCTTCATGACCGCCCGCGAGCACTCGGGGCCCAGGGGCACCTGGGGACAAGGCAGCCTGAGCACCCAGCCCCCTGGAGTCGCGGGCGCGGGCAGGCAGGGGCGCCCGACCTAACCGTGAGCCGTCTCACAGTGACCCTGGCCGCCCCCACACTAACCCGACAGGGCGGGCGAGTGACCCAGGGCCCGCCCCCGCCCTCACGGGACAGTGGGTGACCCGCACGCTGCCGCCCCGCACAGGGGGTGGGGGAGGTCCGGGGTGGGGAGGGCGCGGGCCCCGCCCGCCGTGGCTGCACCCACCTGGGCCACCTTGCGGACCACGTCGCCGGCCACGCCCAGGCCCTGCACGAAGGCGCGGGCGGCCACCAGGGCGCGGGTGGCACGCAGGCGCAGCTCGCGCGGGGCCTCCCCAAAGGGCCGCAGCGCCTCGGCCTGCTTGCCCAGGCAGTCCAGGTAGTCGTCGGGCAGCAGCAGCTGCGGGTGCAGCTGCGGGAAGAGGCGCTCGAGCAGGCGGGCCCAGAACTCGGCCAGCGTCTCCTCCAGGTGCAGGTGGGCGCCGCGGTAGTAGAGGCGCAGGTCTGCGTACAGCTCGCGCAGCGCCCGCGCGCTCTGGGCGTACAGCTCCCCGAAGGCCGCGGGGAAGGCCTCCTGCAGGGCCCGCTCCGAGCTGTTCAGCAGGTGCTGGAAGTGATCTGCGGGGAGGGGGCGTGAGGCGGGCGGGCGGGGGCTCGCGCCGCCCCTGCTCCGCGACCACAACTGAGGTCACCAGGGCTGTGGCCCAGGCCACAGGGGCAGGACCGGCCCCGGGTGTCCCGCTCCAGGCCCAGATGCCGCAGGGACCCGCCGGGAACCCCGGGAGGGACGGGGGGGGGGGGGGGCGCGGGCGGGACAGGAGGGTACTCGGAGACCTGAAAAGGGGAGAAGGCCAGGGTGGCCCTCCCGGCTGGGGCTCCGGCCCCTCCTCCCTCCACCCTGTCTGCCCCTCCCCCCCTTCAGCCTCAGCTCCCCGGGGGGTCCCGAGCGGGTGTCTGCCGCCATACCAGGGGCTCGGGAGGACAGTGGCAGGGCCGGCTGCAAGGCACAGGCCGCCAGGCAGGCTGAGGGGCGGGGGACCCCACCCCACCCCCACCGTGTCCTCGGGAGCCCACCGCAGGCTCAGCCACATCACCCCAGTCCCTTGGTTGGGACAGCGGCTCTGCCCAGACACGACGTGACCCGCGTGGGGCTGGGCTGCTGGGCAGCACCACCCTGGCGACGGGACCCTCCGGCCCTGCCACTGGGCAGGCCCAGCACCCCGCAGCCCTGCCCCCGGACCCCAGCGGATCTCAGCCACACCGAACTCCCAGGGGCAGCAGCCTTGGGGACCCACGTTCCTGGGCGCCTCGGGAAGCAGGTGAGTCCCCGGCAGGAGCCCCCCAGCCACAGGGGGGCACCTCGAGGCAAGCGTCCCAGGACAGCAGAGGGTCGGCCCTCCCTCCTGCGCATTGACCCCACCGGCCTCCCCAGCGAGGCCCCACCCAGGGCCAGCTCCCGCCCCCGGGGCCCCACCCACCGTCGAAGGCCCGCAGCTGGGTGGCCAGCATGGCCTGCAGGGCGCGGCTGCTGTCCAGGAGCGCGGCCTCCAGCTCCGCCCGGCTGCGGTTGGCCAGGTTCTCCTCCATCTCGCTGGTGCAGCAGGTGTAGCCCTGGGGGCAGACCCGCAGGTGCTCACCTGTGGGGAGAGGTGCTGTGAGGGGCGGCGCGACCCAGGAGCAGTCCTCGCACCCCACGGCTCCGGGCCCACCCCTGTGCGAGCTCCCTCCCCGCCCGCGGGCGCCTCTGGGGGGCGGTGGCGTCCCTGCCTGGCCAGACACCAGGTCCCTTCGGGGTGGGGCCCCGCTCCGCAGCCACAGCAGCGCCTAACCTGGAGCAACGCGGGGCCCCAGCCTCCCGGGGTGCGTGACGCCCTTTGTGAGCCAGGGGACCGGGGCCACGTGGCCCTCGAGGCCGTGGCTCTGCCGTGGCCCCCGCTTCCCCCCGCAGCCCTTCCTCCCGGGACGCGGGGCAGGGAGAGCTGCCCGGTAGGGGTTGGGGAGGGGCGCGGCTGGGAGGCCACCGGGCCAGGAGGGGGTGGGGGCGACAAAAGACGTCTACCCCCAGGCCCCCACAAAAATCTGCCTGCTGCCCAGCCAGGCGCCGACTCGGGCCTCCCGCGCGCTGCATGGCCGGGGCTGGAGGCCCCGCCGGCCGCAGACCAGGTGGCAGGGCCAGGCCCCGGCCCCGCCCGCCTCCCGGCGCAGGGTGGGCGGGGAGCGCCGGGCGGAGGGGCCCCACGGACCTCCAGGCCCTGCCCCCCCGCGGGTGGCCGGCGGTCACCACCCTTGCGCGCCGAGGTCTCTGGCCGGCAGGGGCAGCGGCAGGCGGGGCAGCGCAGGGCCGCCAGGGGCCGCCGCCAGAGGGCGGGGTCGCTGCGGGCCGTCCCGGGGGTGCGCGCGCCCAGGGGGACCCCATCCCGGCCCCCCCGCGCTGGTGAGGCCCCAAGCTGCAGGCCCGCAGGCCGGGCGTCCGGGCGACAAGAAGGGGGGCGGCTCCCCCGCCCCCCACTGCCCGGGCCGAGGGGCCGCCCCGCAGCCTCGTCCAGCCGCGGCGGCCGCGCTTCTCCGGTGCCCCGGCGCGGCCCCCGGCCCTCCTCCCTCCGACAGCCACGGGAGTGAAGACACGGAGCCAGAGCCGGGGCCCCGGCGGGCCGGCGGACCGGGCCGAGGTGCGGGCGCCTGCGCCGCCCAGACGCGCCCCGGCCAGCTCGGCCGCTGCAGGGGCCCGGCGGGCGCCCCGACTTCCAGACAGGCCGGCCCGGCCGCGGGGCCAGAGCGCGCGGTGCCGGTGCCGGTGCCGGCCCGTCTGCGGGTGGGCGGAGCCCTGCGGGGACAGGGCCGGTCACGGGGCCCTGGGCCCCCACCTGTCTCGGCCCTCGCCTGGCCCCGCCCTGCCGGGCCCCGCGCCGAGGCTGCTCCCCCAGTGCACCCCTAGTCCTGGGCGCTCTGCCGCTTGGGCTGCTCCCTTCCAGAAGGTTCCTTCCCTGAGGCCCGGGTGCTCCCGAGACGCCGGGGTGCCGTTGGGGAGGGGCGCGAGCGAGAGGGGTGTTCCCAGCCCGGGGGCTCTGCGCCCCCATCCCGGCCTCTGCGCCCCCCGCCCGGCCTCTGCGCCCCCCGCCCGGGCTCTGCGCCCCCGCCCGGCCTCTGCGCCCCCATCCCGGCCTCTGCGCCCCCCGCCCGGGCTCTGCGCCCCTCGCCTCGCCGCCTCCGGCCCCAGACCCCAGGTGGGCCCCGCCCCATCGTGCCCCTCGGGGTGAAACGCCTGCCCCCCGCACCCCGCCTGCAGCTGCTGCTTCTCGGGGAGGGAAACGGCACGTCCGCGTCGCCCCCGCCACATTCGGAGCTCCGGGGCCCCCCGGCCCCCCAGCCCAGCGAAGGGGCCCCGTCCCTGCTTTAAGGCGCCAGGAGCTCCCAGCGCGGCCCCGGCGTCGCCCCCGCCCGACCCGGCGCCCGCGGGGAACATGGCGCCGCGCTCTGGAAGCTTCCGCGGCCGGCGGGGGCAGCCTCAGCCCCCCGCGCCCCGCCCGCCCTGGGCCCGCGCCCCCCGCCCCCCGCGCCCCCCTGGGCCCGCGCCCCCCGCCCCCCCTGGGCCCGCGCCCCCCGCCCGCCCTGGGCCCGCGCCCCCCGCCCCCCTGGGCCCGCGCCCCCCGCCCGCCCTGGGCCCGCACCCCGCGCCCCCCCTGGGCCCGCGCCCCCCGCCCGCCCTGGGCCCGCGCGGGCAGCGGGGCGGGCGCGGCCGGGCGCGGCGGCCTCCGAGACCCGGGAGGTCAGACCCCGAGGGCGGGGGGCGCCCCGCCGCGCCCTCCCCTCCCCGCCGCGGGATTCGGGTCGGGGGGGGGGCGCGGCAGGCGGCCTCCAGGGCACCCCCTTCCCGCGCTTCCCCGGCACCCCCGGCCGCGCCCGCCCCCGCTCATCGCCCCGCGCCCCCCGCGCCCCCCCGCCGTGTCCGCGAGCGCGGGCCGCGGGCCCCTCGCCGGGTGCGGGTCCGGGTCCGGCCGGCCGGGCGCTGCCGCGGGGCGCGGGGCGCGGGGGGCTGGCGCGGCGCCGGCGCAGGAGTCGGGGCGCGGGGCTGCGGCAGGCGGGCGGGGCGCGCGGGGAGGGGCCGCGCCGCGGGGGGCTGCGGCGGGCGGGGGCGGCGCGATTGGCGGGGAAGGGCCGCCGCAGTGGGCGCGGCCGGGGGCGCGCGAGCCCGGGGAGGGCGGGGTTCGCGGGCCGGCCACGGGGGCGCGGCAGGCGGGGGGGGGGGGGGGCAGGGGAGGGGCGGGGCGCGGCCCGGGGTGGGGGCGCGGGACCCGGCGGGGCGGGCGCGCGAGGACCCCGCGGCCACCGCGCCCGCTGCCCGCCCCGCGCCGCCCCGTCTCCCGGGAAACGCGGGCGCCCCCGCGCCCCCCGCCGCGCGGGCCCGGCAGAGGCTGCCCGAGTCCCGGCCCCGCACCCCGGGCACCCCCGGGCTCCGGCACGGCCCGGCCAGGGGCTGCCCTGCCCGCCGGGGGCGCCACCCTACCCGCCGCGAGCCCCAGCGCCGGGCTCCCCGCGGGGGCGCCCCGCGGTCCGGCTGCGAGGGCCACAGAGGCCGCAGGGCCCGGGGCCGCGTGTCTGTGCTGCCCGCCTGGTCCGCGGGAGCTCCCTTGGGGCCCGGGGTGCAGTGCTCCCCAGAAGCCTCCCCTCGGGGTCCAGCCTGTTTGTCCTCTCAGCCCAGCGGCCTGCACAGAAGGCCGGGAAGGGGCGCTCTCCTGTCCAGCCCCCTCTGGCAGCCGGGGTGCCGGGAAGTGGCGGGCAGCTGGCACCAGGCCGGGCAGGCCTGGCCGTGTAGATGCCCTCAGGCCCCGGCTCGCAGCTGGGTCCAGGGCAGCCCAGCCCCCCGCTCCTCCTGCACTTCTTTCATTTTTTTTAAAGATTTATGTATTTATTTATACAAGAACGGGGACAGTCAGAAGTCGGGAGGGTGAGAGGATCCCCCAGAGCCAGAGCGGGGAGCAGAGCAGGCAGAGGGACCGAAGGACACTGCTGAGGGGAGCCGCGGGCGGCAGGAGAGGTCTGCGCGCCATGCGGGACCCTCCTCCGGTGGCCGGGGAGCAGCCGGGGATGGAACCGGCGCTGCAGAGGCCGCGGGCATCTTCACATCCCAGCACTCAACCGCTGCGCCCCCGGGGAGGCCCCCCTCCTGCACTTCTGTGGGTCCCAGCGTCCATGGCACCCACACACGTGGTGGGCACCCTGCCCTGGCAGTCCCCCAGGGGCACTGGGGGTCTGCACCGTCTCTGCCCGCTGGGCCTGCTGGGGAGCACCGCTGAGCGGCAGCCCCCACCCCGGCCACTCCCCAGGCACCGCAGCTGCCAGAGGGTGGGGGTCCCTAGGGCTTCGGGAGCCCTCACCGTCCCTCTGCCTCCTCCTGCCGGGTCCACTCCATGGCTGACCCAGCGCCAAATAAACAGATATGGAGCGAGGACCTTGAGGGACTCCTTGCCCAGGCCAGGGCCCAGGGGGGCCAGAGCCACAGCCCAGGCTTCCCTCCCAGAAGCCACTTGCCGGCGGGCAGGGCCCAGGGCGGGCCCCACAGAGGCTCCTTGCTTCATCTTCGGGGCTCCCCTGCCCGCTCCCACCACAGAGCTGACCCGGCTGTAGCGGTGCCCAAGGTCCCGACAGCGGGACCTGCCGGGGGACAGCCGCCAGCACCTCCTCCCACCGCAAGGCCTGCACACCCTCTCCCGGGCCAGGCCAGGGGATTCCTGCGGGCGCGGGGCGGGGGCGGGGCAGGCGCAGACAGGCTCCCTCCCCAGGGCGGCCTGGGGCGCTGACTCAGCCAGCACCCTGCGCACCCCACCCCCGCCCTGCAAGCCCAGGTGTGTGGGCCCCGAGCCGAGCGCCCTGTCCCGCGGGCAGGATGGGCGGGTGCGGCCCAACCGGGCCCACAGGGAGTCGCGTGAGCCCGAGCTCAGCCTGTGCCCAACAGGGACCAAGCCAAGCCGCAAGGCAGAGGGACCCCGGGAGGCCCCAGGCGCGTCCCCTAGACAGGGTGGGGGGGCGGGGAGCGGCTTCCAAGGAGCCCTGGTGCTGGGGGCTGCGGTGTGGGGAGGGGCCGAGGCCGCCGGACGGGACACAGAACGGTTGGGACAGCAATCGGGAGACGGCGACTTGCCACCAGAAAGGGCGCACCTCCCCCAGAACTTGGGGTGCACACACACTCAATCGGGCAGACTCAGGGACACGGGACCCGGGGGTGGGGGCTGCACCCTGCCCTCTCAGGCCGGGCACAGGTGCCCCCCCACCCCCGGCCCGGGTGCTCCCAGGTCCACGGACGCAGGAAACGAGTTGGAGCTCGGGGCCACGAGCAGCCCAGACGGAGACGTGGCCTGGAAAATCGTGGCCCTGTGGGTCCTCCCTGGCCACCCCGCTGGCCCTGGGGAGCTACGGAGATCTGAGCCCCCCGGGTCTGCGCGCGACCCTGCCTTGCAGGGTCTCTGTGGGTGTCCAGGCCAAGAGGCGCCCTGAGCCTGCTGTTCCGCCTGGACAGCAGGCCAGGTGCCCGCGCCTTCCCCCGCTCCGGGCGGGTCGGCCGAGGCCCCAGCCCCCTGGGAGACAGGCTGGGAGATGGCCTGGGGGTGAGGGCCGGGGCGGTGCTGCCAACAAACAGGTG